CCTTGGGATTCCATCTCTATGGACTTCATTGAGCAACTGCCGTTGTCGAATGGCTATACAGCTATCCTCGTCGTTGTGGATCGATCTTCCAAACAAGCTATATTTATTCCAACTCACGACACCATTACTTCCGAACAACTAGCTGAGCTTTTTGTTATTCACGTCTTCTCTAAGCATGGTGTTCCTAATCATGTTACTTCCGATCGTGGTTCCGAATTTGTTTCGGCGTTCTTCCGGGCTCTCGGTAAAGCGCTCTCCATGGAACTTCACTATACCTCTGGATATCATCCGGAAGCCGATGGGCAGACCGAGCGTGTCAATCAGACTCTCGAACAGTACATCAGGATCTATTGTTCCTACCAACAAGATGACTGGTCGCCTTTACTCCCGATCGCCGAATTCGCCTATAACAATGCTCCCAATGCTTCCACTGGTATTACTCCATTCTTCGCTAACAAAGGATACCACCCAAACATCACCGTTCGGCCCGAGGTCGATATGAAGTCTGATCTAGCTAGAGACTTCGTCGTCAACCTCGATGAACTCCACGCTTTCCTTCGAGAGGAAATCCTTTTAGCTCAGTCTCGTTATAAGGAACAAGCTGACAGGAAAAGAATCTCGCACCCGGAGTTCCCGATCGGCTCCGAAGTATTCGTTCTTGCTAAGCACATTCGTTCTACTCGTCCTACTGAAAAATTCTCAGAAAAATATCTTGGTCCTTTCAAGGTCATCAGTCGACCTGGTACTTTGTCTTACGAGCTCAAGCTCCCAGACTATCTTCGCCGAATTCACCCGGTTTTCCATGTCTCACAGCTGGAGCCGGTTACGCCGAACCCGTTCCCGAATCGTACTCAATCTCCTCCACCTCCAATTGAAGTTGATGGTGAAGAGGAGTACAACGTTGCCGAAATCCTCGACTCCAAGCTGGACAGAAGGTATAAACGTTGTCCTCTACGTTATTACATTCGGTGGGCCGGTTATGAAGGTACCGACGATGAGTTCTCTTGGGTTGCTGCTGATGAATTACATGCTGACGAACTTGTACCGGCGTTCCACGCCCGATACCCTCACAAACCTGGACCTTGATCACAAAAAATCATTTTATTCATTTCCCTTTTCCGCCGCGCTCCGCCGAAGTCTACTTTGTGCGTTTAGAGGATAAACACGATGATAGCAAATTGAGTGTTTATCTCTTTCTCTTAATTGCTTACATTCTCCTTCGATCTACTATTGCACTTATATTTCGTTCACACTTAAACTAATTACACTTCGAACTAATTACTTTTTACGCCGCTTAGCGGCCCATTCACTTTCCGATTTCCAAAATCGAGTTGACATTTTTTTATATATACAAAGTCCAAAAAACAAAAACGATACGAGGGGGGTAGGGCTACAAGAAGGTTACAAGAGAGGCCGAATGCCGATGTCCGATGTCCGCGATACTACTACTCTACCACTTCCTTCTCCTTCCCCTTATCCGCTCGCGCCTCGGTCGGCGCCATCTCCTCCTCGACTATTTCCTCCTCCTCTCCTTCCCCATCTTTCTCCGTCTCCTTCTCCCTCTCCTCCACTTCTTCTTCTTCCTCCCTTTCTTCTTCACTCTCCTCAACAACCCTTCGCCGCTTCAGCGGACGCCGCCGCTCGGTGGTCCTCCTCGACGGTCCTGCCGCCGCCGGTCCCTCTCCCATACCCATCAAGGACATCCTAGTGTCCATGGATATGAGGCGCGTATGGTCGTCCTCTTGCCTTCTCAGCAGCTGGCGAAGGTACTGCTGAGTCTTCGAATTCGCCTCTCGTAGGGCCCGGTTATCGGCGAGGAGTTGTGCCATTTGACTTTCGAGGACAGCTAGCCGCTCGCCGCTCGGGCCCGCTCCTCCATCCTTCTTCACTACATAAGGACGACCCGAGTACGAGCATCGTACTTTCGAGTCGTGGCAGGGCTTACATATTACGCTACTCCGCTTGCCAGCCTGCTTCAGGCAAGGGATTTTCTTCGACCTGCACCGTTCGCAAGGTTCTCGGTCTTCTTCGTCCTCATCATCGTCGTCGCCGTCGTCGCCGTCGTCTGGGTCCTCATCGACGACCTGAGTAGAAACAAGTCAATAAAGAAGATTTAATGTTAGCCGAAAAAGACGTACCGGGGCCTTGGCTTTACCCTTTCCCTTATTCTTCATCTTCGATACCTCCACAATAGGTCTCCTCGGCGAAGCAGAAACATCCCCGGTGGAAGTTCCGCCTTGACTTCTGGCGGTAGCAGCCTCCGCCAACTTCCTCCGTCGTTCGACGATCTCGTCTTCCTGTTCTCGAGCCCGGACGGCCCGATCGCGAGCATCTTGAGCAGCTTGGCGTCTCGCCGCCGCCGCTCGCTCCGCCGCCTGCTTCTTCTTTTCCGCCTCCTCTGCCGCCTTCTTAGCAGCTGCCTCCTCCGCTGCCTTCCTTTTAGCAGCCTCCGCTGCCTTCCGCGCCTTCACCCTCTCAACCCTCGCAAGGGCCTCCCTGATGATTTCGTCTTCGTCTTCGTCGATAGGGGCGCCGGGACTCGGAGGATCGGCGGGGCGAGAAGAGGTGCTGGCGGAGGGTTGGGTGGTCGTGGTGGTTCGGCTGGTCGTCATGTTGGTGGACTTAGAAGATTTTGAGAGAGTTAGGGCCTTAGCGGCAAAACCCTGGGCCTTTTATAGGACAAAAAACTGCGCACGGACCAGCGAAAATTTTCCTTCGAGTTGTACGGGGTGTACGGTGAACCGCGCCAATTCCCGGTACTAACGGCTTTTGAAAATTCTCCTGCTGACTGATGGGCCAAATCCCCGATCCTGACGGCCTTTGAAATTTTTCTTTGGTGACTAACCAACTACCGGTATTAATGGCTTTCGAGGGCTCAAGCCTAAGAGGGGGATACTGTCAAGTCTATGCCGCGGGCCTCCATTCCGCCGCTCGGTACTCCGAAGATCTGCTCTTATTGTAATCTCTTCCTATTGTTCTTTCTCGCTACACATATCCTTTCGTTCTAGTCTCTTATTATTGTCTTTTACTCTTTCGTCCTAGTCTTTCCTTATTGTCTTTACTCTACCCTGCAGGTACTACTTGTATAGCTCCTAGTAGTTAGTCTGGCGCTTCGCACCGATGCGCCGTTCCGTAGATATAAATACTGCCTGTACGCTACTGTAGTTCCCCAGTTTAATTATCAACTTAGATCAACTTAGATCTCCCTTCTCAACTTAACTCTTCTCTAAGTCTTCAGGCTCAACGCCTTGAAGTACGTTCTCCTCGACCTTAGAACTTTAACGTTCTCTGGTCCGCTCCTCGTCACCGGCGATACCGCCGCTCCGACCTGGCTGCTACTTAGTTCCTCTCTCTCTACTCTCGCTCTCCGGGGACTAACGGCGTAACGGCGGTGTTGTTAATAACTTCACTACTGTCCCACTCGTCTTCCGCACTTAGACACCCTGTGGCCTTGGCACGGTTACACGGTGTACATGATCTTAACACATGTGATCGTTGGCCTGTTGTTGCCATTTCAGGACTGGGCTGTCGTGGTATTGGTGTTTGAGTGTGCTGCCATTAGGGCTTTTACCTTTTTCATATCTTGCTTGACCTCTCTTCGCTCCTCTTCTTTTTCATGCCAGAGTGTATGGAGGTATGTGAATGCATTGGCACTTGAGCTCCCTGGCACACTACGTACATCTTGCCTCCACTCTGGCGGCATGGAGGATATGACAATACGGTGGAATTGGGCGTCAGTTGCTGTCCTGCCCAGGTTGTGGACCTTTTTTATCAGGTTTCACATCCTCTTTTCATGTTCCTCCATCGTGGATTCGGTGGGGTTGAATTTTTCCTGTCTGAGGCTCGTATTGGCTAGATGGATTCTCTGCTCGTCCCTCTTTTCGAAACGCTTAATTAGTGCCAACCAGATTTCTGATGTGCGCTTTGTTTTGTCTATTCCCAGTCCGATGGGGTCTGTGATGTTCAACACGATCACGCCAGCTCTACGAGGCTTCCCACTCAAGGCATGGTATGGGGCTGAAGAGCGGCGTTGCAGCTTGGGACGTCAGGTATATGGGTCCCGGGTACGAGTTAGGCTTTGCGATTGTACTGTTGATGTATCCAGTGAGTCCTCTTGACTGCACTGCGAATAATATTTCCCGCTTATATGGTCTCCAGTTCTCTTTGCCGATGAGCTGTTTCTTGTCCAGCAATCTTGGTATGTTTAGACTGTTTCCAAACGACATTCTCGAAAGTTCTACTTTTATTCTTCCCTGATAGCCTTTTTAGAATGCGAGTCTCATAATCTGTTGGAGTAAGTAATTCTCAGTTGGTAGAAAAACAACTGATATTATCGACATATCTACCTGTTGGAGTAAGGAATTCTACAACAACTGAGGTGTATGTGTTCAGTATCCGTCGTGTAGTCTATGTACTGTACAGTATATGGTAATAACGCCGTTTACTATATTGTGGGTTTGTGTATGTACGGAGTATGTCCCAACATGGAGGAACTTCAATCAAGTTTGGCAATGGTTGAATAAAGTTGAACCAAGATGGATGAAACTGGATGGAGTTGGATGGACTTGAACTGAGTTGGATTGAGATGAATGAAATGGGAAGAAGCATCCTATTGACTCAGAGCACTATTATATACACTAGATGGATAATCTAATGAATTCCGATCCCTCATAAAGCGAAGGAATCTGGAGGCTTTGGTTCAGCGCGACTAATTTCGGAACCAGTGACTAAGCGCCAGCTTTCAGCGCACGGAAACCTTGGCGGCGGCTGCCCAACATATAAGGAAAAGGTCAAGTGACCATTGCTTTCGAAGTCCGACAAGGAATACACCGTGCACCAACGCCACTCATGAACTTACTCTTACAACATATACTATACTTCTGCCACTCTGCATCAGTATAAACGGAAGTGTTTCCAATATGCTTCCCAAAGATCCTGCGTTATCGAAACTGTTAGGTCCGGAACAGGACCCTAACATTGTTGAATATCCCAGCATATGCATAGATACAGACATTGTCGAGGAGATCGCTCGTCATGACTTCCCAGCCTCTAGTCTCCGGAGAATCATACTCACTGCAGGCAAAATCTTGCCGGAAGACAGCCTCTCTGTTCACACTGATGAACTATGTCAGTTCCCCACTCTCGAATCCTTGCTTCCTCACCTGCTTGCCTATTTCTCCGTCCTCGCTTCATGTCTGCACACCAGTGGGAACCCCAGCGCTTCATTCACGTTCATGAATAGGACTTACTCGTATACGGCATCATTGGTGGAAATGGCATCCCAGTTCGAATGGTCGCATGTGCTGGAATATCATACCCTGTATATGAACAAGCGCCAACATGAGATGAGGCGAGGAAATTACAGTGGATGGGGCCCAGTAGATCTGGACATTTTTCTGCAGCTTGTAGCGCATTCCAGTCTGCGAAACCCTCCTGCCAGTAACTTCTATGTCGATCATAGAAAGAACAGCAGAACACAAGAAGAATCTCGCGTGGGTAGGAATGGCAAAAGGGAAGGAAATTTATTTTACATTGGTGAAACAGGAAAAGGGATCTCCGTTGGCATTGTCATTGCTATTGCTTTCTTCGCTATTTACATTACATTCTCTAAATAGGTGATGTTTCCAGAACTATGTGCATTGGAATTCAATGATGCTTTAACTTCATCCCAGTGGTATTTCTGGTTTAATGGATCGTAAATATGTACATGTGCACCTTGTGTAAAGATACCGATCCATAATAATATAATTTACCTGCATTCTTTGTTCCTTCAACATGTCAATGCGCACAGGACCTCGCCTGCCTCCTCTCCTCTTTTCGTTTTGCCGTATCAGCAGCTGTCTCCTCCTTGGTCTCCATCGAAGTTAATCTGGGTACAGACGGACTCGAGGCACGCCGTGCGGTAGTTGGTCTCACCTATTTGTGGAATATTCGGATAATCCATTCAAGCTCGAACCTCCACTGAACTCTACAAACGCGTAGTCAGAAGACACTAGGATGCCGACGACAGATCTAGAGAAAGGTCGAAAAACGCCAGCTGCATGTAGGTGTATATCAAAACTCAAATTTCCGGTGGTCCTTGTGTTGAAACATTCGTGTTCTGCCGGTACGCAGATTCGCTTTAAAGATGGTATGGAATTCGTTTCCTGCCGCATCTAGCCTTTGGTGGAAAGGGTACACTCGAGGAAGTCGGAGATATAAGGCATCTAGCTTTTTAGATAGTAACTTCAGCGGTGTATGGGTACACCCGGCAACGCTTGGGTAGATACCCAGAGCAGGTTCAGATGTTGTGGTGGGGGCAAGAGACACCCGGGAAGCAACGCTCGAAGATGAACACCGCGAGAAAGCAGCGGTACCCCTAGATCAGACCACCCTGAAGCTGGAGATGTGAAAGGAGTGCGAGCAGTATGGACGGAGAATGGACTTGCTGATTGGGAAGCCAACCTTCATTAGCATTGACATCCATCCGGTGGTCATCTCCCCACGGATCCGATACTTCGACTCGATCCTCAGCAGCAACTTCCTCTGCCAACTGTTCCGCTAGCGCCGCGGAAATACTCGAAGAAACCCTACTTGCGCCGCCGCACGAAACCCAAGCGAAGCGGAAGTGCTGGCGAAGTCGCAGTCGAATTTGCTGGCAAAGTTAGCAGCGTGCCTCGAGACGTAGTCGCAAATGAATCTGTAATCGGTCGAATGGATTGAACGCAGCAGTTCCGGGCTTCCTTGAACTTCTCAAAAGATCGTCACACTCATATTTTCAGGTCAAAGACTTCCCAAAGCTGTCATTAGAAATGGATCAGGTATTATACAATGAAAAACGTTGACCAACCGCTTACATAGAGAACAGCAGCATCGTCCTTCGAATTACTTCGAATCCACCCAGCTTCCACTCTCCGGAAAGCGATAGAAATACAGCCTTGGTTCGAATTGTACCGAGAGTTGAGACGCAAGACTCATTGATGCATGCAAAAGCAACCTTTATCCATTATCGGATGAGTTCCACTAGTGTAATGAACGACCTGACATGAACGGATATTCTGTTCTTTTTTGCCCTTGCCCTCACAAGTTCTTCCTGCGAACCTCGAGCAGAGGGATTCTTGTCAGAGTTTCTAGTTGATAGTGCGTAAAATCTCAAGATCGCGGTTTTACAATGAAATATCGAATCAACAGTGAACAGTAACGAATCGAGATGTCTTATCACGTGCGGTGGCCACCTTCTAAACTGACATACGCTGCTGGACCGGCGCTTTTCAAACCCGCCAAACCTGGCCCTTCTCGAGGATCCCTGTTCTTCCCTTCCGACCTTTGATTCGAATCTTTAACCTTCCTGCTTGTGCCGACCTCATCAACCTTTTCTCGTTTACTTCTCCCATTCTCGCCGTCGTCCATGCGAGCCCTTTTTCTATGATACGTCAGATCCAGAATTCAAGACGAATTTGCACAACCTGCCTTTTCTTGGCCACAATTTCCTCTGGGCAATGATGGTGGTAAGCCTAAATATCAGTTAGGAAGATGAGTGAAGGCTCACGTTGATCGATCGAATAACTAGTGTAATAACCTACAACGGAGAGAGGGCTAAAAGTCTATGAGCAATATGCTAGCGGTGTAGAGAACATAGTACGCGCACTTGGGACCCTCGGTCTGGAGTACGTACTGCACACCCTTCGCAAGCTTTATATCCACTGACATTCTTTCTAACTAAAAGCCCAATGAGGAGGATAGAAATGTGTTGCAATCCACTTACCGTCTGCACTGATAGGGTACCTAGTGCCACTGAATCTTCGGAACTACTCCCTCGAGCGAGATATAGTGTGGTTCTTGTGAATGGATCATTACACTTTCTCATAGCTACGTTGCAGAGGGTCAGATTATCGTCGGGGATGAACGCCATGTTCTCTCCCGGAGCAACATTTCGGAACCAGCTGTGGACCTCGTCAGAAGCACAGCCTATACGCTCAGTACTTGGCAGCACTTACCATAGCTTGTCGGTCATCTTTCTTGTAGAGGGAAGATTTCGACAATCACAAAGGAGACTGTTCCTTTATACCTTTTGGCGGTCACATGTGAGCCGCACGCGAGTGCCACTCCTGTCATTGCTTGAAAGGATTCTTACCCTGCTATAGATCTTCCGGATGTTGGAAATGATCAGCTCCGCTGCGAAAGAGGATCTCAATGTTGCCGCCATCGTACGACGACGCGAAGGTGGCAAAAGCGGATATGACATTCTGTCTTTGAAGCCAGGCTTCCCCCAACCGACGCGTCTTGCGTTATCAAATCCACACATCGTACGCCCCAGAATTATATCTCGGCGCATTTGTAAGCCTTTTCCTTCAACCTCGCCGTGCGTTACTTCGACACAAGGTGATCTATGGTTCTTCCCGGCCATGCTAATGAAGTGAGTGACATCTATTCTACAAATAGACAACCTCAAAAGTCATAATAAGGTCATTCATACTATGCCTCTCTTCGCTCTACATTTTGGATGTCCTGTATGCTTTTAGCATGGCCTTTGAAGGTAGGCTATTCAATATCATATCACCTCTTGTGCCTTCCGATGATGTTCTCGAATGTTAGTGAAGAAAATTGAGCGGACGGAATGTCTGGAAGCATTCATCGCGAACAACTGCAACAACCCGGTACCTTTTGCACGCGAAGAGTGTATGAGAATAGATTTGTGCTTGAAGAAATCAATCAACAATGTTGGATATGGTCGATTAGCTGTGGGAAGTCTAGCGCACACACTTAACGGTTTTTTCGAGGAAGCATCGTTAAAAACATTGGTGAGACCTTCATACCATGCATCTGAAGTTTAAAATCATATCTTAATACTCTGTTAGATTGCTTCGGTGATGATTCTGCTTATCCTTGCAGTGACTCGGTCTAAAGCCAGGCACTGGTAGCTTGATTTAACATACAATGATCAATTGATTCTAATCCATTCATGACAATGATCGGAATTGAGAGACAACCTTTCTGCCTCGAAAGTCACAGCGAAGAAGGTCATCACGAACTTAAGCAAAAGATTACGCATAGGTTTCATACGCTCTGTACATACTTTGTAGTAACGAGGTCGGTCGGGACAAAGCCACGAGCCGACACACCTGCAGCAGCCAGATCGTGAGGGAGTACGAAGAGTCAAGCGAGTCGATGACAGGATATAGGCTAGGTGAAGGTATAACATATCCCGGTGGAGGATTCCTCGGAAGGAGATATAGGATTGGCAGTGGTGGATAGAACAGCATCCCGCGGAGTAACAGGAGTACTGAGTGTCGAGTGAGGCTGTTCATCGGATTGGGTGTTTATGTCTTTTATACATGTTCTTCGTCAGGTGAATATCCTTCAAACTCGTCTTCAAAATCCTCGTCTCCGTCTTCCTCTCCTTCTCCTGCATTCGGATCATCTTCTGGCTCTGGAATGTACTTAAAAATCTCGCATTCATCAAGAGGGCCAATGACATCGTCAAGAAGCGCATAGACTTCGCGATGGGTACCAGAGATGACACTGGATGGAGTGCAAGACGGTAGCTGAATAAAGGCAAGCAAGCAATTCTGAAGTTCAGGCTTGGGTATCATATATGTTAGGACATTTTTCCCGAGCCCTTCACATCCTCAGAGTGCGTTGGAAGATTTGCTGACAGCGTTGTCGACAGACAGAATGTGAATTCACGCACGAAGAATGGCGAATAAGCGCCGTTGAACCTCTGATCAATCATCATGATAAGATCAAATCACAAAGGGCTAAGATATATAAGACCTTGGTTTAACAAAATCTCGAAAACCTGCTTTCTTGCATCCATTATCAATTAATCGCTCATGTCGCTTGTGAGGATGATCAGACATCAAGTTGACGATATCGAAGATGCTTTCGACAATGCCCGGTGCAAGAGACAGACATTATGCACCGAATTAGGTCAACAAGCGAAACAGTTGAATGCGTCTCTTATGCGCGCCACCTCAGATGCGGTAAGTCCCCATTCTTCATGATCAAGTTATGCATTATCTTATTGATGGGCTATATTAGAACACTGTCCTTCAGCGCATAGATGCCACTCGACAGCATCACCTGTTCAATTCCTCGCGAACACTTCCGACTACGCCTTCCTCACAATTTCTTTCCCTGTCTCAATTAAAGAAGGAAGTATCACGTATGTCTGCGCATCTGCTCGACGCTATCAACGAAAGGTCTCTGAACATCGATGTAAATCTTGTTTACCTCCAGTAGTTGCACCGCATACTAATTGCTCCTTTCTTCTAGACAAATGATCCAATGGATACTGCATCTTTACCACGTGAGTCCATTGAGAACATCTCACTCTCGTTATCATTTCAATACCATTTGCTTAAGTGCAATTTCATGGGTTACCCTCCGAGTCCTTGTTGGGTTCGAATTGGGATAACATCGTGACCCATGCTCGGGAAATGAACCGTAATAGTCGGAAGACATTGAAGGCCTTGAGGAAATATCAATCGAGACATGGCTTGGTCCCAGAAACACTTTCAAACGCTAGATTTGTCAATGAGCTGAGTCAAGACGACGCATATGTCTGTCTCATACATTTAACCTTCTAATGCCATTGTTATTGACATCATGAATCATTGTAGACATCTGATTCAGCGTTCACTGAGTTCCCCAAGGATAATCTGAGAAGGGCTTGGGCATCTGTAGATATTTTCGAACAAGAAGGGTTCCGGAGATTAGAAGGTGCGCAGCAAACTTTGGATGCTCTGCGGATGAGCTGTGCAGAGCACTGTAGGACCCTTGTATGTTCATTCTAATGTGCTTTACTAATTGGTGTGACTGATCTCCTATTCACCTTACAGTCGATCTTGAGCGAGACTGTTGAAGATGTCGCTAGTCTCATAATTTCTAAGGATGTAGTGAAAGGTGGCGCATTGCATCTTGACTCTGCAGTCGTTATTCAACACTTCAATCATACGTCCTCCCTCACCAGCTTGTGGACAATGGTAGCTGGTGTAATGATCAGAAATCCTCAATTATCTAGTCAGCCAACCCTCCGTGAGTTACACGATAATTATCCCCGTATCTGTGAATACTAAATCTTTGGAAGAACACTATTACGATCATTTTCAAATCCACAAGAACCCCGACTGGGAGTTAAGACTGACATCGAATGAAAGTCTGCGCTATCTACTCGATTGTTGGGATGTGAGTTGATCAAAATTTATCGAATAAATCCTGCTGAAGTGTAGCATTCGCAGATCCGATATGAGTCACTCAACTCAGCACCACCACAAATCACCCATTTTACCCCCGTTCCTTTGCAGCAACAACTATCGTTGGAGACTGCCACCGATAGTTTTTCTTCTGTTCCCCCTGTAAGTGCACGCTGTTTGATCTATGTTTTATCCTCGTACCAGCGCTCACCGTGTTTGCCACTTCTCCAACCCACGTTGCTGCCGTGGGTTATGACGAACCTGATCTGCTTCGGAACCTTGCGCACACGCAACAGCAGCACTCCATCTTAGACCACAGCCTTCCGTTAGAGACCAAATGCAGCCCATCTATCGAGTTTCACGACTCCAACAATGACAAGATCGAGATGATTCGTCTCGAATCTGCAGACAGCTTTTTACAAAATGAATTGTTGTCCGATCCTTTGACAGATTTTTCAGAAGGAAGCTGTACTCTGGTATGTGTCGTCGTAATCAATCACTACTTCAGTTGATCATGTATGGTCAGCTGGAAGAATCCGCTGCGGTTCCGAGCTTGACCCCAACCAAGCTATCAAGAAATGGTCACCCTACAGAGTCTGAATGTTCCCAAATGGAGTGTTCGCCCTCTTTCATCACGTTGGCACTATGTGCGGATGATAACAAAGTAGTAGAGTCGACTACTCCTACTCAAAAGGCCACTCCGGCCTCGGAAAAAATACCTGATCCCCGCACTCCTCTCCAATATCATATTCGACTGGCAGCAACGGACTTCTCTCTTCTGGCAATCTCGAGCAACAGCATCTCTATGCCGTTTTTGTTTATCCGACGGCAGCATCAATATTACGAGGTCTTGTACAATTTTGGTGAGCTTTTGTTGTGTGTCTGGTGGATAGCAGATTGTGTGCAATCTTCATTGAAGTAAGTATGCAGTATTTCCGTGCTGAATACTTTTGGTAACTGGATGTCTAGAAGTCGACCGTCACGATCAACACTCTTATCTTCCACCTATACATGGGTGGTGACATTGGCACACTTCGGTTATGCGCCGCTTCACAGGATGCGGTTTATGCTCGTGTTATGGGTTGCCTTTGTAATGATAATAGGAGTTCTAGTCTTTTCGCAGCAACAGCAACCCCGAGATGGATTGATGACATATCGACAGAACAATTACCAGTATAAACAGAGAGAACGTTTGAGACAAAGTCAGTTACAGGTACAGAGGAGATCGTCTACAATCTATCCCTAGATTATCTGGTCCATCGAAATGTAATAACATAAGCTAGTATTGCCATCAATATCCCTATTCCAATTGCCACCTTTGTTGTCAGAATGCGTTCAAGCAGAGGACGAAGCTTGGGTTCTGGCTTGGGACTTTGAACTGTTCGCCAGATGATAACTTCCCCTTGCTTATCATGATTAGCAGCTGCAGCAAGTACTCCAGTATCAGTGTCAGTTAGATAGATACACTAATCGTCAGTCGAAAATATAAGCAGTACTAATTAGACATTGGACTTACTGAGATAGATTGAGGAACAGCGTAAGCTAATATTTGCAAAACATTCAGCGCTTTCAAATGGACCAGTCTGGGAGAGCCCACCTAGGTCAACCTGTTCAGCGGTGAGCTGTCTATGGTTCTCGTCCTCAAAGGAGAGGTTTTGCAGTCGATTTCCCTGATCATCAAACAATACCATCTGGCCTACTCCTCCGCCAACGACGGCAGTGCCATGAGGAGGGAGAAATATTGCAGTGGATGTCAATTGTGAGGCTTTGGAAGCATCTCGAGTCCGCGGAGGAAGTATAGCTTGGAGATCAGCTACTTGTGCACGTATTTTGAAGATTCGATATGTGCGAGATGCATGATCTGTACAAAGAATACGATCTCCGTTGGAGCAGACGTCGTTACTAGTGATTTAAACACAAGGACAACTTCTATAAAACAGGGTTCAAACTTACACTAGACCGGGCAATGTGAATGCATTTAAGATCATGGAGTCAACAACGTCAGAGCTAATTTTCCAAACACTAGATATTCCTCAGCCCATTTATAATAGTTGTTCTGAAGAGAGGCACGAAGACTCACACAGCGTAATCATTCTGGTATACAACCAGAATCTTATTCTCAGTGAGTGTGTGAACCGACTGAACCACAGTGGATTTACGAGCAGGAGGAGGGAGCTGCCCTATTGTACACCATCTACTTTCAACGCTATCTCCTGGTGCTATTGAAACACAAACCTTCAGTATATCTTATATTATATATCAAGTGTTCCAAACTTACCGACAGTCAGTCGTTGGAGTTGAACAAACAGTGTGAGTGCGACGGCCATTGTTCTCTCATCCAGGATAGCGATAGATGTGGCTGCGCTTTCAACGCCGACATTTCGATGACAGTCGACATCAACCCCATGCTCTTCAATTGTAAATACATAGACAGGGCCTTTATCGTGGGCGGTGACCAATCTTGACGATTTCGGAAACCAAGTCATAAAATTGGTAGTAGTATTGACTTCGATGTTGGCCTTAGGAACTTGCATCCCAAAGTCAAGCAGGTCCCAGATTTGGATTTGTATTCCGAGGGCAATAGCTAAGTAATGAGCATCGAATGAGAGGGATATTGAGGAGATTAATGATTTTACACCATTGGGAGCGGAACTCTCCTCAATCTGGATACGATCACTTTCTTTCCAGGTCAGAGACATGATAGGGAATGCACACGTGGTACGTGAAAGGTATCCTTCACGCCGAAAACGCTCTTCCCAATGTGTCATTCAATATCGCCAAGAGTCAGCTTTGGGTACGTCGTATCGTTTTTATTTTTATCTTTGCATTTCTCACATCTAAGTATCCTAGTATCATTTTAGGTCATTCAAACGGTTCTGAAAAAGCCCGAAAACGCACTGTGAATTGATCATACTCTTTGCACGAATTTACGATCTAGTGGAAGGCCAGTGAGTTTTGGGACGATTAAAGACATGGGTGGTGTGAAGGGCCGACGACCTTGTCGGGAGAGCAAATGCAGAGGATTGCATTGTATGTCTTCTGTTGTACAGGATTACACAGTGTTCGCTTACTCGGATTGGAAGTTGTGTTCTACAATATCGGAATCTACATAGGTGCTGTTGCCGTTTGACGAGACTCCCGCTACTCTGGATGTTACTGTCGAACATGGTACGATTTTAATCCCGTCATCCAGCTCTCCCTCCCAGCCCCCTTTGCTTTTGCAAAACCATACTGACTCTCTTCATAGATCTCTTCGAACGACTTCGGCCCATAATATCCGGCATGTTATCGCTCCTGCTCCGTGAAAAAGTATTTGTACTGCAGTTTTCTCCGTTGGATCTCAATGCTTATCAACGTCTTTTTCATCAGCTTGTAGGAGAAGCATGTTGGGCGTTCTTATTCGGTATCATAATTGGTGCGTGTTTGCTCATACTCCTCGTTTCCTCATTGTGTCTTTTCAAGGTCCTTACGGCGCAAATATTTTCCTCATTCCCAACTTGAACTTTCTTTCCTCCCTCGCTGTCGCTGCATTTTCGCGGCAGCAGTTGTCGGCGGTCAATATGCAGAAAAACACATTCCAGCACACATTCGACATCTTTTGGAAGCGGAAAGTGGCTGCAATGACGGCGCGGCCTTTCCCATTCTTGTATTGCCTTATATCTTATCCTTGATCAAACCACTGGCTCGGCGATTAGTGATTGGTTCTTGTCACTTTGGTTATGTGAGTAAATGTGTCATAGATATACTTGCGATTCTTGCTCACAATCTTTTCCCTTTTTAGACCAGGTAACTTTGGAAATAGTTATTGGGTCTTGTCTTGGTTTCGACTTCCGTCACCCCAGAAGTTTTGCGAGAGACACAATTTGATAGATAGGCACTCCTACATCGCACAATATATTTCCTTGGCATTGAGCACAATTGGGGTTACGACTTTAATTCTCAGACGATCTACTTTCAAGAAACTGTCTCATATCGCAATTTTTTGACGTACTATCAGCGGGCAGTGTTGGGAGTTTTCCGACAGAGGTTGAAGCTTTACGCGAAAGCGACAAACGAATATTTCAATATTTCCGCCTCTTTCTCTGCTCGCTGCTGCCTCTCTGGATCCCGGTGTTCAAGGTATTGGTGAAAACCTAGCGCCGAAATACTGTTTCCCGGAGAGGAGCCAGAGGCATTGTCAAAATGACAAGAAGGTCCCCACCGTGTTCTATGAGCGGCGTGCAGGTTCCGAGGAAGAGGTCGAGGTTGAAGTCATCAAGAATTACGGCCCACCCGATGCCCACTCTTCATTGTTTCAGGGCGAGCGTGCGGAAGCCCAAAGACACTTCAAAGAGGATCTAGGTCGCCTACGAAAAGCGGTGGATGACAATCCGGCGGAGACTAGAAGAAGGCAGAAAAAGATGTGAGGGAAATCGGTTTCATGGTGAAAGAAACCTTGGAACAATCTGCGCATAGTGCCAATACGGACTTTGCATTCTCAGAAGTCGAGGGAACAGTCGCCTCAAGCTCCATACCGTTCTTTGACGAGACACCAAGTAGTCGACCTGGCTCTGATACTGCAACCCCTCGACATGAGTATTTCAATCTTCGTTCAAACAAAAAGGTTACCCAACAGGATGTCTTTTGTTTCTTGACCACTTTGGTATCCGATGTATTCTTCTTAACCTCCTTGGCAGTGCTGTGTTGGACACACTGGCTTCCAGGTGCAGTAACTAGCGGGATGATTCGGAAGGTAGACTGTGAAACGAGGGTTCAATCGCATCTGCCTTCCGCTTCACTGTAACAATTTCTGAGGGAGAGTCTGCAGACGTTAAAGAAATTTTGATTTATTGATGAATCTTATTGAATCACATTGGTCTAATCAACAGATAGAAAACATCTTAATAGTGTAGAGCAAAATCCTCTTTGGAGTCGGGCAGTAGATATTTTCAATGAACTATGGTAATGCATGGTGAAGGTGGTTGGATAATTCAGAGCCCGAAGCTCATAGTTCGGGCACGCCATGAACTGCGATACGATAAAGGCAAGTGACATCTGATCCCCAGTTGTCCAAGACCTGGACCACCACTATTGTCGTCGCTGTTGCTACTGCCTGCATGTCCACCGAGAAGGTTTGCTTGATACCTTGATCTAGTGAATACGAGATATTTGCTAAAAGTTCGAATGATTGATCGTCACGAAGTGGGGATGGCTTCCGATTTTTCTTAGAAAAGTTACTCCAGTGAACCACAGTGGACTGCAAAGAGTCCGACAGGAATTCATCCGCAACCAATGCCCAAAGTTGGATGACCTTAGGAACTTGTTGAAGTTCATTGGAGGTGAGTTCGGCGGAACTTGGGTAAAAGATAGTGAAGTCGGTGACAATAATGGCTTGCGATAAAGCAAGAGCAATATGACCATGTCGTCCAGAAAAAGCCCAGCAATACCCAACATGAATGTCTTGCTCCAGGACTGCTAGGGGGGGTGCCCTATCTGAATCCGGATAGATTGAAACATAGCTTAGCCACCGCTCCCAACCAGAGAGCGGAGCAATTCCCATCGTTTCAGAGGTAAGCTCCACGACCACAGCACCCCCGCGAAGAGCTAACGCATAGTCTAATCCGCTTTCGGAGATCATTGGGTTGCGAGTTTGATCGGTAAAAGATGGGATAGTATTAGGAGGCTGAAGTAGGCAATCTCCGTCACATGCACGAGAGTTTTCGAGATGCAGAAACATGCGTATAGTGCACAGAAAGTGTAGAAAATAACACATGAGGAGAAGAAGACGAGGTGGAACATATAATTGGAAGCCTGGAAAGTAATTGCTCATACTTTGCGTGATATGTATGACGCTGGCGATAATGAAGGTGAGGATAGTGGTAAGCTGAACTGCATGTCGCGTTATGTGACTGTACCAAGAAACAGTGCGTGCTACGGGTGGAGAAGGTCCGTGGGTAGGTTCTAGCGCATTGACCGGCGAGGCTTCGAGCGTAGGCTGAGAAGAAACTAGCGCAGGGGAACCCGATGACGCATTATGAATCGTCTGTTAAGGCAGAATGTAAGATGAACAGTATGAAGGTTTGGATAGAGTGAGAGAACACACTGGAATGTATGCTATGGACGAATCGTTTGTGATGAAACGCCATTTGCTGAGACCTTGCTTGTCAGACATGGCGGTTAAGTTCTAAGACGAGTGGCAAAGTTCGAAGGAGGCTGTGCGAGATGCCCCTTTCACAAGTCAGTTAGAGTCCGTCCACTTCTTTGTCCAAATGATGGTTGATTTTCGACATCCACCCCCACCCTACACCCAAAGACCCAACATTACCACTCGCATTGCTCGTGGAATCGTATTCAGCTTTGTTTCCATCGTAGTCTACAACTTCGTTATCTTTTTCCTTGGATTAATCGCTCTGAGTTCTTTGGCAAATGGTGAATTGATTTCAATCCTTGCTTCATCCCTCCATAAATATCGCATCCTGTAGAGCTCATTGAAGCACAAATCGATTGTGTCACTGATGACACTGGGCTGAAGTGTGGTCGTCAGTTTTGCCACATATACCAGAGTGCTATACAAGACACCGCCATCAAGCCTCTGTTCTCCTTCCACTGGGTGCCGGACATTCACAATGGAGTAGCCATTATCTTCACCTATTTGGTACGTTTGACCGTTGGACATGCTAAAACTCTTGCTCATTAACGACAGTGCATGAAGGTGCTCTTTTGAGACTCCGTTACCGAAATTCGAAATATTTGTAGTAACGCAGAGGCAAAAGCGGATACGTTTCCATTACAGCAGTAGAGATATCAGTAACATGCAATCGAACACCAATGTAGCCCTCCCATGATTAAGCTGGAGTTCCAAGACAGCTCTAAGATCTTCGCACCTTCCAGGTAAGCGCCTAACGAGTGCCAGATAGAAGCAGAGGAAACAGTATAGCTTATTCTTTTCTCCACTGTATCCATCCTCTCCACAGCGAGACTAGAAATTTTGGTTAGTAGAGTCGCTCAGCGCTACGACATGGTCGCCAATGTTCCACCAGACCTCCTTTGTATCTGCCGCGACCCGAGAATACATCCCGTATTGTGCCAGAATGGTGTAGAAAATCATGATCTCTACAGACGTTCATCGCCAAGATCACTATCCGGAGGACTGAGAAGCAAACTAAGGAACTGTGGAAATACGTCTGCGAGGGGGAGAGCAGTTATGAGAACTCTTTCGTCCATCTTTCCCTCTTCCATCCCTGCAAATTCGAATTCAAGATCACCGAGGTCTTCTGTAACGTTCGGCCTGACCCACAACACACTCCTATACGACATTCATGGCTCTTACACCGACTACCCCTCGTTCCAGCAGAGCCTCGAGCCCAGCAAAGAAGAAGATCCGTTTGAGAAACGGAGGAATCCCCGAACCTTCCAGTTGGGTAAGTCCTGCAACGACTTTCTGGCAGCCTCTATGTTTGAGGCTTCTTTCGTACCATAGTTCCTTAGCCATCTACTGACTCCGACAAGCACCTCCAACATTGCAGCTTTCTAAGCACGTACAGTTGATCTTGTGAGAAGAAAAATACCGTCCAAGGTGTATCCTGCTCGTGTGTCTTCTGCGTGATGATGTACCTAGAACACAGTAGGTAGAGACAGGATCTTGGACGAGGGGATAGGAGTTCCGTTTAGTTCGAAGCGCAAGTCTGGGGCTGCTCGTGAGGGGATAGGTCAATGGAAGAAGACATCCAAGCAAGGTCAGAATTGTCCGCTGGTACTCCGTCAAGCTGCTTCTAAACTTCCAACCAAAATGGAATTCATTAGTCGCGATACTCCACCCAGGCTCGGAAACTTGGTCTTGTACCCTCCAAAACCAGTCAAACGCATCGCCGAAGAATCAGTTCCCGGTGTAGACCGTGGTCCAATAGCCGAAGCTTTAGCTACACCCTACTACTGCTAGTTAGACCACCGATATAACGAAGAATATATACTGTTAATCATCTAACAGGTGTCGCGGCTTCTTGCGCAGCTGAGGCCGTGATACTTAACCCAGCCAGTGATGCTTACGGTATTTATACAATACACCTATGTGTTTCAAAGCGGTTGTGGTTTCTCTTCCCTCTTCCCACTGATGACCCTCGACCAAAACCTCTTCACCCTCCAGATTAAACCCAGCCCCACTGACCCAACTCTTGTCGACCTCGCCGACCCCTCTGGGAATGTATTCTATCGCAAAGAACGAAGCACTGGGGTTGCTTACAACCTGTCTCTATATGGTGATTCTTAACATTATCTCGGTGTCGGGAGCCCAAATTCATTCATTCGTATTCATGGCCTTCAGATTTCATCACCCAGTCCGTACTAGTAACTGCCACCGCCCCAAGGCCAACCGGAAAAGTCAAAATCATCGAACTGCAAAACCCTTCGGTTCCAGTCGAGTTTAAGGCTTCTGGTACGTTTTCTGTGAAGTGGGCGTTTTCATGGAAAGGGTGAGTGACTCTCATTTTCTTTTTTGAGACGTTGAACTTACCTTCACCATCTCCCGCTGTTTATGTAGCCACGAATTCGAATGGAAACGTGAAGAAGAATGTTATATCATCCGTAAACCTGATCCCCCAGTATTGATCGCAATAACCACCCGAAAAGAATCCAACCGGATACAATCTGCGACTGTGCAGATTTTGGATTATAATCTTGATCGGTGAGCTTTACTTTTACCCTTGCATATAACAATTCTCATATACCCTAGATTTGAAATTGAAGATCGAAAAGGGCTTGAGCTTGTCATCCTCACAGCTCTATCAACATCATTCCTCGATTCTGCGGATGTGAATTTTCCGAACATGATGGTAAACGATTAACGATCGCCAGTACCGGGGGTAATACCACCACCACCACCAGGAGGGGGTCGCAGAAAGTCGATGTGGACAGCACTGTTACCGTTTGGTAGCAATTCGAGACAGTCGGTGGTGGTAACGCCTGTACCGACGCCACCTGCGGAAAGCACTACTGGTTTCACTTCGTCTTCTTCAGCTATATCAAGGTCGCGCACGAAAAGCTCTCCAGGTCCACTTGACAAACCGCATAACGCATCTGCTGTTCTGCCTCCTACCACCGCTGCGCACGTACATCATCGTCCTTTTTCTGCATCCTCAAGATCACGTTATTATTTTATCCCGTCGTCCTCGAGAATGGAATCAAACAACAAACCCGCCCCTCCTACTCAGCCTCTGACACCTCCTACTCCACCTCCTCTACACTCATCTCCACCTATTCATCCGACTCTCATCCGACTCTCACGGACCATTATAATCACCATGCTGACCGTCACAATGATACTTCTACTAGTATCAGACCGCGGAGAGCAACCTCGTCCGGGGTGGATCTCATCGCCCAGTTACTCGCTCCCCAGCACGTAATTCACGAGATTTATTGGGTTCGTGCGACCTGGTGTTGGAGCTATACCGTCCATAGCCGAAGTGCAATCCATTTTTCTGGATATCATTGCTGCAAGGTAAAGTGCGGCAACCGATGCCGCCCCCTCGCTATCACCGGACAATTTTGAGGGAACCGAGAGGCTGACATAACGAAGATCGATGAGCTCGTTTCATCGCTATCCTTCGAAATTATGATCTCGAAATCGCCCTCCATGCTTCGTGGTGCGTTATTGGCGTCTTCGAACGCAGACACTAGTGTTCGTTTGAACAGGGTCAGATCCTTGGATCTCTTCCAAACCGCGGATGTTGATATTGATACGGAGTGAATATCTGAAGCGCGTTTAACTCGAGTAGTTGACTCCGACGCAACGCTCAGTGAATCTTTATTCAACCACAACGATGGGGGAAGAAGCTTCTTCGATGTTGTCATATCTATGAAGGATCATTAATTGGGGTAATGATGTCTTCCATTGCCTCATATTCCTCAACCTTCTCCTCTACTCAAAACCAAGAGGAAAGACTACTGATGCTGTTAAAGATATACTGAGAGAAGCCAATAACCATCATGCGTGGATTACCGGATGTGCGGAATCTACTTATATCTTCCGCGGGGCAAGGAGGAGGCTGAACGGTTACAAACGCTGAATGCAATCTTCGACAGGACGAACTAGGTGCATACATCGGTCACGATTTTTACTGATGGTTTCTAAATGGCCCTTCGCTTTCCAGGCAATATTCAATGATCGTAAAGCAAGGATTTGGATTATACGCAAGTTATTAGTATGAGCAAGCCGAGCAATGCGAATTCTCACTTCAAAGCACTCGTCTTTCTGATCATGCGCGAGCTTCTCAAAGTCTTTTTTACGCTGCAATCCACTTTGTGATGCACATTTTTGGCGCTACCTCTCCCCAAAAGCAATCTCAATAATTACCGGAGATGGAGGAAGATGAGCTCGAAGATACCCTGACCACGAAACTTGCTGCTCAGGTGGTGAACAAGCCAATGTTTCGTGCTTCTGAAATTCTTCTCTATGTCATCATTCTATCTAATGTTGTTGCCCTTCAACCGTCTTGACAGCACAGGGAGCTGTCAATCGGATTCATCGAGAATCCATCCAAACCTGATCCTTCTGCTTCTCTGCTGTCGCAATTACTCAAAGCGAATATTGCCATCGGTAAGCTACATGTGATTCGCACACTATCTGAGGGGTAGATTTTCTTGCAGTTGTATAATTACGTCGAAGAGGAATTAACTATAATCAACTGGGTAAAACTTTGCCACTAGGACAACACAACGCAGACTGATATTTGAAATTATAGGATTGAAAATAACACCGCCAGAGACATTATATCTAACGAGTTCCCAATCTTAGTATCGCCAGATCTTTCGACATTCCTTTGGCGAAACCTTGATTTTTTTCGGGTTTTTCTCCTAAGACTAGGATCATCAAAGAGCCACAAGCCCGGAACCACAAATGGGACGCACTGCAGGGTTTTCAATTTGCAATCGCAACCTAGTGTTTTCCTTTTCTAAATTCGCAATTTTCTGCTCCTTCTTCTGTATTTCCTTCCGCAGTCTTTCTATATGGAAGCGAGCTAGCTCTAACCATTGTTCTTGCAGTTCACTAATCAGGGCAGGCGGGAGGGAAAGCTGCTTCAAGTACAATGTGAATGAGCTTGAACAGGTGATAACGGTAGCTAGCTTGCTCACCTGCTGCTGAGTGCGATCGTGATTAACTCTAACAACCTCTTCCCAGTCGGGCGCTTCCTGTGCCTTTCTCGTTGTAAAGGTATTCATTTGGACAAAAGTGGCAATAGGCGTGTATAGTAAATGGATGGGAGATGTAAGATGCGAGCGTAAGATGCGAAGTGGCGCAGGTCGGAAGGTATATATACCCACTTCCCTTTGTCAATAAATCCCTTTGTGTTGAGCCTCTTGAGTCGCAACCATCCTAGATGACGCAGTCATTGAAGCCAGACTGATAGGCATCATTCTTCATTGGGCAAAGGCCATTTGTCTAGTATAGTAACGGTAAAGGTTTGAGCAGGAAGAAGTGCAGAGACTCGAATCGCAGTAGCATGGAAACACTGAATTTGCTTCAAAATAAAATGGCGCTGGAATTAAGCCGTACTCTCTTATAAGCACGTCCTTGCTGGTGGACTTCCTCGAATATGCCCATATTGGAGCGTGTAGGAAACTGATTATGAACAGGAGCAGTTGGTGTGTCGTTATTTCCCAAAGTATTTGCGGAGATTAGTAAGATCTGATTACAATAATACGGCCCGCCATCGCTATAAGTGACCGGATCCCTTTCACAACTGCACGCAATGACGAACCAGCTATGGAAGAAAGGCTCGTTTGTTTACATGGTCTACAAAAACTCGCTGAACTTTCGAGTCCGCCCACTCAACTTCGTCCACTCAAGTCGTTCCGAATCATAATGTTCCACTGGAGAACCCATTTTAGCTTCAACACTGACGGCACCACCAAGCACGTCAGGCTCCCGATCCTGGATCATAACACTGAGGAGGCAGTGGCGGAAGAGAGGTTCGTCGTTTTTCCCTTGCCTACGCTCATAATCCATTGATTTTACCTTGCGCTTGCAGGTATCCCTCAGGCGAGATCTCCCTGACTAATGATTTGGAGAAAGATCTCTTCGCGAGGAGTCTCGTCAGCCTGCCTGCTAATATGATTACAAAAGATGCCACTCCTAGCCACACTCATCTAGCGAAAATATCGTCCGCGCTTGTCACAACTAACGGCAAAGATCATGATCTTCCGTCTGGCGTCGGTGCTTCAACACTACCTAAACATGTCCACCTGCTGACCGTGGATCGTAACTCTGAAGGAACGGTGGCGCAGCAGTGCGTCGATACACTTTTTACTATAGCTCTGACATTGACCACCACGCTTCGATAGGCTCAATGACACTGCGCCTTTATCTGATGCTGCCGCTACTGATATACAAACTCAAGGTCAATCTACAACCACATTTTCCTAGTGAGTTCTATTAGCTGTTCCCTGCATATGCGTACATTGCGTTATGTCTTTCTAATCATCACATTTTCCGAAGTGACCTTGAACATAACAAGCCGCGTTTCTTCGGTGTATCTATGCCTATGCCTACTCCAGCTCCTCTTGGAGATGGTCTCTCCATTGATGATCATAAAGCTACATATTTTCGGTGCATTCTTTGCAGCTCATCTAAGGCCTTCCATTGGCTAATTCATTTTGTAGCAACTCTTCTGGGAATGCTGACCTATTACCACCAACAGCACTCACAAAGGAGAATCCGAACGAGAACCTCTCAAATGATCTGTTCAGGGACCATTCTAGACCAAAAGCCGAATCGGTTTGGAGTGGCATTGAGAGCTCCAGTGATTCACGAGGCAGCGAACTCCCAAGGACGCTCATTTATAAAGCAATGGACGATCGCATCTTCAAAGCATCGTCACATGTTAAAAATTCGAGCGAAACCATCATCTCTTTCAGGCAAAAGAAAGTGGTCTTCAAGAATGCGCTTACTCGTTTGTTCATCCTCAAAGCATCGCCTATGCTTGAACGGCCTCCAGAATTTGAACTACCCCATGGCTGCGACGGCTTACATTCAAATGACCTTTTTGTCTGCGTTGACGCGTCCTACTTGTGCTTCGGCGAAAATGGCATCCCTAGTTCTTGCATTGCATCTTCGAATATTTCGTCGTTCAGCCTTTCGTCTTCTGGAACCTTATCATCCGGTACTGTGTCCTCCAGCATTGTGTCCTCTACTCCAGAATCCGGAAGTGCGTCCTCTTTGCATTGGTCAAATCCAATGGCTTTACAACATCTACGTATGTGGGTTTGGACACAGGGCATTCGAGGGTGGCAGCCAATTGAATATGGTAGCCTCCGCTGCATTTCAGGTTACACACTGGCCTTAGGATTCTACCGCAATACCTTTGAACCTCTATGGGTTACACCCGAGTCTCTCCGTAGAAGGGATACTCGGACTGTTACATTGAAATCGAAAATCAGGACCCAGGCAAAGTTAAGGAGCAGGAACAGGACTAGGGCGAAGAAGAAATCGAAGTCAAAGGAGGAGCTTTTGTAGACGTTAATGCATATGCACCCCGTTATCTATATTAGATCCCAGTGTTTTGTTTATCAATGTTTTTCTCCCCCGTTTTTCCTTGTTTCTTTACCGGTGACCACATACAGCACCTCTCATCCTGATACCAGAAAGTGGCAAGTGAAATGTGTGTTTTCTTTTGTGTTCGGATGTTGTCTGCCTCTTGAGAAGTCTCTTTTGTTCTGGCAGTGACATGGAAACGCATAGTTTGGGCTCAAACCTGGAGGACTCAGAGGCGGAATTATTGAGGGCTCAAAGGACGTTGGAGACACTACAAATTCACATTGAGAATGAGACTGAGAATCAACTTAACTCCGAAAACGCAGGAGTTTTGTCTACTATCCGAGATTTAGAAGACAGTGAAAAGAAGCTCACATCCATCGTGGTATTTGGGGTTCCGTTCATCTGTTAGACGGACAAGCTTACGTTTGCTAGGATCGAGCATCGCATGCCATGCAAATTCTAGCCGCTGAAAGCGAACTTCCTGAAGCATATGCTGCAAAAGAAAATCTCATTTTGAGTGTTGCAATCCAGACCGAAGTCATTCGAGCTCTGGAGATGCAGTTGGCTCTACCTGAACGACTGCTGCACCCTGATATCATAGATCTCAAATGGGTGCGTGTGTGTATTTATCGTCATCATCAACCTCACTGTTAACATAGACATCTCGTCGTGAAAGCTTACAGAAGTGGTTCAAGACACTAATGATGATGATACATGCAAGGATGCTAAATTAGAGACCCTCCGCCGTTTGCAGACAGCTTCAGCCGATACCCTTTCGCATGTGTTCGAATGGCTGGCAGATGTGATGTGATATCGAGGGGAAAGATGTTATAGGTTGCTCTGATAAGCTGCCTCTAGCAGCTCACTTATCTCGAAACTACATATGTTTTATTCAATGAGATTCAATGAGATTTAATGCCCTGTGGATGTGAGCGTATAAGACTCCATGGTCACATGATGTATTAGTTACGCATGTAACTATTTGAATTGCTCCTTCCTCCCTTCCGAAATGATCTCTATAAAGTGGGATCTATGAGAGTATGAGAGGTATGTCATCCATTCAGCTATGTAGGTTAATCGCGATTATTCTGAATATTGTTAAGGGAGCACCAGAAGGCTAGAGGGAGATCCTCAAAATGGTTACAACTCTCTCATCTTATGCCTCGTCAAGACAAGATACGGGCTTTGGGAGCGAAAACTTTTTTTTCTTCATTCGGGAGTTAGTATTTCGGTTTGCAAAGGCTGGGATAGAATAATTACGACCAAATTTTCAACAGCCGTCACCTGAGCGTCACTCAATCTTTACAAGATCGTATACGACTTCATTGGTCAGTCTGCAACGAACTGAGGAGTTTGTAAATTCGCTCTTCCGATGATGTTCTCGACTCTCACGAAGTTGACAATTGTACTTTTCAACTTTTTCACCGCGTTCCCCTTCGCCCTCCATGCTCGTTATCATTCTCTCTGGCGCATGCTAGCTGCTGTACGCGTCTCTCTCTCTACCCATCCGTAAGTGATTCTAATCTTCACATGATCTTCTCTGACCCCCTTGTTTACCTTTAGATTCCTCCAGGATCTCTGTTCACCAAAGTGCCTCAACCTCACCGGCGTCCTTGACGTCAAGTACAGCGACACCTCCTACCTCTTCTTCCTTTTCGACATCCACTGCGACGCCTTCATCTACATCTACATCTTTTCCCTCTTCATCTTCCACTGCTACATCTACCTCTTCAAGATCTATTGCTCCATCTACTACGTCTCCTACTGCTTCATCTTCGTCGTCAATCACCCCTTGTCCCTAACGAAGTCATGGTCTCGAAAGAGGTCAACTCATTGGCGTTATTATTGCCAGTATTCTTGGATTCATCTTCTAGGTCGTGCTGGCTCTGTTCTTATATCTTTGTGGAATGCTCGTTCTATGGAACCACCCTCAGACGATGACGACTTGGTAATCATTCCACCCGGCGGCGTCTCTCCAGGGGAAGGCTATCCTCGCGTTACTGGTGAAGAGGCCGATTAGTTACTATGGCGTCTGTCTGGCGACTCCGCAACGCAACAGGCATCTTCTGTCGCTGGTCCCAGCTCTGACAATGCTAGACAACCACCCTCTACTGACAATAGTGTCACTCCATCCACGAAGCCATCCTCAAACTCCGCGGCGTCAGGATATGGGACTTTACTTCAAAATCCCAGTCTCGGTGTATTTGTTCCTCAATTCGAGGATAGACGCAGGAATATTCTATCACATTTTGAACTCCGTCAATTTGGTGATACTTCTCCGCAGCAGCAACGTTCACGGTTATCGACTGCGGGAGAACAGGGTGAATTAACTCCTCGACATCACCTAGGTTGGACGCAGTCAGAGTCGTTTATCAGCAGTTGCCCGTACGCCATCTTTGGCATCTCAGGCCAGTGATGCTGGCGAGGCGACGCTGCTCACCGCACGGCGTGTATGAGCAGGACATTGGACCACGATCCGCACCGCTTTCCCCAGGTGCTGAATCTAGTCGCAAAAGGGACAGCGGGGCCTGGAAAGGTTTGGGCCTCGGAGATTCAGCTGCTATAGGCCGGTTGAGTTGGTTCCAAAACATTACGGGGAGTTCATCGTCCCGACGAAATCTATGCAATTCGGGTTTACTTCAAGGTCGCGACTTTGAAGCTGGTCGAGCTTTACTCAACGCTGACTGGGGATCTCCTCCCGAATGTTTGAGCTTCAGGGTGCCTCGTTTCCGTGAATTGGACCTTGGTGTAGGTTACGCAGGACAGATTTGTCTCTGGTACCAGTGCCAACAGTCGGCCATATGTAATATGGTTCGAATAACTCAGGTGAGTCGCCAATCTACAAGCATCAGTTCGACTTTCTACCGTGCTCATGATCCTACGCAGGAAAAACGGAATATTCCGTTATATAGGCGCCCGTCCTCAAGATGTTCGTTTCTTTGTTGAAATTCTTGTTCCCAAACTTCCACCTAAGTTGCAGCCAAACTTCCACTCGAGGTTGCAGTGTCCTTGCTTCTCCCTTCCTCGCCGCTTGAACCCCGGCAATTCACCAGATGGCTACTGGAGCTCCAACCATTGGTGCCACTCATCATCTTGGTGGTGTCTTCAACAATTCAACTACTCACAATCACAAACGTCATCGCGTGAATTCTGTCACAGAACTCGAACCCGAACCAAACAATTCCAGCGATGTTACTCATGGTGGCTCTGAAGTGAAGCGCCAGAAGGTGTATCATGGAGGTATGGTGCCGATTGTTCCGCCCTAAGAAGGGGTATTAACAATGCGCTCAGGACTCAAGGAACGCATTCCGACTACCTATATACGCGTGGATCGATCTGATTTCAGCTACAATACTCCTATTTTCACTGACAGGTACAACAATATTGCTGATAACCTGGCTTCTGAACCAGGGAATGTTGAAGGTAAAGTTATACAAACAGTATATAATCGGGATCTCATCATTATTGGCCCAGATTTTGGAAGCACTGCGCATGAAATGAGTGGTCACGACTCTGACCCAGATGTTGAAGATGACGAGGACGAGAATCCTGTGCCACCTCCTAGGTTTCATGCGAATTACAAAAGTCCATCTGTTTCGCATCACAGCCAGTCTTCAATTGCCAGTGATGATGGGGATGATGAAGATTCTTCATCTGAATACGAAAGCGACAGCGACGGCTCTTCCCGCTCTTACTTCCTTGGATACGACAGCTCAGAGGAGGGGTCCGACTCCAACATATCAGAAAGTCATCGTGGAGATGGTCCCTATGCTCGCTCACCTAGCCGTGAGAGCTCTGGTGGCACTCGGTTTGGCGGTATTACCGACGATTCTGTTGCAAGCACGAGCTCTCAACAGAATACAACAAGCGCTAGCAGCTCTAGCTCGGCTAATACTGAGAGCAATATAGAGTCGGCGGGATCACTCAGCTCTCGCACACACGGCGAGGATCAGGACGAAGATGAGGATGATGTCAATGTCAATGACGATGTCGAAGAAGAGGACGAAGAAGAGGATGAAGAAGAGGACGAAGAAGAGGACGGTGTCCATGATGACGACGAAGATGATGATATGGATGTGGACCAGTACCAGGCCAATTCTTCAGATTTTTCCTCAGACTCATTGAACAATCGCATGGATGTTGACGAGAAATTGCCTCGATCCATTCCGATTCCTGGTCGTTCTTCAGATGTTAATTCCGACTTCGCAGCACGCAAACCTCCTCGGGTTACTGTGGAAGAAGTACCTGACATCGATGTGACCTCCCCTCAAGGCCTGGGACCGAACGGACCCATTTTAGTCGAAGTCAACATCGAAGATGAAGACCTCAATGATGCTCCATTTTGTCCACCCCCCTCAGGGTCAAGGGAATCCGAAATTCAGCCATCAGGCTCCAACTTGCGGGTACCACGTTTCGGGAAAGTTGACGAGGACCCGGAATCACCTCTATCGTCGCTTCCGAGCGACTACAAATCCGACGCCAGTGTTAGCCGCAAGGAAGCCGCCAGCAAGCAATACCTGTTGCGGGAAATACTTCAGTTGATTGAGAGCCGTGTCAAGACGCGGTATATGGTAGGTTCCTCATAGTCTTTGACCTTGTCATGATGGTGACTCTCTTGATGATACTTAGCAGGAACTATTCTATGAAATGACTGCGAAGAATCAATCCCAGCTTTCTCGTGTTCTAGTTGAGATTTACTCTTTTCTTGGGGAGCTCGACAGTCTAGATGCCGCCAACATACATGTAAAGGTTGATAATGATGGGTTCACCAAGCAGTGGCAACGCACCAAACATCGCCCTCACACTCAAACATCATTGGCCGAGGAGGTTAGGAAGACCGTCCGTGAATTGATTCGACCTGAACATCAGCTCTTGGTTTCCATTGCGGCCTGGGAAGTCAAAGAATGGAAGGAAAGGAAACGAGAGGGCCCGAGTATTTCTAACTTCCGTCTTCAGCTGACCGGTCTCTGGACTCCATGGAACAAAGCTGCAGCAGATGTTTTTGCGAAATACTTCATTACATTAGAAGGAAATGGGGGCTACAACATAGAGACTGTCAAGAAGACCTTTCGAGGCCATTTAACTCAATTGCGGAAGGATTTTCTTGAGGAGCAGTCTTCGGGAATGACTCCAGAGCAGCTCTTTGAACAACGTCGCCAAAGAGTGATGGCTCGAAGAGAACGGGTATGGATTCACATTTAGCTAGCCCACAAATCACTCATTGTGTTGTATCCACTTCTTCAGCTGGTTGACCGACGCCTAGAGGCCTTTTTCGCTGCATCTACTCGCTACGGGCATAGTATGGACAGCCTTGCTGCTGTTGTCACTCGCATTATTGCTGAAGTAGTCAGCGGTGATGAAACTGAGGACAAAAAAGCAAACAAATACCGCATTACCAAGGTTTTATGGCGCTCGCGAGAATTAGCCCAGTTCTTAGCATATCTCTCTGCTCTTCATCTTGCTGGCCGCTTCACACATGGCCAAAAATATGCAAAAGGAGCATTTCCTGTTGCTCGATATCAATCTGCCTGGCCAGATAATATCTTTGATGCGGACTACGCTCCTGCAGGCCTTCCGGTGAATTGGTATGATGCCGAGTGGCTCAAAGCACATCCAGAGAGGAAGGCGGCACTCAATGTTCAACCAGAAGTCCGTTTAAACTTACCAACGGAACTTGCGAAGTGAGTTGCCATATCTAATATAGCTATCACAGTATTTATACTTTTAAAAGGACTGCCAGGCGTTTTCTTCATGTCAAGACTCGACGAGATATGCCACTTAATGAAGACCACCCTTTTGTCAAAGGAACGTAGAAATCCAATCATGAATTCCTCACAGGCATCGGAGAAAACTGCTTTCAGTGGTGTGACGGAGTGAGACGGCGAACTCTGGTTGAATTAGTGCAGGCGATCGTCTACCTGGCTATATCTATCTCGCGATTGGAAGGATTTTGACGCAAATGTGATTCGACGATTGTGTATGATAACAAACTATAATATTATATCATAGACACATTTCATCGGAATTCTGGATGCTTATCTCAGCTTATCTCATGTCCGGCGTTGCTGTCTCTCCTCATTTTTCCTTTCCTCCTCATTAAACTCTCTAAAGTAAATCAAATGAAAGCTCGTTTGAAGAGTGGCCTACCCATTGGACAGCATTTGAAGCCGACGCAAAAGAATGGAGCACTGTATTCGTGCACCTGTGTAGATTGCAGCCTGAAAGGCTTTATCGTCACTGCCGATGGACATCAGACACCTGGATCTTATTTCTACAGCCTTTTGGAAGTCGCGCGACATCAGAGAGAGCAGGAGAATGCAGACAGGCTCATGGCCCAAGTTGTTGTTCCAGCACCAACAACAAATTCAAGTACGACGACTCTGGAGCAGGCGGCGATTGCACAAGAACCACTAGTTCCCAGAGCAGATGCTTTGGCATATGTTCCTATATTTCCACCCCTCGATGATGAAGGAGTTGAGCCCGAGGCCCAAGTTGACTCCTGTTTCGAGTGGCAAGAGGTGATTGCTACGCGTGCTCGGCTTGATCGAGCTCAGGAATGTGCTGGTTGGGATCCGACGGACGTCGAGTTTATTGGGGACACCACGACTATTCTCCCTGAATCATCCGATCCTATTGAACTTCTCTCTGCTACCACTCGCAACTCTGATGTCAAAGGGCATCTACAGTGGCTTCTCAGTGCCCTCCGGGAAATTGAAGGATACACAGACAAACTTCCTTGTTTCAATTTTGCCCGCTTCTGCTTGGAACATAAGTTAGTTTGCAGGATGTTGAAAGAAGAACTCGCTACCACTCGTCAGAAGCTCCGAGATGAATGGCAACGACGCGTTAACATCTTTGAACTTGGGCAAGAACGTATCAAATCTACTGGTGTGTATAATGTTGCCACTACTTGCATCGACGAACTCATGAAATTCCATAGGTGTGGAATATCGAGACGTAGAACCTCACCAGCAAGCCTATTTCGTCATGTTATTTACTGCGGCTGTATTTCACCTTCTGTGCAACTTGGCAATGATCCCTATGTCTTTCTTTCTGGGTAGCATGCGCATCGTCAGTGGGTTAAATGGAAATTCTTCCAGAGAAATTCGACTACAAATTCCTATCGATATACGGACAGTGGTTGAGAAATTGAGTCTCCAGCCAAAGTACACTGCGTATGCATGCTGTCCCAAGTGCTTTCAGTTATACGACCACGACGGCTGCCCAGATATCTGCTCGAACAAAGCTGCTCCCGAAGACGAAAAAGCCTGTGGGCGAAAGCTTCGATCCGAGCCTCGAAATGGGTCCCAAAACTTGTCTTCCCCGTCTCGCCCAGCGCGAGTGTACAATTCCCAGTCTTTGAAGCACTGGATTGCATGGATGCATTCCCGCTCGGAGATTGAACCTTACTTAGAGAGACTATGTGATTCTCAGACTCCTGCTAATGAGGTCGTCACGGATATCTGGGAATCCAAGTATCTTCGAGAGTTTGTTGGTCTTGATGGGAAACATTTTCTCTCTGGTGGTCGGCACAATGAGAACCGTCTGGTATTCAATTTGAATGCAGATGGTTTCAATCCGTTTGGAAATCGCACTTCTGGCAAAAAGGCTAGTATCGGTGGAATCTATCTCGTATGTTTGAACCTCCCTCCTTCCCTTCGACACAAACCAGAAAACATGTTTCTTGTGGGTATCATTCCTGGGCCGAAAGAACCCTCGTCGCATCAGATTAACTATCTTCTCCGTCCTCTTGTGGATGAGCTCGAACTCCTCTGGGAAACTGGTATCTATGTTGATCGAACATGCTTACACCCACATGGGCGGTCAGTTAGAGCAGCCCTTGTTGCACTAGTCTGTGATATGCCTGCTGCTCGCCTACTGGGTGGGTTTTCGCATTTCAGTAATCTCGGATGTCCATGTTCTATGTGCAAACACTCAGGTCTTAACAACCTTGATGAAACCTCATTCATCCCTCGTACTGGTGAGGAGCATCGGCGGATGGCTCAAGCCTGGCTTGATGCCAAAACTCAAGAGGAGCGTGATGGCCTCTTTGCACAGAATGGTGTTCGATGGTCAGAACTACTCAGACTCCGATACTGGGATCCAGTGCGAAATACGGTAATAGATCCCATGCATGGCTTCTATCTCCGAATCCTCCAGCGTCATTGCAGAGATATCTGGGGAATGGGTGTCAAACTTGAAGACTCGGATGGGATCTGGGAAATACAGGATCTTAGCGATGAAGCCAAAGCCAATACCCAGATGATCCTTCGAACCGGTGGTAAAACTGCTTTAAAAGGTCTTACAATTACGGCTTTGCGTTATCTTGCTTCATATAATGGTCTAGACCCTTACCGGAAGAAGAGTGCGCTACTCCATCTGCTGTTGAATCTTGTAAGTCCCTGGTGTTTACGTGCTCGACATTTACTCTGATACACCATAATAGCGGGTTGAAAAGGGTTGGTTTGATTCAAAACAAAGGCCCATTCAAGGAACCATAGTCAGCAAGGAGAGTACCCAGTCCACAACTATACTTGTGGAACCACCTATGGGATCCTCTTTACCTGAAATCGCAACCAAGGTTACCCCATCTGATGTTGAATCTTATGCTGAATCTACTCAAGCTTTCGATCCCGACTCCATTGAAGATGCTCGGTATGAGTTTCAGTACGGTAATCGCAAGAACATTCTCCCCAAATTCTCTCTCAGTATTCTTCAAAAGTTATTGGATGAGAACAGTCTCAATGTCATTACTACAACAGGTAGAGTTTCAAAATCAAGAAAAATGATTGTGGATGCTCTAGCAAATGAGGTCAGTTCTATGGGCCTGATTTCGATCTTGAGGTTTCATTAAATATAACTTGGTATTTTAGCGAAATCGAAGGAGACAGCAAGGACACGGTGCTGGTCAGAGTCCTTCTACATCCACCCTCATGCCTCAACTTCTCCTTTTCCCCCACCAAACATCCGTTACATCTACATCTTCACCTTCAATGCATTCACCTACAACTACTTTACCGGTCCCTCTCCCTACAGTTCCCTTGATTGATAACGAGCTGTTATCGGAACTGTACAAGAAGGCACCAAGGTCGAAAATCAATTCGTTGGGTTGGAAGAAGCTGCGAGGACTGTATACCTTCATTCAACACGCAAAGACCGCTGCTAGTAAAGAGACGACAATAGCAGAGGACAATATTCCAACAAAGCCGACGGCGACTGAACGGGAGCAACTAAAGCAGTATATTCACCAGCAAGTGCGTAGTTCCAAGCTAGCATGCTCATTTTAATTCATTAGAATATATAGCGTTTCGAACTCGGCATCACAGATGAAGCAGGCCATATCGTTAAGAGAAAAGACAAAAGCAAGAAAGCGGCCGGTGTGCTCGGGAAGGCCACTCTCGCCGAAGTCCGAGCAGATATGGATGTGTTGTCGTTACCGTCCTGGGCACCCACTGCACCTCGTCATCCGGGAGATACACAGCATGGTAAATTCACTGCCGACCAATGGCGGGCTTTCTGCACCGTAAATCTTCCGATTACTCTTATACGTTTATGGGGTTCTTTCCCTAAAGAAGACAGGAAATACAAGATGCTCGAAAATTTCCTGTCTCTTGTCAGGGCTGTTCGCCTAGCCAACATGAGAGTCGTTACTGAAGAAGACATTCAGGAATTCGAAAAGAACATACGCGATTATTTAGCACAACTTCGTGTCCTCTATCCTCATACTAACATCACTGTTTATCAACACATGATGCTGCACTTTGGTTTTTTGCTGAGGCGGTTCGGCCCTGTGCATAGTTGGCGCTGCTTTGCTTTCGAGCGCTACAACTACATACTCCAAAACACTTCCAACAATGGACACCTCGGTATGCACATCTCATCTCCTTCACGTCGCGAATACTGAAATCATAACTTATAGGTGAACTGGAAACTACACTCTTCACTCGATTTTGTAACGCTCAAAGGTTAAAGTCTATATTTCACGCCAACAGACTCCCCCTTTATCTGAAAGAGCTTGCCGGGCTATACAAACACTATTTCGAAAATTTAGATACGCGGGGCACTCGTATATCGGATTCGCTTGCTTTCGATGAAACCTCGGAAACAGTTGACTGGGACAACAGTAAAGCCCTCAAGCGGCTGGATGCTAGACATTTCAAAGCATTACAGCAATGGGTGGACAACCACTCAGACAATCCTGGTATCTTGCAACAAGATATGCTGTTGCGGAACAAGTTGCAACGTCGAGGCCTCACCTTCACAAACCAGAGGAAATCTTATAACGATGCTCAGATTGTCGTGAACCTGACTACGTCACCCAACTGTTGGTCCGCGGGCTCCATCCATGAGATGTTCACTGTTCGCTGGCTTACTCCAGACGAACGATACATCACTGAGACATTTGTGGAGGTTAACCTGTACCGACCTTTGTCAGGTGACGAACTTATTCTTGACAAGTACCGTCGGTTCGGTTTTGTCGGTGGGAAATTGTTTCATCGTCATGGTGTAAAGGACACCATTCTCTTGCCGCTAGACCTCATCCCTTGTCATTTTGCATGTTCTGTCCAGCAAGAATCTTCTCATGACGGGACATTCATACATGCACTGCCACTCAACAAGATAAGCTTATGATGGAGATCTACTATATATCGTGCCTACCTGGCTTTGAAAAGGATGCAATCCCTTTGCGTATAATAGTGATAGTATGTACATATCTAGACTGGAGGAAATAACTACATTTGAGCGTCTCTTTGTCCTGGATCCCAATGAATGTGCTGAAAGAGAAGAACAAGAACAAATATTGAGATCTTTTCTGATTTTCTGCATTCTGTCATTAATAAGCCGGAGGTCATGGCATGGATAAACATAACCTGATTTCATTGCCAACACTGGATAGCCGAGGTATGCCAGGTGACTGGGGGCAAGGAGTAATGACAGTATGCAAATCGAGCGGGGAGATCATACTGGAAGGGTTTGGGCGGAATAAGATGTATGGGGTAGTGGTCCTAGAGCCGGGACCCACAACAGCAAACTACTCCTGGACACGAGACCGACCAGTCGATATCCACACATGGCACTGACACCTAGGGCACATAGGGATACAGTGTATCCTATGCATGTCTAACTGGAAGCTGGTCGACGGCCTCCACATCACAAACCGAGATGTCCAAGGGATGTGCGAAGATTGCCTATGCCAGGGCCCAGTATTGAAGGCAATCACCATATCCCAGCAGGTGTACTTCCAAAGGATGTGTTAAGATCATGTACACTGTGTAACCGTGCCAGAGGTCACAGAGTGGCTAAGTGTGGAAGACGAATGGGACAGTAGTGAAGTTATTAACAACACCGCCGTTATGCCGTTAGTCCCCGGAGGTCGAGAGTATAGGCCAAGTCGGAGCGGCAGTAATGCCAGTGACGAGGAGCAAGCCAAAGAACTTATAAGTCCAAAGGCTATAGAGAGAGTACTTCAAGGCATTGAGCCTGAAGACTTAAAGGAGCACAGAGTTAAGGAGGGAATCTAAGTCGATAATTAAACTGAGGAACTACAGTAGCATACAGGCAGTATTTATATCTACGGAGCTGCGCAACGGTGCGGAGCGCCAGACTAACTACTAGGAGCTATACGTGTAGTCCTGCAGGGTAAAGTAAAAGACAATAAGGAGAGACTAGAATGAAAGGGTATATGTAGCGAGAAAGAACAATAAGAAAGAGATTACAATAAAGGGTGGATCTTCGGAATACCGAGCGGCGGAATGGAGGCCCAAGGCATGGGCTTGACAGGATGCTTGCGCACTTTGGGCTGGAGAATGTATGGCGGCGAACTACTCCACTATTCAACCGTTGCCAAAGTCGATTCAAGCTCCTCCAACTCCTTCCTGTTTCATTCATCTCAATCCAACAACATCTATATTAAACTCAGTTCAAGTCCATCCGGTTTCATCCAACTCACTCCGACTCCATCTATTCTGTTCCATCCAACTCTATCCATCTCGGTTCAACTTCATTTAACCATCGCCAAACTTGATTCAAGTTCCTCCAACTCCTTCCAGTTTCATTCATCACGATCCAACTCCATCCACTTTCATCCATCTCGGTTCAACTTCATTCAACTCCATACAAGTCCATCCCACTCCTTCCGGTTTCATTCATCTCAATCCCACTCACTCCGACTCCATCTATTCTGTTCCATCCAACTCTATCCGTCTCGGTTCAACTTCATTTAACCATCGCCAAACTTGATTCAAGTTCCTCCAACTCCTTCCAGTTTCATTCATCTCGATCCAACTCCATCCACTTTCATCCATCTCGGTTCAACTTCATTCAAGTCCATACAAGTCCATCCCACTCCTTCCAGTTTCATTCATCTTGATCCAACTCAGTTCGGCTCCATCTATTCTGTTCCATCCAACTCTATCCATCTCGGTTCAACTTCATTTAACCATCGCCAAACTCGATTCAAGTTCCTCCAACTCCTTCCAGTTTCATTCATCTCGATCCAACTCGATCCACTTTCATCCATCTCGGTTCAACTTCATTCAAGTCCATACAAGTCCATCCCACTCCTTCCGGTTTCATTCATCTCAATCCCACTCACTCCAACTCCATCTATTCTGTTCCATCCAACTCTATCCATCTCGGTTCAACTTCATTTAACCATCGCCAAACTTGATTCAAGTTCCTCCAACTCCTTCCAGTTTCATTCATCTCGATCCAACTCCATCCACTTTCATCCATCTCAGTTCAACTTCATTCAAGTCCATACAAGTCCATCCCACTCCTTCCGGTTTCATTCATCTCAATCCCACTCACTCCGACTCCATCTATTCTGTTCCATCCAACTCTATCCATCTCGGTTCAACTTCATTTAACCATCGCCAAACTCGATTCAAGTTCCTCCAACTCCTTCCAGTTTCATTCATCTCGATCCAACTCGATCCACTTTCATCCATCTCGGTTCAACTTCATTCAAGTCCATACAAGTCCATCCCACTCCTTCCGGTTTCATTCATCTCAATCCCACTCACTCCAACTCCATCTATTCTGTTCCATCCAACTCTATCCATCTCGGTTCAACTTCATTTAACCATCGCCAAACTTGATTCAAGTTCCTCCAACTCCTTCCAGTTTCATTCATCACGATCCAACTCCATCCACTTTCATCCATCTCGGTTCAACTTCATTCAAGTCCATACAAGTCCATCCCACTCCTTCCGGTTTCATTCATCTCAATCCCACTCACTCCAACTCCATCTATTCTGTTCCATCCAACTCTATCCATCTCGGTTCAACTTCATTTAACCATCGCCAAACTCGATTCAAGTTCCTCCAACTCCTTCCAGTTTCATTCATCTCGATCCAACTCCATCCACTTTCATCCATCTCGGTTCAACTTCATTCAAGTCCATACAAGTCCATCCCACTCCTTCCAGTTTCATTCATCTCGATCCAACTCAGTTCAAGTCCATCCAACTCCATCCACTTTCATCCATCTCGGTTCAACTTCATTCAACTCCATACAAGTCCATTCCACTCCTTCCGGTTTCATTCATCTCGATCCCACTCAGTTCGACTCCATCTATTCTGTCCCATCCAACTCCATCCATCTCGGTTCAACTTCATTCAACCATCGCCAAACTTGATTCAAGTTCCTCCAACTCCTTCCAGTTTCATCCATCTCAATCCAACACCATCTATATTAAACTCAGTTCAAGTTCATCCGGGTTCATCCATCTCAATTTGACTCCATCTATTTTGTTCCATCCAACTCCATCCAACTTCATACAAGTCTATCCAACACATCCAGGTTTATCCATTTCAATTCAACTCCATGTATTCTGTTCCATCCAACACCATCCCACACCATCTATTCCATCCATCTTGATTTGACTCCATCTATTCTGTTCCATCCAACTCCATACAAGTCCATTCAAAACTATCCAACACCATCTATTCTATCCATCCCGATTTGACTCCATCTATTCTGTTCCATCCAACTCCATCTGGTTTCATCCATCTCCATGCAACACCATCTCTTCTATCAAACTCAGTCCAAGTCTATCCATTTTGATCCATCTCAATCCAACTTCATCTATTCTCTTCCATGTCAACCTTTGTTCTTTGATTCCAGTTCTTGCAACTCCATCCAGTTTCATCTATCTATTCTATCAAGTTTCCCAATTTCCATCCAGTTTTATCTATCTTGATCCAACTCCATCTTTCTCCATTGAATTTTTCTATTTCAGCTCTATTTTGTATCATCCTCTTTCATCACAATGCTGAACCCTAAATTGCAAGAACTTTGTAGGTTCACTGTCTCTTTTCCATTATTTTTTTGATACATTGTCAAAGTATGCTTGTTCTATTTAGAATGCTATTTTATCATCATTTCCTCATATTTTCTTTATTCTATACTTTATTACTAGTAAACTATTCTTGCAATTATTTCAGTGTGCTTCATGATTATTTCATTGTAAACTTCTTCATTGCTTTTGTGCCTTTTCCTCATTATTTCCACCTGTTATTTAAAATATGATGATAACAGACTTGAACTGCTAAATTCCATTGTTTTTCATATCCTTTAGCATTAATTATCCCTATAATGCTTTGCATAGTGATCATATTTCCAGCATAATCTTTCCATCCTTTTTCTTGCATTGTACTATTCTTATGTTGAATTTATTCTTTGTCAATTCTTCAGATTATCTTACCATCAATTCACTGTATCTTTGCCTAATTACTATAGAAAAACAATAGTCAAGGACATCATTATTATTTTGTTGATTGTGTGTTTCTCTACTGTAAGTTTTCCCTGTATTATTGTGAAGTCATAATATAACATTTTGTCACCATTAATCTTCTACAACTCCATCAATTTTATTGCATATATACTCTTGCTTATATTGATCAAATGCTCCTAGAATTTTCCATTATTTTACAGAATTTTTTCTATTTCTCTAGTGTTAGATTTCACTGATTATGATCGAATTATGTTGTGACAATTTGTCACATTGATTCATCATTACTTTACCATTATTAAGCACCTGTATGGTGGACATATGAGCAAGATCCAACCCATTATATTTTCATTCTCTTAAAATGTCTTTAGCATAAGTAGCAAAAATAATGTTCAAAATTTCGGAAATTATTTCACCATTATTTCACCATTTCCCACGGTAAATAATGCTTTACTGCACCCTGTGTAAGCACTGACTGGAACTTTACCGGAGCTTGGATCTTCAATCTCAATGTGTACATCGAGTAATACAAGGTCAGGTATTGCTAAAATACTTGTCAGTACGACGACTAAAAGATGAGGTGGCATAGCTCACCGTCAGAATTTTTGGCCATGTCTTGTGAGCTTGTCAGCACAGATGAGTCTGATCCGAGTTCGGCCCCGAAGATAGAGTCTTTCTCGAGCTCCAGTCGTGCTTCACCATTCTTTGCACCCCTTGATGGAGGTCCGTTCTGGGGCTGACGCTGTTCGGATGAGCGTGATGACGAAGAGGATATCACCTTCTTTGGCGCAGCAATGGCGAGAGAACCACTTCCGTTCATTGAAGGGGCCTTGAAAGGTTTGGATAAGCTGGCAGCAGAGTTGTAAGGTTTTGTGACTACCATCTTTTATCAGCAATCTGAACAAATGGGTCACGCTACTGACCTAGAGGTTTGCTATATTCAGTGATTTTGAGTCTCTTGGCTGTACTCGAACCATTTCCGAGTCGTTGATCCATGGCACCAGCGATTCGTTTGCCGTTATCATTCCATCCAGTAGAGTGTGTATCGCAGATTGCAGCGTTCGCTGAAGGACGACTTGGTACAGTGCGGAATTCAAGCGGCGCCGCACCCAGCGTTTCTTTCCGTCGTTTAGTTTTTTCCGGATACTTGCACACCTGAAACGAGATATATCCGAGTATTTCTTCGGTATTTGATGAGACCCACATCGCACATCATCTTGCAATACTGTTTCACAATTTCTGAATCTTTGTCGTCAATATCCTCACCAAAGAAGCGGCATATCGACTAGAAATCACTGTATTAGTAAATTCTCAAGTCGCAATCAATATTATTGTTGAGATTCACTATATGTCGACAGACATCCGTGTTTTCTGCATATTGGGCCAACTGTGAGTGTGAACAAATCAGAGAACTAAGGAAAACAACTTCGTCGAATCATCCTCACCTTCTCCAAACTTGATATTGATCTTTGGCTCGGGGCAGGAAATCGAAGATCTTCAGCTTTTTGCACCCGACTACTATGTGAATCAGCGACCCATCGCCGAACTTCACTGAGATCTTCGCGAGCTAAAACTGCACGTCAATCTCCTTGTAGACATAGCAGTCAATGAAAAGGGTACTAACAATAGTATAAGATACACTTCGAAGGCTACTTGTTCATGAGTCCGAGCCAATACATGTTTGAAAGTTTCCAAAGTTGGTAGCTTACAACACCATTTCTTCCTGCTCGGCCTTGAAGAACGATGTATGATTACATTGACCGCAGAATGGAAAATGAGGACTCACCAGTTTCTTGATAGTAACCTATCGAAATTGAGATTCCCTGAGTGCTGTAACATCCATACCAAAGAAAAAGCTCGCCTTCGAAACTTTTTGGGATGTCATAGTGGATAACATATCGCACATCACCCTTGTCTATTCCCAGACCAAACGCAACGGTAGCTACGACCTTTCCAATGTGGATCAGATTGAATTACATTCTTGTCGCCAAAACGATGTTTCTGAAAATCTCACCACGTCTATGCCACCACTCTCAGAGCCTCCTGGTATAGACCATTCTTCGAAAGTTTTAGCAAGAGTACCCTTTCTGTGTGTTGGAACTTGCAATTCAGTTCCATCAAATTCCTCAAATTCGAAAACTTACGCCACACCCCGATGGTATGGCCGAGAGGCTAACCCCTTTGACCTGAGATATCCAGATAGGGAGTCGCACGTCTTCTTCGTCCTGCAATAGATGATTCCGCACGATACTTTACCTCGTTTACGATGAAGACCGCAAATGTGATCGCATATTTCGGCCATTTTGGATAATTCATCTGAGGAAGAAGTGTAGCGAACCTACAACGAGCTTGATCTGAGATTTATAACTTGGGGACATTTTTGAGGAATACAAACCTCATAGTATAAGTTGGGTCTGTTGAAGGGATGGACGAAAAGGTCGCAGCCTTTCATTTGCAACGAAGAAATGATATCGTCTACGACGCTAGGAAAGGACAATGACCCCAAACATCCCCGAGATGGCTAAATCTTTTTACCTTGGAGTTGCAGTCGCTGTTAATGCCATCACTGGCACGTCCGGAAAATTTTGTCGGAAGATTCCTATTCGACGATATTCCCCCCTAAAATCATGGCCCCATTCCTGCAGCGAAACTAATTGATGATTACCATCATCACTTGTTGACGACTCACGGATATGCAATGTGCCTATATAGTACCGAGTGAGTCATCGAATGTTCGAGAGCAACAATGAAACAAACCTCATCTACCACAAGCCTGTTTAATTCTCCCTTATTGTAGACAATACGAAGTAGCTTCATGAAATCTGGACGAGGTAGTTTTTCGGGAGTAGCTAGACAAGTGTTATTGGAAGGTCTTCAAGTCTAGCTTGGATACATACTATAAAGAAGGCGAATTTTTGGATGTCCGGACATCAAGGCTTGATTAATCTGGAACACATAAAAAGGAATGGGTAAACGGCAAAGAGTGTATCCAGAAACATCTGACCTCTTCCTTTTCGTCTGGAGGAGTGTCCGATGTTAGCGAAGCTACAGGAACACTTTTGCGGCGTAGTCCTTCAATCTCTAAGACGAGAACACCATATGAAATCGGACATAATACGCAAGCATTCGGTACATACGGTTCTTCATTAGTGCTAAGACGTTCATGATGAATGGAAATCAGAATACGGTGTTACATGGTGTTCACACCTAAAAGTGGAGAGATGACCAAAGTCATGCCGCTCTACAGAACTTTGAATCAGTTGCGGCGTATTGTAAGTGCGTAAACAGTACATGCTTGTTTTGCAGCTGCTGGGATTTGAAAGCATAAACTCTGTTGGAAAGTGGTTAAAAGCTGCCTGTATTGGGTGGAAAGGACATGCCTTTCCCATTCCTGTCGGAGCAAGAACAAAGACATCTCGACCTAGGAAGTCGTAAACAAGTTGAATAGCCACTGGTTTCCGGCATAAACAAACCTGCCACGGCGGCCTCAATGATCTCCTTCTGCTTTCCCTTGTAATCTGAATGCCCAAATGCTAGGCGAAAGCTCAGCAGCACAGCCAAAGATTACTCAGTGGAAACATACTAGTCCTCAGGATACTAAATGCGAATGAGAAATCTACAACTTGAGTAAACTTTAACGTCACGCACCGATGACAATTCTCTATTCTGATCTTCAGTTCTTGGATAACGCCGACCGTTGGTGAAGTCCTCCATTCATGATTTGAGAGATCAGCACCGGAGATCTCCTCGTAAAGCGGCCCAGACGACGTTGAAGACATTGAAACGCGTAGTAAGGAGTAGCTGGTCAAGTCGCGTCTCGTCATATCACGGGTACGTGTCTAACTTATTACATAAGCAGATCTGAACGTGCGCTTCGCAATCAATTGAATCTTGAGTCTTCCCTGTGATGTCGGAAACAGAGAGCACAAGTACAACAGAGTACAACTTTGGACTGCTGTGACAATCATAACGCTTAGTATTGGACTGTGGTTTTGTTCCCAAAAACGTGCCTTATGACCTTGGATCCCAGCTCCTCCCGCAAGTCCAAATTGGGAGTTGATCTAACGAATTTAAGCTTCCTCTTCGAAGCTCTTCGATCGTGTCTCTCCATCTTATTTTGCCACCATCATCACCCAGAAATCCTCCCCATGTCTGAAGATACTACTCCCTCGAGAATCCGGACTCATATACTGTGTTTCGACGGAACTGCGAGCGAATATGACTCGGAGGTACCCTTCAAGATTCAGAATTCATGCTACCATTCCGGGTGACACTCATCGTTTCTTAGAACACCAATGTCGTCAAGTTTTTCGCTCTTGTAGAGAAGGATAATTGCGATGATCAACTGTGCTACTACCAGGTGAGTTCGCGTTGTGATTTGTTCAAGACCTTGTTCTTATAGGCGTACCAGGCAGGAATCGGTGTGTACTAATTGACAGGTTAATACTATCTGCGCCTGTCTTTTGACCTGTAGGCATGCTAGGTACTTTCTTCGCCCCTGGAGTGGTTTCTCCCTTGTTTCAATGGTGTGCTAAAGTCCTCGATGAAGCATTCGCATGGTACAGCACCTTTTCTGTATTGCAGCATCCTTCTTCGTATTCAAACGTGTCTATTAATCACAGGTACTTGGACGCACACGTCATGGATGGATATAGATTTTTAATGCAGAACTTCCGCACAGGAGACAAGATTTGTCTCTTCGGTGAGATTTATTTGCTCGATTGATATCTTATTACGCACATCCATGATGGCACTTTTTAGGTTTCTCTCGCGGAGCATATACTGCCCGTGCGTTGGCCGGTATGCTGTATAAGGTGTGTAACATCTGATTCTCCAACAGTTCTCATGTATCAGCTGCATTATTGATACGGGCTAAAGGTGGGTCTTTTGCCCCGGGATAACCAAGAGCAAATTGTATTCGCATATAAGCTCTATACTCGTACGGATAATGCTGGTATCAGGTTGAGCGCTGGATTCAAAAAGACTTATTGTCAGCCTGTTGAAATTGAGTTTCTTGGCGTCTGGTGGGGGTTTGCCGCATTTTCGTTCTTGCTCAACTTTGACTGAGCTACTTCGCAGGGATACAGTGGCGTCTGTGGGTGTAATTGCCACCAAGACCCTTCCATTTACTCGTGATAATAGTTCTATTAAAACATTCCGACAAGGTATTCCCTTCTTGTGTGGCCTATCTTATTGGGGCTAATGCGATTGAACTTAGCGCTTTCACTTGACGAGGTATGTCATTCTACTGCGCATATGTCCTCAAGCTTATGAGATCAGCATCGTGCTCGATTCAAACCCAATCTCTTTCATCGCGAACCTCCGAATTCATCAGGCTCTGCAGAAGGCGAAGGTATAAAGGTCGAAACAGACCCCAAGCCCCCCACCGATCGCGGAAGTGAGACTGCACCCTCACCCATGAGCAGAACTCTTTCCGACTATTTCCGCAGAAAGAAACAAAATTTCAAGTTCGACATACCAAAGATAGCGTCCAGGATGGACGAACAAACCACGCGTGAAGCTGACGTCTTAGAAGTGTGGTTTGCTGGATGCCATAGTGGTGACCTTCTTCCCGTTCAATCTTTCACGCTGTAATCTCAAATTGCTTTGCAGATATAGGCGGGGGTTCGGTTTCAAATTCCACTAAACAAAGCTTGTCGAACATCAGTTTGAGGTATGTGTGCCGTTACAAAATTTCCCTCGAGCTAATCATAACTTTTGAAAGGTGGATGGTTCGACAAGTCATGGAATCACAATGTGGAATCAAGTTCAACGAGAATGCCTTGACGCAATTAGAGATTCGTTCCGAACCTATGTCAGTGGCACCTCGTCCATCTACCGGTGACTCGTCATCGGCACATAGTGGGAATAGTCAAGTTTCATGGAAAGCGTTGGATACACTTGACTCGCTGCAACCTCTACACGACGCACTTGTACAGAATCCTGCTTGGTGGTTGTTGGAAATTCTCCCAATGAAAGCACGGTATCAAGATGCAGATTGTCGGTGGCACACGACTTATGCGTAAGCATCCAAATTCCATTTGTTGAGAGAATGTCCTGAACAGTTGAACTCAGATGGAACCTTGGTCGTGGACGCCAGATATACACCCCCAAGCCTTATTTTCATATGACGGTTAAGTATAGATATGACGACGTGACTCTCGCGTACAAGCCCAAAGCTCGTTGGCAGGAAGGGACTGAAGTTTACATTGAATAACTATGAACATATCATTTAATAAGTAGTAGAACTACCGGTATTAAACTAAACAGCCTTAATTTGATCTGGAGTCATGGTGTGTGTATGAACAAGTGATAGCAGATATCATTGAGTTTATGAGTCGATTTCGGTGACGTGAAAAGGGATTTATTTGCTCTTCGTAATGGCTAATTCTATGTTGTTTGAAGCAGAGCAAGAGTCATTGTGGGAGGTGATTCCTCTTCTTCGGAGCGACTCTCTTCACAAATATCGCAGAGCCGACGCTAGAATTATCGTCGTCTTGGTCCTGGTCCTCTTCTCTCATTTTCGGTTTTTTCCTAGGTGCGACCCCATTCTCCTCATCGTCTGATTGATTGAGACGTTTTTTCGGTCCATGTTGTTTCCTGGCAGTGTTTACCTCGTCCCCTCGAGCCATTTTCACTGACTCATTGGCCTGCGGAAGGTGCGATGCAGCGGCGTCCTCAAGATCAGACGATATTTCATGTAACTTTGCTTGCAAGGGGCCGCTAGCAGAATGCATCAAGGAGAGTACTTTGCGTTTGATGAGGTGTAGTTCGACAAATTTTTCCACGTCCCAAGTGTGTTCCTGTGGCAGACCTATATCATCTAGATGAGCTGCTGAAGATGACACCACCGTGACCTGAATCATTACTCACTTTGAGTCGGGTGTGAAGGGCGTGCTGCATGGGTACCGACCCCTGTTGGCATCATCGTAGTGTTTGTCATCCCTTTCCCAAGATTTGTCGAGGTACTAGTGCCTTTGACTTGTGATCTTCGAGTTTTGGTCTTTGCAATACTCTCAGGCACTTTTCGGGGGGGAGAAGCAATGTAGATGTCTTCCTCTTCTTCAGAGTGATTCTCATCTTCGCTTTCAGGTATGATTTCCTCAGGGTCATCATCTGAATACTGCTGAGTTAGCTTCTTAGGGCTACTAGTTTTTTTTGAATTCTTTGCAGTTTTGATGTGAACACGCTTTTCGGGAGACTGACTACCAATAAGCCTGGATGGAGGAGGGGGTACTGCTAGCTCTCTGTGTGGTGCAGTGACCTTTTGATGAGAAGGGGTCCAGAGTATAAGAAAAACTGGGGCCTACTTTTGACTCGAGACTTGTGATCTTTCAGATATGCTCTTGGAGGCAGAAAATTCAGAGGGTTCTATGTGATCAACCATCTATTTTGCCAAGTACTTCAAAATTAGTATGCATATATATGGCATGGGTACATAGAAAGGGTTGAAGTTACCTTCACTGAGCGGTTCCTGACCGGAAGTTGAGCAACCAGATCATGCTCTAAACATTCCAAAGACTTGTTTTTGATGTATTTTTCCAGGAGGAGGTCATATAATCCTTTGTTGATGTTCAATGTTGCAATTAGACGAGACCGTTTTTCTTCCACACTTCGAGAGCATTTCCCATTGGTCTTTGCTTCTTTGCAAGATACGCAGCACGGAATTTCCTGATTTGGTACGCAGGGTATGTTTTTGGACTTGCATTGAATGCATGCCTGAACATTGGTATGGTGAACACAAGTTCGGATTGCGTTGCGGAAATGTAACTATTGAACAAACCGTATCCCTGTTATTTGTTATCCACTCTCTCCGCTCTGCAACAGTGCCCGTTCGACGATATTCTTCGGAGAATGCCTTGATGAGCCCGGGAGTTAATGCTTTCCGAGGTTCCTCAGGGCGAGACATAGGAAAACGAATCGAAGTGGTATTGAGTAGGAAAAATCGACTTGTACGTGAAAAATTTTCGCCGCTCGTAAAATGCCGAATCAAACAATCGGCAACGCCGGCATTCCTTTTCTGACCATGTCTTCCACCAAGTCGAAGTCTGACCGCAAAAGTGCTCTAAAAAACGTAGCGCCAGCTTTAGCAACAAACAAACGCTCCCAGATCAAAGAAGCCCCATCTGTGGTTGAAAAGGAGGAGGACGAAATCGACCTCGAGACTGATGAAAGCGAAGGCTCCGAAGACGATGGTGGTATTGATGATGAGGGTATAGAAAGGCTCATGAAAGCCCTTGGCGATGATGGATTGGACGAGTTTGAACAAGCTCAGCTTGAGGCTGCACTGGGTGATCCTGAGGATGAGTCAGAGGAAGAGGACGGAGAGGACGCAAATACGGAGGAAGAAAACAGTGACCAGGATGAAGAGGTCGAAAAGGTCGAAAATGATGGCACAGAAGGTGGAGAAGAGGATGATCAGTTCATCCAACTGGAGGATGTTGAAGCTATCGTTGACGACGCTGTCCCTTTTCAAAAAGTTGAAATCAACAACGAAATCGCCCTTGCACGGATACGGGAAAGCCTACAGCTCGACCCATCAATACCATGGACTGAAACTTTAGCTGTCTCTTATCCTCATACTATCGACGTTGATGTCAATGACGACCTGAATCGAGAATTAGCTTTGTATGTTCATCGTCAATTCAATTCTTCAATATATACTAATATAACATCTTTCAAGTTACAAACAAGCTCTACATAGTGCTAGCCATGCCCACCAAATAGCCACGAAATCATATCCAAACTTTCCGTGGACTCGCCCCAGTGATTATTTTGCTGAAATGGTCAAAAGCGACGTACACATGGAACGCATTCGCCAAAGACTTCTTGACGAAAAAGCCGGCATTAAAAAGAGCGAAGAAAAGCGCAAAGAAAGGGAAGGAAAGAAATTCGGTAAACAAGTGCAGATCGAGAAGCTTAAAGATCGCGAAAGAGGTAAAAAAGAGATGGAGGAACGCTTAAAGGGACTCAAGAGAAGTGAGCTTGCAAAAATAAGCCCAACTGACGTTTACTCATATTTCCATTCCCCCAGAACGAAAAGATATTCTCGATAACCCAGATGGGAACGACGACGCGTTTGATGTTGCTGTCGAGGATGCCATATCCGACCGACCGGCAAAGCGAGGACGCGGTGGACCTGCCGGTGGGTCCAGATTGTCACGACAAGGTCGAGATAAAAAATTTGGATTCGGCGGCGCAGGAAGAAGGTCTAAGCAGAATACCAGTGCATCTACAGATGATTTTGACTCTAGATCAAGAAAAGGATCCGGTGGTGGAGGCAGGGGTGGAAGAGGTACAAGAGGTGGGGGAAGAGGTGGAAGAGGAGGCGGAGGCGGTAGGGGAGGAGGTAGGGGAGGTTCCAAAAGGCTTGGCAAGTCAAAACGTATGGACGCACGTAGCAAGTGATACGTTCTGCGCAGCCAATCCATACTCATTATTACGATAAATATGGTTGCAAGGTATGGTGTGAACTGTGCTTTCACTAAACTTTGACAGTGTTGCCTAGCATTGTCAATATATAATATGCGATCTAATGCACAAAAGCCCTTGCTCCTTTACGCCCCCCATCTCCCGCATTCTCTTTCAGTAGTAGTACACAGACTCCTGCTATGCAAAAGACCACTACACTTGTATATACCGGTACAGATCGATGGATCATCATAAAAACGCCACCGAGAGCAGGCGCGATCATTCCACCACTGTAGAGAGGTAAGAACATTTAGTTACACAAACGAATAAAGTAAAGGTTTTAAATGCACATACATGCGTGACAATGCTGACGCGATGCCGCACGCTGTACCACGAACTAAGAGTTCATTTCATAAACCATATCAACGACCAGGCCAAAAGGAAACATACTTTCGGTCCCAAAAATCTCAGGCGTCCAGCTTAGTGACGGAAAGAAATGAGGAAGATTCAACAGGCTTTCGGGATCTACTTACCCATATAGTATGGCCCACATTGTCTATCAGAGTCTTAGCCAAGTCATCTGAAGAGAGATACGGAGACCGACCGTAGCACTGAGACTGATTCCAACCGCACTCGTTCTGATAGCCCAAGATGCATCGGCCATGACGAACATTACACAAAAAAATGCTGTCACGAAAGTGCTACCAGCCAAAGACCATCGACGACCTAGTGGTGATTCGACCATCAAGGCCCCAAGCTAGGTAAATGTTATGACAAGACGATGCATGAGAAGATGAACCGCTTTACAATTGCACCTGGACAACCTCCCAAAGTAAATATAACAACGTCCCACAAACTTTCTTCTAAGGTCTTCGGTATTATGGCAACGCCATCGTCATGACCTGATCCACCACTTGTTTCCAGTAATTTTGGGAGGAACACATTGAACATAGTATACGCTGGAATGAAAAAAAAGATAGATTCATTGCTGCGTCTTATACGGATCCACAACGAGCACACCTAAAGACATCGCCCACCAAGCAGCCCATACCAACAAGGTCGTACTTAGCCATTCTGGGGCTAAAACCAGCATCACTCTGTCCCACCATGCCCATATCGGTCGACGCAACCAATGTGGGAGCATCCTGCAAACTTTTCTCTCATATATTGAGGAGGCACGCCGCGAAAGCCTGTGGCTCCGTCTACGAGCATGAGTCAGTGGTCGATGCCGGGGAACCGAATCAACGTCTACGGTCACATGAGAGGACTGATCCACAGTGGGAGTAGGACCATCGGGCTCGGAATTTGCATCAAATTTGGCATTGGCTAAATCTGATATCTCCCGTGTTAGCGAAGGAGGAAGAGCGTATTCAACGGTGGGCGCTGCAAATACATGCGCACCGAGTGGTGTAGATGATTCCCCTGTTGACGAATAATGTGTTATTCCTGCGTCAAATATAGTGTCCCCGGTTTTGCGAAGATCTTCGTTGGAATTTGCATGTTGGCTGTCAGCATCATCTCCAGCGCCATCAAGTGATTTATGGGGTAGGAACGGGACGGAATCTTCGCCATGTTGCTCGGAATTGTCGCAATCGCGAGGAGATGAAGGAGTCTGTGGTTTCTGGTCATCTACATCTTCTAGCGCAAGCGAAAGATCAGAGCCATTAAATTTGGATATCATTTGTAGAGATTCTAGAGCTTCTTGAGGCCGGCCTGCATGAACGAGGTATCGGGGTGACTCATGCAAACGGAAGAAAACCATTCTACCAAGAAACATGGCGAGTGTCTGTTGCACATGATATCAATGAGCGAGGACCACTTCGGGACAGACATTGTTATAACGCACGATAAGTCCTAGGGCTATAAGAAGATATTTCCAACCCTTGTTTTGAGTTTCAACGTCACAAGCTGCTGGTGTATTCACGGAGCAGGAATGTTGGGGTACTACGAGCAACGCTACAACTGCCGACAACACTGCTCCGAATGAGAAGAAGACCGATAAGGCAGTAACAAGGTATTGCTTTCCATTTGGCATGTGTTCCAAAAGCAGGGTGCCATCGGTCGGCATTGAGCCCTGTGTGACTGTAAGAGCAGGGATGATGCGAGAAAAATGAGTCTTACACCAACGGCACTGCCCAAAAGAAACAGCATTAAACATAGTGTGCCAAATGAATTTGCGAAAGATGCAAGGAGGCCAAAAAGTGAAGTGAAGAACAGAGTTGCATTGAATGCCATACTCCGACCCATGAGATCAGAACCTACAATTTCTTCATACATATTCTGCGCGATGCAGAGGTATAGCTCTACTTACAAGTTCCCCAGCCTAAAGCGCCAATCATCATTCCTGCAAACATGGACGAAGAGACAGCACCGATGTAATTATCTGGAACTGAGGATAACGCATGGTATCGACACAGATGTCAACAACTTCCTTGGATGGACATACCAGCGTAGTGTTGCTGCACCCGAGGTAAAATAATGGCAACAGCTTGTATCCACATCTAACGAAGGAGAAGGAGATGAGTCGACCACTCGAGTGCCAGTCTCTTTTCTACGATCCGCGTACATTATCAGCCAGCCAGCCTATTAATAAAGCTCACAGTCACATTGTGGAATCTTCGAGTTTACGAGAACGCACCGAAACCACATAAAGACAACAAGGTCCATTGATAACTGCCCATTCCAATACGGTCTATAGTTCTATCTAACTTTGAGAGTGGTTAAAACGCCAAATTTTCGATTGAATTAAATAAGCCCAAGTACCCTTGTTCGTTCATCGCAAACTTCATCCAAGAGACCTTCGGCATCGTTTTGATACTCCATGTCGTCGAACTCATCTTCGTATGCGTCCTGTGTTGACATCCTATGGTTTCCTGGTGATGACCACAAGGAGGCACGAGGTGATACTGAGCCCATATTGTGTAAGCATGGATTTAGAAATCGTCGTCTGGCGCGATATAAGCAAAGAATGGCGCAGTAAGCGAGAAAGAATACTGAATTGGCGCCACGCGCACTTCTCACGGCGGGTAGAAACAGGGTATGTAGAAACACAGTTTGATACATTGAGAATTTGAGATGTAAGTACAGTAATTGTCAAGAGCAAACTCATAGCAAAGTTTTTCAGTCATCAGAAAACAAAGATAGTGGTCGACTAAGTCTTGCAGAATCAGGAGATGCCCATCCCCAATGCCCCCCAAGAGTCATTGCTCTCGATCTTGGACTTCGCGTATCCTTCCCCATAGAATCTGAAGCTGCAGTAGACGGTCTCTGTGGTGAATCGCCTCGGAACGGATCCGGAAGGCTATAATTATCAGGTATTGGTGAAAACGCAGAATGCGAATCGTATCTTTCTTGAGTGGCGTAAGCCATCATAGGTGTCGTTGGTACAAACCCTAATGGGAGCTCTCCATCCGGTAATCTTATGGTAATAGGAGCATTGGGTACTGGTGTAGATGACGGTAATATGGCAACGCCCCGTGTAGCTTCAGCAATCACATCATTGGGAAGCGCAATAGGTCGGTTTGCGTCCTCAGGTGAAAGCAACACAGGATTCAATCTAGAACTATCATTCGAGGAGGTAGTGGTCGGGGTTTGAGACTGCAGTCGAACTAAGATCAGCGTAGCACGAACAAAATATAAGAACGCTCACCGGAGGCTCTATCTGAATGTTTGGAATGACCGGGCTAGAATATGATCGCTGAAAATGCCTTTTGAACCAAGCGACGGGCGTTTTGGTACGTGCAGTTCCCGCCGGAGGGGATGAATCTGAACTAGATGTTCCAGATTGTACATGAGCCTGTTGTTGGAGCTGTTCAGTGCGAGGATGCCGCGGGGGGGATGCTATAGGTTGAGGTTCTCTATCTGCAGGGCCTTCAGTCTGAGTGTGCTGAACACCAGAGGAGCCCTGGGGGTTCATTTGTGAAAGTGATTCTACCGATAACGGCGTTGGCTGCAATATAATTTTGCGTTTTCGAGGACCACCCGAAACACGAGGACTGCGGGACCGCCCTGGAGTATTAGATGATCGTGCTTGAGGTGGGGTTCGAAGAAACTATGATTCAACATTTTCTCAAAAGTTGAGAATCTCATCGCCAGAAGATAAGAGAAGAAGAACAAAAAGACGATTGATATGGAGATTGAGGACGTACGCAAAGGTCAGAAACTGGTATGACCTACCTCAGGTTCAGGACGATTTTCACCGTCGGGTTCACCTCTGTTTGGAGGTGGAGTTGTCACTATATCCCTCCATTCTTCCACCATTCGCCTTGAACCTGTATCTCCTGTTGGACTTGATCCTCTGTCGACATCGAAATTGGGTGGGGGTTGCGGAGCTTCCGCTCGCTCACGAGTAGGTGGACTGACCAGATCGTACTCCGAAATTCTTGTTGAAGCCCTCGAGCCTGTAGAAGCAGCTCTGCTTCTCCATGAATTTCGTCCCAGTTCTCTTTGATTTGCAAATTGTTCTCGTACAGTGTCTGGCTCTGATGGAGCCTGCGTGGCTGACGGAACTGGATTACTGAGCTCATGTGGAGGAGGCATAGGAATAAAATGGTCCGTAGGGGTCATCGTTGGTATGTAGTTATCCGGTGGAACAAGAGAGTGATGTGACAAACTCGAAGGCGGCCTTGGAATAGGTAGAGGATGGATCACCTCTGGCGAGCTGGTCTGAGATTGGTTAGTTGAAGATACGTACGTCTGAGCGCGGGATGATCTGGATTGAGGTCGCGATGGATGAGGCTCTGAAGAAGGGGGAGAGCGAGATCTCAACCTGGATGCAATTGATCGAGCGCGTTGACGAGTGCGGCTAAGTAAGGGCGACTGCTGTGCTGGCTGAGCACCAGACGATACCGGAGACACCACATAAGAGTCATCTTCCGGGATGAAAGGCTTGCGATTTCTTGTGCTAATAAGCTATCAAATCTCTGAATCGCATTGGATCACGAATGAGAAATTAGTCACCTTATTGTCCGAGATCTATTTCTTCTCACCGAGGACGAAGCTGTGGAATCATCGGCTTCACCCCCTCCATCATCTGTTTCGCCATCTCGCATCCGCGTGGAAGATCTCCTTCGCCTGGGCACGAAACGGTCCATCAAACTCGTTTCAGCCTGGGCACGTTCTATCCCTTCCTGGAATCCGATGTCCCAGCCTTCCTCCCAGCCTCGGCGTGTACTCTTCTCCGTTTCTAATTGTCTGACTCTACTTCTCAGGCGAGCAACCTCATTCTCAGCTTGGACCCGTGCTTGATCAACTTTACGGACCACATCAGTCGCTCGATTCACTTCTTTTTGAGCCAACTCCAATTGTGCTTGATACAGCTGAAGGCTCTCTTGTGTTGTCCGCAAATCAGCCTCAACTGAAGCCTTGTCTTTGGCTAATGCTACGAAACGAACCAAAAGCTCTTCCTTCTGCGTTTCAAGGGCGATATTTCTGGCATTGGCTTGGGTCAGACGTTCGTTGGTGAGGATCAGATGTGCCGAAATTGAGCGTGAAGAATGGCGCGAATGAGAACTTGAGCGACGAGGTCTGCTCTGAGTCTCTTTATCATTACTCTCGTGCTTGAGTAAATGGGAGCGGGAGTGGCGTAAACCGACGCCACGATGATTCCTCGGCGGTGGAAAAGGAAATTCTGTGACGTTGGCCTCGTCGTATATGTTGGGCTGATAATGTTCCCTTGATCCTGACGATGTCGGTGAAGATACAGAATGTACCTCTGCGATATCTGGCGGATAACTAGCGATATAGAGCAAGTCATCAGTTTAATCGGAGAGTGAAGGAACCCGTCAAAACGTACTGCTCTTGGTGAAGGGACATATTGAATTGTGTAAAGCCTTATGAGTAGAGTAAAGCCGTCGCGAGCGACATGCATGGAAGGTCTTTATAGCCTCAGTTCTGGTGAAGAGTTTGAGCGCCACATACAGAACTTCCTGTTGTAATAGGAACAAGCATTTTTATACAAGGTTGCGCAGAACTTAAAGGAACAAGACTGACTAGTCCTATCGTACACGTGTTATGTGCATGTACATAGGTTCACAGATCTTGCACCTACCGCACGAGAAAGGAAGCTTTCGCGACACGAGGCGCACGCGAGGAGGTGACGATAGATGGAGTCGATTCGCGCGACAGAACACCGATGGGTACGTGGACATTGGTCGAAATAGTCCTACCTAAACTAATATTAACATGGGAACACTATTTCCCAGAACTGTGAATTCTCGTCGATGATGCTGACAGAAAATGATAACATACATATATAGTCAGATCGTCAGATATACATGAACCTTTCAAGCAGAGTTCCAATCAGACAATCCTATATCATTAGTTGAAGAATCTGGCTGTCGCGGAAGCTGTTCATGAACTCGAAGATAAATCAATTGACAGTGGTAGAATTATGATCCAGCGCCGAGCGAAACAACTTAAGCTGGAGTAAAGCACGTGCGAGATAACTCCTCCGTCTCTAATCCGTCTAGCCAACTTTTCCCCGTCCACTGTTGAAGATGGCGACCCCGATTCGAAAGAAAAGAAACTTCAAGGCTCTTCAATTGACCACCGCTCCAGCACCTCAGATTGCAGATACCGCTGCTCAACCGATACCAACACGACAGGCTCCGCCGGCCAGTGGGAAAAAGCGACCACCGCCGATGACATTAAAAGCCCCAAAACTTCCTCCTAGCACGACTTCCGCCACCATAGAAGATGGTAATCTTCTTACGGTCCAGTCTAGCTCAACTTCTGCTCCAAACACTGCTGTTACACCATCCGCGAAACGAAACACATACCATACAACACTTTCTAACACCCTAGCCATCCTCGATTCAAATGCAGAGGTCAAATACGATCTCAGAAACGAGGATCTCAAGGATTTGCAGGAACTTGGACAGGGTAATGGTGGTAGTGTAAAGAAGGTTGAACATACACCCACGGGCACAATAATGGCGAAAAAGGCTCGTATCTTCAAAGGATTTTAAACAGATCTTTCATTGACATGCTGCCGTCTTCAGATCGTTCTTATTGATGCTAAACCGTCTGTCAGGAAACAAATCCTTCGCGAATTGCAAATTATGCATGACTGTAATTCGCGGTATATCGTGTCCTTTTATGGTGCCTATCTAGCAGATCCAAATATCTGCATATGTATGGAATTCTCAGACAAAGGATCTCTGGATGGAATATACAAGAAGATAGGTGCTATCGATATCGATATTGTCGGCCAGGTTGCGCTTGCTGTGCTTGAAGGTTTGACGTATCTTTATGATGTCCATCGTATCATTCACCGTGGTGAGTCATGTTGTATGGACACTTCATTGCTTTCAGTTTAACCAACTTCTGCTCCCTAAACCAGATATCAAACCTTCAAATATGCTCTGCAACTCAAAAGGGGAAATTAAGATATGCGATTTCGGTGTTTCTGGCGAGCTCATTAACTCGATTGCCGACACCTTTGTGGGAACCTCGACGTATATGAGTGTGGGTGTCCTCTGTCCTGAATAAATATACGCTACTCATAGTTCCTGTCATTCAGCCCGAACGAATACAAGGTGCCCAATACACTGTGAAGTCCGACGTGTGGTCCTTAGGCATTTCCCTCATCGAGCTGGCTCTCGGGCGTTTTCCCTTCGCTGAATCTGAGTCTGACGATTCCGACTTATCAGACTTGGAAGGCACTCTCTCACCTGCTAGACCAGGTTCTATGGGATCTATCGTTGCCCTCTCTCTTCCCCCGCGACAAAAAATATCAAAAAATGGAACAGCGAAAAAGGATAAACGAAAGAGCAAAGGAGTCAGTTTACAGGGAGGTGGAATGACAATGAGTATTCTCGAGCTTCTCCAGCATATCGTGAATGAGCCTGCCCCCAAACTTACTCCCGAAGGACGATTCCCCAAGGAAGCTGAGGAATTCATTGACAGCTGTCTCCTCAAAGACCCTGATGTAAGAAAGACACCGAAAGAGTTGTTGGTGGGTTACTTTTCAAGTCGTCCTATTTATTTGCATATCTGAATATCCCACAGAATTATACTTGGATAGAGCAAGCCAAAGCATCAACAATTGATGTCGAAGCATGGGCGAACACATTTTGAGTGCGTAACATTCGCTTTGATGGTCTGTGTACACAATATAATGTGAATTATTCAAGATTCCCAACCACCAATCTATTGTTTTCATCGCACTCTGGAAGATGCGCATTGCTGTCATTTTCTTATTTTGTGAACTCTCGCTGATATGAAAGCAAACAATGTATTATATCTGCCATTTGGCTAGTCTCTATACCCATTTCTGGATGCTCAAAGAAGGATCAGATAGATTCCACTTGCTCGAGACTCGCATTAAGCCCACGGGGTTAATCGGAGACATCTATTGCTGTATATCACAGCTGTACCCTCTAAACTCTAAAAGAAACAAGCTAAACCCGTTCGTCTTCCGATACCGAATTAATAATGTAGGCACCAAAAGAAATCCTGAACAACCTAAAACCCTAGGAGAAAGTGCCAATGAAGGCTAGTCTAGTACATGTGAACCGAATCGTAACAGATGGCGTTGGAGTGTTCCTCGAAGGAAAAACATTAATATCGTTGTGGTGAGGGCGTAAAAGGTCGGGGAAGACATTAATATCGTTGGGCGTGAGGGCGTGAAAGGTCAAAAGAGAGACAATCCCAGTATCTCGGGATAGTCGCCGACCCTCTATAAGGCTACACAATGGATCCATCAGCTTTAACAGAACCGAACAACAAAGAAAACATGACTGCTGACTCTTCGATGCGCAGTGCTTTCGTCTAGGGAGTTCTTTCAGGATATTAATCGCGAATGTTTTAGGATCACTTACGATCGACCAAGCAACGGTAAGTGGCCATCCCATAGGGTGTTCCATCGGTATTCCGTTCCCAAACGACGACATCATCGCCAGCACGATACCAGCGTCGACACCCCCACTCTGTACTTGTGACGGAACGACCGCGACCTCGGGTATACATAGCTACTCGTTTCGGTTCTTTTTTTTGAGAATAACGAAGCGTGCAACGAAAGTTGAGGGAAATTGAAAACGCGCCCGTAGGGAAGAATGAGTGGAGAGGATGTGCCCTTTATACGACTCGGTAGTCAAAATACAAGAATCAAGAATGGCCTAAGGAATATTACTGCTTCAGGCGAGAAAGTGAATAATGAACAATGACACGAGGTGGCCATGGACTTGACATTAAGTGGATACGGTTTTCTGCAGGAATGGACAATGAGCACTACCTTCACGGTGCTATTCTTACCCAAATATGGCTACGTTTAGGCACTGCTTGCACAGTTTACTTCGACATAAGTGTTACAAGCAGGTGGTTAGATAAATATATACGCCTAGTGACAAGATTTCAGAGATGCATCATATCAAAAGAAGCACTCGTACCGTCCAGCCTTGAGTTTGCGTTTATACGAGAATGTTCCAAACCCGTACTCCTTCCTCTTTCCTTCCCATCATATCTAGAAGCTTGGGCCGACCATAACCTTGACGCATGCTATATATTGCGGAGGAGCCTGCGAATGTCTTTCCTACGATGCACGGTGATGAAAATGTCTACCAGAACAAGAAATAGTGAATTACCGTTCTCTTCGCCTGTCCTATTGCATACAACCACTATCATTTCTTTTCCGTTCGCATTCTCATTATCTTCTTCGACAATTTCATTAGTGTTGGGACCCGCAAGATTATTGACCCAAAGAGGCCTCAATCGTGCTGCCCAGTAATTGAGCGTATCCCAATCTGTATCTTCAAACTCTTCCTTTCCAGAATCTAACCATGCATTAAGAAGTACGAGTATGTTTGCGTTCTGTGAGAGCGCGTAGTCTGCAATTTCATAAGGCCCATCCTCAGGAGTCCATATATCAGAGTCAGAAACATTGAGATCATTGCAGATACCAAAGCTAAGAGTGCGTAAGGGAGAAGGAAGAAGAAAAGTGGCGAAGCCTGTTCCTATTGAGGAGTCATAGAGTAAGTGCACGCCTCCACAGATGTATGTCCAATTCACCTGGTTTTGCCCAACTCTTATCCGTGACAAACAGATTCGTCTTTCTATAGTGTCCAACCCATTCTCCGTTAGGACCATACAAGACGGCACTGTTTGCGCCCACTGTTTGCGAATTTCCAGCTTCGCTTGTTGATTCTTCCTTTGACAACGGTGCTTCTTCGTCCGTAAGTTTTTCAGGATATCCAGCGAAAACATAGCATTTCAGTCGACCAGCTAATTCTGAGCAAAATTGAGAGGTTGGCCCTTTCTTTGGATGTTCGAGATATGGAGAGATCGCTTGAGCATCTTGGAAATTGTAACCTTTTGGTGATGCCACGAAGTCAATTTCGGTCGAATAGAACTCTTCACGACTGACCAGACATGATCATTTCTGGTAAACATACCAGGTCTATAGATCTAGGCTTCAATCTTTGGGAGAAAATTCATTACAAACAGTTGGGATAAGGGTGAGGGTTCAACGTTCAACACTTACTGGCGGCATAGTTCTCTCGCTCTTGCCACATTGACCTGAACCTGACCTATCTTTGGCAAATCAGTCGTGTTTAATCAACTTCATTTTACAGAAGATATAATGATCATAGTAACCTTGGGAGAGAACTGAACGACAGCGATGCGGAGAGGAATATGGGATGTCATTAATGCGTCAATGCAATGTACTACAGTATGTAGAGTTGCGGCAAGAGAGGTTGAAACGGCCTTTCAGAATCGTGATACATTGAAAAAATATCATACATGGTATACATACTAAGGACTACTTCATCAGTGATGTGACTACAGGTGACTACTAGTTCAATCCAATGGCCAATAAAACTTCGTCAACGTTCTTCATGAAACTGTCCCAGTCATGTTGCATGCTGAGGAAGATGATGAACATTTGACCTATTCAGCGGATTCCCCGTTTTCTTGAAACACACCTGTCAATATCGACTGAACCTACGGAGGATTCATGGGACCCGCTCGCATCCGACCCCTTATCACTGGCTATAAATGTGAAAGATATTAAAAAAGGGGGGAAGATCGTTTATGCCTAATTCCAAAAGAAACTGACCATAAGTATCAGTAAAATGGGCAGTCTGGATTTGAAGGGTCTCTTCATGTGCGCCGAGCGTTGCTGGATCGGTGGCGAGACTGGCAGGTATGGCAGAAGTGAAGCTGCTACGAGGTGTCTGTGCGCCGATAAAGCCGCTAGTGCTTTTACCTTCTGCAGATTCAAAATGAAAATCACTTAGGACAGAAACCTCGCTGGGGTCTATCATGATTTGACTATTCGTCATGTACGAGGCAACACGCTGAGTTCCAGCCAAACGTCGTTGTTCAATTTCTGGGATATTCAGTTGTGATTCGAAATTCAGCTCGACCGAAGAATCGTCCATATCATCCATATCGTCTCTCCTCATTCTTTTTGATGTTGGGGCCGACTCGACGGAAACATTCGATAGAAGACCTCCTGCAGAAATGAAAGCCTTAAGCTTATCCCTGTTGCAATTATATTAAGGAATTTCTTGTTCTGTGCGGATGAAAGACACTTGCGCGACACGTCCAACTGTTTGGGCACTAAGGGCAAGGTGAAATGTATTCAGGTTCAAAGATCGACCAAACTTGCCTTGGATCAGCATTTGTGAGCATTTCAACTATGCTTGTCACATCGGACCTTACAACCTTGATATCTGCGTAAGGCGTAGGACCAGTTCCTTGCCTATGTCTCCACAGGATCAAATTCAAGAATGTAGCGCAGTGGGCAATGTTGAGCTGTAAAGATATGTTGCTTCGTATGATCTGTCACTTAACAGCATACACGCACCAAAACTTCGAAACGATTCTTTGACCTCTGATGCAATACTTGTGATATTCTGACCGTAGATCTCGCTGCGTTGGCACAGATAGCGAACGAAGGGAAGCCTTGCTGATTATCGGAAGCGGAAGCCTGGCGGAACAGGAAGTTTTTGTGGAGTTGCACTTCCAAGACGTCGTTAGAAAAAGTGAACATTAAATATGAGTTTTCGCATACGCTGAATCCAATAGAAGGTTGTATAAAGAATGGCTGAATGATTTAAACGGATTTTGTCTGGCTGGTTTGGGTCCCATCGTACTAAATATAAGATGATAGCCCACGAAGCTGGAGAAATAGACAAAGTACATACAATGTTCGGGAAGTGACATTAACCAATGATTTAGGGCAGAGTCGTGTTGCATCGCCTTTTTCCGATTCCTTTCAACAGCAGTAAGACTATCATCCTTGTATTCAGGTACCTCGTTGACGCAGTACTACAAAAATTGATGAATCGAGGTCTGTATGAATAGTTTCAACATACTACGCTTCTTTGCACTGATGCAGCAATATCCACAAGTTTGTTGTAGTGTGTAAAGAAGCTGAGCCCAGAAGTTTTTCCAGGGGGCTGTGTAAAGCCTTCATTATGCTCTGTTTTCTCCCAATATTCATCGTCACATTCAACAGGCCTGTCTAAGTCGAAACTAGAACCCAAGTAAGCTTAGTAGTAGACAACCACTCAAGATATTATTTCTTTTGAAAGACTTACTGTTCTGAATCTATCGCTGCAGGGCGTCCCAAACTTAGTCCTTGGAGTACATCTGCATTCCGAAGAATCCAAAAGATACGTATCCACAGCTCGCTCTCTGCATCCCGTGATTTGTTAGTTTTCAGGCGATGTATTCCTCTATCTAGGCTAAGTCGTAAACCTAATCCCACCAATGACCAGGCCGAGTCAAACATATTCGTTTGCCGCAAGTACAAATAAGCTACCTGATATTTTGTCAGCATCCAGTGAAACCAGTGTAACTTTATGAACAGTTAACCTACACAATACAGCTGCAGCTCATGTATTGAGGTGGGTTCAACGAAATTGGGGCGAACTAGCCGGATCTGGGAAAACCATTGCCATCCCGCCGTGATTTTTGTATCTTGCTTCAAGATCCGAGGATCCTGAGAGTCACGGGCTGCAACAGCGCAGACAGCTAACAACAGGGCACCAAAACTGTGGTCGAGAAGATGTCGACCGTTGATTACAGCTTTTTCGAAGGTGGGTCGATGAAGTAGAGGAAAGTATGGCGCAACCTCGGTGAAGTAGATACGCAGCAAGTCCCATAAGAGGTCGATTTCTGGAAAGGTGTATATCGGGGCAGCAATTTCCGGTTGAAATTTCCACTGAGCCATGATGAGATCGAATATAAATGCTCTGAGCATATTACTGACCATATCTAAGCCCCAATACTCAGGCCTCTTGAAACGCGCCAGATACAAATCGTGCTGTGTAAAATCTAAAGGTTGGTTGTTTTTTGTTGCATTGGTTATGATATCGTGTATAAACCTCATATTGCTGGATTTGCCGAAATGTCGAACGTTTGAATGGCCCAAGGTTATTTTCTTAAATGTTTCCTCGTTAACGTCGTCGTCATCCGAGGAGGAATCTTCCCCTGACATATTGGTATCTGAAGGCGAAGAACCAAACAGCTGTGATGATGGATTCCCAAGAGTAAGCGAGGATTCATCACCCATCATGGCCTTTCGCAAACGTTTCAACTCATTATCCACTGATCGGGCATAATTCGCGAGGGAGACGATGATGTCGTGGACGATTGTAGTATCTGAAGGTAGAGTATAAGCGGCGGAAGAAAGTATTTCCTCTATCAACGAATGTGGGTCGAAGGACTGAGAGGACTGAGTCTTGGCAATATTGGGTTTTCGTTTCTAACGAAATTCGGTTGCATTTAACATACACGATGTGTCGAGGTCGCGTACCTTTCGCATGTAGGTATATGTACACTGTAGTTCTGCGATGACACATTTCGTACATGGTATCCCCTCCTGAAGATTGTTACTGTCACCTAATGGTGAGAGTAAGAGAATCCTTGAATCGTAGACCCATGTTGCTCACATTTGACTATTTGGAGATAATTTTGTTTAGCATAACGATATCATTACCAATTGCCCAACTTAACTCTTCCTGCACATACGAATCAGTAAAAGTTCTATCAGTTCTTGAACCGCATAGAGACCTAGATCGACATTGGTCACAGGCTTTCTGAGCTTTTGAGCCCATACCGCAGTACGCCCGTCTAATCCGACGTTGAGGAAATAAGTCAAAGTGCTTAAATAAAAGAGGCCCTGCCGCCCGCTCAAGCAAAGCATTTCTCACGGCTTCTTAGTAGATTTACAAGTTACTATGTACACAAGGAGCCTATACTCGAGCTCAGTGGACAACGTACTTAGCAGTAATAAATAATAGATATACATAGTAAACATTCATAGCTTTAGTTCTATAACGCTTCATTCCGACCCCAATTTCAGCCGCTTTGACAGCGACTCTTCATCCGCCTCATCGCTTTTCATAACTTGTACCTGCTTAGCCGTATCCCACGATCGCGGTCGCGTTCGCTTTTGACTTCGACTCTTACCAACCATCACACCCCGGATTGCCTCAAACCCCATCGGAACCCGCTCTAGTCGTCTTTCTGCGATAGCACTGAGCTGAGTGCATAAATTGTCACAAGTCTGAAGCATATCTTCATTAGTGATTTGATTAGCAGCAAAGTCTGCCCTTGCGAGGTGGAGTAGTCGGACAAGGACTTGGATGTTGGCGTGCTCTATGAGGTTGTTTTGGAGCGCAGTGGTTTCTTCGAGACGGTACTCTAGGATGTAACCAGTTTATATCAATAGCGCGACGAAAGCGCAGTGAGACGACTGGCCTGTCAAGGTTCGGGATTGTATCTTGTACTTTTCCTTCAAGTCAAGGAAACGTTCCCGGAACGATTCCGCTTCCCTGTGGTTAAATCTGCCCTCATCCTTGTTGACATTCGAAGGCTCATCAGGTATTGTTTCGAGTGTCCGCATTTTCTCGTAATCTAAGGCGTATTCTCTCAAGGATCGACAATGATGCAAAACAGGAGCAACTACACACCTCTCAGTCGTTCAGAAAGCAATCGGTTGTCTTCTCTAGCTTGAACAAGGGATTTTTCACACGCAGAAAGACTTCTCTCTTTCTCGAAAAGCGCATCAACATGCGAATCTTTAAGAAGCTCCATGCATTTTATCGTCTCATCGTACTGAATTTGCAATGAAGACAGCTTTGTCTCCAATTCACCCTTTTGTCGCACAAGATCCTCAAGGCGCGTGTCGTATTGGGCATCCAATTCCCGTATTGTTTGAGTATGCTTCAACACCAGAGATTGTAATCTCGCTGGAGCATCCTCCATAGATTGGGGGGTTAATGTTTTAGAAGACGCATTTTGATCTGCGGATTGGCCTTCCAATGAAATAATTTGATGTTTTGTCTGGCCATCTCTAGAAGAATTAGATGATCTCTGTATGTGTTCGTGCAAGTATTGAGGATGCGGCCGTGCCTCCCCCTCTTTCATGACCTGCTTCGAAATATTCCCAGCGCCGGTCAAGCCAAGGCGGGTGTGAGTTTCTGAGATATTTCTTGTAAAAGCTAGCTCCGCTTCCAAAGCAGCCAGCTTAATTCCTTTCTTCTGGTTCTCCTTGACAAGCTCGTTATTGCGCGCTTGAAAGATCTGCAATTGTTGCTGGATTTCTGTATACTTCTGTGTGAAAAGTGATAATAGACCGGGGGCATGTGTAATGAGTTGCATAGATTGGGGGAAAGAATTCGGATCTGGTCCTGGATCCGGGCGAGGGAGTTTTTTGGAAGAAGACGAGGATGGCAAAGGATTATGAACGACGCTAGTTTGCAAGTTTTGTGGTTTATTTGACTGATTTCGGGATATACATGAGATTTCTTTGTTCTGTCATCAATAGGAAGCGCACTCACCGCATGTACGTCCGGACCAGCAGAAAGCACAATCTCATTGCCACTTGCATTTCCATTGGAAACTAACTTTTTCTCCATGTCCAATTTGACCCCAAGATCTAATTCATTCAAGCCCATCGTCTGCTGTAGTCTCCACCGGTGCTCCGCCACTTCTCTTGAGCACTGCATTCTGAGGACCGTGCACGTCCTACACCGAACATTGTGTTGATATATTGCCCCAACGTCCGATGCTGCAGAAGGCCCTTCTGGGAGGCTCGTAGGACAAGTGATGTTGTTCATACATACCAGGCGGTTTTTTAAGCATAGTTCGCATGCCTGTGGGGAGATATCTTGTTATAACGAGGGAGGTATGGAAAGTAAATTCATACAAGACCAGCATTCAAACGGCACCATTCCAATGTCCGCTTGAGCACTTCGTCGGAGGACGACTTTACAGTGAGATTTTGGCCTATGGGAGCCGTGGCCGTTGAAGCAGGGGATTCGCTCATTGCGATGGAAGCAAGTATCAGAGTCTGATCATGAGTATCTCGTCACCTCTCGACACCTGTAACAATAAAACTGACAGCAATTCTGATATCGACAATGACGCTTACGGCAAAACTCTCAGCGCTTAAAAAGCCTTGGCTTGGCGCCTAAATCCGCTAGGCTACTCTCCATAAACCCTCTGCTCTCCGCTTGGATCCATGGCATTTATTGTCAATGTTAGGACGTGCACTGGTCAATATCCATGGCCAATCGAGTCTCCCATCCCCTTTTTAAGACCTACCAGCAACCTCTGCCACTAGCTCAATGTGTCAACAGGCTTCTATATTGGCGCTGGGGTCGATATTCGAGATCTAGAGCAAAGTCTAGGAAATCTTCGCTACAAACGCAGTATTTGCGATGCTATAGAAGGCTGTAGACAAGCGTATCAAACGGTTCGAATATCTTTCGCAAGCTTTCTTGTTGGGGAATCACCTGGAAGTACGCGGACTCGGCCGTGCGGAGAGATACGCGTTGTACTAGGCATACAGTAACTTATGGTAAGACTGAACTTAAAGATTTTTCCAATCTGGCATACTGAGCTGCCACGCCTGACCCCAGAATGTATTCTGATTACGATGCGTAGAATCCGGACAGTACTGCTTATGGAGTCAGATTGCAATGGGAGCATCAAAATGCGTTCATATTTTTTCTAAGTCATGATTTTCTGTTCGCCGAAAAAGTAAGCAAGTGTTCGCCTCGGGGAAAGAGCTTCTATGACGTATAGAACGCGTCCGATGGTAATCTCCTTATATAACGGACGAATTGGCTTCCATAATACAACCTATCTCGCTCATTCACTTTCACTTCCACCATGAAAGAAAAGGCAAATTTTAGCGGCTCTAACACCACCGCATCAACAGCCACCAACAACTCAATCCCACAACCGATCTCTTCCAACACCGCCAAACCTTCGACCTCGGAAACGTCCATCACCCATGTTGAAAATCGCTCTGGTCGTCGCGATGGAAAGCGAGAGCTCACCGAAGAGGAAGCTTATGACAAGCTTGGATATTCTTTTCCAACATGGCGCAAATGGATGATTCTCTCTGTCATCTTCGCCATCCAAGTTTCAATGAACTTCAACGCGGCTGTATACCCAAACGTCGCTCAGGATCTTTCCGACCAGTTCAATATCAGTCTACAGGCAGCGCGCGTTGGCCAGATGATTTTCCTGGTCGCGTATGCCTTTGGTAGTGAACTATGGGCTCCTTGGAGTGAAGAATTAGGACGATGGCCAATTCTCCAGGCTAGTTTATTTTTAGTGAACAGTGAGTCTCCCGATACTTCACGATATCATTTACTCATGCTTCGTTTAGTTTGGCAAATTCCTTGCGCACTTGCGCCGAATTATGGAACAATCGTAGTAGGCCGTTTCCTCGGAGGTTTGTCTTCGGCGGGAGGCTCCGTAACTTTAGGAATGGTAAGCGTTTCCATTGGGTCCTATCAAGTACAGTCCACATTCTATCCAATTTAGGTAGCAGATATGTGGGACGCAGATGATCAACAGTTCGCCGTTGCATTCATCGTTTTCTCTTCTGTCGGCGGATCTTCAATCGGCCCGGTCGTAGGAGCCTTCATACAAAAATACCTCTCCTGGCACTGGAATTTCTGGATCCAACTCATGTTCGGTGGCTTTGTCCAGGTGGTGCACTTCTTCTTTGTTTCCGAGACGAGAAGCTCGGTTCTCTTGGACCGGGAAGCGAAGCGGCTAAGGAAAGCAGGTCAAACGGATGTTTATGGACCTGGTGAACTTAAGGAACATCGGTTCGAGATGAAGGAAGTATTGGCAACGTGGGCTAGACCTGTGCGTTATGCTTGATATGCATCCTCATAAGTATAAACTCTAACTGGTGCATCCCGTAGTTTGAAATGTTCGCTCGAGAACCCATTGTTTTGTGCCTCAGTCTGCTTTCCGGATTCAGCGATGGGCTCATTTTTTGCTTCATGGAAGCATTCACCCCCGTATATTCACAATGGGGTTTTGGGACGATTGAACTTGGATTGGCATTTGTTCCGTTAGTTTAATTTTACATCCATCATGCTAGCTGAATTCTTTTCAAGTTACTGAAATCTTTCAATGGACAGGATCAACATTGGTTATGTTCTGGCGTACGCGTCTTACATGTATCCCATAATCAAACATCGCCGGATTATGAAAAAGGATCCGACAGCTTTGTCACCCGAAAGTAGGCTTTGGTGGCTCTTATGGAGTGAGTGGCGTCTCTTCCTCTGTCACCAAATAGTCTCCTTATGTGTTCTTTTCAGCTGCCCCTTTGGAAGCTATCGGTCTATTCGGATTCGCCTGGACCTCGTTTGGACCTCCGAGGGTGCCTTGGATCGCTCCGATGCTCTTTTCGGTACTCATCGCTATCGCCAATGTAAGCATCTGCACCCCTAGATTTTCGATCGATTTCGATAAAACTTACACACTCCCGCCGCAAATAGTACTGCATATACATGTCTACTATCGATTATATGGTCGCCGCGTATGGTGTTTACTCCGCCTCTGCGACAGGCGGAAACGCTCTCGCAAGAGACTTCATCGCAGGTGTCTCCGCCATGTATGCAACCCCTCGTACGTTTTCTCTTCAAATTGTAACGAGTTGGTTCGGTGACTGATTGACTCCTATAGTTTATTCTAATCTTGGTCCCCACTCCCTTCAATGGGCATCTACTCTATTGGCGTTTCTCGCTGCTCTGGTCATGATCCCTATCTATGTGTTCTATGTCAAGGGACCACAGATTCGAGCGGCATCGAAGTTCGCTCAAACGCTAGCACACGAACGCATAGAGCATAAGAAGCACGGAGGTAAGGGTGACGTGGTGAGTATAGGGGAAAAAGCCCAGGCAGGTAAAATGGAAGAGGGTGTATAGCTGGTGTATGGCACGGTACATTTTCTGCATTACTGTATACGCTTTGTCAACTAATTATGAGTAGATTTGTAACGCCCTTAAGTATATCTGTTAAACGTAGCTTCGACCAATATCCATGAATTTAATGAATAAGTACCATGTGTGTGATAATCTGGTGAAAACGTATCCTCAATATTGGAGGTCAGATCACGCTCAAGAATTCCTCCGTGTCGAGTGCTTGGTCCTGATTATCGACGAGGCTTTGACATTACCTCCTGAATGGGACCCAGAAGCAATATGAATATGGACTCTTTCTAGCCATCTGCTTAGAATGTCCTTCAATTACTATCTAAGGTCATCGTATGTCTGGTTCATCTGCTCTTGCGTTATTTAATTTTGGGCAAGGTCATATCTGGCACGCGCCAAAACGCGTCCGAGGTCGTGGATATTGGCTTGTTAGATCAGCTCATTTTGTATGTTAACAGTATGTATGTCTCCAAGGACTGAGAGATATGTTGATTTGACATTGAATAACATGGTCTTCAATCCCCCAACTTGCAGAATCACAGATTTGGAAATGACATTTGTAGTTTCTTGGTTTCCCGACATCTTCTGCAGTTTCATGTTTGACTCTTCTATTCTTTTTCTTCGGACGACCGACACCTCTCCTCTGATATCCTACATCTTTCCTCTGGCGTATGGAGCATTTAATTCTTTAAATTTTGATTCGAGGTCGTTAATCTCAGTCGTTCCCTCATTTTCCAAATTCTGTAGCTCCCGTGTGAGGACAGGCATAGGCAGTGAAGGTGAACAATAGACCCTGAGTCTAGGGTGGAATGCACTTCTCGTCGAAAGATGTAGCAGAGGTTAAAACAGATTGGAGAAGATTGAAGAGAGTCCGTCAACCAATATTCCACGGGTAAGTTGTCAACGCTCACATTCTGTAGTGATATCAGCCGTATAGTCGTGTTATCGGTGGATAAGGTCAGTCCTCACCACATACGATAAGTACCAGGGGCGAATTTCTTTCGTCTGTAGGTCCAGCGCATCCAAAGTAAGCCCGTTGGTAGGAAAATTCTTCTTTACTCTGTATCGCAGCTCGTCCAGTCTCCAAGAGCAATGTGCCAATATGCAATATGTTGAGTAACACAGTATGAGCACGAGCTATAATTCAGACTTAGCACACACCCCGGACGGTTGTGTTCAATGCATAAGATGCAAGCCTAGTGTTACTATGTCAGATCAATCGTCTTAAGAAATTCGCATAACATACTTACTGCACCCGGATATGAGTAATACATACCGGTCTTTCAGCTGATCTGTATTTGTGGCTGCCCCAGAATGCTTTCATCTATCTCATGAGCTGATTCCGGACGTTAGCAAGAGAGGTTGTGGAAGATTATATAAGCCTTTCGAGTACTATATATGGAGTATACTCAGACTAAGTTATCGACTGGTTGTCGACCCTAGCCCTGTACCGACAAAGAATATGATGCGACAGTGAGGTTTCACCATTCGATGTACCCAAGATCAAAGAGGCATCGTCAATAATGTATCCCTTGCAAGGCCACTCAGGTGAAGCATATTCAATCGACCGAGATGCCTTCTTTCGTAAAACCTCGAAAAGAAGTTGACCGGACTTCGAATAGGAAATTTTTATCCGGCGATGCCGCGGTGCCATTTCTGCACTCTTCGCTTTTCTTCCTTGTACAGCATCTTGACCAATAACTAGAAGTAAATATCCGCAATGGTAGGGAAGGTAAGGCTTTCCGTAGTTTGCTTTTGCTCTATATGCCCAAGCCTCAATTGGATCAATCAATTTCCAGAGGCCCCGTACAACTTCTCCAATTATAGAGTGTCGTGCAGTAGTGGTCCGTTCTACCCAATCAGATGGCTCTGCAGTGGAGAACAGTAGAGAACGTCGATGCCTTTGCGGTAAAGTTCTATCTATGACGCAGGCTTTATCTGGATCATGCCAGTCCTGTCTTCACAAAGTCCGAATCTCTCGAGGTAGTAGCGATAACGACAGTAGCGAGCCCGAAGAAAACCCAAGCACTGACAACAGAAGGAGTAAGAGGCGTATTGGTCGTCCAAAGAAAATCCCATCAAACAATGTCACTCGGTTTTGCGCCAACTCAAGTTGTGGCAACCCTCTTCCCCTTGATTATTCTTACAAAAGGTGTCAGCCCTGCATCAGGGCTTATCACGAGCGCTATCGCATGAACATTGCCTGTGCAGGTCGTTGCGGTGCCCGCATTCCTCGCAATTCTAGTCTCAAAACATGCTCAGCCTGTCGGAAAGGTGGCCATAAAAATCGTTCTCCCAGGCTATGCAGACGTTATAAAAAATGTGGCAATTCACTTCCTGTTGCGAGCCCCTTCAAATCATGTGCTTCTTGCCTTGAATACGACAGAGAGCAACGTCGCCAAAGGGTTGCTCGTGCATCGCGAGTGACTAATCGCGACTCGGATGTTGGAGACCGTGATAGTAACGTAGGTACATAACACTGTTATCAAAGATAAAATTGACTGATTGTAGGACATTTGGATTGCTGTTACTCCCCAGGTACATGAAACGATTGTGATAGATCTTAGTAGCGAAGGCGAAGACGAGGAACTGGAAGAAAATCCGCATCAGGAACTGGAAAGTCACAATGCCCAGGTTAAGGAGCTTGAGACTGAATTAATACGAGCCAAGAAAAAGGCTTCGCAGAAACTGCCCAGCCTTACCGAGCAACTGAACTATGCAGATAGTAGACTCGAGAGTTTCATGCAGCACGGACATCGCGTTGACCTTACAAACGACACGCATAGCCAACTTGTAGAATTCGAAGAGAAGAAGCAACTTAAACAAGAAAATGAACGTTTACACAAGGAAATCACAGGTAAGCCAAAGATTCCCATGCTTTCCTTGTCGCTGTTCTTTTGAATTTTTGGTTTCTTGTTGCTGACGCAGCAACTTCGCAGAACTCAAATGTCAACTGAACAACATCATCCAGCACGACCTCGCAGAACATACCCATTTAAATATCTTGAACCGCCTACTTCTCCAAACCAGACATGATCTTTTGCACGAAAACATTTCTACACTGGTCGTGATCGAGACATTTGACAATCTCAGCAGCCAGTTACGAGAGCTAGCAGACAGGCATTTGGAAAACATACCTGTTGGATTTGGGTCAATCATGGGAGTAATCAGCCATCAAAATGGGCGAGCTAACATTGAGGATGGCAATGAAGTTTATACTGCCGGAAAGCAACAGTACATTTAGGCCAGACTTAGGTTTTCTTCTTGAGACAGCTATTGTTAAGCATTTTACATTGTTTTTGTATACGTATGTATATGTTCTCGTACCAGATTACTCGAACAGAACCAAGAGATCCCGGAGTGCGATCATCTGGTATCTCACAAAATCCATCAAGTAGTTCAGACGTTATCCTAATGCTAGGAAGCTAGTCCAATTCTACAGTGGAGTTCCCCATCATGGAGGGCCCCCTGGCTGCAGTGCCGCATACGAATGGTCCAAGGCGGACCAGCATACGTAAAATGACTTGCTTGTTCCATCGCACAATGCACCATCAAGCACAAGCAATGTCACTAAAGATATTGATAAAAAACTCAGTCAGAAGGATAGAAAAACAAAAACAACTGACCATAGTTTTATGATCATCGACCAGCGTTGGGCGATGATAATTTGACCAATGTAACAAGAGAACTCAACACAGATTACACCCATTCTTTTCTTCGCTTTCCCAATGAACCTACTCCGGCAGCTTCAGCCGCCCTTTTATTACATGCCTCACAAAATCGGCCCTGACCATGCACCGCGGAGGCGGAACTAGACGCAAGTGGAGCTGGTATATCGACACCGTGCCAGTCCCAAACGCCATCGTATTCACCGTCTGCATCCAGGAAGCCCTCGCGTTCGGCCAAGCCACGGAAAAGCTGGCGCAGTCCCTCATAGTCAGGCAAGTCGGTGAACTGAAGCGTACGTGCATAGCGATATAAGACGCCAAACTCCTCTGGTAAACCAGCTAGCAGAGTAGCAGGGTCAGACGAGGAAGTTGGTGCATGGTTATGCTGTCTTCTGTCCTTCGACGTACTAAGCAGAGCAACCTCGGCTTTCACCTTCTCCTCCCGAATTAGATTCCAAGTTTGAGTTATGGGATTCCACTCCTTCGAAGGCCAATTGGGTGGAGGATCAACTGTGGCTCTAACTTTCCGCCAAGGTAACCCTCCCCGCACAAAGCCAATTAACATATAGGCTAGACTCTCGAGGTCATCTCTCCTGCCTGTCTCTACGCCGAAGTGCGTGTTTAGGGAGGCATAGAGTGAGGTGCCGACACCATGAAGAGCATCAGGATGCTGAGAATAGGGAATGTGTTCGCCATTCAAAGGCTGGCGGTAGCGTTTAGCAAGGCCAAAGTCAATAATGTTCACGATACTCGGGGTCGTGCGACTCATGACAAAGTTGGCGGGCTTGACATCTCGATGAAGAACACCACGACTATGAACATATTCCAGTCTGTCCAAACACTGTACAGCGAGCATGCATGTTGTTTTCAAACTGAAACGTCGACCACAGCGACGCGATAGGTCCTCCAAGGAAGGACCAAGTAAATCCATCACGAGAACGTTATAGGGACCCGATTTTCCTGAATGCAAAAGAAAAGGAACTCCAGGGGCACCCATGAGACGTTTGTATATCTGTGACTCGAGAGTCAGTGGCGAAAGACCAGGATATGGATCTATTGTCTGCTTCTTGCTTTTTGATTGTAGCTCTGGCTGGCTTTTGCTACGGCGCATAGATTGTCTGCCCTCTGTCGCGGGTTCAAGCTTGATAGCAACCTGTTTTCCTGCGATGTGATGTGTTCCAAGGAAAACGGTTCCGCACCCTCCGTTGGCGATCTCCTGTTCGAGGAGATATTTTCCTCCGAATTTGTAGTCCATGGTAATTCACGGTGTTTTATGGGCATAAATCAATGTCTAAGACGAGGACGAGAAAGGGATACACGAGTCGAATAGGCTGCGAGGACTAGCGCCACGATGGTCAGAATTCAACAAAAAACCAGCTGAGGTTCAATTTCACGATATGTCACTCTGATGTCACGCCTTAGTAAGTACTTATATAAGTTTGACTCCGGTACTGCTCCGGGGTGTCCGCAAGGTCTACAATCTCCATGGAGGTGCATATATGTGGATTTATAAACATATTTGTGTTAAGCTGCAAAAAGTACGTATGTAATGTTGAGGTAGGGAAAACTGTGTACTTTTCACGAGGTTTTTTTGCGCTTTTTCCTCATGAAGATTGGCCCCTTTAGTAGAAATATCCTTAATCTAAGTAGAGGATGTACAGTATGGTAAAAGACTCTAATGTTCCTAATAAAGTCATTTAACTATCTTGTCCAGAATCTCTTCAGATCTCTTCGGATTCATTTCGCAACTTCAGATGCTTCGATACTGAAAGAAGCGGAAGCAGATGGCAAAATCGAATAATTCTCTCGACGTCAACCTAGACAGACGGACTCCTTACAGAAGTATAGTGTATAGGCTCATTACGAATGGAGCATTCTCGTTGCCGAACGACATTATTGCTCACTTACAGTAGGTATGTAAAGGTAAAGCTCAGATTCGTGAAACCCTGCAAACCTATTTTTCGACTGATTCTCCAAGAGGAGCTGAGAGCCTGCGCTTACGATCCCAGCAGCCAAAGCATCCAGAGCAAGTTAAAAATGTTGTTCTCAGTGCTTTGGCTGGAGGGAGCTCTCCAGCCAGTACCCTTGCTCTGGGAGACCTACTTACAGGTTTTGCAGATCTGGGCCAGTCAGTCACTGGTACTTAATCATAACGGCACCTCGGAACTTGAAGCCTCCTGAAAGCATCCATGTGTCTTGATCTCGAGTTGGACAAAAGAATAAAATTATTACAATTTTCGATTCGACAGTGGAGATTTGGGAAGGAGCCTGAAGGCCTATAGGATCCGGAATAGTATCGCAGGCCAGAATTCAGGATGATGGTTTCATCGATTTGACGGCCTCGGACAATTTGCCGCGGGGCGGTACATCCGGCAGTGTATTCACGAGTCATATGCCGACTCTTCCTGGACTCTTCGAATAGATAGAAACTCGCAGTACGCGCTTTAGTGCTAGACTCCAACTTCTTCCAGATGAATCCACCCTCACCTTCAGGAACCTTGTCCCCGCAAAGCGAAAACTCTACAGGTCATCTTCAGATCCCTGAAACTAGGGATGGATTCTTTGGATACACCGAAGAAAAAAGTCTTCAGCATGTGAGACTGCCAATTGTAACTCGGACGCGTTGTCCTCATTTTCTAGTAACAGATCGGAGAGAAGTATTGGGCTCATCGAAGAGGCTCCGACGTTCCTTCAGAAGGTCCCGCTGCTTCCTTCGCTGGTGGCAGCCTACAAATCTCTGGTCTTCACGCGGCTATGGCCGAAAAGGCGAATAGTTCTAGTCCATTCACTGATGATGACGAGGAAAAATCAGTCGCAGAATCTACTGTACACGGTGCGCTTATCCTCCCAACTCATTTGGCTTGACCAGTGGAACTGAGCAGTTCTTCATCAGATACAATCAGCGCCGAACTATTACACATGTTCCAGTCTTTGCAAAAATGCCTGGAACTCCGTGATAAATATATGACAAAATCAAGGCAGAGACTCGGTGACAATCCGAGAGACTACGATGGCGACTTCATGGGGCTGAACGACGAATGTGCTGGCGTGTCTGGAGTCCGGCCGGACGCGAATTTTGCTGCAAACCAACCTCCGCCTTGGTCTCCAGAACGTTGGGCAATATACCCTCCACCTCCACCTCCGCATTGGCATTGGACAGACATGCAACAGGTCATCAGCTCGGACGGTCGTCGTTCGCCGGAAGGCGAATTTAACTTCAAGGAATGTCATATACCTGAGGGGGATTCGAAAGAATTCGCAATAGACGATACCGGCGTTTATCAAGTTTATGATAATGCCGCAAAAAGTTTGTTCATTCTTTCTCCAGTTTGCAGCTGGCGTCAACTCACATTTTCATTGCTTTAGAAAAAGCTAGAGATCCTTGCTATGATATTCCCAGTGTGCGGGAATATTTCAAAGATCTGGACTATGTTCTCAGCGTCATCTCAGATGGACCTACAAAAAGCTTTGCATTTAGACGGCTCAAATACCTATCAAGCAAGTTCACGATGTACAGCTTGATGAATGAATACCAAGAATTAGCTGATATGAAGGTCAGTGTCCCTACCCATTTTGGAAACAGCTGTTGATCGTTCAACAGAGTGTTCCTCATCGGTACAGTGAAATAAATAGCATCAATGTTTCCCCAGTTGTACTGAGTTGCACATCTTTACAGCGATTTTTACAACGTGCGTAAGGTCGACACACACGTTCACCACTCGAGCAGCATGAATCAAAAACATCTCCTCCGATTCATCAAATCGAAGATGAAACGGACTCCGCACGTATGTTTTGAAACAGGCTGTCAATCCACATGTTCTGATATGAGCTTTGTAGGACGTCGTTATCTTCCGAGATGGGCAAGAACTGACGTTACAGCAAGTCTTCGAATCTCTTCAGCTCACGGCATATGATCTATCGATTGATACACTGGATATGCATGCTCATCAGGATTCATTCCATCGGTTCGATAAATTCAATCTCAAATACAATCCTATCGGTGAATCGCGACTTCGAGAGATCTTTCTCAAAACAGATAACTATATCCAAGGGCGGTATCTTGCGGAGTTGACGAAAGGTATGACATATCGTCTCCTGTGTTGAAAAGTTATAGATTTCTTCTCGTAGAGGTCATGACCGATTTGGAACAGAGCAAGTACCAGGTGAGGGCTCATCTTTATTCATTCTATTCTTATGACCTACCAACTTTTTGATTAGAACTGTGAATGGCGGCTTAGCATATACGGTCGCTCTGCTTCAGAGTGGGACAATTTGGCGAAATGGGTCGTCAATAATAAATTATTTTCTCATAACATTCGGTGGTTGATTCAGGTTCCGAGATTGTACGACATATACAAAGCTAATGGATCAGTGAAGACTTTTGAGGACATCATAAAAAGTGAGAATCTGCCTCTAACTGCTGTTTTGTTCTAATACTTGATCTGCGAAGATGTCTTTGGGCCGTTATTCGAGGTGACCAAGGATCCCAGAACCCATCCAGAGTTACACGTATTTTTACAGCGTGTAGTGGGGTTTGACACAGTCGATGACGAATCTAAGACCGAGCGCAGATTGTACAGGAAATACCCGTATCCCAGATTGTGGGATACGGAACAGTCCCCACCGTACTCATACTGGTCAGTCTTCTGTCACAGAATCTTCATGTATTGCGTAAATTCAAACAGAAAGCATGTAGGGCGTACTACATGTACGCCAATATGGCAAGCTTGAATCGGTGGAGACAACAGAGGGGGTTCAGTAAGTCTTCCCACCTCTACCTATTCCTTACCGTCATTTTTTAACCTACCCTTTTCTTCATTAACAGGTACACTCGTCTTTCGCCCCCACTCCGGTGAAGCAGGCGACACGGACCATTTGACTTCTGCCTTCCTGACCGGACATTCGATTTCACACGGGATATTGCTACGAAAAGTACCTGCGCTCCAGTATTTATTCTATTTGCGCCAGATCGGTATCGCTATGAGTCCTTTGAGCAATAATGCGTTGTTTCTATCTTACGAGAGGAATCCTTTACCGGAATTCTTCAAGGTTGGACTCAATGTGAGCCTGAGTACAGATGACCCGCTCCAGTTCCACTTTACGAAGGTTCGTCGTGATGGAAATTCGGGTACTTCCCAACCTATATATATTACAGGAACCGTTGCTCGAAGAGTACAGTGTCGCCGCCCATGTGAGTCTAGCCGCCTCACTTCAAACACAAATGTTCTTAATCGAAGGTTATTTGACTTTTGCAACTCGTGCACGTAGATTTACAAAATGCCTCAGAGTTCCCTTGCGGAGCTCGCTCGAAATTCCGTTATCCAGAGCGGGTTCGAAATGGAAATCAAAAGACATTGGTTGGGACAACAATGGTACGTTACGGGCTCAGCTGGAAATGATATCAATAAGGTCAATAGCTTCTACGCTGCACAATCTGAAATCTGATAATTCTCTAGACCAATGTCCCGAATATCCGCCTGGCCTTCCGACACCAAACCTTACTGGAAGAGCTGGAGATGATTACGAAACCGCTCAAAGTTACACATTCAAAACGGGCTGAAAATGGTGTTGGGCCTCGAGGAATGTTACCGAATGCAGATACGGTCGCTGCTATGGGGATGTGATTAGTGGTTCTATTTGTAGATAGGTCGATGGGTTTGGCCCTTGTACTTGAAGCTTGATTACATTACTATCACTCGTTGAAAACGTGAAGATCGAAGTATACTATACGGGCGCCTATCGAGGTCGCAAATTTTGTAAGCGCCGAATAATATTTTCCATCTACCACCTCAACATGGATGTGTCTAACATCCTGGCTGATCATGCTGAGAAAATGTACGTCTTCATAAATCGTACCACGCATCTATTGCTCAATTCATTGCAGAAAATCTACTGAAGTCGAAACCGACACCCCATTAGACGTTGATGCTGGATTTCTCACTGTCACAGACCCGAATCCGATAGATGGTGAAAGCTACGAGTAAGTCCTGGGTACTCTCACTTTGACTATCTCGGCTCTCAACTCATTAGCTATCAGATCTTCTCTCGAAACTCATCTCCTCTCGCTCGCTCGTACAGGCACTCAAGCCCTCCTCAACGCACTTTTTTCCCTCCCAACTACTTCCTCACCAGACGGACCCCTTGCTCAACTCCCAGCCCCAACGACTCAATTACCTAGAACCAAACCGTTACCTAAGATCAAACCTTTAACTAAGTGGGAACAGTTTGCTAAAGCTAAGGGTATTCAGGGTAAGAGCAAAGAGAAGAGGGAGAAGAAGGTTTGGGATGAAGAGAGGCAAGAGTGGATAAATAGATGGGGCAAAGATGCAAAGAACAAGCAAGTAGAAGAGCAATGGATTACGGAGGTTCCGATGAATGCTGGTGAGTTCTCGGAATGAGTTGATCATTTATTTCTCACATTTTCTTTTCTAGACATCGATTTCGACCCCCGAAAAGCTGCACGCGACGAGCGTAAAGCCCGAGTAACAAAAAATCAAAAACAGCATGAAGCCAATGCAGCTAGGGCGCAAAAAACTGGAAGCTCTGCCTCCTCCAATCCTGAACGTGAAGCCCATAAAAAAGATTTGGAACGTACTTTAGCCATGTCACGCACTAGTACTGCCAGTATGGGCAAATTCGATCGAAAATTGGAGGGAGAAAAGAAAATGAAAGGCATCAAGCGAAAAGTACGTTCTGTGTTCCCTTCCTTCTATCCTGAACCGACATTCAATGGATATCCCTGTACAGTTTGATCCAACTGAAGGCTCGGTCTCAGCGGAATCTAAAGCAGCCCTCGACCTCTTATCAAAAATGAACTCTGATGCTCGCAAAACCCGGATGACTGAGGCTCAAAGACCTTCCAAGAAGTCTCGGACGTCCCGTAAGTACATGTTTACTGACGTTTCCGGATGTATTGACACAGATCACGCAGATGGTGGTAATGAAGTGGAGGATCCGGAAGGTAAAGTCCTCAATGTACGCAAGGCGGTACGATTTGCCAGTAAGGGCAGGGGTGGCGCAGCACTTGGACGAGAAAGGGAAAAGGCGGGGAAGCTAGGGAAATCAGGGAAGGGCAAGAGGCGATAGATTCCACCTGGAGTAGAATGCTACTTGTACATTGCAATTGGAGTATAACTAGTTGAAGTGTCTCAATAAGTGAGATCACGCCCGTCACAGTCCCGGTCCAAAGTTGACTCATTGTTGAGTCACTAGTCACGCGAGCGTTACATCGCGTCGACGATACATATTTCACTTTAACTTTCATTTCTTTTGTGGCTCATGTCTGATGACAACGACTTGACTCTCACGCTTCATACCTTCAACGGCGATGAGGATGACAGCAACGATGAAATGGATTGGGAGGAGGTTGAGGTTCCTGAGCAAGCGCCCCAAGAACAACAAGCGCTGATGCAGATTGTCCTAAGGCCCGATAACGCAGCTGAAGTGCCAACCAAGTGCGTATTTGAGTATTCTATGATAAGTATGCTCCAAATATCAATCATGCCATAGGAAGTCTAGTGCAATGAGCCATGCCGAACGAATGCTTCGAATAGACTGCCACAAGATTCACACTGTACTTCTGCTCCTAAATGCTCGAATCCGAAATCAGTGGTTGAATGATGAATTACTTCATGTACGTGACTTCTTCCTTCGCTACTGGCATGATGCTAATTCTCTTGTAGGCCCGCCTTCTCTCACTTACCCCCCTCCCCCTACAAACTGCTTTCGCAATGATCCACTCGTCGAAAGTACCCGAAGCCGCCCTTCGGGGCCGCATGTTCGAAAGTTCTGTCTCAAGGCTGGCTGAATGGTGGTCTCAGGACTTTTTTGAAGTCACAGATGAGGGTCACATACGAAATATAACTTTCGATACTATGAAGCAAAAGTTAATAAAGTTCGTTCCCGGATTTGCGGAGCAATTTGAAGATGCTGTTGCCCCACCAGAAGCAGAAAGGGATAATAGTAGGTTCAGGCTCAAATACAAGGGCAAGGGGAAGGAAAAGGAGAAACAACCTCCTTCCACAACTCCCCTCATTGATTCCTCAGACTTGGATCTCCTCGAAGATATTCTTGACAATTCCATCGAAACTATCAAGTCGCCCAAATCGCTCATGAAACATGCATTGATGCAATCTGGTTCACGAGACACTTCCGCCCAGTTGTTCACAGCACTGTGTCGTGCATTGGCTATCCCAGCGCGCTTGGTGGTTAGCTTGCAGAGTGTACCGTGGAAAGCCGCAGTTGGGAGGGAAGCCAAAAAATACCCGAAGAAGACGAGTCATGTAAGTAAAGGAAAAGTAGAGGTAGTGGTAAACGAAGGGAATGCAGCTCCTGCAGTTTCGAGCCCAATGAAAGGGGGCCAGGGACACCGGCGTGATGACCAGCCCGTCGACAAGAAGGGGAAAGCGAAAGCGAAGGAAGAAGCGAAACCGTCAGTCAAACTTAGGAAGAGTAAAAGCAAAGGCAACGTTTTAGGTAGTGCCCAAAGTACGAGTGCGAGCAACAAACCAAAGAAGCCCAAACATGATGGTAAAACTTTCTTTGTCCGATCTGTTTATTCCAACTAATGTTCTTTCTATCTAGATCCACGTATCACGCCACCGACATACTGGACTGAAGTCTTTTCTAAAGCCGACTCTCAATGGATCCCCGTTGATCCTATACGCGGATTCGTTAATAAACGGCATGTATTTGACCCTTCCCCGTCTTCAAACTCTTCATCTTCGTCCTCGTCGGGTGACAATCGCCTTGTATATGTCCTCGCGTTCGAAGAAGACGGTTACGCGAGAGATGTTACAAGGAGGTATGCGAGGGAGTTTGGTGCTAAAGTTGCCAAAGTACAAGGAGGAAGTACGACAAATACCAATCGAGCACGAGTCCAATGGTGGGAAGGAGTATTAAGCCTTATCACAAGGCCCTTTAGACTGGTGAGCTGATTTGCAATTTACAGGCGTTCTCACACTTCTATCTGTATGTGATCTCAGAATCGCGATGACATCGAAGACGACGAACTTGAGACGGCACAGCTCATGGAAGGAATGCCGACAAGTATAATAGGGTTCAAAGACCATCCGTTATACGTGCTTCCTCGACATCTAAAGCAAAATGAGACCATATACCCACCACCTGCCCCAGCATTAGGACCAGGGTTTGATTCCTCTATGCCTCTGGATCCTAGCGGTTCTCGCTCTCATACACCTGAGTTAGGCAAGTTTCGTGGAGAGCCTGTTTACCCAAGATCTTCTGTTGTTCCTCTGAAGACCCCAGAAAACTGGTTACGAAGTGAAGGCAGAAGTATTAAAGAGGGGGCGGCTCCGATGAAGTATGTCAAACTACGAGCTAGTACTATTGGGAGGAGGAGAGAAATTGAGATGATCAAAGAAGGAATGAAAGATATCCAGGAAAAAACAAAGGGGGCAAATGGTGTCATCGGCATCCATGTTGATGAGCTCGTCGACGAAGAACGAGCAGGAACGTCAGGAAATGCAGATACAGGAGGTGAGATTATGCAAGGCCTGTATGCCCGCAATCAGACAGAACTCTATGTTCCTGATCCCGTAGTTGATGTGAGTAAAGCCAGTGACATATCAAGTTACCATTGACATGCAAGTTTGTGCAGGGAATCATTCCCAAAAATCAATTTGGGAACATTGACCTGTATGTGAACACAATGCTACCGAGGGGCGCAGTGCATATGCCTTGTGAGTCTTGAACAATCTTCGTTCACACTAATTTACTTTATTCACTTTGCACAGTTAAAGGTGTCGCAAAAATCGCTCGTAAATTGCAGATCGACTTTGCGGAGGCTGTAGTGAGCAATCTGTCCAATTTTTATCCATTTGTAACCTATATGTTAATGGCATATAGACTGGCTTCGAGTTCCGAAAGCGTAAAGCCACACCTGTGTTGGAAGGTATCGTCGTCGCCATAGAAAATGAGGAGGTTGTACTTGAGGTAAGCTCAATCCTGCTTCTATGTCTATTGATTTACTGATTATTCATAGGCCTTCCTAACAGCCGAACGCGAAGCTTTGGAGAAGGCTCAGCTCAAGCAAAAAGAACGAGTGCTGAAACAATGGACAAGACTCATCCATGGCCTTAGAATACGACAAAGGCTGCAAGAACAATACGCCGATCGTCCTGGGGGAGGGGAAGGTACGAATAACCTAACAACACACGACATTGCCGTGATCGAGAGCAACAAGAAGGAACAAAACACTGTCAATGAATACATCACACAAGGTGATCAAGGGGATCAAAATCTTACAGGCGTTATCTCGTGCTACGAAAAGGGCGAGAGCATGGAGGAGCAGGAACGCCAAACTCCAGATCAAGATGTGCATCATCTTACACCCGCCGCCGCTGGGTTTATTGTTCAAGCAGGGGACGTCGTCCAGCCCTTCAGGCTCCCAAAACTTCCAAAGCTCGATAGCGATTTGGTCAACTACTCTTCCTTGGGTCGATTGCCGAACTCGAATTCGGAGCTCGATTTACCATCTGATGATGCACTTCCTATGCCGGATTTCGAGACGTACGACATCGACGTGGTCGACGACGGTGAGCTTACGCTTACATTCAAGGATCCCCCCACGACAATCCCAAAGACCATGCATGAACTAGCTCAGGTTGCCGAAACTATCCGGGCCCCTGTAATTAAAGCCGATGATTCGGAGGACCAAGCTCCTACAGCCAGATCCGCCTCAAGATCTGAGACTGTATCTCAGCCTTTTTCCGCCCAAAAAAAGCATACAAGAAATCACCCAGCACAGCCAAGTGTTCCTGCTACTGGATCTGGAATCGCTGTCGTTTCCCCAAGTGAAAATGGTACGAGTCGGAGGAAAAACGGAAGGGGGAAACAAGAAGAAACAAATAAAGCCTCTCCAGTTTCTGCACGTCGTAGATCGGTAAGATTGACGACGCGTAAACGGAAACTCCGACGAGCAGATAGCGATTCGGACGATGATGTTTCAGATGAGGAAGACGACAACGCTGGTCGGATGTCTTCCTCGCTGACTAAACGTAGTCGTCAGAGCGTTCGAACTCCGTCAGCTCCAGGAGCAGGAGGCGAAGAAGCGGGTACGCCTTCTTCAACAAGAGTCCTGCGCTCTAGCGTTGCCAAAAAATAGGTTTGAGACCAAGGAGAATGAAGGAACGGGGTTAAAGCTTACTCCCGGACGTACTTATACAATGAGATCCTTCTACCCTTCTACATTATTTTTTCATTAATGCCAAATGGCTTGACCTGTCAGACCATCTATATGTATGTATACATAGTGTAATATAGATACTCGCGCAACCGAACTACTATACTTGTTCCAAAGATTCGTCTTCGACCACTCCGATAGTAGGTAAAGGCGGCAAGAGACAAGCAAAGGTTAAATATGAAGTATGTCCCCGCACTTCTGGCATCACCTTGGAAAGGTTTATCTTCATTGGTTGAGCCAATGGAGGCTTTTCCATTTTTACGCGATTTCCTTCGTCCAACACCTCCTCGGCCTTGACCAAGAGCAGGCCACCATCCATCGACACATCTTTGGTAAGGAAATTTTGAGAGTCTTCGATTACTTGACTCTCAACATCTATGATATCTTCTTCCTCGGTCTTCGCCCTTTTTCCACCAGCTGGCTCGTCACTCAATAAACCTGCATCTTCTCCGTCCGTACCATCCCGTTTCCGTTTTTCTCCGTGCGAGGAAGACGATTCATATCCACCCCCCGAAGCAGATACATTTTTTTGGCTATTTCCGTTAGCAGGCGATGTGGAGTCGGAACCTCCGCGATGTCCCGAAGCAATCTGCTTAAGCCGTTTTTCCTCACGTCTGATTTCTGATTGCTTGAGTTTGTCGGAAATTTCTCCTATAGTAGGCAAAGAACTGGTTTGCTGTATATCGTATGGCCTTAACAGAGTTTCGTACATGGTGATATCTAGATAATGAGCAGAGATAGTTAGCATTTTTAGTTCAGCGTCATGCACTAGATTCATCAGCTAGGTGCACTAGGTGTGAAAGATTATAAAGAGTGATGCAAATCAGCAAATCTTCTCGGGGGGTCACGCCCCTTGACCGAGGAGTCCTGCCTGCGTGTATACAGCGGCGGGACAAGGAACGAGCAATCTATCGTGATAAGCACTTTTTAAAGAGAGAGATCTGTCTGAATCTGTCCTTATGCAAGACAATAATAGAAAAAATTGTCAACGGTAATCCAGACGTCTCTGATTTGAGAGTTGAATTGAACGTTTGACTCAATTGTCCAAGGAGCCAGTGAAAGCCCGTGAAAGACGAAATATATATAATTCCGAAAGAAAGCATGGACAAATGACACTAACCTGTAAACCCAGAATCATTCAGAGCGCTCACTGTTCGAAGAACTTGCTCTATACAAGGACTGAAACAACATATTCGAGCGATCCGATCTTTCTAAATGAAGTGAGGATGGTGAACGATTTGATAGTCAGGAATACATAACAACACGAACGCGTAGAGCTTTCTTAGCATGTTCGATCGCATCCCAAGGCGCAGGTAAGTCGAGAAAAACTAGGATTGTATCATTGAGTCATACGTCCGAGAGGTTGATACCCATACTTACGCGCGTCGGCAGTATCAGTCACCGTGAATCCATCTTTACAGACATTACGATGTGTCAGGGTAACCCGGTCTGATAGACCATGTCGATGAAATTCCTGCCTAACAAACTGGTATAAGTTCGAAATCTCCGTAGGAGATGGGGCGCAAGGCGACGGCAACCGAGTACAGATAGATTACGAACCTTGCCTTGTTCGCCCTAGTTTCATGAAATTCGTAAGACCAGAGGTGCCCCGATGTGCCAATGGACCTCATCACAGAGTGAGAAAACGACCCAGATCCCGTTCCTAAAAACGGACCGGTCAGAATATGCCTCGGAAATCTGGAAGATCGATCCACGAGAAATCAGAATTGCGGTGCCGCTGCCGGATCTGATTGGTCAGAACTAGTCCGCCAATCCATGAAAAAATTTGACATTTGCAGAAAAGACGAGGGTGGATGGACTTGCCTGCCTCCACAACCTGACTGCCGTTTTTAATGTTGAGATAAGAGGTGATGAAGGCGATGTCGGCAAGGTAGAGAATTTGAGTACGATGAGGAAGGGCCATAGTCCATAGCTCTGGGGTTGGTCGCAGGACATGGATGAAGCCATTTCCTGTACGAGAGCCGACCTTCGAACCGAACGGGATACCAACAAGATCGGCATGTCTGTATGAACCAAATTTACTGTTGAACTCTTTACCCGGTTCAATAATCAAAGGCTGAAGTGCATCTCGTGTCTAAAGGTCCTTGTGTGAGCTAAAACAGATTGCAAGTAGAGGATAGAGCGAAGCGTACGAGCCACAAGATGACAGTATCCCCTGCAGCAATTTCACGAGCTTTCGACCACATAATTCCTCTCAGACTTGAAGACTTCCAGCAAAAGATAAATGTGATGGGTTTAATAATGACCGACAAACGACCGTGACAAACCGCAGATTTACTCTTCAGGTGATGGATCTTTGCAAATCTTGGTTTGATCTAAGGTACTGAATAATTTTCTGATATTCAGAGGGCTCAACAAGGTCCCAATATACTTATAATGTGGGCGAGGAGGTTAAATCAATGCTGAAGATGAGAAGAGGATTGTGCAGGCGCTTTGTGTGGGGAAAAATATGGCGGTGAAAGAGGTTGGAAGGGTAGAAGTGGTATAGGAATATAATTGCGCCATCAAAGACTTATCCCCGGAAGTAAGATCGTGACTGAATCTTCTTCTGCTTGGAGATCTTTCACTTTGAGATGACTTTTTAAGTTCCCTCTCTAAGCGCCGCCGCATTCCACCCCTCCCTTCTCTCCTTTCACCTGTACTTCCATCTCCAGTGCAGACATGGACGACACTGTTCCTTGCGTCTCCTTCAGTGGGTTTCCCCGTCTTCTGCATATTGTGCCCACCGCTGAACCTTTCCTCTTCACAGTTGGAATTGTCGACTTCTCACAAGAGGCATTATCCTTACGCCCTCTATATTGTTGTATGATTCTGATATACTATTGGCTCAGGCAAGATGGTTATACATGACACCCTCCGTCTCCGATCTTCTCGGTACGCCGACGACTGCTTGGGTTCTGGCTCAACACTTACCTATTTGCCCACTATTTACTTCAGGCTATGAACCTCATGAACTACGAGGTCGACCCTCCATCGAGCTGGTTCATCCAGATGAAATGGCGCGTGTTCGGAAATTGCATTAGTATGTCACCAGCTGAATCTCTCCATTTTCCTCCTCCCTAATTCGACGCTGGTCCTGTTAGCGATACCATACGACAGGATAAAGCCGCGTGTCTCGTGTATATCCGAATGAAGCATAAAGATCCTCATAAAGGCTATGTGCTCTGTGGAGTGGTTCGTGCTCATTTCCTAACACTTTTCGATATCTATGGTGCTGAACCGCGATCTTTCGCGTCATACAGTCTCGGTTCGTTCCCTTTCCTTCAACGTATCCGGCCAGATTCTCATCCTGGATTTCTAATTCCTCAGAACTATCGTTCATAATGTCACCGTTGGGAGTGTTAGCTTTGCCAACTCGGGTTCAAAGGCCCTTCATAATGCGTCAACTGCTCAAGAGATAACTGTCATTAGCCCGACTCCGGAATTAGAGTTTCGCGTGCGTGACCCATTTCGTTGTATTGTCGTGTACTTTTTTAAATCTTGATCTTTCCAAAGCGTTGGCATGATCCGTCACCTATGCCCCCAATACCAATACCTGAATCTCTTCGCAGATCTTTCGACGGTTTGGACGAGGATTCTTCACCTCCTCCAGAGTTAGATGAGGACTCATTCACGTACGATCCTCTCCCTTCGCAATCATTCCGCACAGCGTTCATCCTGGATCGGTTCTCGGTTCATTGTACAATTTTGTACTGCTCCAATAATCTTCTGATTACGGCCAGCAATATCGAAAAACGAAGTTTTTTCGACTTCGTGGCTAAGCAGGATGAAATTACGGTACGAACTTGGATTGATACTGTGAAAGGCTGGGGAGTCAATGAACGAGGACAACCCAGTGATGGCGGTTTTGGGTTTGGAAAATTCAAACTGCTAGTAGAAGGACGAGACTATATGTATGTCATCCTTCCTGATTACATTTACCCTGAACTCATTCTGCTGTAGAGCTGGTGATAATCGCCCTCCTGAAGCTACCCCTGCTCGTCAACGGCATGGCTCCAGCTACTTATCCCACACTCGCGTCAGACAAGGCAGAAGTAATGGGCGTGGACACGGGTCAGCAGTGCTGCCATCGCGCACTGCTTCGTCTCCGGAAGGCGAAACGGTCATTGTGGATGCGATTTTTTCCGCTCACTCCGACGGCCTGGTCGTCATTCTTCGAAGGGGAACACAAAACTGAAATATCAAAATCTCCAAAACCAGCACGACCAGGGCATTTGTTTTCGCAATCTGTCCCTTTCACGAGACGATCATGTCCATTATGATCAAATTTGTCCATGTAAGTAGGTTGTCTTGTAAACTTCAATACTCTATTATTCTCTTGTATTATAAATGGTCGTACCATCATTACCCCCTCATTACGATCGTGGTTTCACAGACCCGGATCTATTACCTGCTTTTCACCCTCAAGTACAATGGTTTATCAGTGGTGGACTTTGCATGCTTTTTTATTATTACAATTCATATGTGTACTATTCGGTATGTTCCATCTATTGCGTGTTACCTGTATCTTGTGGTTCCTCCAGTGCTTCCCCTCATCATACATACAATTCCCACTTACGCCACAGCTCTCGTAGCTCGTTGTGCAAATGTACGTACTTCACATCTATAGAACATGCATTCTACTCGATCTCCTCATGTTCGGTCCGTCGTTTCCATTCTGGATGAGTGTGGGGTGATACTTCTTCAGCGCGCTACTTTCATTGCGGCTTTTCGCGGAATCTAGCAAATAACCTACCACAAACATTGGACGAAAAACTACCGAAATTAACTCAAGTCCCAATATCAGGCTGCCAACCTAATTGTGGGTTTATCTTCCGATCTTGTCGCTGAATCATTCATATAAATGGGGTTCATAATCTCCAACGCGATCGAATGTCATTGTCCATATATGCGAAGGGAAAGTCGGTTATGCGCGGATGGAAATCTCACTAGGTCTCCCTATAGAAATATCAGTATTTCATGTATATTGATAACATAGATGTGGGTTTTGCCTTATCATAAACTAAGTGAATATCTCTTGAACTTAAACCATCATGATGACCGCTCCCGAAACAACATCACAGACAACCTTTGTCAAAGAGGTCGGTGACTCATCCTCTGGACAACAAAATTCTCAGAAATGACGGTGAGATGGATATAACGGGGTCCGCACTAACACTACTACTTGAGAAAAATGACTGCCATGTAATGGAATCTCTTCGACCAATTCAATCAACTCAATGAACTTAACCCTCCCGAATCGAATACAAGGAATTCGTCAAGCTGTTTGCGTTGAAAAGAAATAACGATGCGTCGATCGCCCGTATGTGAGTGTTCTTTGTGAATTGTGCTCTTCGCGGTAACGATACAAACTATAATGACAGGACGAACATTTTCCTCCCGCTGTACTCTTGATTCAACATTTGGGATCATATTAAAAACATCACCGTGCCAAGGCTCTCCATTTGTTGAATAAGGCTTACTTATGATGTGACATTCGAAATGTGAAAGGGTTGCCGGGCTAGTTGAAGTAAACAACGTAGATCGAACTTTTGGAGGAACGGTCAGTGTTGAATTCTTTCAGTGGGTTCATAATTTCTTGCGCGTCCTGCGAAAAGAAAGGTCCGCGTGGTTCTGCTTCTGCTGGGTCTTGCTAGGTTCGAGACAGCCTTCACACCCGATGTGCATTTTTTGTCTACAAGAGCATTCTCAATACACCGAAGAAGTCCGTGCCAAGATATACTATGGTGCAGTTGGCTTAGTCACCACTAGTTTTGAACAAGCGGACTGACACACTCAAATTTCAGTATTTTTCTTATCTCTCTTACAGAAAGGCTTATAATAGATACAGAAAGAGAACTGTAAGAGCAATTTCTCTCAAAGTAAAAATTGCCAAAGTAAGCTACACATGAATGGCGCACTTCCCAATTGGGAAGTGATTAGGGTTAGGGTTACCACACTCTACTGCACTAAGGGTCAGCTAAGGGTGTCTCAATGTCAGCTCAATGCTCCCTTTTGTCCATTCTGATAACAGGATATATCATCTATACATTGCATCGGGGTGCCAGGGACCCTAGAATACATCAATAAGCTTTATTCCTCTCGGAAATGCACATAAAAACACCTAAATCGCATCTATAATTTTCAAAAATTTTTCCAAACCCCGAATGGCGCCTGTCCCAAATAGGTGGTGACTAAGCCAACTGCACCATACCTCCCAGGGAAGGCCGCGTCCCAGGCGGTGCTAAAGCCTTAATCCAGGCCAGATATCCGATACGAGTGCAGCTTAACTGAACAGTTGGACTATCATTCCATTGAACTCCTCGTATTTCTCTTGTACAGTGGCACACTTGGTTGTTAAAATGACTAGGCTACATCGAGTAACGATCCACTGAGACTTGTTGAAGGCAGCTTTGCCCTATGCTGCTACTACGTCTTCAATCTCTTCCTTGTCTGGGTTCCATCACATTCGTTGCCTTTTGATATTTCCCCTTATATACATGCCAATCTTGCCTCCTAGCCGTCCTGATGAGGCGTTAGGCATTTTCGAGCCAATAGCTCTAGGTTATCGTGTTTCGTCGATCACAGTAATTCCCTGTATTCATTTTCAACAGTTCCTATGTTTCACCCCTTACTGGAAAGTTACATCAATATGCATTTGAACTCGTACACATCCATACTTTATATATTTCAGCGCCGCGCGCTGCGCGGCAGTCTCCGACTTTGAAAGTGAATGTTTTGGTTGAATAACTTGAAAACTGTGAAATATAGAACCTTATTTCCTTTCCTATGTAGAGTATGTGTTCGAGGAAGGGATAGAAGGCCTGGCTGCATGTCCAAAGTACATCCATACAATAGATTACCTCTGTTGCACTCTTGGAGTGGTTCTGAGCAGTGCACCCGGGCCAGAAACCCCGAAAGGCACCGCACATTTGCATCATTCTGAATCAGGATGTTGCCCTTTTGTGCTGTAAAAGGCTGTAAATCAGTGTGCCAGAACATGTCACTAGGGACACTACTGTATCATCAAGAAGACTTACAACTTCTGATTGCCATTTGGTGCTCACAAGGACCTTCTCTTTCAGAGTCAGCGATGAAATCACATACACGTTAACTGATTTAGCTGTGTTGCGGGACTGCCTCAACCAGGCTTCAACAATCCAACGAGTAAAAAGTACGGAATCGACCGATGATTGAATACATAATTGAAGCTGAACAATTTGTTGTTTTGAATCATCTCGGTAAGCGTATGTAGAGACGCCGTTCATTTGGGAGGAAACGGAGAGGAAAGGCTTTACAGGTATAGCCCGCTTTAGCAATGCTCATTGACGACCAGGCTCATACTGCAACACCGAGACGATAAAAGTCAGGAGTATAAGCAGACGGATTGGATATTTGAACAATGTTCGTCTTTCCTGGTTTGAATCCCGAGAGACTAACCAGATACCCGTGGAACAGGATGTCCCAACTCTGTCATGAAAACTGATAGTTAATATTCTTTTGATATCAAATGAGAATAACAGATTGAATGTTGTACTAACCTGACCAGAAAGCGGCATTTGAACTTGGACTGCGGTGCCCCCATTGACACTCATGAACGCATTGCGGCAATTCGAGCAATCGGTGTTTGTTGGGGTAAAATCCGCATTGATGTAATCCACCGATAGGAGCTTGGTACCGCCGCTTGCACCGCCGTCAACTCCTGTAAACTCAAGGGTTCCTCCATTTCCAACAAATCCCACTACGGTAATGGTGTTGTTCACGATCCGAGTTGAGGCACCTCCAGCAAGAACATTTCCCGAAGCCGCAGCATCGTAAAACGTAAAAGTAGGCTGGGGCGCAATAACAGGGTTGCTGAGTTTGAGCACAAGAGATCCGTGCGCGTCGAATGTTGAGGTGTATCTATGCAGTCATACACATACGGCTAATTATTTAGTCAACTGTCAGACAACACGACTTGGAGTAAAAAAAGCTGACGAATTTTCGAGCGTCCCCAGCAATGCTCCAGTAATGACATTTATCGCCGTAGCTGAAGTATATCCAACGTCAGATAAATTGAATGTGATAGCGCGTGAAGAATTCTGCATTTCGATCACGACTGGAGAGAGATCAGATAAGCTGGACTCTATTCTTTCGTTTTAGCAAAACTGACCTGCCACCATTGACCCATCAGACAATGGTCCTGCCCAAACATCATGATCGTTGGTGTATCGGCGTTTGAAACTGATAGACTGGCCTAAGGAGTCTTGCTATGGACACATAGTATAATAATAGGAGGAGATATCAGTCAGACTCGGAAGGTTGATGAAGTAGAAACAAAAGACCCTTCTTTACTCACGTTCAAAGCAATCACCCTCGTATTGGTCAATATCCCCACCGCCTCCTCAGAGATCTCGGTCAAGTCGGTGGAGATGATCAACGGCGATTTGGCTGCTGCCCAGAATGTAAAATGGGTCTGCTGTTCAGCCATGGTCAGACCAATATTTCCAACTTCCAATAAATCTATGGTGCAGTTGGCTTAGTCACCACTAGTTTTGAACAAGCGGACTGACACACTCAAATTTCAGTATTTTTCTTATCTCTCTTACAGAAAGGCTTATAATAGATACAGAAAGAGAACTGTAAGAGCAATTTCTCTCAAAGTAAAAATTGCCAAAGTAAGCTACACATGAATGGCGCACTTCCCAATTGGGAAGTGATTAGGGTTAGGGTTACCACACTCTACTGCACTAAGGGTCAGCTAAGGGTGTCTCAATGTCAGCTCAATGCTCCCTTTTGTCCATTCTGATAACAGGATATATCATCTATACATTGCATCGGGGTGCCAGGGACCCTAGAATACATCAATAAGCTTTATTCCTCTCGGAAATGCACATAAAAACACCTAAATCGCATCTATAATTTTCAAAAATTTTTCCAAACCCCGAATGGCGCCTGTCCCAAATAGGTGGTGACTAAGCCAACTGCACCATAGATCATTCCATCCTCCAGGCCCAGCGAAACCTGTTATTGGTACGAGTTGATTGACTATTCGGAATATGTTGTCCCATGATGAGGGAGGACCAATGTCGTTTCTAGACCGGAAAGCCGATTAGCCGTTTGCGTGTCACTTATTGCAGGAGTGAGCAACGTACGAAATTCTCCATGAGTTTACAACTGCCGATGCTGGCCATCTTGCTGGATCCTGATTCATTTGAGCAGTGTATCAGTTAACGAAAGATCGGTAGAGAAACATACAAACCTGGACACCCCATTCGCAGGCCGAAAAAAGAATGGGCCGGTCTGTCGCAGAAAGGGCGTCACGCATTGTAGTATAGTGAGGCTACAACGCCGTCAGGACATTTATTCAGATGTCATCCATTGACACTTACTTCGATCTGCACAAAAGGTATGAGAACCTGCAGATTATAGAGGAATTCTGAGTAAAACCCACTTCAATTGGAGGATCGAAATCGACAAAATCCGTGGTGCTGACCGCATAACAGTTATCGTACTTGAGATAATCTGCGCCCCAACTTGCAAACGTTGCGGCGTCTTGCATCTCAAATCCAAGAGAACCAAGAAAGTGAGCAGTGCCGCCGACAGTGTCGCAAGCGAAATATCCTCTGAGGGGAGATTGAATTCAAGGAATTTCGTTAATAAAGATTGTAAAAAACTGTTGAAGCACCGGAACTGCCAAAGTAGACAGGAACGAAAGTTTAAACAATACATGACACTTCAACGTACCCGTCAGAGTAGACCCCAAATTTTAAGCCTAGATCATGGACGAACTTTCCAAGAGCCGGTACGCCGTTTGGAATAGCTGCGGTATTCCATGTAATACCTCCAGACGAATTCCTTGCGGTCCCTTGCCATCCACAATCACTGTAGAATACGTTGAATTAGATTAAGAAAACCACTAGTTCCCGCTTCGTTGGTAACCGATACACTTACAGATTCAGATACTCGTAACCGAGGGAATCGAGTCCCAGATCCACAAGTGCTTGAGCATTAGAGTGGTACTGCGATTCCACGGTATCGCATCTGCTTATTGAAATTTATAGAACAAAGAAAAATTAGCACCACCAAGGAAAGACGTTTCAAATGTCACTACGTACGCGTAAGCGTTGTATGGGTTCCATCCCATGGCCGGCGTAGTCGCCAATCCGTTGTTCAACGCACAGCAGCATTCTGCAAAAATTGTGATGACGACGAGCTGGACCAGTCTTGAGGCATTCCATGACTTCCGAGTCATAATGTATAGAATCTATCCAGGGGGGAGGGGGGTCTCTTGTAGAAATGTCTGGTATTATACTCTGTAACGGGCCGAGTCATAAGGATATTTGCTATGTTCATCGTGGTCGGTAGATCCTCTGACTTGCGCGTTCAATTATGTGTCGTCCAGGAACCAATTGGACCACATGGTCTGGCTTACACGGTAATGAATATAATTTTATGGCCTTGAGGTGAGCTGGTGTTTGAGACAAGCCTCGACATGATAGGTTGTGGTACAGTGATAAAGACTCTTCGAGAATACCGAACGCAACAAGACGCAACAACGACGGACGTGGGAATTTGATGCGCCCCGTTTCCCATGAGTGAACAAATTTTCTCTCTAGTCTGCATTCTTGTTAATTCTGGTTTGCGAGACTAACGGTTGATGACGATAAAAATTAGCACTTGATAAGTATGTACACCTCACATACTACTCCGATCCAGCACATAATCCTCGCTCGGAAGGAGTCCCCACAGAGGCGCTCCGTGTTATTTAATGGAACCACTCCAACACGGTTGACTCGTTCACTGACGAGTATTTCACTATAGCCCCCACGGAACACATCCGTCGTAGTAAGATCATCAGCCAGGTAAGGAAAAGAAAGACAGAAGTCTCCTTCCTTCCTGAACTTGACCGGACTGTGAGGGTACAGGGCGGGTCAAGGCTGAGACTGGGCATAACCTCATCCCTTCCCAGTATCTCGCAGTCCGCTCCTCCCATCATCAAAGGTAGAGAGAAAATATGCCAATGAGATTGGAGGAGGAAGAGGCATCGATGTTGCAAAAATAAGACGCTTTCCTAGACCCTAGGGAGAACGGAGCAACAAAGCAATTGAGTAAGGGAAAAATCGAGGGGGAATATTTACACATGGAAGGGTATAAGAAGCTAATTACGAGAGGTCTGAACTACAGTAAACCCATGATACATCTTCAAAGATAAATAGCGGAAGAAGGCAAGAGGGGATGAACCGCGTCCTAAATCACGAAGTCCCTGGATTTCCACGTTGGTCGAGCTTGACCTGAGCCTGTTGTTGCTGATCCGATTCATAATACTGGTTCTGCTGCGATCCTGCAAATGCAGGTTTCACAACCCTCTCGACCAATTTGGGGTCGATCTGCATCTCTTCGGCACAACCAGCATTATCTTCCCCACCTTCTTTGTGGTTCTCGCCTATTCCTTCTTTGCTGCTGTCTTCGTTATTTTCGTAACTCTGCGCAGACGCCGGTCCTTTGTCCGACGCAGGCGTTGTGGGGACACTAACAACAAAAGGGGTAGAAGAAGCAGAAGTAGTAGGGAGAGCAGAAGAAACACCAGAGACAATAGTGCTAGCTTCGCTCTGCTCCCTCGTAAGAGAGTTTAACAAACTCGCAAACGTCGTCTGTACATGAGCATTCTCTTGAGATTGCGTATGAGGCATCACAGGTTGCAAATGCTGAGGTTGTTGAGATAGAGCATAAGCTGGTTGAAATACATGGTGAGTGGAGTAGCGAGTCGAGTACAAATGAGCTGTATGCGGATATCCGTGTCCTTGGCTCTGCGATTGAACTTCCGCCTGTGCCATGACATGCGGGGGATAATATGATAGCCCCGTTCCTTTTGATGTGCCACTTGGACCAGCAGAAGGAGAGGTAACCATGGTAGAAGCTGTGCCAGTCCCATTGGGACTGGGTGCAGAAGCAAAGTCGGAGACGGGAGGGTCACCCTTTGGTTGTCCTGAAACAGAACCGCCTTCTACGATTCCACTAGCATTCCGGGACGGATGACCGGTCCCAGCTGAACGATGTTTACTTTCGTACTCCTCCGGAAGGGCAGGAATAACAGCCGCATGCCGTCCTCCTAGTGGTCCACCTTCGATATAATGTTGCCAAACATATATCCCGTTGACTCGTTCGATATAATTATGCCAAACATATTTCCCGTTAACTCGACGTCTCCGATTATTATCAGCACTATTTTTCCCATCCTCTTGCTCCTTCTCCTTCTCCGGCTCACCTGTCCTAGTTCCTCTCTTCGCCAACCTCTCAGCCCCTGGCATCTGTTGAATCAGATGACGAATCGTATTTTGACCCAAACCAAAGAAATCCGGGCCCGAAACAGAATTACTATGCTGTCTTTTCCTGATTTCATTCGCCTTTTTCACAATCGAGCTCCACGCCCCCGTTGCAGTAGACGCCATGATCGGTTTATCTGGATCGTCTGCAGGAACGATCTGAAATTTAGGTCCGTCCCCGCCGTCAAGGATGGTGCAGTGGTAGACGACGTCAGAGTTGGGATCGAGTGTAGATAGATAACGCCGCGTGACGGTGTATCCAACGGGAAAAATATATCGTTCAGAATGGAAATGGTCTCTGAGACAAATAGTCCCCAAGGAGACCACGGTCATGATTCCGACATTGAGAGGAAGCATCGGCTGTCCATGTTTGTCCCGAGGAATTGTAGGGATGCTGTGGTGTTTGGATACGACGGCGTGTGATTTAAGACGTCTCGGCTTTGAGGAGGATGAGGAAGGCTGGTTTGTTGTCTCCTGTTCAACGCTACTGTCGGCCGCCGGAGGTGCTTCGGTTTGTAATTGTGCGGGGCTCATTGTAGATTCAGGCAAACTCCCCGTAGACGATAGGAGTGGGGCAGACGGCGACACAGCAGGTTGAGGTCGCGGGATCGGTACTGGTACTGGTACATGCGGAGGATAAGCATACATCGGTGGCATCATCGGCATACCGTGATGCATATGTGGAGGCATGGACATTGCCCCTGGCGGAAGAGTAAGAAAATAGTAAGGATTGACAAATTGAGGATAGACTGGGGCTGCGCCTGTGCTACCACGGTTATTAGTGAGATATATGGCGTATGGATTGGAGGAAAGAGATGAAGAAATGGAGGCTGGTGCGCCGGTTTGGGTCTGGGTTTGGAGAGCAGGGTCTATGGTGATAACACCATCTTGACCTGCGATATCATTAGTCTGTGGTATGATAACAAAGAGAAACGCGAAAAATGAAGGAAACGTAGCAGAATTATGTGGTATGAAACTTGCCAGCACCACTGCTTAAACCATAACTTGTATTGGTGCAGCAAAAAGAAAAAAAAAGTTGTACTCACTCAAGTTTTCAGTAACTTTGGGCTTTTTCAATACCCTTTCGTGAGTATCACTGGGATTATGTTCTTCCCCGCTGCGTTTTTCTCCTATCTCGGGCTCCTTCGCATTGCTTGTCACGTTCGAAGGGGTTGTTGAAGATGCAGTAACATGAAGTGCTTTGTTGGTGTCTGCATTGTGGGAGTGCAGTGATCCTTCTTTGTCGCCAGGCAAAGAAAGGTCGGAGTCAGGATTGGAGTCAGGATGATTAGAATTCATCCGACGAATGGCGATAGGCTTTAAAACAAACAGAGCGCGCGGACGATAAGCTGGATGACAAACCGCACACAACAAAAAAAGTTCCGGATACCCGGCCCGTCGTAAGTTTTCTAACTCCCCTTGCAAGTAGTCCGACTTGTTTTCTGCTCGAACTCGATAGCGGATGGAGACAAAGAATAAACCTTGTGGGTGCTAGAAGAGCAGGTCAAGGTGGAAAGAACCATGATACATGTTCATTATTCAAATACAATTGTGATATTGTAACAATAAGTAAAAAGGAAAGACGCTTCCAAAGCAAGATCTGTAAACAAGACGACGGGTATCATAGATATCATCCCCGTACAACAACCATTCAAGAAGCTCACAAGAACCTTCCTCCGGGTCTCCAACTATTGGTATGTGGCTATAGCATTGGTGATCGCGACTACCGAAAATCTTCCCTCTCCTCCTCCCTGAACCACTTCATCATCGCCTCCGCATGAGTTTTGGTTAGGTTGAACAGCGGGTCGGTGCCATTCAATGTGATGGCAGGAGGAAGAGAAGCAGCAGTCTTCGGCGTGGTTGGTGTTGCTCTGGGAGTCGAGGAAGGTTGCGCTTGTGTAGACGAAGCGGAATCAGAAACGGTGGAGGAGGATGAGGATGAAGATAAAGGTGTTGATGATGTTATGGACGAGTCGGAGGGTGCCCCTTGTGCGGGTGCTGGCGATTCAGAAGAGGACGATGATGGTGATGATTGATCCGAAGAAGTAGGGGAGGATGTTTGTGGTTGAGATGCGTATTGGGCAGATGAAAGCCCTGCGAGATTATATAGTGTGTGATACATATCTGGTGACCTGAAAAAAAAAGGAATAGATGTGAGATTACTAGACCAAAGGATGGAGTATTGTCAGTGGATTACGTAGTAAATGACACTTACTTCGGAGGCTTATCTCTCAATCCACCAGCTGGATGTTGGGCAGCGTACAATATATATTCTTTCAGCCCCTCAGGATTCCATATCACATCTCCATCGCGTTCTTCCAGCTTGTCTAGAAGCGCAAAACACCCACCAACCCACCATGAATAACATCCATCCACCAGCTTATTCGTTCTTCCTCTGAATCCGTATAATTCATCCTCCCCACCCTGCATTTGGACTAGCCATCGTCGGAGGTTCCTGAAGTTCAATTTCTTTTCCGATGATGATGATGAGGAAGGGAACTCGAGTTCGAGCAAAACCCAAGCAGCCAATGCACAAAACGTGTACCCTCCGTGAGCTTCACCTAACGGAGCCCACCGACCCTCGCCGATACCTATCGCAGCACTAGCAAAACCGCCTTCATACGTCTGACATCCTCTCACCCATTCTTTTGTCCCTCTAACCAACTCCTCAGTCATCATATTCAACAATTTCGCTACAGCCAACAAACAATACACACCCCTCACATCGACTTCTCCATTCGACGATACGCGGAACGAGCCGTCTGGGTGTTTTAAGGAGAGAAATAGCCTATACAACGCACGCCTGTCGATCCGCGTCCACGGCGTAATCGACTTGACGCTGTCACTATCAGGTTTCGATGATGGATCCGGGGCACCAACAATAGCCAATGTACAGATAGCCGCGTATGTTGGTAATAAATGCGCTGCCTGGCCTGGTCCACCTCCGAATCCACCCTCGTTGGGGTTCTGCATCGCAAGAATGCCTTCAGCGGCCTTGTCTTTGTTGCCTTGGTCTAATTCGACTTTGAGTAAGCTCAGGCTTTGGAGAGACCAGAAGAGCAGCCAGGGCTGAGAGGCATCTTGGGAGGTGTATCTGGCTGGAAGACCTTGGAGAAGGTGACGTCCAAGAAATCCTAGGTGGAGGTTGGTATCAAGAATTCCAGATTGGATTGGCGTTGGTTTCTCTGAGCGACTGGATGGACTGGGTCTTACCAACAGGGCGACAGTGGATTTTTGAGAGACAGATGTTGGCGTTGGGTAATTATCATCTATCTGGACCATCCTAACAAACTGCAAAGCGTAGATGGATGGTGATGGTTAAGAGATTATTGTTATTGTTCTTTATCCAATCAGTTGGGCGCCTGACGAGCGCTAAATTTCCACCATTGCGGTGACTGGTTCGAGTCTACTTTCATCCCTTCTCCCACTACGGTTTATTTCGCTGGTCGAGTTCACCACAACCACGAACGAGTTTTTCCACTTTGCGCAAACCTCACAATCCAGTACTCCTAGGTCTCATCCTTTGCTGGCTCAAAGGATCTACCACGGACCGTATCGCATACTTTGTTCACTGCAGTCTGCTTGCTTCGCTGAATAGTCTGATACAGTAAGTTTGTTTGCTAGAATATTCTAACGAGCATTGACAATGTAATTATTTTGGCTGTTCTTTTTCTGAATCGTTTCTATCCTTGATCAATGTCCATTCTGACATCTACAGAAATTACACTCCTGGTCGACCCGACGATAGCCCAATGCACCTCAGGCATCTCGTATCCTTCACGATTCCTCTCATTATCTTGCTCTTCAGGGCTGTACATTCGATACCCGGTGCACATGCGGTGCCTATCGACTCGGAGGCGGTAAGTTCTCTCTTATCTGCTCTATCATATTTGAAATCTTTGATTGACAAATACATATTAATGATTTCTTTAGATCATTTTTCGGGAACCCAACTGGAATACTCGGGATAATGGCGGAAATGTAGTCCCAGTTCCAGAGGTTGTGGGTTCGACCATCAACGTTGATCTACACGCTCGATTCATCCACAACCCACCTCTCCACCGTCTCCGTCAAGACATCATCAAGATATTCTGTACTAACACCAAACCCTCCACTACTCCTCCTCCACCTCCAAATTCCCTAATCACTCTCCAAGAGGACATTACCAAATTCGTCACTGCAGCGAAAAGCGCTATGGGTCTCAAAGGTCTCGGGGATCCGAAAGTGGAGTTTACTAATCCGGAAAAGTGCGTGTTTGTATCGATGGAGGCGCCGGTGGAGTATACTGTGCAGGTGGAGGGGCACACGAACTGTGCCGAGAGGGAGACGAGCTTTTGCAGGGGAACAATGTATCAGAGGGCTGGGAAAGCGACGATCAAGGCTGAGAATAACACACTGCTTTATCCGCCGCCGCTGGCGAAGTAGTGATTATTCTGGGACAAGGAGATTAGGAAGTGCTTATCACCGGTCCCTATAACACTCCAATGTCCATCCATTAGCCAGTGTGAATCAGAATGTCACTGTGTGATCCAATAAGCGCTGGTATTAGACTCCTTACGAAACTAACTTTTTTTTCTTCTTCCTCTCCTTAGTAGTGATCTGAACGAACGAACGAAAGATAGAACGTAGTATGCCTATCACAGAGCTTCAAGCTTGAATGAGGAATGCTCCTGAAAGCTCGTGTATATATATAACCGACGGTCCTCCGACGGTTTGGACAGGATTGTGCACTGGTATCCATGTAATAACTCTGCGACCCTCTAGCACAGTTTCATCTCCCCTCTTTATTATTGAAGTCTTCCCCCAAACTCGCTCTTACACACCCCACTTATCCCACCGATATCTTCACGGTTACTCGCTGGTCGAGTTTACCTTCTTGAACCTCGTACATTCCCCGTTTTCCGCTCGACTTGTGTTCTCCTGGGAGGAAAGACTACAGATATACTGCCTAGACACAGGGTGTTTATACATATACTGGTGACTGTACGTTGCGCGGAATTCGTTTGTGTCGACATAACTTTGATTTACCCTCGAAACTATCGATGGTAGTATTAGAAAGTACAAGAATGCATCTATCGGCTTCACTCCTCTCCTCTATCGCTTCCTTGAGCCTTATGCTTCTCGTTACGGTACCTATGGTACACACCGCTCCTCTGAACCGGAGTCCATACTCAAGTCCGGTAGGTGTCTTATTCTGTTATTCTTCAGTAACGACAAGGACGAGAAATGCCATGCTGTCACTGAATTCATTCGAACTTCAATGCAGACTCACAAACTTGATATAACTGACGACTTTCAACCCCTCTTCCACGTCCCGCAGGTCACTCTCCAAGATCAGGATACCAAGGCTGCATACAGAGTCCGTTCGGAACTTGATGCACGAAATATTCTGGTGAGTGTGACTGCTAGCGGGGTGCTGATACTTATAGATACTTTGAACTATGCGACGCGTTACATACATCCTGTTTTTTGATAAATAATCTATCTTTTCGGTATTGATATTTTCTCTATCTTTGCTCTTTCAGCCCGTTCCACGAGCCAGCCAGTGGGACATGAATATCGATCACGATGATAATAACAACGAGTTCCTCTCACCTGGGGCTCCAGGACTTGACTCTGAATCTACAGATCCAGTCCAATCTCATTCAACTCCAACCCCCTTCTCAATCTCACTCCTTAACACTAGCAACCTCCACCAGTACCCCCGCGCATTCCGAAAACACCTCCAAACCCTCCGAAACGTAAACTTCCAAAATCTAAACCCCTTCCGCAAAACCATATCCATCACCATAACGTTCCTCGAGCCGACCAAATACTTGCACTACACTGGCACAGGATCTATCACCACTCCCACGACGCAAGCCCAGGCAACGCTTATCGAGAACGTCGAGAGACTGGTTAATGACGGGAGAGGAAAGCTCGGGTTGCAAGATGACAGTAGCGGAAAGAGTATGAGTAAACTGAAGATCCAATACGACCCGATACACGGGAAGAAAAACCCATATTATATCTCAGACGACGTCGATGCGAGGTTCTGGATAAAGGTAAATAATGTGAATTCAAAATGTGGGATCGCAAACTCGAAATTTGCGCTTGAGAGTTGTTATGGGGCGGTAGGGTGGAAGAAGGGGGAGAAGGGAGGGACGATAAGTGATTCCAATGATAAAGTGCTTTATCCGTAGACGGTGATCAGGTTTAGAATGTATCGGGTGTTTAACATAGGATATGGAACATACTGTTGCGATTGAGGAGCTAAAATGTATATAACAAAAAGCCTAAAACTTTTCTGCTTAGTATCAATCACTCCCTGGCTGGGAGTCGAACCCAGCTTTCGCGCGGAAGTTGATTCACAGTGACAGGCGCGTGTACTAAACCGATATACTACCAGGGATTGAAGAATGGACACAATATTTACTAGACATTCTTGGAGGTTCTTAGCTTTGAGTGCATGCAGTTTCTGAAACTTGACCTTGAGCTTAATTGCAGTAACTTGAACATAATAGTACGCCGGTCAGTCTACTTGAGAATAGTGAATCATTCTGCCTTCGAAATTTCAGATTTTAGCTTTTAAATTTTAAGATCAGTCTAGACCAACCTCCGGACCGATATCCCCGATCAGAAAACATATTAGGGGCTCGTGGATTCCTCGTTTTTTCAATTTCAATTTCCTGTCTAATCTTTTTTTCCCCGTTCTAGATCCATTTGAACGCAATTCAACTCTTTCCGGGCTGTCTATCCTCGTCCGTTACCTGGTTTTTTTGTTCCAATTCGTCGTACAAAGATGGGCAACTCTCAATCGAATCAGAGCCAACAACAACCTAGCAGTGCATATTCACCTACGGGATCACGACGATTTGGGAGTCCTAGGCCTAGGACGTCGAGTGCAGCTACTGCGGCGTCGTCGCCGAAGCGGTCTAGTTCATTGAGGTCGGCAACGAAACCCACGAGAGCACAGTCGCCTTCATCGTTTACACCGCCCTCGAATACGAGATCAGGGTCCACGAGAGTGAGATCGCCACAACCGCAACCATCTTCATCATCATCGTCCTCACAGTACCAACAACCGACATCACCGTCACCGTCCAACAGAGTAAGATCTCCGATACCTATTGGATCCAGGCTAGCACCCAGGGAGAGAGAGATCAGAGATGCTTGGGAGAGGGAGATCAAGGAACGGGAAGCTAGGGAGGTGAAAGAACGAGAAAAAATCGCAAAGGAAAAGGAAAAGTTCCAGCCGCCATATGTTCACCGGTCACTACAGACGAAGAAAAAGAGTTTGGAATTGCCTGATTTGGCGTTGACGCAGGTTACAACGCCGACGCCGAGTTCTGCTTCAGCTGCTGCACAGGCGATACCAATTCCTGAGAGACAACCTGGGGCAGGTTATCAGTATTCTACACCGATACATATCCGAAGCAGATCCAGTTCTCGTCCTCCAGACTTGCCTAATCCACAATCTACTGCCGGTCCTGTTGCTGGTCATGACTATCCCCGCATCGTCGTCCGTTCCTCAATCCCCCTCCCAGCTAATCTCCTTATCGCAGAAGCTAAAGCCGCACAAGCCACCCAAGCGAAATTGGTACTAGCGGAATCTGATTCTGAAGAAATCAATAACAGCAATGCTGTAGCTCAATCACCGTCGTTGTTGATTCCACCGATTTCACCACCGGCACATAGAGTCAACCCACAGCCAAGCGAGGGTGAACCGACGTATTTGGTAAAGATATCATGGCATGGTGGAGGTAAAGAGGTGTTTCTAACACGTGCTGGGGACGATGACTGGAATGGTAGGAAGAAGATGGAGAAGGAAGTAGAGGAAGAAGAAGATTTCGAGGAGAATTCGGAAAAACAAACCCACGAATCCATTATCGCTGGTAAAGGCCCTACTCAGGTCTGTCACACCGGGACCACATTCAGCACGATTATTGCACTCCCACGCGGAACTCACCACCTCCGCTTCCTCGTCGATGGCCAAGCACGTGTAGCAGATGATTTACCTACCGCTGTAGACGATAACGGGAGTTTAGCGAACTATGTTGCCGTAGGGCTCGGCAGTGTGGGGGATGCTGCTGCCGGGGACGCCGCGGGGGACATTGCGTCGGGGGATTCTCCGACGACGTTGGTCGTTGCAGAAGGTGTAGACGGTGCAGAAGTCGTTGCTGTTGCTGTCGACGACGTGGACGTCGTTGTGGCGCAACCGGAAAAGACTCCCCGACCTGGCGATGATCATATCTCTGAATTTGTTGTTCCAGATATCCATCCACATCCCACCCGTGTTGACTCGCATTCGTCGTTTTGGTCAGAGAACGAATACACAGAAAGTCATCCCCCCTCGTTGTCGTCTTCCCCTCAGACGGTTATATCTCCTTTGACTTCTATTGATCCGAATGCATCAGCAACTGTTAATAACCTTCAGACACCTATCAGGATAAGAAAAGTTCCGTATGCGCCGCGATGGACTAGGGAGATCCCGTTGGAGCTTTTGGAAGCGGCGGCGGATGAGGAGAGTTATTTATCGTATGAGAACGAGTTGGAGAATGCACATGCGTGAGTTATTTACTTCAACTCGTTTGTATACAATATAGCACTGGACGAATATGGGGGCGAACCTTCCGGATTTCTCCCGCCTTGCCCTTGTTCCAACCGATTAATCAGAACGTGGGCTCGTCGATTGGGTTCTTATCCGATTTTTTCTTCTGAATTCTTCCTTTCTTTCAACTCTTTGTCTTTCTCTGGCAATTTGCTGACATCACCCTTTATACTATCAGCGCCGGCCGCAGAATCCACATCACCGGCTTTGTCCCCCTACCCAACATCCCCCCAGCCCCGCGTCTTCCACGCTACCTCGACAAACTCATCCTCAACAACCCCGTCGTACCGCCCATAGCGCGAAACGGGTCTCCGAACACGAGTGGGACAACGAGTCCAAGTGGAGCTGCAGGTGCGAGTGTTGGTGCGGGTAATGATATTGGCAACGGAAGCGATAACAATCCAGCGGGTATTGCGGGTATAGGTGCTGGATTGGGTGAACGCACCTCCCGGGAATCGAGGGATTCACGTACTCGGGACAGAGAGGGGTATCCTCCGTTGTCTCCTTCGCGTGAGGGGAGAAATGGGAGTCGAGATGGGGGTAGGGATGGGAGAGATGGAAGTAGAGATCGTAGAGACGGGAGAAACTCGAGAGAGCTTCGGGAAGGAAGAAGGCGGGAGAGGGAGTGGAAGAGTATGAGTATGGTTTTAGCTGAAGGGGGTGAGGTTGACCCTGCGCAAGGACCAAATGCAAATGCGAATGCACCGGAAAACGCAGAGAAATCTAGGGGTTCAGAAAGACAGAGGAGTAACACCCTCGACCGTCCGTTACCTATTACCACAGCAAGTGGGACGGATGTTTCTCATCATCCCTCTGCGTCTACCTCTCAACCTCCAACATCAATCTCAATGATGCCGGCTATACCAGAACCCTGGGGCCCCTCTTCGCATATATCGAACTCCAACGCGAATGCTATCCCCTCTATTGCGGATGACGCATCTGTGTTACCTGTCCCCTCGCATGTAGTGCTGCACCATCTATGCACGAGTGCGATGCGGAACGGGGTGTTGGCTGTCGGGGAGACCATTAGGTATAGAAAAAAGGTGGGTACCGCATTACTGTCCTTTTTTCCTATTGAGAGTCCGTTATCTTCTCCATTTCACTGCTGCTTGTTACTTGTTGCATCTCAACTAAACTAATTGATCTCTCCCTCTCTCTCCTTCACAGTTCGTCACGACGATATACTACAAGCCTACTTCATAGGGTGCGTCGAATTCGACACTACGTTGGTGTCATAGGTGCACCCACTCGCAGGCGACAAGAAGGCAGGAATATACACGATATAACTGGGACACTCCATGAATGATGGGAGTGGTGTACTGCAATCTTCGCAAGAATATCATAGGAGACATTATAGGAGACAAGGAGAACAAACGGATGAATATCTCATTGTATTTTAAAGAACATATATTGTATTGGGACTCTTTGGTGTATTTTTCCCCACTCCTTCATCTTCTCCTCTATCTTTCACCCAGGGTACAAGTTTCTTCTTCCCCTTGTTCTAAGATCTTTCCTGTACTTTCCTTCTGTACCATGTTTGTTGCAATACATAGGCACCAGACACTTGCTCGGTACTGCCAAGTTCAAGCTCAAACCTCAATCTCACCCAGAACTCAAAACTCATGTGCCCTAATTTTTTACTTCTACAATGCCACTGAGGACAGCAAGTTGTCTCTCACAGAGGGATGGTGGTGCAGGGGATTGAGGAGCCCAATGAGGGGTGGCGGAGTGGCTTTGTTGTTAATGAGGTAGAGGAAGTAAGGAAGGAAAGGATGTGTTTCCGGAAAATGATATGGAGGTTGCTGAGGGTGGGGTGGGTGCTCCTCCACCTATACTAGCTCCACCACTGCATTCCCCATCCCCCACTTTTGCTCCTAGTTGACAACCTAATGGAACTGCAACCAAAACTGATAGATACATAGTCATTGTGTTATATGACTATGATGCTGCTGAGGACAACAAATTGACATTCAAGGAGGGGGATATGATTGTTGGTATTGGCGCCGTTAGTGATGAGTGGTGGAGTTGAAAAGTTGAAGGTGGAGATGGAAGTTGGGCTGTTTTTGGTGAATTAAATTGAGATGCAGTAGGGTAGGGGTGGTCACATCATAATTTTTTCTTCTTGTGTTGTTTCTAAAATTCCTCTTTGCTTGACACTTTTTCCATGTCTATTTATGGCATATTGGCTATAAACATGTACTCAACCAATTACCGCCAGGGAGTTATGAGGGAATGAATGAATGGATGGCTATGGCTATGGTTATCACTCATTCATATAACTTATAAGACTTGTGTGAGTACATATAAAAAAGATGTAAAGAATATATAGAGATAGAGGAAGAAAGAATGGAACATACATAGTATTACTAAGGCCAATATGTGTACCTTCTATTTAAACTAATGTGTCAGCCTGGGGTTTTGACCTTGTCTCAGCTTCATTGTGAAGAGCTGGACCTCTTCAAACCTATGCCAATGTCCCTGCCAATGAGTTGATCATCTTGGAGGCTTGAATGGTATAGGGTTCCAGGAAATTGGCAACATCAGGTTTTTCCCCATGTTTTGCTGCTTGCAATGCAGTTCCATAAAGTCCCTGGGCCATAACATCAGCACCATGTTCAACTAGATATTTCACAATATGTAGGTGGCCAAAATATGCTGCTACATTTAGTGCATTCCCATATCTTCCTCCCTGTGCATTGACATTTGCATTGTTCTCTACAAGAAACTTGACTATATCTACATTTTCCCTGGATGCTGCTGCCTGCAGTGCATTCCCAAAATACCCTCCCTGTGCATTCACATCTGCATTGTTTTCCACAAGAAACTTGACTATATCCAGATTTTGCTTCCATACTGCTGCATGCAGTGCATTTCCATATTTCCCTCCCTGTACATTCACATCTGCATTGTTCTGTACAAGAAATTGGACTATATCCAAATTTTTCCCTCATGCTGCTGCATGCAGTGCATTCTCTCCCATTCCCTGTGCATTGGCATTGGCACCATTCTCCACAAGAACTTGAACCAATTCCCAATCACAGTCTGACACTGCCTTCAACAGTGCATTATCTTTCCACTCTTGGGTAATTCCCAATTTTTCAAAATCCATTTCTGTGAGCCTTGACTTGGAATACTTGAAATATTTTGAAATAATATCTAATTTCCAATTGGACATCAGATAGTTCCAATGAGCTACTGTTCCCTTCTTCAATAACTCCCTTGCTTCATATGAGAAGATAAACTCATGAAGAACAAGTGGAACTTGGGAGTTCAATTTTTGTGAATTATGTCTCTTGAATTTTGGTAATGTAGTCCAAAAGGCTTTGGCAACTCTATCTGCATAATTTTCAAGTTTAGAATATTTATAGTGCTCAAGATACCTTAGAAATTCATAAATGGGTTGATCAAGGATTTCTTGAATGGATTGATTTGACTCTAGAGAAAGAAGCCAAACAAGGATGTCTTCCATTATTGACTTTTTTTTGTCCTCTTTTGTCAGATGTTCAAGCTCAGTATTCTTCAATGAGGCTTGCAAAATTGATGGAAAACTATCTTTCTTCTTGGAATTTGAATTGAGACCCCAATGCTCTGGGGAATCATTCCTTTTCTTGGCAGTTTGAGTAACATCTTGGAATTTGACTATGATCCATCTGAATGACCATAATAGAACCTTAGATGGGTAAATTATGTATTCTGCTGGCACAAAAAGCAATGGTATCCTGTAAGGACACTCTAGCCATACTTGAGGCATAAGGAGACTCCCTAGATAGAATGTGAATGTAAGACTTGTCACAGTGACAACAATCCAGGACAGAGAGCTATGAAGCCCTAGAATGTACAATGACAATCCTATCAGGAATAGGGCCAGTGATGTATGCAGGATCAGGGGAAGAATTCCCACAATTTCTGGGACCTTCCATTTTACAAGTCCATTATATCTGAATTGACGGATCAAGGCTTTTTGCTGGGCACTTCCAGCTAATATGGAGCTATATGCTTGAAGCCACTGCTTGACAAGGACTGACAAGAGTGCAGTGACCAAGGCTAGTGACAAGCTAGCAAGGAATAGACCATTGATCCAAAGATCATCAGTAGCCACTGAGGCATTCAGTAAATCCACAGAGGATTTAGGAATTGCATTGATGGCAGTCATATTTCCTGCAGCTCTGAGGATTTGAACCTGCTCCACTAACAGGACTGCAGTGATTTGGGAATAATCTGGTTGAAGGGCAGATATGGTTGCAATGACAAAGGATGTTACAACACCAGAGAAAAGTGCTGCCTGTTTAAATGTTAAGTCAGCTCAAACAATGCATATGGCAATACTCACAAATACTAGCAAGGAATCAATTGTGTCTCTGAATCCTCTCATCAGATCATCATCAAAGTTCTCCACCTCATCCAGATAAACCTTGAAGACACGGGAATTGTCATTCAACTCCTCACCAAGAGGTTCATCATCTGGATATTTCTCCTTATAATTAAATGTCCTCCCTCCTGATCAAATTACAATATGTTAGCTATGTCCTAAGTATCACAAATATCTTACCTGTATATGGAGATTGATAAGAGGAAATTCCCAAGAGGGGTGGGGCTGTCTCTTCCTTCTTAATGTTTACTTGACTTGAAGCCTGCTTCTGGGCTGGAATATCTGCATCCCCTTGTACAGCTGTGTCAGTACTGGGGGGAATTGGATTATCTGAGGGCCTGGAATGTTCAGGTTCAAGGGGGGAGGAGATTGTGCTTGGCACAGGTGCTGGAGAGTTGGCATTACACTTATTTGCACTTAAGATAAATGGATACTTCTTCACCTGAACCAATTTCATTCTCTATCTGTTTCATGTTCCCTGTTGAAGAAGATTGAGACTGTGAAACATCCGAATCTGCTGAGAAGTATATTAGTCTGAGTAGTATAGGTGCCTATGAGGGAATAGTTATACCCTGGTATTCAGGAGCTTTCTGTTCTTTATCATCCTGAATTGTGGAATTTGCTTCAGACATCTTTCAAGTACTGTTGATGCGGGGACTCGGATATCAGACTGAAGCGGGAATGGACTGAATTTATACTCTGTCGGTGGTGTACACATGTTTTCAATAATCCTTCCACCTGTCCACTCGCTGTCCTCATGTATGGTACGTGCCTGTAATATATTTCTACTTCTATTCTGCCAAAATAAGCAAGATCACCGGCAGGCATTCTCTCTTCCTCTCAAGTCCTCTCTGGGAGCCAGCAGCTCAACCCGCACCAATTTCACCCCGCAATACTTAATATACCCTCATATTGACTTCTCCATTCGTCGAGAGCAGAAAGGGTCTTTCAAGGAGAGAAAAGTTTATACAATAGACTCGACGGCGCAATCGATCCGGGGTACCGGTCCAAACAGCCTAAATATCGTTCGTTCCTTCCCACCACCATAACCTGTTCATCGCCTCGCGGTTGCACGCGTTTATATCCAGTTTTTCCATAATTAAGAAGAGCTCTCAAGCATACCAACTGCGTTCTCCGCCAATGTGTTCAACGGAGATGCTCGCAACTCAGAAGATGGAATGGGAACACTGGAGTGAGCTGGGAATTGAGATAAGATACTGCCTCTGCGTAGAGTCAAATAGGTATCTCTATTGATCTACTTATCTTGTTATCATTCCAACACGTCAATCGATAGCTTTCTCCCAACTTCGGTACTAGTACTACCGAGGATCACAGGCACCTACCAAGCTTCTCCAACTATCTCTTCTCACAAATTTCAACACAGCTCATCCACAAAAACCTCGCAAATACTGTCTGTCTTTCTTCCTTTTCCTATTCCTTCGCTTTGTTTTCTTCTCGTCTCTACACTACAAATACCGCTGAAAATTCGAACTACGAGGACGTCAACCAATGCGTTCTTTCCATCGACAACGACGACTGCTCTCTTTATACCCTTTACTCCCGCCGTCACCCGTATATCCTCAAGACTTCGCTTCTGCAAGCGCCAGAACTCTCTCTCAGTTCTTGTCCAATCCAACTGTGCTTCACTCAGTTCCCGTCCTTTGTGTATCTCGCTGTTTCCTCTCGTTGAACGACGACCATGTCCTACACTGGCTTCTCAAACTCACCCGGTAGCATGCCGGGACACCTGACGGTCTATTCTAGTATGGCAGCGGAGAACGTTGTGGAAGTCGTGTTGCGAGAACGTAGAAATCCGGATTTTCTTGGGACCGTATTCAAAGGGAATGTTGGTTTGAACAAACCATTTTCAAGCCGAAAGCTGCAGTGGGGACAACCAATAACACGCGTGGACATCGATGCAAGTAGGATGGGACCGTTATCCTCGACCGCTGGTTCCACTAATGCGACCTCGACTCTTTTTGCAGGTGCCTCGTGATCCCGACCATGACCTTCAAGACAGCGTCCGTTTGGTCATAAAGATGTGATGAACGGCACTTGGAATGGACCTGAGAACGATCCCGAGATGACTCGAGGCGAGTTTGGAGCGGTAATTCGTCTTACGGTACCGAGGTTCGGGTGACGGAATAAAGGTCGGGAGAGCAGGAGAGGATGAGTTTCGGATTTAAGTTACACGTTGGGAGATGGTTATATGTGAATTACATTCGAGCGCAGTACAAACTTGAATCCACATGTATTATTTCACTTTTTGTATCATTCTCAGGTAACAATACAGAAGTATGTACTTACCACATTGTACGGCTGTAATGATAAACTGCGTATCGTTGAATTGTTTATGCTGTAACGAATTCGGAAGTCCACGTCGTCTCAGTATCAGTCTGGAGAATTGGGAAGGATATTGCATTGCCAACGTAAGTATACTATAGGGAAACTGACGGAAGAACTTTCATCATCCAGACTCTACCAATCCGCAACCTACCAGTGGTCCTGTTTCTAGCCACGAATACCCCAGCATCGTCGTCCGTTCCTCCGTTCCATTCCCAGCCAATCCGATCCTGATCACGACAGCTAAAGCCACCTGAGCCGCCCAGGCGAAATGGGTTCTAGCGGAATCTGATTCTCATGAACTTAACAACAACTCGATTAACAGTAACGCAGCGGCGCCACTATTGCAAGTTGCTGATTCCCCTGATCTCACCACCGGCACATACAGTCAATTCACAGCCAAACGAGGGCGAACCGACGCATTTGGTGAAGATATTGTGGTATGGTGGAGGTGGAGGTGGAGAGGGGTTGCCGACACGTACTGGAGATGATGATTGGAACGGTAGGACGAAAATCGACAAAGAGTAAGAGGAACAGGAGGAGGAGGAGGAGGAGGAGGGAAAATGTACTCACAAATCAATTATCGGTGGAGGTCAATCTGTGACTATAATTGAGAGCCTTGTCCAACGTTCCTTATTTTCGTGTCGGTGAAGAAAGACCGCAGGCAGGGATAGACTTGCATAGGTAGCATCTGAATGACGATGTTCAAAGCCTGAATGTAGAGCTGCATGAATCGCTAAACGACCAAGACTCTGAAGAAAGGACAGGAATAGTTGTCATCATTTGGAACAAGACATTTAAGCGGAATGCGACTTACTCTGGGTTCAGAACCGCAACTTTTGTATCTTGAATACACGAGGAGGTCTGTTTCGAGGCTTCCGCTCTGTCCACACTCACGCTTGTCCTCGCCTCTTCTCCTCTTCCCATACCTCCCTCCTCGAATTCAAATCCCAGTTATTCGAATTCTCGAAACCCCACACCCGCGACTGCACCCAAAAAACACACAATACCCACCATATACAGGTTCAGTCTCGTGTCGTGTCCGAATCATCTCTTCGTGACGTTGGGTTGGCGCGTGGTTGGCGCGATGTGGGCTGGCGCTTTTCCTGCGTTTCGTTCCTGTGCTCCTCTCTCTCCTTGGGTCGAGGTAGCTATGTTTGTGTAGACGAAACGATGGAGGAGATATCGTCAAGTCGGAAGGTGCATCTTGTGTGGAAGGGTCCGTTCCAATGCAACTAGGACGCTCAAAGGTTCCACGTCTACTCTCATCGCCGTCTTTCCAATATGATGGTGATGTTTATGACTGAGATGTGTATTGGGCAGCTCAAAGCCTGGCGAGAAGGTTCTGAGAGCAGAACTCCAGTAGCCAGTGAGCAAAACGGGTACGCTCCGCCTGAGCTGGGTGTCCTGTCGATCCGTGTTCACTACGAACATCGAAAACACTCACCGAATCACACCGATGCTCAAAATCCCTCGATGAAAGATCGGACCACTCTAGTTCGTACAGCACCCACGGTATGATGCCTTTTTTCGAAACAGTATTCACACTCATCTTCTGCGCCCTCTCTCCTCCTCCTCCTCCGATGTATTCAGTATGTGTACCTTGTATTGTTACATGAGAATGCTACACAAAAAGTGGAGTTTGCCTAAAACCATCTCCCGACGTGTAACTTAAATCCGAAACTCATCCTCTCCTGCTCTCCCGACCATTATTCCGTCACCCGAACCCCGGTACCATAAGGAAAATCCTGCTTCAAACTCGTCTCGAGTCACCTCGAGATCATTCCAAGGATTTTGACATCTATATGAGTAGACAGATGGTATATCGAATGTTGAGGGAGCCACAAAGGGAGTCGAGGTCCCACTATGGAAACCAGCAGTCGAAAACGATCCCAGCATACTTGCATCGATGTCCACGCATATTGTTGGTTGTCCCCACTGCGCCTTTCGACCCTCAAAGAATCGTTTTTCAAACCATTACTCCCTTCGAATACGGTCCCAAGGAAATCCGGAATTCGACCGCGATCCAGTGCGGGGCGATAAATAGGTTATTTGATACAATTATTGATGCAGCGGTGGTGGCAAGGAAAGAACATACGGGGCTGTTTGTACCAGTGCCCCGGATCGATTACGCCCAACAGGTGTGGCTATTTCTCTGATGGCATGTTCCGCTTGTTACGCAGTGTGTTTTGTTGAGAGCCCAGACCAGCGATTAGCATTCGTGGAGCTGCTGACTCTTATAGAGGACAGAGAGGTAGCTTTGAGAGGCACTGGAAGGAGCAGCGGGAGATGTCGAGGAGAAGAGAATGCCTGCCAATAATACCAAAGATCATATCTATGAACTCAGCGCTGGGTTTAATCAGAAGTGCAATTGAGAGTAAAAATATATATCGGACAGGTATCATGATTCATACACAAGGCAGTGGTTGACAGCAAATAGACAGATGGAATACTCATTGAATACACATGTACACCATCCGACCAGAGTATAAATCTAGGTCCATTTTCCCAGGTTCGGTCTCATATCCCCCATCAACAGTACTTGAAGAATGTCTCAGGCAAATTCCACAGACCAGATTGATGAAGAACAGAAAGCACCTGATTCCCTGGGTATAACTATTTCTTCACAGGTATCCATACTACTCAGACTAATATCCTTAATTGCAGAGGTAGAAGTTCTACCATCTCAATCTACTTTAAAAGGGAAAATGAAAGAGGATGTGAATGAAATTGGTGCAGGTGAAGAAATATTAGTTATTTTAGGTGCAAATAATCATAATGCCACCTCTCCAGCTCCAGCACCTGTGCAAAGCATAATCTTCTCTCCTCTTGAGCCTGAACATTCCAGGCCCTCAGATGATCCAATTCCCCCAAGTCAAGAAAACATCAAGAAGAAAGAGACATCCCCACCCCTCTTGGGGATGTCCTCTTATCAATCTCCATATACAGGTAACTTATTTGTAATACTTAGGGAAAGAGTTCATCAGCTGAAATTTGAACAGGAGGGAGGACATTTGATTATACCAAGAAATATGCTGATGAACCTCTGGGTGAGGAGTTGAAGGATAATTCCCGTGTCTTCCAGGTTTATCTGGATGAGGCAGAGAACTTCGATGATGATATGATGAGAGGATTCAGAGAAACAATTGATTCCTTGCTAGTATTTGTAAGCATTGCCATACCCATTGTTTGAGCTGCTCATTTATCAGACCTAAGTAGGCAGCACTTTTCTCTGGTGTTGTGACATCCTTTGTCATTGCAACCATATCTGCCCTTCAACCAGATTATTCTCAAATAACTGCAGTCCTGCTAGTGGAGCAGGTTCAAATCCTCAGAGCTGCAGGAAATACTACTGCCATCAATGCCATTCCTAAATCCTCTGTGGATTTACAGAATGCCTCAGTGGCTACTGATGATCTTTGGATCAATGGCCTATTCCTTGCTAGCTTGTCATTAGCCCTGGTCACTGCACTCTTGTCAGTCCTTGTCAAGCAGTGGCTTCAAGCATATAGCTCCATATTAGCTGGAAGTGCCCAGCAAAAAGCCTTGATCCGTCAATTCAGATATAATGGACTTGTAAAATGGAAGGTCCCAGAAATTGTGGGAATCCTTCCACTTATCCTGCATACATCACTGGCTCTATTTCTGATAGGATTGTCATTGTACATCTCAGAGCTCCACAGCTCTCTGTCCTGGATAGTTGTCACTGTGACAAGTCTTGCATTTGCATTCTATTTGGGAAGTCTCCTTATGCCTCAAGTATGGCTAGAGTGTCCTTACAGGATACCATTGCTTTTTGTGCCAGCAGGATATATAATCTACCTCTCTAAGGCTTTAATATGGCTATCCAAATGGATTATAGCCAGATTGCAAGATATTATTCAAACTTGCAGAGGAAAACAGCCTTCCTATGATCCCTGGACAAATTCTAAGAAGAAAAACAGTTTTCCAGCACTTTTGCAAGCCTCATTGAAGGATGTTGAACTTGTCCATTTGAAGAATGAGGACAGTCACAGGTCAATATTGGAAGACATCCTTGTTTGGCTTCTTTCTCTAGAGTCAAATCAATCCATTCAAGAAATCCTTGATCAACCCATTGTTAGATTTCTCCTATGCAATTGGCGCAGTGAATATTCTAAACTTGAAAATCATGCAGATAGAGCTGCCAGAGCCATATGGGCTACATTATCAAAGCTCCCAAAATCTGATTTACCAAAGCCAAACATTGAATTTCCATTTCATTCTCCTGCATTCCTTTCATCAAAAGTGGGAGATTCATTTATGAAGGGGACAACAGATCATTGGAACCATCTTGTGTCCAATAACAAATCAGAGATCATTTCAAAATATTTCAAGTGCTCCAAATCTAAATATCTCAAAGAATTGGGAATAACCAACAAGTGGAAAGATGATGCCCTACTCAAAGCAGCATCCAACAAAGATTTTGAAATGACCAAAGTTCTTGTGGAGAACGGTGCAGATGTCAATGCACAGGAAGATAAATATTGGGGGAATGCACTGCAGGCTGCAGCATGTGGGGGGAATCTGGATGTAATCAAGTTTGTTGTAGAGAACAATGCAGATGTCAATGCACAGGGAGGGCAATATGGAAATGCACTGCAGGCAGCAGCATTCCAGGGAAATCTGGATGTAATCAAGCTTCTTGTAGAGAACAATGCAGATGTCAATGCACAGGGAGGGAAATATGGAAATGTATTGCAGGCAGCAGCATTCCAGGGAAATCTGGATGCAGTCAAGTTTCTTGTAGAAAACAATGCAGAAGTCAATGCACAGGGAGGGTTGTTTGGGAATGCACTGCAGGCAGCGGCATGGAGGGGAGAACTAGATATTGTGAAATATCTAGTTGAACAATGTGCAGAAGTCAATGCACAGGGAGGATTGTTTGGAAATGCACTGCAGGCAGCAGCATGGAGGGGAAAACTGGAGATGGTCAAGTTTTTTGTAGTGAAGAATGTAGATGTCAATGCACAGGGAGAGCAATATGGGAATACACTGCAGGTGTCATAAAGTACGCAGCCCCTATCATTTTCCTTTTCTCACCGTCTCGACGCCTTTACTTGTACGATACATCATCCCATCACTGTCAAACCCCCATCGATTACTGATCCACCTGACCCATCTTCTCCTTCTACTGGCTTCCGCCACCTTCCTTGTTCCTAAACTGTACAGTATTACATCGTTGTTTCTCGCAGACCGGATTATGTATATATAGCCAACCCTCCACAGCCTGGTCCCTTATCTTGACCTCTCTGTCATTATCTGGGACCAGGTATGTGCTTACTTATTATTACCTATGACTACGATACTCAATATATCTCTGTCATTATCTGGGACCAGCCTGCCGCCGTTCTGCTTAGTTGCTCTGCCTTGTTGCCTTGTCCAGTTGCTCCGCCTCACCGTTCTGCTTAGTCGCTCCGCTTTCCCGCTCCGTTAGTCACTCTGCCTCTGCCGCTTTGTGACATTAGGTCAAGATCCATTACTGCACTGACAGCCTACCGATAAGGTTGTCCTTGCAGGGTCTATAGACACCACGTCTTCCCCAGTTCCGCCCGACTCTGAAACACCTGTTGACAGTATAGACTGCTCCGCACTCCCGCACGCACTTGACCCCAGAGACCAAGCTCACGCCCATAACAACGACGATACTTGGCGTGATTGCCAGTCTCAACCTTGCCCCAACGCCCTTTCGAACTCAATCCGAGAGCCACTCACTGTGAGCAATATAACCTTCCTGCCGATTCCCCAGCCCCGACTGCCTACTCCCATCATGTCGACTCCTATCCCGCCTGCCCCAAACACCTCTGCGGAGGATCTCATGGCTCAGCTCATCAGACAAGTAGCTAACCTTGCTACAGCTATGGAGGAACGCTCATCCTCTAAGTCAAGCATGAACAAACCCGAGGTTTTCAAGGGTAAAGATGGCGCTGAAGCCCGTCGCTTCATGGCTCAGTTCCAGAATTGGGCGTCAGAACAACCGGATCTCGCCAAAAGCCAAGTAAAACTCATCAAGTCCGCCTTGGGCTTCTTCACAGAAAGTGCCGGAGATTGGGCAACTCCCCATCTGCTACATTTCAATGCGGAAAATCCCCCTTTCGGAGGAAATTGGGAGGCGTTTCTGAAGGAATTTAGCCAACGGTTTGAACCAATGGACCCAGGTATGGAAGCCCGTAGCGAGATCAAGAATCTCAGGCAAAGTAAAGGACAGACAGTTGCGGAATTTGCTCAGAAGTTCAAGGATATCGGAGATCGGACTGAAATGTCTGATATTGACTTGCGGGAACGTTTCTTCACTGCATTACTCCCAGAGATCCGACAACACCTCATCACCGTAAACATTGCCCAAGGAATTGCTCCGACTCTGAAGGAGGCAATCAAACGGGCCATATCGGTGGATGTCTACTTGCACGATCCCACCATGACTGGCCGAAACTCTGGATACCCTCCCACGCATACCACTCATACTACCCCTGCTGACCCCCACGCTATGGACATTGATGCAACCCACACCAGTAATGGGAATACTAGGGAAGCATTCCTAGCTCGCATGCGAGGACGATGCTTCGGCTGCGGTGCCCAAGGTCATGTCAAGCAAAACTGCCCACACCGAGAAACCACCTGCCGCTACTGTGGACGTCGAGGACATCTGGAAGCAGTCTGCCAAGACAAATTCATGGGACTCGGACGAGACCGAGGCCGACGCCAGCAACCTCGACGCCAACAGATATCTGCTACGGGACCCGCGCCATTCTCCCTATTCCCAAACGAATCCGTCCAAATCGCGTCCTCGACCCCAACGTCTGCTCCTGCACCCGTAGCTGCTACTGCGAGCCCCCCTAACCAGGACTTTTCCAATCAGATTGGTCAAATAAGGGAATTACTTGATCGTGCTAACGCTATGTCCTCCTCGTCCTCTGGCTTTCAACAGGGTTTTTAAAGAGGGTACCCGCTTCGGCTGCACCGAGAGTACCCCGTAATCAGTTTGTTATGTTCGCTACTTCCTCGTATGACTCGCACCCATCATGTACAATATCGTCGATCCGGGAATTAAACTCTACTTCCCCACATTTCCGAATTCATGCGAGACTAAGAGGAAGGAATCACAGTAGAACAACTGCAGCCATGGTAGACTGTGGAGCTACCGCCCTGTTTTTAAACCAAGACTTTGTCACCCGGAACCATGTAAGATGTGCACCCCTCCATAAACCAATCGATGTTTTTAATATCGATGGAACACCTAACCGAGCTGGACGGATAACCCATTTTGCACGTCTAGCACTCACAGTGGATAATCAAGAGCGATGGATGGACTTTCTGATCACCAACCTAGGAGGTGAAGACATCATCCTTGGACTCCCCTGGCTACGGAAGGTAAATCCGGAGATTGATTGGGAGAAAGGACGACTTTCAGTAAAGCCTCCTCAAGTAACGATAGAAGAAGTCCCAGACGAGGAGATCTTGTACTCTCATCTAGCCGCCACTCACACAGAAACCCCGATCCTCGAACTCCCGGAACTGGAACCTCCCGCAGAAAACCCCCACGTTGAGGTGCCACTAGAAGCGACCCTTGAACCGAGTGAATCAGCAGCGGTGGAAGAACCACCAATACACCGAATTCGAGCCAATCATAAAACTCGCCGGGCATGGGTAAAAGCAGGAATTCTAGAGGAACAGACGGAGGAAGTCTGGTGCGCCGCAGGATTCACTTACTCCCAGCAGCTAGCAGAGGAAGCCAACCGAGACAAACCCGTTAAAACCTTCGAAGAAATGGTCCCTGAGCAGTATCGTGATTTCAAGAAGGTTTTCTCAGAATCCGCCTCTGAACGATTACCTGCCCACCAACCTTGGGACCATGCGATTGATCTCGTACCTGGAGCACCGGCAACCATGCGTACCAAGATTTATCCCATGTCCCTAAACGAGCAGGAGGAGTTGGATCGTTTCCTAGAAGAAAACCTACGGAAAGGCTATATCGTCCCCTCAAAATCACCAATCTCATCACCGGTCTTCTTCGTAAAGAAGAAGGATGGGAAACTCCGTTTCGTACAAGACTACCGGAAACTGAACGAGTACACTGTGAAGAACCAATACCCTCTCCCATTAGTTGCTGACATTATTAGCCGACTTCAGGGAGCCAGATACTTCACGAAGTTTGATGTCCGCTGGGGTTACAATAACATACGGATTAAGAAGGGGCATGAATGGAAAGGCGCGTTCGCAACAACCCGAGGCTTGTTCGAGCCTAAGGTCATGTTCTTTGGTCTCACAAATTCCCCTGCCACGTTCCAAGCACTTATGAATGCTATATTTGCTGATCTCATTGCAGCCGGCAAGGTGGCAGTCTACCTAGATGACATCCTTATCTTCAGTAACGATCTCGAGGAACACCGACAAATGGTACGGGAAGTATTAACCCGGTTAGAAAAGCACGACCTCTACCTACGACCCGAAAAATGCGAATTTGAACAACAACAGATTGAATACCTCGGACTCATCATCTCAGAAGGGGAGGTGAGAATGGATCCGGTAAAAGTAGCGGCTGTTCGTGACTGGCCAGTCCCTACTAACCTTCGGGAACTACGAGGGTTCTTGGGATTTGCAAACTTCTACCGACGCTTTATCCGGAATTTTGCCAAAATAGCACGACCTCTGAACGACCTGACAAAGAAAGACACCAGCTTTACCTGGACCGACACTCGACAGAAAGCATTTGATACCCTTCGAGAAGCCTTCATCTCCGCACCGATCCTTGCTCTATGGACACCAGACAGGCCTACTCGAATCGAGGTAGACGCATCAGGCTTTGCCATGGGAGGCGCCCTTATGCAGAAGCAAGACGATGGCCAATGGCATCCGGTAGCCTTCAGATCGGCATCCATGCAGCCAGCGGAACGGAACTACGAAATCTACGATCGAGAAATGCTTGCTATCATTGAAGCACTGAAGGATTGGAGGAACTTTCTAGAAGGACTCCCTCAACCATTCGACATCATTACGGACCATTCGAACCTCGAATTCTGGCGCACTGCACAAGACCTCACCCGCCGACAAGCCCGATGGGCCCTCTATCTGTCACGGTTTGACTTTCATATGATCCACCGCCCTGGCAGAGTAAACACCCAAGCTGATGCTCTCTCCCGCATGGCAGTTCATCATGTATCGGACAGCAATGATAACCGACAACAGACAGTCCTTAAACCTGGCCACTTCGTAAAAATTGCAGCTTCGATCCTACAGAACCCCTTAGAGGATCGTATCCGGAAAGCCTCAGAACGGGAAGCACAGGTATTGGAGGGTCTCAAAACAGTCAAAGAGCACGGACTACAGCGCTTGGCCAATGGGATAGCCGAATGGGAAGAAGACAATGGGTTGGTCTACTACCGAGGTCAAGTATATGTACCAGCAAACGACGACCTACGCACTGAGGTACTCCGTCAATGCCACGACCATCCAACTGCAGGACACCCCGGACTACACGGGACGCTCGACTTGGTCAGTACCCATTTCTGGTGGCCTACGTTGCGCTCTTTTGTGGAAAAATACGTTGAGGGATGCGAGGTTTGTGCCCGTAAGAAGATCCAGCGACACCCACGGGCCGTAACTCAACCATTAGATGTACCATCCGGTCTATGGGAAGAGGTAGGGGTTGACCTGATAACACAGCTACCTAACTCCCAAGGCTACGATGCTGTCTTGGTTTGCACAGACCTGTATGGAAAACAAATTCACGCTATTCCTTGCACCAGCTCCATCACAGCCGAAGGCGTTGCCGATATTTACTACCGAGAGATCTTCCGTCTCCATGGTCTTCCTCTTCACTTTAAATCCGACCGCGGACCCCAGTTTGCAGCTAAACTCATGCGATCCCTTCTCGCTAGGCTAGGAATTAAATCAGATCTAACCTCCGGATACCGTCCTCAGTCTAATGGCCAAACCGAACGAGCAAATCAGGAAGTAGAGAAATACATCCGTCTCTATGTAGGACGACGACAAGACGACTGGGCAGAGCACCTTCCCATGGCGGAGTTTGTGATTAACTCACGGACTCATTCTGCGCTAGGCATGTCCCCGTTCGAGCTAACCTACGGCTATCTTCCCCTGTTCAATATCCCAGTGGGCCAACGCAGCGGTATTCCAGCTGTGGATGACCGTATACGGATTCTCCGAGAAGTGCGACAAGATGCCGGAGCTGCCTTACACCTAGGAAAGAAACAACAGAAGGAGGGATACGAACGCGGGAAGCGGAAAGCTCATCAATTTAAAGTTGGAGACCTAGTCTGGCTCAGTGCAGAGGACATTAACCTTCAGCTTTCCAGTGAAAAGTTAGGAGATCGACAGCTTGGCCCTTATCGCATTCTGGAGAAAATTGGCCCTTTAGACTACCGCCTTGACCTTCCCCTATCCTTAGATCGCCTCCATCCCGTCTTCCATGTTGATAAACTATACCCCTGGAAAGGTAACTCCATTAATGGCGAAATACCAACACCACCAGAGCCGGTATACTTAGAGGATGAAGACGAACCGGAATACGAAGTAGAGGAGATCTTAGACAGCCGGGTTCGATGGAAGAAGTTGGAATATTTGGTTAAGTGGAAAGGTTACGACGCAGGGCACAACTCTTGGGAACCCGCAGCCAACCTCAGTCGAGCACCAAAAATTGTTCGGGCCTTTCATAAAAAACACCCAACAGCGGCAAAGCCTTGACCATCGAGGGCAATGGTCATAAGGAGGGGGGTAATGTCATAAAGTACGCAGCCCCTATCATTTTCCTTTTCTCACCGTCTCGACGCCTTTACTTGTACGATACATCATCCCATCACTGTCAAACCCCCATCGATTACTGATCCATCGATTACTGATCCACCTGACCCATCTTCTCCTTCTACTGGCTTCCGCCACCTTCCTTGTTCCTAAACTGTACAGTATTACATCGTTGTTTCTCGCAGACCGGATTATGTATATATAGCCAACCCTCCACAGCCTGGTCCCTTATCTTGACCTCTCTGTCATTATCTGGGACCAGGTATGTGCTTACTTATTATTACCTATGACTACGATACTCAATATATCTCTGTCATTATCTGGGACCAGCCTGCCGCCGTTCTGCTTAGTTGCTCTGCCTTGTTGCCTTGTCCAGTTGCTCCGCCTCACCGTTCTGCTTAGTCTCTCCGCTTTCCCGCTCCGTTAGTCACTCCGCCTCTGCCGCTTTGTGACAGCAGGCAGCAGCAGCAGGATATAAGGATAGTCCGGACATGATCAAGTTTCTTGTAGAGCACAATGCACAGGGAGGATGTTATGGGAATACATTGCAGGCAGCAGCATACTGGGGAAAACTGGATATTGTGAAATATTTAGTTGAACATGGTGCTGATGTTATGGCCCAGGGAATTCATGGAACTGCATTGCAAGCAGCAGAATGTGGGACATATGATGAGATTGCCAAGTTCTTAGAACGTTGTACCACCTAGGCCTCGATAATGAATACACTGGCACAGGCTTGAAGAGGTCCCACTCTGTAGAATGAAGCTGAGACAAGATCAAAGCCCTGGATGGACTCATTAGTTTAAATAAATAGTACACATATTGGCCTTAATAATACTATGTATGTTCCATCCTCCTTCCCTTTATCTCTAAATATTCTCTACATACATTTCTCTATCTTCTCATCTTCCTTATACATACATAATCACCTTTCTAGCCACAAGTCCTAGTCATATCTCCCAATTTGCTTATGGTTGTCCAATACTTTTTTTTTGATCATTCTGTTTACCTATACATAGATACTTGTGACTCAAATACACAATTTTTTTGCTACAACTGTTATGTATGAACTGCAAGAACCATTTACACACTATATAGTTAAGTCAACAACACAATGTCTCTCAATAAATATCTTGAACTTAAGTAACCTCAATAAGTGATACCCATACCCATAGACACTCATCCTCAAGTCCCTGGTAGTATATTGGTTTAATTCACATGCATGTTATATGTTGATCCAATTTATGATCTAGTTGCAAAAATTTCGTAGAGCTCCCAGCCAGGGAGTTAAATGTCTAAAGCCTTAAACTACCTATGTGTTTAATGTTTTATCTCTTTCCATTTATCCAATATTCCATTGTACATACATACATACTTTAGGAGCTTCTTATTCATTCATTCAATGGTTAGAATTTATTTATTTATTCATTCAGTTGTCCTTTATTCTGCTATGATTATACTCTAATTACTGGATGTCAATCAAAACCCATATGCATTATAAACGGACATGAATTTGTCTCCAGTGAAGGAAAGAAACAAAAAAAAACAGCAAACACCCCTTCCTCCTCCTCCTCCTCTTATCCCTCCCCACCTTACCGCGTCTCAACATAATTTGCCGGAAACAACCCAACCTCTGTCCCACCTTCCACTCTTCCACTCCACCACTCATCACTAACAGCCTCAATACCCACAATCACATCCCCCTCCTTGAACGTCAACTCGTTGTCCTCCGCAGCCTCGTAGTCGTAGAGGGCAATGGCTGTGTAGCCATCGGTTTCAGCTTCAGCTTCAGGTTCATGTGAGGTGGGAGCAGGAGTCGGAGATGGGGAACGAGGTGGTGGAATTGGTGCAGGCGGAGCTGCTGGTGCTACAGGTGGAGGCGGAGGTGGTGGAGGTGGAGGTGGTGGTGGAGGTGGAGGAGGAGCACCTCCCCCCTCCTCCGGTTCCACACTCTCCACAACCTCCACATAATTAGCCGGGAACATTCCTTCCCTCTTCCCATCCTCCCCAACAACAAACCCACTCCACCATCCTTCATCGAGTTCCTCTATACCCTGCACCATCTCCCCTTCGTTCAGAGACAACTCGTTGTCCTCGGTGGCTTCGTAGGAGTAGAGAACAGCAGCGCAGATGCCGTGGCCGTGGATGGGGGTGGGATGAGTTTGTGTTTGGGGTTCGGTGTCCTCGGGAGTGTATTCAGGTTCAGGTTCGGGTTCTGGTTCTGGAACATGTGGTACAACAGACGCCATCAGAGGAGGTGGTGGTGGTGGCGGCGGCGGCGGTGGAGGTGGACCACCCGATACAACTGGTGGAGGTGGAGGTGGCGGAGGTGGTGGGGGTGGTGGTGGACCTCCCGAGGCAGCTGGTAAAACTGGCGGAGGCGGAGGTGGTGGAGGTGGAGGTCCTCCCGAAGCAGGTGGCTGCGCTGGACGCGCAGTGACAGGCACTGCAGGTGGCCCTGGTGCAGGCGGGGGTGGTACCGACCTCGACACAGGAGCAGGAGGGGCCTCCCATGTCTCCTCCTCCTCCTCCTCCTCCTCCTCCTCGTCTTGAGCTAAAACAGGCGGCGGTTGTCTTATTGCAGAGGCACCCCCTCCACCGAGTTTCATCGCGCCGAATGTGCGTGGGACATTTGACACAGCCGCAGACGCTGGTGAAGATGTCGGAGCAGGACTAATTGGAGCACGTGTAGCAGCAGGTATAGGGCGAGTGAAAGACGAAACAGCAGCTGCAGGTCGAGATGCTGCAGCTAGTGCCGGTGGCGGAGGAGGTGTATCCTCTTCAGCCTGCTGCTGCTCTTTCTTCGCCATCGCCTGACGTTGTGACCAGGTTAACTTACCTGCCCCACCTCCACCTCCACCAGTTGCTCTCGCAGGCGTCGTCGTCGATTCCTGCCCCGCCGCCGCCATCCTCTCGAAAGGATTCCTAAGTTTTCCTGGTTTCGGTAACGATACCGGTGTATACGCCGTTCCCACTGGTGCGATTAGGTCATCTTGGGATGTGGGTTTTGTTGGGACCGTGGAAGAAATAGAAGAAGGTGGTGGAACGGAAGAAATAGAAGAAGGTGGAGGGGAAGGACGACTAGTTGGTGCTGCTGCACCACCACCGAGTGACATTGACCCGAATCCACTTCTCGTGGTCGTGGTAGTCGTCGTTGTAGGACGCGATGTAGCTGGCAAGGGCGGCGGCGGCTGTCCCCGTTGTTGTTGTACTTGTTCTTCAGGCCACGCATCCTCCGGCGCACTCTGCCTTGCTGAACCATACAACGACCCCGCCGTCTGCGTCTGCTGTGGCACAGGTCTCTTCGTCGTCGGCAACGCTGGAGGCTGTTGATTCCTCAACGCTGGAGGCTGTTGATTCCTCAACGCCGCCATATCTACTTTTCCAACAGGTTTATACCCTGATCCGACATTCGGTGCGATTTTTGGGATCTGTTGTGGTTTTTGTTGTACCGCCGGAGCAGCAGAACCAGATGAAGAAGAAAAAGAATGGGTATTTTGTTGATAGGAATACTTTGCTCCAGAAGCCGCTTCTACGCGTTTCATTATCGCTGAAGGCGTTACATCCGTCTACAATCCTAGTCAGCACACACACATTCCAATCATCAAAGCCCATAAACATAGCACACCCACCTCATTCCTCGCCTGCACAACAACATGCGCTCCCCTCAAAAACTCCCCCATCACCGCACTATGACTCGCGAACAGCCCCTTCTTGCTCTCCGGTACCCCCTCCCCGCACCAATTGATCAGCACAAATTTCGGTAATCCATTCCCCGCTGTATCAATGACTCGGGCAAATCCCCATTGAACACGGCCATCGTAAAATTCGTCGCAGAGTTCCTCCAAGCCACCGGAGCCGCTGGATTGGAGTTTGATGTCGTTCCCGAAGGCGTAGGTATAGAGAGCCCAGTCGAGTGTAGAGGAACCTGAGAGAACGGAGAGGTAGGGTGCTTTTAGCGTTGGGTTGGAAAGGTTTAGTGTTAGAGACATGGTCGTTGGTCAGAAAGTATCGATGTTTATGTAAGCCACCCAAAAATAATAGAGATTAAATTTAGATTAACTTGCTTTTTCACAACGATATACAATCGTAAAAAGCAACCCGCTCAAACGTTCGACGTACATTGAACAGTTCCCCAGCCGATGAATCCGTAAATTCCGAATATTTGAAAGAGAAAGAAGAAAAAAAAATTCAACTCAGTCCAACACTTCCACTCCCTGGCTGGGAGTCGAACCCAGCTTTCGCGCGTCCAATTTCTAGTGATGACAGGCGCGTGTACTAAACCGATATACTACCAGGGATATATTATATCCGAGAAGCTTCTCCTGGATAATCGGTCAACGGTCAGCTCAAAAGTAGTCAGTTATGCTCATTGTACAAAATTCAGACAAATTTTCATCTACAGTAGTAGCTAAGCAAAAAAGCAGCAGGCGATATCGATCAAGAAGCAGCGTGTAGTCATCGACAACATTGACAACGAAAAACAAAAACAAACCAAAAAGCAGAAGCAAAAACAGATATATTCGTAAAATCGTAGTCATTACGTCGTAGGAGAGTCGAGAGTGAATCAGAAAACGATGGACAGCGGACAGCAGACAGTGAGCAGTGGAAAGCAAACGACAAACGGCAGCAAGATGTTAACCAATAGACGTGCAGCTCAGCTTATCGACGAGGATACGAGTCAGTCCATAGCAAGCAATTGAGCGGCATCACGAAGTCGATCATAACAAGCAAGGTGCAGGGTGCAAGAAAAGAAAAGGCATATGGGTAAATGAATCCAAAAAAAAAGAATCGTCGTCGTACTCGTACTCGTGTAGTGCCGAAACACAGAATGCATCTAACACCATTCACTGTACAAATATCAATGATCAGCACAACGTCAAGTCCCAGAGGGCAAATAGAAGTAAAGGTTGAAACGGAAACCAAACAACCCACTCACCATAAAATACATCTTTGTCTTATGCAACCCATGCAACGGCTTGAACCCATCAATGAAGGATTGCAGATTCTCTGTCGCGACCGTGCTCGCTGCGTCGGACAAATCCACACCACTCGGGTCGTAGTGGATTTTCGCTCGGGAGCAGACGATGTCGGCATCTGGGGGAGGGTGAGTGTGAGTATGTGTGGCAAGGAGTGGGAGGGAGGTGTGAAGGTGTTAGGGAGAGGGTAAGGGTAAGGGTTGAGTAGAGAGGGAGAGAGGGACGTACAATACACCGGAGCAGGGATGGACACGGATCGGGTCTATTATCATACCCCCAGGAAAGAGTGTGAGCGCCAGCTAACAAGACCACAAACAGACATACCGAACGCGCATATATGTAACACAGGAGATACGCAACACTTTGTAGTGCATCCGGTGTGAAGTTGTTATCCTAAATCACCAAACAACCGGAATGAGATATGTATGTAAAGCCACTATATATATCAACTCACATCATACAAAACCGAATAATGCGCAGACCGCGAGGTGCCTAAGAGACCCCCATGACTCTGGAGGTAGAAATCAAACTCCAGGGGGTGCGTGATTCCTGTGTCGACCACGGTTCCCGCAAGACAGTTCCCGCTCTTGTCGGCTTCACCACGGGCATTGGGGTCTCGAGGGAAGAAGCTACGTACACAGAGGATAGAAGGGAATGGAATGGATTAGCCTGGTGTTCGGGGAGCAAAGAAAAGAAAGAAATAAAGGGGAAAAAGGAGAGGGGGAGAAGAGGTACCAAGATTCATTGGCTTTGAACGTACCGATAGTGGTGCCGTTTACCAACAATGATGAACGTGATCTTGGGTGCAATTCCCAGTTCTTGACAGACCTCTGATGTAGGCAAAGTCAGGAACAGTAAATTTCGAAACAGTAGAACAAAACAACGCACTCTTGAGAACGGCCACCTCTGTAGAAAAAAAACGAAAAGGAAAAGGTATCGTCAGTAATCAAGCGAAAAATTCGACATCCATCTCCCAAGAGACCAGACCAATCAATCTTACCTTGCTCCATAACCTGCCCAAACTGCCCTTCCGAAACGCCATCCCTGAAGAAAAGCAGTCGTTTCGGTTTGCAGAATTGCGGGAGCTTTTTCTCCACATTGAGCTGGTAGCTTGTAAAGCTTGCGAGAATGTCCTGCCAGGTTTGTGAAAAGAACGAACGAATTAGTACGTGGAGTTAAGGAATCATCGAGGAGGAGGAAAGTAATGGGCTGGGCTTACCTTTGCCATTGTATGCAAGTCAGCAATGATCTCCTGCCGGGAGGTTTGTGCATGGGTCCTGGGGATATATTTAACGCCTAGACTGTCTACACTCCCAACGACTGCACTGAAGGAGGGTGCATCGGAGCCTGGAGCAGGGTGCATCACGTCCGCACCTATGGGGCCAATCAGTCACCTAGGACGCAGGCACAGAACGCAAAGCATACCCATGATGATGGTTGGATTCTGCAGATCGCTTAGATGCGCAGAAGCTGCGGCATCTGGTACGACGTTGATTCCACCGAGTTTAGCATTAAGCCTGAAGAGGAGACGAAAAACACAGATTGTAACAGGTACATGAAATGTTAAGTATAAGAACTCACTTGAGACAAACATTCGCCCAGTATTGAAGTTTGGCCCGGTTACATTTTGATGCTTTCAGGCATTGGGTGACCACACCTTGCTATTATGATATATTGGACAGTCAGAGGAGAAGAGAAGGGGCTGGTGAGAATTATCGTTCGTACCGTAACATCGCCAAAGCTGGGGGACACGCATGGGTCAATCATAAGATGACTACAGGGATGAGGTATAACGCACTGCTTCACTGCACGGTAGATGTCGTTTCCCCCGTCAGGGAGAATGACGAGTAACATGTCAGGTCCTTTCCCAACATTGTTCTTCTTCACACATTTCATACCAGCAGCCTTCAAGACCTAGATGCAGAGAATGAGCAAACCACCAAATGAGGGGATGGATTTCGAAACAAACAGTAGCAACTTGTTGAATGCCGCCTTGCCCCGACGCATATTCAATTACCGGATCACGTTCTATGACATTAATACCTGAAATGATTCCCGATTACTATAAATACAAGGAATAACGATCGAACCATCGAAAGACTCACCGACACTCAAACATCCTTCAATGAAAGATCGAACCACGGATAAGGCAGTATCTTGACGAGTTCGAGTATCGAAAACTACCATCGCCCATCTATTGATAGACTCTGGTTTATATAGCTTCTTGTCGATCCTGTAAGACAACGCCTATGAAAAACTGGTTTTTCTGCAACATGCAGGGATGAGCTTACATATTCCATGCTCCGTCACGGGGTTTCTGCATGACAAAGAAGGAAGCAAAGACTATCAACACTGAGACCAGACTCAAAAGAGATGCCATAACTCACCGAAACCTTGTCTTTACTTCCTTGACCGTATAGAAGCTGTGGCGAAGGCAATTGCCGAGCTTCTATGGTCATAGGGAATGTTTGTTCATTGATGGACAAGCCGAAACTACGGACATATTCAGATTGACCATAGGCGAGTACCTGGAAGGAGGAGATGAGTAGATATACATAAAGCATGAAGCAGCAAAAGCTAACCCGGAACCCATTCCTAATACTCTGCAGTCTATCTTCTGGCCTTTTCGTAGAAAACTCCACCATCTCTCGGGTGACTTCGGGGGGTATCTGCATGCGGGCAAGTTGCCCCGGCACGATGGTGCAACGTTCGAATGGTAACACTGCTCCTTTGGCAGTCTGGGACACGATAACCGTGAGCTACAGGATACAGGATGGAATTCCCACACACTTACCTTGGCACAAATAATATTGGGATATTGGAGCGGTCGGCCAGATAGTTGTCGAAAGTAAGCAGCAACATTTGTCGAAGTACCATCCCTCTGTTGGAAGATGATACGGCTAGCACCTTCCCTTGTCAAAGAACTTATTGTGACTATGTGCGGAGGGGAGCCAGCAGCAGCTGGCCGGACAGAAACGCGAACATTCTTCAAATACCGTTCTAAGTCCCTGAAGACGCTATTAGGTAGTCCCCGTTCCATGGATAATGCGTTTGGATCACGGTTGCCCACTACTTCGAGCGCGATATCTATCACTGATCCATCCTTGTAGAACATCCCCGTCGAAAGATCTATATTTAAGAGCAGTCGTCCGATTGCAGGCCTGAGCGATTGAAAGTATCCTCGGCGTAATTGAAAACCATGTCCAACATTCTTAATCTCTGTGTCCGTAAAGAATGATTTTGAATTGTACGGGTGAGTTTGCATGGGTAGCATGCGAATAACAATGTTCAAAGCCTGAATACATGCATTAGTGAGGAGAAGCAGACAGAATCACCGCAACGCACCCCTAGAGTTGCTTGATCAGCCTCACTAAACGACTGTTGTCCATCGATAAAACGCTGGAAGCCTCTGAGGAAAAGGCGATGTTAGTTGTCATAACTTGGAACGAGAAATTTTACGGGAACGCGACTTACTCTGGGTTAAGGACCGCAACCTTTTTGAGCCGTATCTTGAATACACGAGGGGGTCTGTCTCGAGGCTGAGAGTTACCATTCATGGCAACATTATACTTCATATACAAGGTGTCAGAAATCAATGGAAGTCCGAGTTCATGTGGTTCACTTACATCGCGAGAATCGGGACCTCCAAAATCAATCGAATGCGTCATATACAAGTTCTTCTTGCCATCGTATGCTCCAGGAGGGTGAAATTCTGGCTGGAGTTGCAGCTGTTTGATCAGCTGATGAGCAACGCGAGGTGGCATGGTTTTTTCGGTGACGATGGCTTCAAAATCATGTACATGAGCATAATTGTACGGCAAACAGTTCATCGGGACACTCACCGACTAAGATCATTAGACAAAAATTTCGTCAGCTCATCAAACTCCATGAAGAACGTAATAACGCACCGTCGTAATGATAGATCAGTCCCTCAGGGACCATGGCCTCACAAGCATTTGTAAATACCTGGATTCTTCGGCCAGTGGTCCCGAATCCCTTGCGTTGTACACCGACTGTTTTGACAAGAGCTTAACATAGAAATAACAGGAGATGCCATTAATTGTTTCACAGAATTCTTAAAGAAAAGATACGGTATGTAACAATACCTGAAGGAAGCCCAGAGGGCTGGCCGCCTCCACCAGTCATCTGGGCCCCACGTCCAACAATTTGAGGCGGGCCTGCTCGAGGAGGACGGCCGCCACCGCGATTACCTCCCCTGCCTCCTCGGGCAGGCCCGCTTTGTTGACTTGGACGCGGAGGCATTGCGAATAAGGTGTTAAGATGATTAGGATAAAAAGTCGCGTGTGGGAGTGAGGAAAGGCGATTCCCTGTGTAACATGCTTTCCTCTCATCCGATTTATAGCGATACAGCTTTGTATTAAAATGCTTACGGAAGAAAACGTGTAACATCGGCGAGTTTTGCCGCTCTTCTTTTTCCTACGTAGCACTGCGCCGCAGAAAACTGCAGACTGAGAGAAGCTTAGCAGTAAGTTAGAGTTGATCCAACGCAGCCTGCATTCAAATATCGATGGATAGATGATAATCGATCATTGAAGAAGACATGTACTGTCAGGAGACGCGTATATACGTGTAGACTGAGAAACGCGGAGTAAGTTCAACTGTAACCGCTGGCCGTCAGTACTCAGGAAGTTGAGATCATGGACATAACCAACGATCATACCGAAACGTTGGAAGAGGGAAAAAGTCTACGTTTTGGTAAAAGTTACCTCCCTGGCTGGGAGTCGAACCCAGCTTTCGCGCGGTAAGATGAAAATGACAGGCGCGTGTACTAACCGATATACTACCAGGGAGTATAGCATTCACTGATCACCATCTGCTGATAGCTCTCTCCTCCTTACACATCTTTCACGAGCCTCTCCTTACAATCTCCTACAATGAAGTTACAATCTACCCCAATCATCTTGCTCAATGCCTTGGATGGAGACTCCACGTAGATACTAACGACGTATACCAATTATCACCTCTCACTGGCTCCTCAAGGCCTCAAGGGACATCGAGGATCTATTCAGTACGACTCAGTGTGAACATTTAGCTCCTTGAAAACCTTTTGTATCTAACTGGGACATATTCCAATTGTCGAATCTGTAGCAAGTGGTCTACGTGCTCGACGCCGCCTAATCACGAGCCAAAACGCTAGGTTGTTCCGTTCATCTGATATTCCGCCTACACTTTACAACTTTACCAAACCCGGCAGACACGCTCGTCTTTTTCCGTTACCAGACAAAAGACACTCATCCGATCACGGAAGTAGGTCAAGACTCAGGATGGTCTCGTATTCGTGTAATCCTCGAGGTTGAAAGAACAATCGTGTTTCCGAATGATGGGACCTATTTCCACAGCAATGATACCGAGGAACATCTCCCGGAAATGACCTTGCAGGTGTCGAAAGTGGTATCGTGCGCAGCGCGGTGGACGAATGTTCCCGTATAATGAGCGAGCATGTAAGACCACGCCTTCTTCATCGGTATCTACGCAGTACAGAAGAGCGTCGCTTCTGAATAGATTGGCTAGGGCTCAGTCGTGCCGTTGCTTCGCGCGTTGTGGGTTTTCGGTTATGATCGCGCATAGATGAAGGCACCTCAAATGCATTTTACTATCTTACCTTCTGCGACCTTCAACAGATAGATATCATCATTGTTCTGTAGATTTTTGTTTGTTACCCGTATTTCTGCATGTTCTCCATGTAGTAGCCCTCATTGACACATCCGTCCAAACATGGACAATCCATATACCCCAAACATCATTACGACCAGAGCTACCAAAATCTTTTCCTTGGTATTTGTCGCACGTAGTTTAGTAACAATGTCAGACGGGGGCCCTTGAGCACCTGCAGTGTCGATAGCGATAACCTCCTCTTTAGTTAGCGAAGCTGTTTGATGGCAGTAGAAGGAACAAATCAAGAAAGGAAAAGACATCGAATTAGTTTCATAGAAACTGAATTGCAATATGTAGTACTCACGCAAATCCGCTACGGCAAGGTATTCTTCCATATGAGCTTTGGTAGTGGTGGTTCTAAAAGAGCGAATGGAAGAAGGTGACGGAGTAAGATAATAAATAGGACAAGTCAACGTACGTGACAATAACCGCCCCCTTTGCTTTTACCCACAAGAAGACTACCTGAGTCGGGGTGGCACCGATTCGCTGAGCGGCAGCTTTGAGAGGCACGTCAACGGGTCCACCTGGATATGTAGTTATCGGTCTGCATTGAAGAATTATAGAACCTCTTGAGAAGAGATATTAGTCGATTAAATTGGGAACGACGAACGAGAGACTGCTGTAAGCTTCAACTACAATATTATGCTTGGCACATGCATCCATGACTGGTTTCATGTCGTGATAGTTGTACGGATGTAATCGGATCTGAAGAGCGTTATTAGGTATGCGTCCATCCGTCATGTTATGGTCGAAGGATCGCTTCCTTCTAACATTCTCCACTGCATTAATCAAAGGACTTACCTGATTCACAGCAGGTTTAATTCTGGAAAATTTGAGAAGGTTCTCGAGTTGTTGTACATCGACAACGTTACTGACACCGATGCTTCTAAGACCCACAACATAGTCAGTATCACAATATACAGTGAGTCGAAGAATGACACTGTACTTGGCCAACCCATCTTGCTGTACTTTCTCGAACTCTTTCCATGTTTTGACAAGATTGGGTATGATTCGAGGTTGATGGATCAGGTATAGGTCCAAATAATGCAGACCGAGCTATGTAATTTTGCGTTAGAGAAGGTACTAATCATATCGGATTGTTCAACAACAAATTCACGTTTTTCAAACTCTCTCTAACACTCTTCTGAACGGGCACCTCTCCAAAATACTTGGTCGTGACAAATAATTCCGAACGCGCTAGTCCGCTTTCCTTGATAGCTCTCCCAACAAATTTCTCGGTTTTATAAACTGCATCAATGAATAACATGATGGGCATGGAGAAAGTTGAGAGGTGAAGACAACGAGGACGCACATACTGCGGTATCGATGTGCGAGAACCCAGTTTCGATGGCTTGTTCAATGTATTGTGTGATGTCGTGAAACTTCATCTTGGACCCTGTCCCATAGGCAATGCTTGGGATCTGTCAAGGCCAACGTCAACATAACAGTGGGCTACTACTTCGCGATATTTACCTTGTTTCCATCGTTTAACGGGATGGGCTCAAGAGGCATCTTCTCTCCCCGAAAGAAGGCGGTTGAGAGCAGGTTACGAGCTTTGCGTCTTACATGAGTTTAATGTTGCAATAAGAACTTTCTAAACTTGGTAGTTGTTCGGGAGACTCGGAAGTAGATAACAGTCGGCCCGAGGCCCCGAGCTCGAGCTTCGTCCTCGATACGATGAAGGGACTGGTGTTGGTCTCCACGAAAATAAATGCGGACTTGTGAAACTAAACTACTCAAATCACTTACATACCGAGAACACCGAGAACACAACAGATGTGTATAAGTTCGATGTATACCAAGGTACGCGTAAATTTTTTTCTCGCCCACACTAATTAGTCGACCACCATGAGACAAAGGAGCGTTTTGATAACTGGTTGCAGCGTTGGTGGTATCGGCCATGCTTTTGTCAAGGAATTCCACTCTAGAGGTGTGTCTTGTTCGCACTGAATGATTCTAAAATGCTTACTTACGCCTTCAACATGCAAAATAGGATTCAAAGTTTTTGCAACGGCTCGACGTCCGGAATCTATGTCTGAATTGAAAGGGCTTGAGGGTGTGGTTTTGCTGAAATTGGATGTATCCGAGATTGACAGTATACAAACGGCTGTCGATGAAGTTGCTTCGTTGACTGGCGGAAAGCTCGATATCCTGATGAACAATGCGTAGGTCTTTCCAACTCCAAAATTCAATATGCCTACTCATGGATTCTCAGTGGACAAGGCAAGCCTAATACTCTATACATTTCACCCTCAAATGTCTGTAACCTCCTTGAAATTCAGCACTACCCAGTGCTATAACTGACTTGGATCTGGATGAGCTCAGAGCTCTTTTCGAAGTCAACTACTTTGCTCCCATGTCCATGATTAAGGAATTCCTGCCGCTCCTTCTAGCTTCTGATGATGCTCGCATTGTGCAGACCAGTAGCATCAGCGGGGTCGTGCATTTCCCTTTCAACGGCGCCTACAATATGAGTAAAGCTGCGCTGAATTCTCTCGCGGATGCGTTGCGGATAGAGCTGGCACCTTTTGAGTAAGTCTCTTACTTGTTGCCCATGTCATGTGTTTTATCGTGTACCTATACAGCAATATCAAGGTCGTCAATGTATGTTCGTTCCTGATAGCTTTCCTAGGTTTTTAACCATGTCTTTCAGCTCATCACTGGCGCAGTCAAAAGCAATATCCATCGCTCCAAGTCACTACCAGATAGTTCGCTTTATAAGCCTATGGAAAAACTATATCACGAGAAACGGTTGCAGATGTCCAAAGGTACATAGCATTCCTCAATGTCTATCTCAATTACACTCACGGCACAATTCATCTATGTATTCCACAGTGAAGGCAATGCCTACAGTGCAATATGCTCAGCAAGTCGCATCGGAAGTCCTGAAACCTAAACCTAGAGCATGGTTCTGGCTTGCAAACATGACCACAGTGTCTTGGCTTTTGAATACGTTTTTTCCGAAGACCCTACTCGTATGTATCCTCGACGCTGAGTTCCTCTTAGCTGAAGCTTACTTTTCCTTCACCACACAGGATAAAATCATGGCCAGACAGTTTGGGTTAAATGAATTTGCTGCACGTAGTGTTCAAAAGAACATCGTTTTATCTCCAAACGTTAAGAGAACAGTCTTGATCACCGGATGCAGCGCTGGCGGTATAGGGCACGCCTTAGCCAAAGAATTTCATTCTCGAGGTACGCATGGTAGTTCTGAATTGGTATACGAGCGCTCTGGAGCTCTTGTATTCCACTTGCAGGGGAACGTGTCTTTGCCACAGCCCGAAACCTTGAATCGATGGTGGAATTGGAGAGACTTGGGATTACCGTACTGAAATTGGACGTCACGAAAATCGAAAGCATACGCGATGCTCGCGATAAACTCAGCGTGATGACTGGAGGAAAACTCGATATTCTGGTTAATAATGCGTGAGTCCTGTTATCATGGTCCCCGGTTTCATCAATATTCGTATGCTGCATCTATAGAGGACAAGGCAGGTTTTGAATCTAGTCAGCCATATCCAATGTCCTCACCTTCGAAGTGACAGTGAGTATAATGGCTGTAAGCGACATGGACATGAATGCCGCTCGAAATCTCTTCGAAGTAAATCTTTATGGCGCTATAGCTATGGTTCAAGAATTTGTTCAACTTCTCATCACGTCTGGGAATGGACGCGTCGCTCACGTAGGCAGCATCGCTGGTATCTTCCCCCTTCCCTTCAGCGCGTCATATAATGGATCCAAAGCCGCGGTGCATGCACTAAGCAACACGCTACGCGTAGAGCTGGCGCCGTTCAAGTAAGTTGGCGTGGTTTTGTCATTGCTAGGCACGGGCTGACCCTGGGACCTTAGTATAAAAGTGGTCAATGTACGAATACGCTGTTGTCCGCATTTGTGTATCGTGCTTGACGTGCATCCGCTATAATAGCTACTTACTGGTGGTGTCACAAGCAACATCTCAAGACCACTTTTCTTGCCGGAGAATTCATTATACAGGCCGATTGAACAGATTCTCCTTCAGAAACGTGTCGGTATATCGCAAGGTGAATGACATCCTTTAATCAAGTATTTGACATTTGACTTTGTGTAGTCACAGCCATGCCGACTGCACAGTATGCTCGTCGAGTAGCAACTGAGCTTTTACACTCTAAACCTCGAGCATGGTTTTGGCTTGGTGATAAGTCTTCCTTGTGCTGGATCTTCGATACGTTCTTGTGGAAAACTAGCCTGGTGAGTTTGCTTACCCGGGCTGCGTTATATCTCACTCTACTCATTCTTTCTGCATACTTACTTAGGATGGGATATTCATCAAATCATTTGGATTATCAGAACTTGCAGGTTACCTTAGAGGTAGAAAGTTGAAAGCAGTGTGAGGATCCACCTCGGTATGTAAGAATCTTTCTGGACCGCCGTTCACTTTTTGTTTCACTACCCCAAATTCACTTTCTATATGATGAAAACAAGCAACATGCTCGATAGCTTGTTTGTGTATCTACAGCTGTGTTTCCTTAGGGCGTCGTCCTTAACAGTAACCGCTGTAGATGCAAAACTTGAACTGCTGGATGAGAGCTGTATAATTTGCAAACTGAACCTACATATGCACATGCACTTGTGTCGTCTAATCTTCATATGGTTAATTGTCTATCTGAAGCTCGTTTTCTCCCACAGGATGGTTCTAGGAGGTCATTCACTAATTTTCAAATGCATACATAACTGCGGTGGTGACTTCAAAATCCTTCGCCGGTAATAGGCTCGGATTTTGTTCGCTTTTTCTGAAGTATTATGCCTCTGTGTACATCTCCTTTAAGAACTTGTGCCTCTCGACCCGCAAGTTGCTCCTGTTCATCTGACTGTTGGCGGTCCGCGAAGCCTCGCGCACCCCATCTATAAAAATCCACTACGCTACCACTACACGAGTATAGAGCCATGTTTCTCCCAGTCTTAGCCGTAGTCGCGTTCGCCCTAATCCCACGTTATACATATGCACTCATCCTTGAGACGCGTCAAACAACGGACCAAATCACGACGGTAAATCTAGCTGACAACACCGGTACTCCTATGCATCTGGCTTCAGGGTTTTTATATGGCATTCCAGATGCTCCGGAGCAGATATCCGATTCGTTCTATGAGAGTAAGAAAACATGCTCCCCATTTTGCCGCATTTGCTGACTTGGTTAGACATGGGTTTCAACTATGGACGGGGGAGTGGTGCCCAGCTTGCTGCGCCTGCACGGGGGTGGATCTTTGGTTTGACAGAATTCAAGGTAGACCCTCAGTTCTTTAGTATAATTAATAGCGCCTCCTGACGTTCCCCTGCTTCAGAATCGATTCGAGTCCGCCGTATCCAATTATGACACAGCGCGCAGGTATAATGCGAAATTCATTCTGTTGCTGAATGATCTATGGGGAGCGGATGGAACGCAGCCTGCAGGTTCAGTCTTCCCAGGAGATGATGGAGACTGGGATAACTATGATAGTTTCATCGTCAATGTCATCGCAGGGATCAATTCAAATAGCATGTTTACCGACTTGGCCGTTGATATTTGGAACGAGCCGGATGCGGGAACGTTGTTTTGGAACGGAAGTAAGGCCTAGTAAAGCTCACGAGATCTATTAACGTGATTGACGGTTGTAGACCAGGAGCAATGGCTTACCATGTGGAGCCGAGGTTATGAGGCTTTCAGGTATGCTGCTCCAATTTGTCTCCTGTGTCTGCACACTTAAAGCGCGACGTCGCACTAACGCAGGGCTTCGCTTGGAACCACTGTTCAACTGTTTGGGCCAACACTCGCGGGCGCACCAGAAACAACCAACACATGGTATGTTCGTTTGATAATCAGATCGTCATACTATTTTCTTTCTAACAGCCAATTGCTACAGGTGGACTACATTCCTCGCACAAATCGCTAGCGACGGTACAGTTCCAGATGCTTACGTCTGGCATTTGGAAGGAAGTGTACGCTATTTCTAACATGCATCACAATTCACAAACGTAGTACTCAACTTCTTCGTAGACTGCAGACGTGAATGATGACTTGCAGACCAACATACCCATCTTGGATTCTATGTTGAGCTCGCACGGCCTCGCAACGAAGCCTATAGTCATTGATGAGTATGGAGTCTTTGCAGAACAATGCCCTGGAGGATCTGCTTGGTGGATTTCGCGTCTCGAACGATATAATGTACCGGGATTGCGTGGAAACTGGCTCAGTGGAACCGAGCTACACGACTTCTTCGCAAGTCTATTATGGAAGTCGGACCCCACTGATGCTACGGCGACGGGATATTGGACAAATGGAGGTCAGTGAAACTCTAATTTTGACAAGGGATTGCTGTAATTCTCGTCTTGTGCAAAATCAGACTACCAGGTTTATCAGTACTATAATCAGATGATGACTGGTCACAGAGTCGCTACGACTGGCTCAATCGATAGACTGATGGACTCCTACGCTACTGTAGGGACCGACAAAGTTCGCATCCTTGTCGGGGGACGTCAAGTTACAGGTTTGTCTAAATTAATGACCAGATAACGATCATCCTGCCCCATCTCGCTCACTAACAATTATCAGGTACTTGGCAAGTGACTGTCAACTCGCTTTCTTCTGTCGGTCTCCCAACATCCGGAACTCTCGATATAACAACATTCCAATTTTCTTTCACGGGCAGTCATACTGGTAACGTCGGCGCACCAACCAATCTCGGGGTTGTAGGACATACATACACTGGCAATGCAGTTTCTTTTCCAATTTTTCAGACCGACACTACGACGACATGGGCTTTCGAATTTGCTGTAGCGTGAACAATCCAGCGGTACGAAGCTTAAAATTACGACCGCACGATCCAGTATGTACTTCTGTATTGTTACATGAGAATGCTACAAAAAGCAAAATGATACATGTGAAATTTTGTGAATCCAAGTTTGCACCACGCTCAAGGGCGACAAACATCTCCTGACGCGTAGTAACCCTGATTAAATCCGACTCGCTATCTCCTGCTCGCCCGTCCTTTATTCCGTCTGCCAGACCCAGGCATTGTAAGACCGAAGTCAGCCGAAGGAGGGGGGTGTGGCATCATCATTCCTATGGGATCCATAGGCATATTGTTACCATGTACGACCCCTACGAAAGAGTCCATTCCTGCTCCGAACTCGCCTCGAGTCACCTCTGGATCGTTCCAAGGGCCGTTCGTCATATCTGTATGAGCAGACGGGTGGTATGTCGAAGGTCTTGACCGGGATCGCGAGGGAGCCGCAAAAGGAGTTGAGGTCACACTGGGGAAGCCAACAGTCGTGGACGTCGGTCCCATCATACTGTTCATAATCGCATCGATGTCACGCGTGTATACGGGAGTCCCTGCTGCAGCTTTCGAACCTCGAAGAATGGTCTGTTCAAACATCTCATTCTCGTGAAGGAGGTTCACTTCATGGCGGAGATTTCGAAGTATCCTTTCAAAAGCCACTAGGTACTGAGTAAGACGAAAGTGAAGCATCTGTTGCAGAAACATACTTTTTTCTTCTTCAGAACCAGGCGTTGGTCTCGCGATTAAGGGATCTTTCATTGCATCGAGCTCTCTGTGTGATGGTTGTCCCAGTCCAATTCTACTCTCCCATTTCTGTTCAAATTGCGGTTGACTGAGCATTCCTTCGGAGTCGGACAGCGATGTCTGATCCTCGGGATGACTGCTGCCAACTGAGCTCGTTGGAGACGGAGATCGCACATCTGGAGGGGCGTACTCCAAAGCGTGTGGGGTATCGGTTTGCATAATTTCGATTCGAAAGCAAATGTAAATACGGAAATTTGGTGGATGTTTGACCCGTTGAAGGTTACGAAGTGGTCTGAGGTAGTTTCGGTAGTTTCTGAGCCAACCGGTTGACTAACATGAAAGGGAAATTCAAGTCAAACGGGTTATGATTCTGAAGGGTTCTTCAACGACTGGAGCACACGTGATGTGCAGCAAGCGTGGCGGGCCGTGTCACTGGTTGTATAGGAGGACCGTTCACCACGACACAACCTGCCTCTCCGCCCAGCTGTTGGCTCTAGAATCCAAACAGAAGTCACTTGAATCTACTATTGTGGGTGGAAATAGGTCGAGGTTGTGCTTATCGTGCGAATGAAACTGGCCCAGCTCATTCCCGCTGAAATCCTTCCATCCAATATCCGTACAATAAATGACATCTCCCCCGAGAACCGCAGGACCAATATTCGTCCCGAGAACACCCAGATTTCTACGTTCCCGCGGCACTAACTGTACTTCTACACGCATCGAACTACGTATTCTCAAATTTCAAGGCACCATCTCAATTTCTTCACACATTTTTTCGAACTTACCTGGAAGAGAGTCTTTTTGGCTTGCATCCTGGTATTAGTGCCTGTGCAGCTCATATGACAATCCGGAGCTTATGCTTCTCATGGACGTTGGGCCACAGTGTTTCATGGGACTATTTCTCATACACCTTGCTTATAACCCGTCGTGGCATAATGAGTTATGCAAACCCAATCTGTATGTACACTAATGTATAGCACCACGATGACAACAACGGTGACCCCGACGCATTACTCCTCCATCCCTACCCTCGACTACACAAAATCTCAACGTCCTGGACCCGAAAGAGATGCGTTTCTTGCAAGCCTCCGGGACATACTCATCAACATCGGTTTCCTCTACCTTTCTAACCACTCCGTATCGACGGACACAGTCAACAAAGTAATCGCTTACGCACCCAAGTTCTTCGAACTGCCTCAGGAAATCAAAGATAGCGTCGATTTTACCTGCAGCCCAGCTTTCCTTGGGTACTTCAATGTGGGTGGACAGAGAGTCGTACATGCGAGGTCTGGGACAGAAGGACCATCACCGATCTCTGAAACAAGGGAACAATTTACGTTTGCGGCGGATAGAGATTCCATGCTGGCGGATGGGTGTCCAGAGTGGACGAAGCAGGATGGACCGGGATTGGTTGGTTCCCTTCGACCATGTACATTCATTTCACCAATTGACTCAATGACTGACAGTGGCCTCCCGAAGAAGTACTACCAGGCTTCAAGGCTGCCTTAGTGGACTATTACGAACAAGTCGAAAGCTTATCTTATGACTTTGCCTCCTTGATCGCCGAGTCATTAGGCTTAGATCCAGCTGCCTTTGAGCAGTGGTTCGACAAGGACCGTATGAAGATGCAACCTCGTGTGAAGCTCATGCGATACCCTCCTCCTACTGACCCTTCTAATCCCAAGGAAACGGGTATAGACTCACATGAGGATCGTGGTTTTCTGACATTTGTAAGCATACATCATTGTACCCGACTTCATAAGTTTTTGACTCGACGTTTGATACAGTTATTGCAAGCCTCAAATGTTGCAGGACTGGAGGTCAGGAATATATCCGGGGAATGGCTCGCCTGTCCCCCTGTCGATGGAACTTTTGTGGTAAACTTAGGAAGAGGTGATGAGTCCCGACTTTTCTTTAACTTTTGCCTAAATAATCCCTTGAATGTAGCCCTCGAGAAAGTAACTCGCGGTGTATGTATGGCAACTTCTCACCGTGTTTTATCGCCTCCGGGTCCCGAAGTCCGCTACTCTGTACCATTCTTCTCAAATGTATCCATGTATGTGCGCCTCGCAGATGCCGATCCTCAATGTACGTTTTCAAGCATCGATTTTCAGCTGAACTTGCCGATTTTCATATGTCTACTAGTCCCGCAAGAGGTGTGGGAGATGTATAAAGCCCGGCAACGGAAGCTGGACCGACCAGTAAACTGTGAGCATAGTCTCCTTTCGACATTCTGATCTCACCTTTGTTTCAGGGGTGTATTCGAACATGGATAAGCAACTCGCGGGCTTGACGAGGTTGACCTACAAGGTTAAGAACCATCCTGAGATGGGGATGAAGTACCATCCTGTATTCTTCCGGGAGGTCTTTCCGAACGGTCCTCCGACGAAATCTTCCAAGGTCAACAGTTTGGCGGCGTGAAATGATAAATTAGAGATTGCTGAAACTTAATTTTTTGTTTGAACCGTGCAATTTCCCTTTCTCCTTTTCTTCCTCGTTGAATACATTTCTATTCCCCGAAATTGCCGAAAGATTTGCTCCGTAACAACAGATCCGTAATATACTCGGGCTGAATCATCTTGACTCATGGTGTCGTTGAAGTGACATTGAAAGTGCTACCATTGAAAGACGAATATAGATCCAAACAACGTGTTACAACGTGCTTTGAGGTAAAAAAAATGAAGTAAGACGCGTTTATCTCGAGAATATACGCGTCTTACCGCGTAGAATGTGCAAAGGTGACTTTTTAGAGATTATAGCTCTTTTTTGAGGCCTGTATAATTCCTAATCGCCCATGTTGGCCCCGAATGACCTTGTTGAACGTCAAATGGTGATACACGTGCCGTCACGGTCACATATAATTTATAAGAGCGGTTTGCTTTTTCTCCCATACCTCCCATAACCAACCACTCTTCCTTCCAATCTACACTTTCTTGCGCGCCATTCCCATTTTTATGAGTAACATGGCGTACGTCTTCAAACGCGGTCAGTCTCTTTCTAATATTCTTCCGACGATCCATTAAAACATATCACTCTCCTTTCATTTTAGATGGGTAAGGGTGTACTCTAAGAAACACAACACGATGGTCATTCATTTTACTAAAACTACAGACGCAAGGAACGCATTCAATTCGACAAGGTACGCGTTGATCATCCCACAAACGCGCTTTTCCTCACCTTGTATTGTCCAGATAACTTCCCGCATCGACAAGCTATGCTACGGGCTCGACATGAACTACGTGGACCCCATCGAGTGCGTCCCCTTGCGCTGCTTTTAATATCCTCTAAGTCCCGTTTCAGAGTCACGCAAAAAGTCGTGCAAGGTGTCTATCAAGGTGTAACTACAGTAGAGCTCGATGTTGGTCTCTGGTGTTTTTCGGTTGAAATTATGTCTGATCTCTCGCCTATGTCAGAACCTCGCTGCCGAGACTGCAGCCTATCTCACGACAAGGCACCCTGACTACGCTATCCTTGCAGCCCGCATTGCTGTTTCGAACCTGCACAAAGAAACAAAGAAAAACTTCTCTTCAGTCATCACTGACCTCTACGAATATATCAACCCTAAGACAGGCAAATCAGCCCCGATGGTATCAGAAGAAACTTATCGAACGGTCATGGCGCACAAGGAAACCCTCGACTCGGCCATTATCTACAATCGCGATTTCAGCTATAATTAGTGCGTACTTGAACAATGTGCTACCTTATCCTAGCTAAAACCCGAGACAGTTTTGGATTTAAAACCTTGGAACGGTCATACCTCATCCGCCTTAACGGTCGTATTGCTGAGCGGCCACAACATATGATCATGCGGGTCGCTGTTGGGATACACGGAGACGATATCGAGCATGTCTTGCAAACATACAACCTCATGTCCGAGCGATATTTCACTCATGCTACTCCCACTCTCTTCAATGCCGGTACCCCTTCGCCTCAAATGTCCTCATGCTTCCTTGTTTGCATGAAAGATGATTCTATCGAAGGTATCTATGATACCCTGAAAAACTGTGCTTTGATCAGCAAATCAGCCGGTGGCATAGGAATTAGCATACATAACATCCGGGCCACTGGGTAGGTTGTCACAACTTCATACAAGTTCCTCCTTACCCATACGTTCTGTCTGCTCTTAGTTCTTACATTGCCGGCACGAATGGGTACTCGAATGGTATTGTGCCAATGCTTCGGGCGTACAATGCTACTGCACGATATGTCGACCAAGGTGGTAACAAGCGTCCTGGGGCTTTCGCTATCTATCTCGAACCTTGGCATGCTGATATCTTCGCGATGATCGATTTGAGGAAGAATCATGGCAAAGAGGAAGTGCGCGCTCGTGATTTATTCTATGCTCTATGGATTCCGGATCTCTTGTACGTTTTTTTCACGCCATTTTTGATTTACGGTTGTGTAACCGTCTTCGCAGTATGAAACGCGTCGAAGGTGGTGGTAATTGGTCTCTTTTCTGTCCTAGTGAAGCCCCCGGTCTTCATGAGGTTTATGGAGATGAGTTCGAGGTCCTTTATGAACGCTATGAGCGGGAAGGTCGCGCGCGAGAAACCATCCCCGCTCAGAAATTGTGGTATCACATTTTGGAAGCTCAAATTGAAACTGGGAACCCTTTCATGCTGTATAAGGATGCTTGCAATGGTATGTCGTTGAGCTTACTGGCTTTGCCTTTAGTTGAGAATCTTTTCAGCCAAATCTAACCAAAAGAACCTCGGAGTCATCAAATCATCCAATCTTTGCACTGAAATTGTCGAATACTCTTCTCCGGATGAAACTGCTGTCTGTAATCTTGCTTCCCTTGCTCTTCCAACCTACATAGTGAAGGATGCATCTGGCAAACCATTCTACGACTTCCAGAAACTCCATGATGTTACGAAGACGGTCGCTTTCAACCTCAATCGCGTCATTGATCGCAACTATTACCCCATCCCTGAGGCCCGTCGATCTAACATGCGTAACCGTCCCATTGGCATCGGCGTTCAAGGTCTCGCTGACGCCTTCATGGCGTTGAAGATGCCTTTTGACTCGCCCGAAGCCAAGGAACTCAACACGAAGATTTTCGAGACAATTTACCATGGCGCTTGTGAGGCGAGTTGCGAAATGGCGAAGACGGATGGTCCATACGAGACGTGGATGGGTAGTCCTGCTCAGCAAGGGCAATTGCAATTCGATCTATGGGGTGTTACACCTACCGATCTCTGGGACTGGAATACGTTGAAGGAGAGCATTTCTAAGTATGGAATGAGGAACTCGCTGCTTACTGCACCAATGCCTACTGCCTCTACAAGTCAGATGCTCGGCTTCAACGAATGCTTTGAGCCTTACACGAGGTTAGTATGTGCGGTAAATTTATGGTCGATTGTACTGATTAGTTTCTTAGCAACCTTTATACTCGACGTGTCCTTGCAGGTGAATTCCAGGTTGTCTGCCCCTGGCTGCTGAGGGACTTGGTCGACCTTGGCCTCTGGGATGATGCCATGAAAAACATGCTTATCGCCCACCATGGTTCTGTCCAAAACATTCCTGCTATCCCCGACAACATCAAGTCTATTTACAAGACGGTCTGGGAGATCTCACAGAAAAAGGTTCTTGATCTTGCTGCTGACCGTGGCGCGTTCATCTGCCAAAGTCAGAGTTTGAATGTTCATCTCGCCTCGCCAACTATGGGTCAATTGACGAGCATGCATTTCTACGGGTGGAAGAAGGGATTGAAAACTGGCATGTACTACTTGAGGACAAAACCTGCAGCTCAAGCAATTCAGTTTACTGTCGATGCTGCCGTGTTAAAGGACGCTAAAATGCACCAGGCTAAAGCTGCAGCTGAGAAGAAGGTGAACTTAATACCCTCGAAACCTATCGCGGTCGCTTCGGCTCCTGCTGAGCATAATTTTGCTTCATCTTCGTCCTCCGGCACTTCAACACCCTCCATGTCTATGTCCTCCGTCTCTGTTAGCCCGTCCCCGATCACTTCCGCCTCCGATGTAAGCCCATCATTAGAAACTTTGTCCCTCGATGAGACACAGAAGAAGGCGGCCGAGGCCGACCCAGAGTTCGCTGCTGCGCTTTTACGACAAAAAGAGCGAGAATACGAGGAGGCGAAACTCCTTTGCTCGATTGAGAACAAAGAAGCCTGCCTGATGTGCTCTGGTTAATTGTGTGGCGTGTAAGACAGGTGTAATTGGTATACAAGTGCGTAGCTGTGTATGAGTTTCATGAGTGTTTTCGTTTTCTTTCCTGTATTGTAATTTTATAGACTCGATGCGTATACGTGGCTGTAATAATTGTATGTGTATTTATCAAATCTATATTTTCAAGCTTCGAATATCGAAACGTTTAGTCACGGGATGTGACTTACCGTTCCTCTTTGCACATCTTCCTCTTTGTTTCTCTGTGCATGTCGTCTATGTGATCATGTCTGAATCTCTAACTCCTCCAACACCGGAATCGAGCTTTAATGGCCACGGCGTTATCAAAGCAATTGAAGGAAGCTCTGTTCACCGTCTTACTTCTGGACAAGTGGTAATAGATCTCCAGACGGCCGTGAAGGAGCTGGTCGAGAACAGTCTGGATGCCGGAGCGACCAGCATCGGTATGTGACTACCCCTTGTTCTCAATCATCCCTTTCGCTAACATCGTATAGACGTTCGATTCAAAAACTGTGGTCTCAAGAGCATTGAAGTCGTCGACAATGGAAGTGGAATATCTGAGAAAGATTTTGACAGTATTGGTACATATCACTCAAATTCTCTCTCTTGTATAGACTAAATATTCAATAGGCCGAAAGCACCACACTTCTAAGCTGGCAGTGTTCCATGACCTTATGGCTGTCACATCTTTCGGATTTCGTGGAGAAGCCTTGTCATCTCTATGTGCTCTATGCGAAGGCGTAACGGTAACTACTGCGACGACAGACAAGGCACCAATGGGTTCTGTACTCGAGCTTGATAAGCGAGGGGAAATCAAGTCGAGAGCGAAAGGCGTAAAACAGGTCCGTCGTGTAACAATGCCCTTAATTATCCAGACCAATCATGCCTTGAATTTCAGCGTGGAACCACAGTCTTGCTGACATCTCTCTTTTCACCTCTTCCTGTTCGGCGTAAGGAGCTTGAACGAAACATTAAGCGTGAATTTGGCAAAGCTCTGGCTCTCCTCAATGCCTATGCGTTAGGACCTTGCTGTGGACTGGGTGCCGACAAGGCCGTTCGATTTTCTGTCACGAACCAACCAGACAAAGGGTATCTCTACAATTTCTGAAGTTATATAGTAACGTCAATACTGAATAATTCTTTGAGCAGTGCTAAAACAACCCACATATCGCTACCCCTCCCCTCTCCTGCTGGAGTCACTCTTTCACTTCGTACAGTACGCGCGGGCACAATAGCATTATGGGGTCCCAAGGCTTTAGGTGGAGTGATTGACTTAGATTTGGAGTTCGAAGTTCCGAGGTGAGTGCTTCCTCCTTGACTGTTTAGTCATGCTCACCAAGGGTCCCTTTAATGGTAGGATCACAGGAAGAAAACTTAAGGGCAAATCAAGAGTCGAGGAAGATGTCGACTTAAGAGAGGATACCTTCAAGATTCACGTCAAGGGTCTCATATCTTCTCCTACACCTATACCTAGTTCAGGATTAACACCTCGATCGGGCGGCAGTGCTAGAAGTACGACTGATCGGCAGTTCTTCTATGTGAACGGCCGTCCTTGTACGCTAAGCAAAGTAGGTTTTCCTACAAATTTACTACCCTCTTAAAAGGACTGAAATTGACCCGAGATCCAAAAAGCTATCAATGACATCTACCGCACATTCATTCCTTCTAATGCCACTTCGGGCCAATTTCCTTTCGTTGTGGCCGACTTTACCATACCGGGAGATGCAGTGGACGTGAATGTAACGCCGGATAAGAGAACAATACTTGTTCACGCGGAGGCAGAGTTATGCGACCGCATGAAGGTGAGTATGTTGCTTCTGCAAAACTTCAAATTTTAGACGTTTTTCGTCTAGGATGCGCTCGATAATCTATTCTCTCCTTCTCGATCAACCTACGGTGTCAGCGGTACACAATCGTTGAACATTTCCTCTACGACGCACAATCAAGGCATGTTACCCTTTACAAAAAGTGCCAATGTGCAAGGTTCAGTAGACACTCAAGCTTCACAAGCACATGATACAGGAGGAGCCAAAGATGATGGGACGGTTGAGCCGGGCGCCACGACCTCATTGTTGTCTTACGGAGACGTCGACTGTAGGCTAGCGGACACTCGTCCAGAAGAGTATACGTTCCATGGCACCAGCGCCGATGTAGCCGAAGAATCACTGGGCATCGATGATCCTCAAATTTCTCTCATCCCCAGTGTATCACACGAACCCAAAACGATTGAGGTTAACCCCCCTGAGCAGCCATCCCCACACTCAAAGGAAACTCCTCCTGTTCCACCCCGCACCGTAGTCATAAACACCACTGGGGCTTCCTGGAATCGACCTAAGAATTCGTTCGGCGAGCCTGTAAACCTGAGCATGCAATCTCCCAGGATCCCAGGTCTCGCGGGTACCCCAACCAAATCTGTCTATCCCATTCTTGCGCAACATACAAAAAGCCAAATGGAACCTCCTCTAAAGAAGCGAAAATCAGAAGTGGCTAATGAAGACGATACAGATGAAGAAATCAGTGGCGAGGATAACCGGAAAAGACAAGGACAGAAGAAGAAACCCTCTTCGAGTGGGCATAGTGTCAACGCCAAGGTTGCGCGACTGGTATCGACGTCACCGCAGGCCAAATTCCCCGACAACTCTGCCCGAAAGACCAATCGGCAAGAAATGCGATCTCAAATCGCTGGATTTGCGAGGAGTGGCAGTCGGGTAGTGTACGAGTCGTCAGATACGGGAGAAGACGAACAGGAGAAAGAGGCAGAGGTAGAAAAAATAGAGGACTGTAGCAATCAGAATCCGGAGGAAGAAGAGGACAATACGGAGGAAATGCAAATAGATAAGACTACCCAAGCCCTTTTTCTACCTGATGATGACGAAGACGAAAACGAAAACGAAAATTCCATAATCGTAGATACAAGCGATGACTTGTTCATTGCTTCTGCGAGAAGTATTCGTAAAACTTCTTCATCCTCCACTCTTTCGGTGTCCACTCGTATCACCACTCCTCCCGCTTCTAGTTTAATCCTGGACGTCAATGACAAAACATCTGAAATGATTGATCTGACATTGGATGAAAATAACTATTCCCTCCTTTCTTCTGATGACAATCACCTTCAAACCCAAAATGAACCTATTCATCGTCCAGAGGTCATTCGCACCGAAGCTTCACAATCGTCCGTCGGGGACGTCAAGCTACGTTTAGATGTCCCAAAACTCGCGGAGCGTTGGGCGACCTTACATCCCAACTTGCATGGAGAAAAATCAAAACGAGAACTTGTCAACAAACTGGAAAAGACATCCTCATCTTCGTTGTCTGATGACGCAGGAGTGTCTGCTACAGATACACAGACCTCCGAAGCTGCTCTTTCCCGAGTTATCAGCAAAGAAGACTTCAAGGAAATGGAAGTACTGGGTCAATTCAACCTTGGTTTCATTATTGTGCGAAGATGGAAGAAATCTGGGACAGAACAAGAATTGGAAGAATCACTTTTGGATGATTTATTCATCGTGGATCAACATGCAGCAGACGAGAAATACAACTTTGAAACGCTTCAGCAAACGACAAACATCGAAAGTCAGAAACTGTTGCAGTATGTGTTCATTGTATAGTCCATAGGATTATTACACTGAGAATTACCTAGCCCTCGACCTTTAGAGCTCACTGCTTCTGACGAACTGGTTGCGTTGGAGAATCTCGACGTCCTTAGACTCAACGGCTTCGAATTGGAAGTAGTTAGCGATGCTCAGGAAGAAGAAGAAGATATTGAAATGGTCGATGACAATCCTCAAAGCCGCGTACATCGGAAACTCAGACTCATTGCTCAACCTGTCAGTAAAAGTACGGTATTCGATATGCGCGGTGAGTCGGTGCATCAATGTTTGTTTACTTTTTCGAACAGGGATTCTGATCAAAATCATGTCAACCATTTTTTTAGATTTAGAGGAACTCATTCAACTGTTGCATAACCGTCCGACGGGACAAATGGTAAGATGCTCTAAAGCACGAGCAATGTTCGCTATGCGAGCGTGTCGCAAGAGTTTCATGATTGGTATGCCATTGAACAAAAGTCAAATGAGTACGGTACGTTGAGAGTTCGCTTGCTTTCGGAATGGACTGACTGTTGGCCACAGATCGTTACACACATGGGTACAATAGATCAACCATGGAATTGTCCTCACGGACGGCCAACGATGCGTCATTTGTTTGACATGACAAATCTGCAGCCCCTCACACAGAACATTGGTGTCCAGAGGAAGTTGAATTGGACGGGTTTCGAATGAACACTCTGTCATGTTGTATACTGTTTACAGTACTATTATCCCAATCTAGTTTGTTGATAATCCTGTCGTGTCGCGCCTTTGCAGGATATCTGTTGGGGTCGCTGAAGCCATATAAGGGGCATGTCAAGCAAGCTGATTCTATCTAGCCGGATAGGGCGACGTTCTGAGTAGCACTTCACCGTAGCGATAATTTTCCTCCAAACCTTCGCCTGGCAACAACGTCCATTTGCTCCTTAACTTCCCGAAAAGCATTCCACCAAGCCTGCCCGATATTCGCCCTCCTCTCCTCCTCGGGATCTTCATCACCCCCATCGTAGCCAAACCCATATTCATATTTACCCCACCATCTTTTCAACAAGACCAGCCACCATTTCATGACCGCCACAGCCCGAAGGAGCCCTTCATCTCCCGCCTGTGCCCTATCCACACTTTTCACCAGCCACTTTGCAAAAAACGCAATATCTTGCTTGTTGGGAGAATATACTTTGAACCGAAAAACCCACTGTTCGATAACCCTTTGCACATCATCTGTGTCGACAAAGTATAGTTTATCTCCAGGGATCGAACCTGCCTGCTTCAACGTTGGAGGTTGCACGAAGCGTGCTCTTGGAGGTGGAAGATAAGTCACTTCTCCGGGATCAGGCTCCACAGGACGCAGATCAAAACGTTCATCGGCCCTTTGAGGAATGTATCCCAAAGACTTCAACATACGCGCAGCGGTTATTTGCTCTCGCTGAACATTCTTTGGCAAGACAGCAAAGACATCAGGGTCAATATCGAGCTTCAACAACTCGCTAGCTGGAACTTTCCAAGATGCGAGGCCGGGGAGTTTCGTGTATCGGTTGTACTTGGGCTTTCGGGGCGACAACGACGAGCGCCGAGGATCTAGTTGCGCTGTTATTCGTCGAACGTCGGGACCACCCGACGCTTTACGAGGGAATAAAGGTATCGTCGGTGGTTTTTCCCGTCTGGCAGCACCTAATGCAAAGGGAACAATCTTCCCAGCAGGTTGGTCAGGAGCAGGGTCCGGAGGCGCATACACGAACGGCGAGATAGATCGACGTTTATATTCGCTCTCCAATTCTTGTTTAATTTCCTGAGGTAAGGCATCGAAAATAGAAAGGTCGACTTGAGAAAACGAAGGTAGATCATTTGGCTCATCTCTCCTTGAAACGTCTAAGCCTGTCGTCTCAACGGGGTGTGCCGACCTCGAGTTGGAATTGGTTGTATCGTCTCCCCCAACCTTATTCTTGAGAAATGGAAACATCCCCTGTCCCTTGTTATCAGAGTAGTGAGAATTGACGTTAGAAGCGTCCTTCGACTCGAGCTTTTGAATCTGGATACCCAGTCCTCTCAGCTCCTTCGGGTCAAAATTCAACGTCTTCAACAATCTCCATGCGTGGCCCGCTATGATCTTTTCATCGCCTGTCGCTATAGGTCGCCCTCCAGGTTCAGATAAGGACATCTGTTTATTGAACACGTTGCAAGCACCGTGTCCCAAGAACTACCGGGTTCTTTGTTATGATGTGTAAATGAAATGATTGTTGATGATTCACCTTGGGAGGCTCGACCGGAGCAGTAGGATCCCGCTTCATGACTTTGAGTGTGATTGAACGCCCGCAACGTTGGATCGCATCTAAACGATTAGCGACTTCCTTTGCCATTTGTTCCAGGAAAAGTTTGACCTCTTCATTCTTCTGGAAACGAATACCGTACTAAAAAGGTCGTTGAGAATTAGGAACATGGTAACAGGAAGAAGGTGCTTGCGAACGTTGATATCACAGCTCACTGATTTTCTCTCTTTGTCATTCTCTAATCTCCTCTCGTCCACTCCTCTGATTAGATTGTACAATGTCTCCCCCGTTGTTTTGCCTAATACAGCGCTCAGGGTTACTTTACTCTTCTCCTCAAGGTCTCCCAAAGTCGATGTGCCCCATTTCTCCAAAGCCTTGTGTTTCGCTGCTCGTCCGAATCCGTGTAGGTCCGCGATGTCCAAGGGTGCGATAAAAGCGCGGACTTCGCCGGGAACGAGATGATAGGATTTTGCGGGCTTCGCACGTCGAGTTGCGAGGCGGGCGAGAGTGATGTTATGCGATATACCGATGTTGACTACAGAAACGATGACTCAGTGAATTGAAAGAATCAGAGAAGGACTTACTTTCGCATCCCGTAGATTCCCTAACTTGACTACGAATCCGTTCAGCGAGTGCTTTTGCTGGATCATACTGTTGCAATACTAAGCCAGATAGGTTCCCAGATTTGGACGTTTCTCGAAGACGGTTGACGGTCATTGTGACATCTATTAGAGCCTCATCTACCGATACTGCTTGAAGGTCGTCCGCATGCATCATGAGAACGGTATAGAATTTGAGAGAGAATTGCTTATATCTATATAACCCGAAGGAAAGCCAGTCAGCCATTATGATCCAGATTGGGAGTGAAAGGAGGTACTAGCAATTCGAATTCATAGGGTATGGTGAGTACGCTGGGACAAAGTTTCCTTGCTTGCTGTAGGCTATGAGGACGGTTACTTCAGCAAGCCAGTAACAAGGTAGACAAGACTTACCTCATTCCATTCTTAATTCCAAACTCCCTGGCTTCGTAGCTGGAACTAGCAATCTCACTCGTGCTGGCATCTCCACCTTGCTTGCCTTGAGAATGGCAGACAACCACAGGTTTTCCTTTCAGATCAGGACGTTTCGTTAAACCTGCAGCGACAAAGAAACAGTCGAAATCGCAATGCATGATGACGCGCTGCTCCACGGAAGGCTCCACGGCTCTACTCTTTCCTTTCACATCGTTGCTTCGAGTTTCGACCGGTTTTGCTTTATTTTTGATGGGAGATCGTAACACCACACCAGCTCCACGCATACTGAGGCCTTGGCCTATGATTTGAGGTGCGATCCCAGCTTCTTCCGCATTTTGACTGTATTGTTCCTCTTGACCACTCTCTGCTCTCTCTTGCGCTTCGCGTAATAACTCCTTCAATTCTGCCTTCCATGATGAAAGGTGATGTAAACGGGAGTTCTTGTAAAACCCATCTATAAAGTCAGGGGCGATGGAGGTATGCGCAGCGCGCCAATCTGAATTGCGCATAGCGCGCTGGGCAAATGGATTAGACTCTTGAGCGGCATAAGAAGGCACGCCCTGCTCCCTAAGTTTGTCGGATGTCGAGGCCACTGATGGAGTTTCCAAAATGGGTTTCGGGGTTGGATTAACAGGGTGCAGGGCGCTTTGTGTAGCAGAGCGAAGACCTTGGGTACCCTCCGAGCGGTTTATAGGTTTCCAGATATATTCTCTCCATGGAAGGAGTACCCCACGATTAGCACTATCGACAAGCCATTCTGGGCGAACCACTTTCATATGCTTCCATTCAGCAATTTTAGCAGGTGTAAGTGCACTGGTTACTATATGGGTTACTATGCTCTTCTTGTCCAAATAAGGCTGAAAGACCCCTCCGTTATGAACAATCAATTGTCTCAGATCTTGGATAGATGGGTTTGTATATCCATTTATCTGAGGCAAAGATTAGAGAAGTTCGAAGGCCTTAGTTCCCGGCAATGCTCACATAAATTGAGATTCCATGAAATATTCCAGCCTTCCCTGCTATATCCTTATTCTGTATCTGTAGCTTCGCCCTCTTCCGTCTCATATACTGTCCAAAGTCTCCAAACCGTGCTGCACCATAAATTTCTTCATTTTGTGTATCCTTATCGTGCTGATGAGCTTCGTCCTCCAGCTTACGCTTTAGAGGCGCCTTCAAAGCTTGCTGGTTAGGTGGTGGTGGGGAGAATTCCCGTATTTCATCCACTTGTTCGTCTTTGCGCGATTCGGGCGAGTTAAGTTGAGAGTCATAGCCAATGTCACCAGGGAGAATAGCCTGAGCAAGAGCTTCAAGAAAATCTGAGTCTTGCGAGCTAAAGTAGTCCGTAGAATTGCTGCCAGATGGTGCAGTAGTCATTGAAATTGGACAACGATTTTAGCGCTCGTATCATTTCAGTCTGAGTCAGGTCTGAGTCACTTACCGCGTGACACATGATCACTAACCTTCACTAACTTCAAAGTCTATTCATTCAAGCCCGGCACTTTAAATTGGCGACGCGCCCTAAATTATCGCACTGCAGTCATCCAGCGAATTACGCGAAGCTAGGAAGTCCTCCTGGCTAATGGACTTGGACTGGGCAATCAGATTTCTACCTACCTGACACTGCGATTCGACCTTCGTGAATTTTTACAGCGCAGTGGTTCAAGTTTCATGAATACCTTGACAGCACTCGAATAGTGGAACATAACCTACATAATGATAAGTTTTCTGTAAGGTACAGCCTTATAACCTGATATGTGGCAGCTCTTCTTGCAATTCAAGTGTATGCAATGTATGAGCACAGTCGAAGAATTTTACTCTGGATTGCATTAGACTGCCTCCTACCTGTGGTCGTGGTGCGTACACAGACGTACACTCGCGTTAAAGCATTAGAATTATTGTCTAACACTGTTGTGCGCAGTATTACTTGAAAACTTAGTTTGTGATTGATTTTATGAAGGAAAAGTACAAATTCAAAAAGAGTTCATCATATGTATACGATTCTGCAGTCTAATTGCTTCAGGGCCGCCCATTCAACAATATTAGCCGTTGATATAAAAAGATGAAAGTGTTTCAGCATAGGTCAGCACCTTTCTGTACGAACCACTCCTCCTCCTTGTATCCGGCTCCTAAATGTCGCAAGCAAGAATCTGAGGCTATTATCCTGCGTAATTTCACTACCACGCCAAGCCTTTGCGTCACCAGCTTATAGGCTATATAGCTCAATCTTCTCTTCCATTTCACGCTCCCGCAGATGCCCTTGAGATAGTGAACTCTCCCAACAAATAATTCTAAGGAAATTTCAAGGATAGTGTTCAAGAGGCGTTCTACATCTTGTTGGTTATTGCTAGTGGCAGAGTGCTGTTTCAGACTGTGTACGGGTTTCGACGCGTGAATTTACAAGATATCCGCTCTAACTAAACCGCAAATGGTGTAATCAAGAAGCTTGCTCTGACTTCGTACGTCATCAAGTCTTGGCTCAGAAATGTCCGCAGCCTGTCCTTTTTTTTCGACTGTCTTTCGTTCTTTGTGCTGCGGTTTCATTTTTGCGTTGACCCATCAATCAATCCGAGTATCTGACAATTGCAAAAATCACTCCCTTTATCGCCATTCTTGCATCATCTTGTGTACAGTGTAAGTTGTTGCTGTCAAAATTATATCAGATGGTTCCTAAATGCTATTGCAGTCCTCGCGCATTAGCCTCAGCCATTCCTTGCTGAATCCCACTGCTCTCTGACGAGATTCGTTCTCGTTCTCTATTATTCGCCTTACCCATATTCCCTCGCCCAGCTCTACGGGTAGCACGATGTCTTCACCGCCCGACTCTGCCGAAGCAAGTAGCACCAATATTTCCCTCACCGTCAACTATGTCCCGTCGAAATTTTCTGGTGCACTTCTCGAACCCTCCAGGCCTCGGCGAAGGAAATCAAAGAACGCCATAAACAGTGTTGGAACCATGGGTACACCTCGTGGAGGAGGAATCGACGCGTTCAGAAGCGGCGAATCCAGGATTCCCGATGAGAACGACGACGATTACGATGGTGTAAACATTTCCAGGTTGTGGCGATCAGGCCTTAAAAGTTTCAAAGGAACAGCAACAAAACACACGAAACTTCGTTGGAACGCATTCAAAATTACACTCTTCTTATCCAACACGGTCTTTTCAATATACACTTTGATCACCTTGATATTCTGCCTCATTACCTGGTTCGACGTTATCCAACAGGCTGACGTTATACGCGTGGGTAATCGTGCTGAACTCATCTTCAGCACTCTCGCCGCGACGTTCGGCCTGTTTACCGCTATGATTGGCTGGGCAGGTATCCTCCTGAACAACCGCGGTTTTCTGGCAGTCTACACGTTTTTTCTCTGGTTAACCTTTGCGTTTCTGGTCATCCCTGGTTATCTCACGTACAAAAAACGAACGTTCAATCTGGAAGGCAAACTCAACTCCGAATGGTCTCGAGCACTTGGAGCAGAAGGCCGGTTACGCATTCAAAATCGGTTGCAATGCTGTGGCTGGTTTTCTCCCTTTGTCGAGGCCACCATTTCGCAGACATGTTACGCCCGATCGGTTCTCCCGGGGTGTAAACTAGCGTACATGAATCTACAAAGGCGTATCTTGGAAAAATGGTACACAATATCATTTGGACTGGTACCTCTCCAGCTTGGCGCTATTGTCGCGGGCCTCTTATGCTCCAATCACGTCACATATAGGTTTGGGAAGGGCATGATGCCAAAGATGTACCAGTTGAACCCAGACGCAATCAAGTTGATAGTGGACCAGTACACGAAGTCAGTATACTATTTCCGAATCGCTTTAAATCTTCACTGAACTTTTACTAGCCAAATTGCAGAACAGTACGGCAGAGACATTGCTTCCGATGTAATCGTTAAGTCTGGTATGCAAAGCTTTGGTTCAGGTCTTCCTGCTCAGGGCAGTAATTCTTCATACCTACTTTCCGGTCACCCCCCGCCGTCGAAGGAGTTAAACAGCGGAAGTGCTTTGTCTGCTATGACATACGTCGACTCATTTGATAGAACTCGGTCTACAAGAGGTAAAGAAAAGTACGAGTCGCTCCCGCGGCGGGCCAACGACTAACTTTCCTCTCTCAATCGATTGCAACCCCTACTGTTTGCCCCGGGAATACTCTAGGCTCAGCTACTTTTTCTCGCCATGTATGACTTGTCCATTTGCGGGGGTGGTGGTGCCCCAGGCAAAACCTTAGTAGTGTACATTCAAGGCCCGGGGCTTTTGTTACACTCTCTCACCCTGAGCTCGACTGAGCACATACTTGTTTTATTTCTGTGCTATAGAGCAGCTATGGAGTATGATATACACGGGACTTTTTCTTTCTTGTCGCATCCTCATTATTTCTCCTGAGTCGGATATTTGTTTTGTATCTTTCCACGCCGTTCATTTATACCTAGTACTAATACATAGTATACCATTGCCGCTTGCGGAGACTCAGTTCAAGTCAATATATTTATCTGGACCCCTTCCAATTTTGAGTCGTTCCATGCTTTGTTACCTTGCTTGCAAAGGTCATTTCTTACTGTGCCATTTATTTTCGTGATGCTGAATACCTCTCGTTTCTTGTCAAGGGCTTTCAACCCTTTAAGTGCAGAATGGGATAGGATATTTGAATCATGCTGTAAAAAGATTGCAAATATATGCTAAAACCAGAAACATACGTGAGTTTAGCTATTCAGAACACTGTTACAGATGAAATACAGAGAGAACGGAGGAGGAAGGTGGTGAGCGAGTCAGAAGGCTACATACATAATTCCCGCATAAGTAATACACGAGATAATTAAGTTGAACGGAAAGAAACGATAGGCGTTCAAAGCGTGAAAAATCCGTGGCGCTCCAACGCTGATCACGAGTTTACAGTGTGTATATATACATCTGTGTCCTGGAAGGCTTATTTACAAGTTGTGGAGGCAACATCTCGAAACATCACCTTGCTTGTCAACCGACCACTGAAGCAGTTCCTGTCTTCTGTACACAAGCAGATATTAGTAATTTTCCCACAATAAGCTCGCTTTGGCCTCTCGACAACCCAATTACCGTCTCAGGCTCAATGAGAAGATTTGGATTATGCTACATACATGTAGTAGCCTAGCATACTTGTACATAGATGCTGGTTCGCAGCAAAAATAATGCCTCCTACCAGATTCGAACTAGCGACCTTTCCATAGCATTCACATTCTCATGCGTCGCTACGAGTGGAACGCTCTACCCCTGAGCTAAGAAGGCTTGCTATTTACAGTGAGAAGTAAGTCAAAGAGGAAGGAGGGAGAGGGAGAGATCCGCAAAGACAAACTTCGCTTCACTTTCCTTCCCATTGGAAACTTTATCACGGTAAGGGGAAGGAAATATCATTTTATTAGGGCCATTTCACACCTTGACCCCTTGTTTAACAACTTTCTAAATCGAAAACACGGAACGACAACAACAAGTAAAGTACACAGAAGGATTTACGACGTTATGAGAAGAGCTTGTTGACCGATGTATTACCTTCTTGGTTCTTTTTCAAGACCTAGAAGATATATTTTTAGGAGATGAACAAGCGAGAGCATGAAAATTTTGACCTTTGCAACAGCAAATTCAAAGTCCTCCTGTGTAACATGTTGCCGACGTTCCCTAAGGGCGTACATGCCTGTGCCGGTTCGTCAGTTGTATGTTGACCACTGTGATGTATTCACTTACCAGCCTCTGTACAAATACCTCTCACTTCAGCTCCGGAGCACTGACCCATCTTCTCCGCTAGCGCGCGCAAATTGATCCCTCGTTGAAGCGACATCTTCTCAGAATATGAGCAAGCATTATTGCAACCGATATGATACTACCGACCTTTCGAGAGTGAATACGCAAGATGGACACTCGAGCTTCAGGGCCAGGCGGTGGGAACTCGATCTTTCGATCGATACGACCAGGTCGAAGGAGAGCAGAATCAAGAATGTCTGTAGCATATCAATAATACGATTATAGAATGTCCTGATTCAACCGACACCTCACTCACCGATTCGATTAGTAGCCATGATAACCTTGATGTTTTTCGTGCTCTCAAACCCATCTAGCTGGTTGAGCAACTCTAACATTGTTCTCTGGACCTCCGAGTCTCCTCCACCACTACCACTTTCTCCACGCGATGACCCAATAGAATCGATTTCGTCCATGAATATGATTGACGGTGCGTGTTCTCGTGCCATGACAAAAAGCTCACGAACCATCCTCGAGCCCTCTCCAATATATTTCTGAACGAGCTCAGATCCAGACACCCGGATGAATTTACAGTCTGTGTGGTGCGCGACGGCCCTTGCGAGGAGGGTTTTACCTGTTCCGGGAGGCCCATACAAGAGTACACCTTTGGGCTGAGCGATACCCAAACTTTCGAAGAGCTCAGGATGTTTGACGGGCAGCTCTATGACCTCTTTTATTTCTTTGATTTGCTTGTCCAAACCACCAACCATTTCATACGTCGAGTCTGGTACCTTTTCGACCATCATGAGCGATACGAGGGGATCGATCTTGTTAGGGAGGATTTTGTGGATGGTGTACGAGTCGGAACGGAGAGCGATGCGAAGATTTGGAGTCAGGGAATTGATGTCGATTTCAGAGTCGAGGTCGACAACTATGAGAAAGAGCTGGTGATTATTGTATGAGGTATATATAGGACATCTACGCACTATATTTTCCTTCCGGCTGAACTTTGACTAGAACCTTGGTTTTGCCCATGACTTTGACGACTTCACCAACATAGGAGCCAGGTTCATGTAATAACTGGAGTTCTTCTCGTAGCAAACGGACTAGAGGAATCAGACAACCGCATACGTCATAGGATGTAAAAGAAAGTACCTCTCGCATTTAACGCATTTCGTTGTGCCTCTAGTCGCCTCAAATTCTGTGTTTTTTGGTTGATTGTGAGTTCGGCTGCTTCAATCTTGGCTTGATAGTACGCTTTGATTCCTCCTGGGACCGAAGCAGGCTTCAGGTCTACGGCGTCCATTAGCATGAAGAAGATTGTATATTCATATCTCCCACCGAATCTTGTTCCTTGTAATGGTGCAGGCATGGTCGAACGATATAGAGTGTGGTAAGACCTGGTAAGACTGACGCGTCGCGCTGTCACCTGTCACCCTCGAGCGGCGTGACACAGCGTTACATTAGCTTCCATAATTTAATTCTTATTCCTCATAGCCTTTCGTCGCCTTCTTAGCTCAGTGGTAGAGCGTTGCACTTGTATGAGCTCGCCGAGCTTCAACACTAATGCAAAGGTCAGTCGTTCAATCCGGCTAGGAGGCATGCGGAGATTCTCTTTTTTTGTTTTGCGTCACTGAGTATGATTGTTTCTGCGCAGACAAACCTTGATGTCTAATCTCCCATGTAAGTATGTTGTCAACAGCAACGAAAGGATTAAATCTACTAAACAGAATAACGGCACTGGAAATGTTACCAACAGTCGTAACGGAGTAGTCGGACTCGGTGTTACATCTTGCATGTGCAGTCGCACTATTTACTTAATCCCCAGCTAGTAGCAGCTAGTTCATCTGGGCCAAATCAACTGCCTGTACTATAGCCCCCAACATCTGAATATGCATGAGCGTAAGAGCAACACGCAATAGATTATATTAATAACCTCATGTTCATCATTCGAAACGCGGGTAAGGAATTGTAAGTAGTCCTTAATTCTGTAGTTCCGAGCCTTCCCGCAGGTCCGAGTACTTTTACTTACACCATAAATAGAGAGTGTTTTTTCAGTTCTTGTAATTCATCCTACGCTGATCTTTGCGGGCCAAAGAGAGCTTTGATTTTGATTCCATTCACATCTCAGTTGTGATAATAGTTAGTTGCAAGGTTTTTTCATGTACTGTTGATCCGCAACTCACCTAGCTTTTATTTACAGAAGACCTCTTGACGCCACTTGTCAAGACGACTCGCAACCTACTTCTAAATTCTGTGTGGATATTCCTGTTCCATCAATATGCGTTTCCAAATCAGTTTCGCTTCCTACATTGTGCTCGGGCTCATCTCCACTACCTACGCATTACCTTCATCTGTGGGTTCGCTGTTGGTTTTTGCTTGAGCCAGGTCGACACTCATTGCAATTACTAGGTCATACGCAGTCCACACGCCCGTTCCGACTTACGTTCTGTGGAAAGACAAGGACAGCCCAGTGACATGAGCGTATCTGCAGAAGCTGGCACTCTTGATACGCTGGTGGGTATCAACTCCAGAGGCGACGATCCCGTGCCCACCACTACAATCTCAGTCACCTTCCCTGTGTCTGGTTCCAGAAAATCTTTCAAGGTCCAAAGCGCAGCCAAGAAGGCTGTCCAGACACTCCTAAACAAAGCAAAATCCAAATTAGATATAACTGGAGATATCCAAGTAGTGTTCACTAATCTGTTTACTTCTCCCAAGATAATACCAACGGAGATACCATTCACATTCTCGGTAGAAGCTTGTGGAGGGAGATGCAAAGGGCTTGTGAAGGGACCTGGAGAGGGCGTGATCAATGACGCGAAAGACAAAGTCATTTTTCAGGCGGATTAGCGTTACACAGTCCAATGATGATAGTAGAAGTGTGTAGGATCATAAATTCGTTGAGACCGACGCGGAATGCACATATTCGCATCCTTTGAATCTTCTATTTGGGCTTCGATTGTGTCGATTTCGGTCGTTCCCAGACTTCGGAGGATGAGTATCGCAGGTTCAGAAAGGTTTAGTCAACGGATAGTACTGTAATAGGCTAAGGTATACTTTGGAGTTTGAAACGACATTGAATTGAACAGCGACATGTTCCCGCGGTCACTCCGCTTTCTTCAAACTGGAAAATACATCCGAGTCCGTAACAACGCAGGGATGAAGGATTCAAGAGGATTCAAAATTATTCTTGCTCAGTCTTCTCATACAATCATGTTTTGGTTTTTGTGCTACGGAGGATTTCACTCCTTTCCTACCACAACGATGTTGGCTCTGTGCATCCACGGCACACATCAGGCCTCAGCTGTTCCTGAATAGGACTGTAGGACTGTGCCAGGTCCTCCTCCTTCTCCTCTACTAGTCGTTCCGGCTTCTTCCCAACCTATTGGTTTCAATTGAACTAGAGTAACCGTGTTGCCTGATATGTGTATGATAGATGGATATGTTGATACAATGCAGTCATTATTTGAATTCCTTTTAGCCTATGGCCTAGTAGGAGCTAGCGTAGAAGGTCCAATGAGAAGGTCTATGTGAAGAAAAGTATACGTACATCGGATAACTGACTGTACAAAGGACATACATAGGTAAGTAGTACAAACATTCAGAGAGAATAAACCTAGAAACAGCAGGAATGAAGGTGTAGCAAGCATGAACTTATGAAGATATAGCTAAGTAGTGATGATAGATAGAAGGGATCCTGTCAAGGAGTCTATGAGTCAGTGTGGATCTGCCGGCGCAGATACGAATTTTCGCTCGTGTCCGGGTGTCCCTTGGTTCACAAACGTGTCACGGTAAGTACCGCTACGAGTCCATCTTGGTCGATACCGTGGTTTACGCCGTCATTCCCAGGTTCCAAAAGGCCTTCGACCCATTCTACTTCTGCCTGCCACCAGAGGGAATTCCAATGAGTCGGAGAAGAGATGGCTTGAGCGACAAGGAAATCCCGGCCTATGTTATACCCATCAGGTATGATCATATGGTGCTTTCCGGAATGCTGGAAATCGAAGAGATGAGGGCTGTTGAGACTATCTAAGCGGAGCAAAGGAAACTGACCTCTTCCTTGGAAACACCTAGAAACCATGCACCGGAGTTGGCTTTAGTACCATTCTGTTTCCATGAACGGAAGTGGTTGCCCCCTGAGGCGAGTAAACATCAAAAAACCAGACCAGTCGTGATCACTCACCAGCTAAGCTCTCCCAGCAGGTACCAAGAACGGGACCACCAGGTCTCATAAAGTAATACTGTCTTGCAAGCATCTGTTCATCTTGCCTCTCATTGCCGTCCCCGAGGTTGGCTTGATGTATATTACCGTAGTGCAAACCAAGACATTCGCTCGAAAAGCCGAGAGATCTGAAACAGGAAGTTTAGTTCGCAAAAATAAGGAGAAAAGAGGCCAGCTTGCTTAGCATAGATTGAGAAACCGATCTCGGAAAGGATGTAGGGATCCGATTTGCTAGAAATAATAACGTTTAAAGGTTCGCCTTTGTGACGAGTTGTGAACTAAGAAAGTGTTAATGAGTACTAGCTAGTTTGAAAGTGGCCGTATTTGCTTACATCCAGTAATCGCCCACCAAGGATTCTGGGATCTACCCATCCATTCGTCAGGTCTATCTCTGAGTCTACTCCCGTCATATTTGTTGCTCCTTGTTTCGATACTAATGGTACCTGCGTCCCCATGGTTGTATCAAAGGTCCGGTCGATAAGTTGGCTTGCGCTTGAAGATACCGGTGAGCTTTGAACCCACTTTAAAAGGATACATAAATGAAATGTCACGATAGCGGTGCGCATCTCGAACGACGACAGGTGGTAGTGATGTCTCGTGAGGGAAGCTAGTGATATTAGCAGTTCCAGAAGGGCTTAGACAGGAACATTGCACTTGAGAAACGTTGCGCCACACGTGCCGCACTAACACAGCACTCTCTGAGATTGTGGCAACGACTCCTAGATGAATCGTCGGCTCATGTTAAGCCTATGTTGTATCAGCGAATAAAAAAGAATGAAAGGGTCACAGTCGAATTCTAAACGTGAGTTTACGCCTACTGGAGCTCTGGTGGAGCTCAAGCACTCAAATTTACTTAAAGCTCGAATGAAAAGATCATTCGAGACATGCTCTCGTGGTTACAGCAAAATACAATAAACACAGCTTCACTTAGGAAGAGAGGGTGCGTCCCGCCAGACTGCGAAAACAGACTTTAGTCTGAGTCTGGATTTAAACCCAGCGTCTAAATGTGGTTTCTTTCCTCCAGCTTTTTACTACCATGTCGATCAAATATCTCACTGCAAAGCTTGCCCAACAAGTGACTAATTGAAATCGACTACTCATATCACAAGTAGTGCTGAGGAGCGGTCTTCTATGTAGATTGACGAGGAACTCATGAACCAAGCGGGGGCCTTCAGTATCGATCAAGTAAATGGTCCTAAACTCAATGTCTCTATACTGAATTGTCATCTCAACACAGCTTATGGAACTCGCCGGCTTAGCCTGTGCGCAGGCTCTAGCTCGTGTATATGACAAGAAAATGTATCCCAACGTCTTGGTATGTTGTGGTCCTGGAAATCAAGGTGCCTCTCCAGAAGTTGTTTAGAGTTCCAAATAACTGATTTCTTGTAAGGGGGAGATGGCTTGGTAGCAGCTCGTCATCTGGGTCAGGCATCTGGCACGTAATGGGTCTTAGAGTACTCACTGTGATATAGGGATGTTTGGTTATACGCCTACAATCTTCATGCCAAAGGTGACTTTTCTTTCTCAATGGTTTCGGGATCATCCTACAACACCTGTATCTAGCCCGGTTCCAAAGAAATATACCAGGTAAGCATACTTGCTATCACCCTTGCTTTATATGCCAACGGAATCTCGTAGCGGCTCAAAAGCCAATGCGATAACATGAAGATCAAAACTATTCCCCCTTCTGAGGATACATCTCTTCTCCGCGACGCCCTCTCTTCTTCGAATGTGATCTTAGATGCCATCTTCGGCTTTTCGTTCAAAGGACCTATCCGCGCACCATTTGATACGACTCTGCCTCTCTTGACTGACTCCCACCTTCCAATTGTTTCAGTTGACATACCATCTGGCTGGGACGTCGAGGAAGGAAAAATTGAGCGGATTGGACTACAATCGGATGTTCTTGTCAGTTTGACTGCTCCCAAACTGGGCGTACGTTCATTCAACGGTCGACACTTTCTCGGTGGAAGATTTATTCCAAAGTAGGTTGCTATCAATATATTCCGTTTCATCGCTCCATTGCTGACGATTCTCAGGACACTGGAGGAGAAATATCAGCTAAATCTCCCAGAATATCCCGGGTCAGATCAGATTGTCGAGTTGAAAGAGTAGGATGATCATATTTACACCTAGGAATAGTAAGATTGAAAGTGTAAATCAGCGAGCATCCATTGTATCTGGATTCCGCTCTAGCAACGCGATGCTCCGCTCTATGACTTGTCCTCAATCGTGGTATTTTCCTGGTCCGAAACGATCTCGATGCGCAAAACTGATACTGCAGGGGATTGTCCATGGTCTATCGAGAGTGCATTATCTCGAGACGACTGTACCGAAGTCTTATGCGATGATAGTCTGCTTTTACCAATGAAGACGAAGAACTTGGGCGACAAATTTCCACTCAATCGGACCGCTCATTTCCAGGGCTTGTGCGCTATGAGAAGTCAGACACAAGGCTGTTTTGTTCAGTTTCGGAAAATCATATCCGAATGAATTCACAACTAAGATTTTTCGCTATCACCTCTCTCTAAGAAGAGTTCGCGTTTGGAAGGCTATCCCAGGGAAAATTTAGCTATTTTGAGCAAGCTAGCCAGGTGAATCTGAGTTTCGTTTATGTTTGCAAGGGCTTATGTATATCTCGAGGCTACAAGAAGATCAGACTGGAACGTTTTCTGCAAATCAGTGTCTTGTCGACAAAGTTTTCAGTCGCGTTAATTTCAGACGGCATCTCAACAGGACTGCAGGCGTAGCAAAGTCGTTATCTTTTGGCCCTCGGGCACTCGTGAATATGTACGCGACCTTTGCTCTGGAGCCTGGGCCTGAATTGACTTCGATTCAACTCTCATCCTTTCTCAGACGGGGTCGGATAGCGTTGATTCATCAACGTCTCGGAATTTCGGGATTTCGGGATGATCTCTGGCTATACCGGGGCCCCGAGCTACCACAACAGATTTCTACTGATGATACAGGTCCTGTCCGTTCATTCGTCGAGGCATTCCCTCTACTCCCATGAAGTTGTCGGACGTTATCTCTACTCACCCCACCATATTCACAACGTCTAGTCAACTTGCATGGACCGTCGGATTATATATCCGAATGGCACTACCACTCGTTGTTCTACTCAAGCATTATCGATATCAGGAAGAACATTCCAGTTGCTTCAATGGCACCGCAAGCCAGGGAACATCCTCGGAACCCTTATTTGCGGGTTATTCGTAATTTCTTTCCCCCTCGTGGTCTCTATTTCGTCGGAAATTGGTGATTAAACGAAAACTTTATGGCCAAATATGTTGACCGCTGGTATAAAAGACGATGTACAATCAGCGAGTTTCCCTGCATAAAGTCAATTGTTCTCGAGCACCTTGTCATGATGCTTGGACCTTTTATAAAGCCCTCCACCATTCTCCGAGTCTCCACTAGCCTCTGTATTTTCTCTAGTTTGGCATTGTCCCTTCCTCCTCGAAATCTCTCCGACAATATTTCGAGAACACCGCTACGGCGCTCAAATCCCTCCTCTCACAACGAAGTGCTTCATGCCGAAAACTCCAACGCAACCAACACCACCACCCAATTCAGCGGAAACTGGTCTGGCGCTGTCCTTGTTTCACCTCCAGCCGGCGAGATATTCACTAGCGCCGTAGGCACCTTCACAGTTCCATCGCTGCCGTCTGGCGGTAATGGGGCTGCGGCTGCCTGGGTCGGTATCGATGGTGATACGTTTGCGACTGCAATCTTGCAGGCTGGTGTATTCTTCAGCATCAGTGATGACACTGTCGAGTACGGAGCGTGGTATGTTTTTTTCCCTTCCCTAAGTAAGATACGTGTTGATCAAAGTACATACAAGGTACGAATGGTGGCCTGGTGTGTATTAGGATGTTCTTCACGCTCTAAGTCCTGACATGCATGTTTCTTCCCCCAGATTTTGCTACTGATATCGATGTGGACGATTTTCCGATCTCTGCTGGAGATGTAATTACCGTCAATATTGAGGCCACAAGTAGCAGCGAGGGTACTGTCAATCTGATCAACGAATCCTCGGGAGTAGGTTTTACTATCAATCTCACTTCACCGACAAAGCTGGTATGTGATAAAGAAATTATCATTGTCTATTGGCGCTAGCTGACTATAAGTAGTCCTTCCTTGGCGGTCAAAATGCCGAATGGATTGTTGAAGATTACACCCAGAATGGTGGACTCGTCCCGCTTGTCAATTGGGGCACTGTCACTTTTCTCAATGCTTCTGCCTTAACTTCAGCCAATAAGAAGCTCGGTGTTGAGGATGCTACCGTTTTTGAAATCGAGCAATTCAACGATATCTTTACTTCTGTTGTAGTCAATAGCGATTCGTCCCTGTCGATCTCTTATACATGACGATGGCTGGGACACCTAGAGGCGTTACTCGAGAGTTATAGACATCATAGAGCAGATCCATATCACAATACTACTGTACATGAGCATATTGCGTTGAAACCTTCACGATTCAAATATTCAAGTTCTTATTCGGCTTGAAACAGTATCTGGTTGGATGCCGATTCGTAGGGTACCGGCCCGGTAGGTTGGGGCTTCTTGTCTCCGAATCCCATCTTGCCTCAATCCCACCTCGTTCCAGCAAAAACATCCAAGATATTTTTCAATTTCTCTTTGTGCGATTCTTTTCCAAAAAAACGGATTACTGATCTAATGCAGTCGCACAGCTGACCAGGATTTAGTCTACCGGTTAGGAATATCTATGGAGTGTTGGCCTTGGTGAGCATCCTAGATCAGGCTTGTATGGATTATTCTGACAAGTATTTGAAAAAGTTGTCAGACGTCTTGCTTCAAGAAAGCAAGAAGGGATCTGGCGTCCTCCCAGCCTGAAATTTTTAGTAGTTTGTCCACGAATCGTCTGCCGAACTCAACACCGTCGCAACTCTCAGCCCCGTAAGTAACCCTCGGACTAAATAGCGAGCGTGCCAGCCACCTCCAACTATGAAAGATCCTTCTTGCTCTCTACGCATCGAGTAGAGTTCGTTCTTCGACCTACTCAAATGGGCCCTCGTTGCAACTCACTGTCTGATAATTCCTTGTTTAGATGTATGGATTGGATATTGCGCAAAAGGTGCTTTGGGTCGCTAAAAGACTCTGGTTTCGTCTACTCGCACGAGTGAGGATTCTTTATTTCTGATCTCTCAGACCCCGCGTATCCTCATTGTCTATCTAGCACTTGGTGCGAAAGAAACGACTAGGTTGGTTGTGGCAATATGGTGCCTATAGAGGCTTTGTGTTGTGTCACTATATATATATCGAGCGTGTGTGAGTTCACGTTCTCTTCATTGATATTAACCTCTGAATTTTCGCACTAGAATCTCTTTTCCTTTATCTGCTCATGATTTTGTCGCCATCAGCTTATGCAACACAGACCAAATTCTACCTAACATATGTGGGCACTCCTCTGGACTTCCCTTTGCGACCTTCGATCTTACTTCCTCAATCACAACGCCAGACTGATTTGGAATATGTAATACCCTGTTGAAGGGGTTTCCAGTTGAGCATTTGGGGTGGTGGCAAATGAACCCGATCCCCAACGGGAAGAGTTCCAATGAAGCTGACCGGCTGCTATTCAGCAGACCGTTTGGTTGACGAGATGTGTGGTTAAGGCGGTTAACATTGGCTTATAGGTCTGTAGCTGCGAGTGAGACGCGTAGAACTGATTCTGTCGTCGGACCGTTTGATATGCGGCCCGGAATACCGGGTTAGTCATTTTCGGGGATTCGGATCTTCCCGTGGCCCTAAGCTTCATCGTAGCCCCGACACGCACCCCACAGCCAAACGACAGAGTCGGCCGGTCGACTTTTTCTTTTCATTTTCCGTTCGACTTCCAATTTTGCACCAGTTTCTTCATGACATGCCCCGTCCTGGCCAGCCACCGCCATCTACTCTCAGAAACCGCAACCGGATTACCAACAAAACCCGGCTTAAGATCATCCATGGTGATATCGACGTCGACCAGATAATTCCGGACGAAGACGAAGAGAAGAACCGTCTGCTGCAGAGTGTTGCCGGTGTTGACCAGGAGGACGCTAACGTACGTCTCTCGACGATGCTACTGTGGCATTGATGTGGCTATGTATTCCGCGGTTTGCTGACCAATACTTCCGTTTTAGGAACATCATCTTCAAGCTGTTCTTTCACAAGCTGCGTCGCAAGCTGCTAGTGGTAAAGCAACTAAGGACAATGAACAACTTGCCGCCTTCATTCCCATCCCCGAGCATTCAGGCTTTGCAGAAAACTACACTTCCCTCTATCCTGCCGACCGTTGGAAGGATCCTGTGTCTTATATTCAATCCAGTTCTGTAATCGACGAGTATACTGCTGCTGCTCTCGCAGATGGCTGTACCTACTATATGGATGAGCGTGACAAGGAGTGGCTTGACCGTAACAACGAGGAAGCTCGAGGTGAAGGTACTAGTGCCCAAGGTTCTGTGCTAACTTCCAGCGGTCGAGTATCTGGTCGAAGTGCGAAGGGGAAAGGAAAAGAATATGAAGACGCCCAACCCTCACTCATGTCTGAGGACGAATTCGAGCTCGTAATGGGCCTCTTTGAGAAGATAACTCAGGAGAAGACTGAGTTTTTGCATCACGTTCGTTTATCTTACCTTCCAAATTTTTTTCTCGTGAAGGCTAATACTATACTCAGAGTCTCGAGTCAGGTCAAATGCACTTTCCTGAGTTCTCAGAATACCAAGAAGTCCTATCTCTACCTTTACCGCCTGCCACTTTTGCTTCGTACTCTCCTCCGACATGGTTACCTCAGCCTTCTCATCTGCTTCGTCTCGCACGTGTTGTATACCCGTACTGGAAGGAACGGTGTTTAGAACGCGCTGGTCGAAGGATTATACCCCATCTAAACGTATGTTTTTCCTAATATGTTCTATCTCTGCCGCCATTGACCATTGTCCTAGTTTGATGAGTCTGATACCTTGAATGAATCTTATGTTTGTTTTCGAAGACGTGAAACGAAGGCAGTTCGGAAAACGAGAGCCTCTCAGGCTACCTCATCTGACAAACTTACCCGTTTGCAAAGCGAATTCGAATACCCTCTCCAACTTGCCACGCAGTTACTTGCTCGAGAGCAGCTCAAACGAGACTCCGCTAGACAATCGCACCATGTCTGGAATCTACGCATGAAAATGGTGGATCTGAAGATTAAGAATCCTACCTTTGGCGACAAGATTGACGAGGAGCTCCTAATAGATAAGGAACGACCCACCAAGAAAGCAGAGCCTTCATCGTGCGTGCTCTCGACATTTCTCATTATTTTATATTTAAAGCTTTTTAAAGTCGTGTCCGGCTTCCTGCTAAATCAGAGGCTTCCGCTCAGCCTTCTGCCTCCGCACGTGAAATCATTCGGCCCAAGGAGAGATTTGCCTCGTATCAAGGGAAAATTGAACAGATGCTTCAAATTCGCAAAGATCAAGATATGCAATGGGAAGATCATGTCGATGTCTGTCTTGCATCTAATTATATTTCATTTGACTGACACTACCATAGATTGGCTACGTTCAACCTACTATAACACCTTATGGTTCCAGGCTGTTCAAATACATCAGCGCTCCCTCCGAGTTGGGGCAACCCTCTACCGATGCCGATGCTGCTGCAGGATTAGTACCAAAACGATCTATACGCTTAAGATATGGACGCGGTGGTCGTACATTCATTGATCGTAGACCCCATTCTTCGCAGGGTAATTTCAAGCGGTGTCGCAGAATCATGACTTCTGATGATGACGAGGATGCAATGGAGGTTGATGATGTTGAATCACACGAGGAAGCTGATCGTCGACTTTCCGAGCGATGGAGATTCGATGCGGACGACGGTCCCCCGTATGGTCCCAATGGGGCGGAGGAACAGGATCGAGTTCTAGTGGATGATTTCGATTCCAAGTATGTCTTGTTGAACCTCATTTCGTCTCAATAAACTGTCGTTCACTCAACTATACACCAGATTCATAAGCAACTTGCTCGATCAGTCGGATTTAACTACTTTGATGACTGACTTCAGTATTCCTGTAATCAAAGATGGCAAAAGGGAGAGCTACACCCCATATAGGCTCGGTATGACGCCGCCCATGATGCCTATAACGCCTAGAACGTCGTCGCAACCTCAGGTTCCTGTTCAAGGTGTTACACCTGTGTCACAGCAGGTTCATGCTCATCAATCTGTTCCCATATCACAGCAACTTAAACTACCCTCCTCTGTTTCTACTCAGCAAGCTCGCGCTTCTGGTAGTAACCAGCCAACTGTTTCGCAGCCTCCAACTGCTCTCTCCACCGTACAATCTTCTGCTTCCCGCCCTTCGGCTGTTATACCCTCACCTCAGGTCATCCATAATGGCAGACCAGCTATGAACATGCCTCGTGTTGACATGATGAAGCTCGCTTTCAATCATAGTCTTCCATCTGCTTTGCAATCTAAAATCGAACCAATTTCTCAATCCGACGTCGGTAATCACACCAAATCTCAACCCGACGAGCAACACCAACTCGTCCGATCGAAGTCGCAGCAGCAGCAGGTCGCCCAATCGTCGCAACCAGACCAATCTCAGGTTCAGATTTCAACCACAACTGCAGTCAATGGTCTTCATCCTACGTATGCTGCTCTCGCGAATGCCAATCCTTCCGCATACAACATTTCACATTATATGCCTCATTATCCTGCTAACCCTGTCTCGTCTGGCCTTAACAATCAGCAACTACAGCACTTGAAGTCTGTATTCAATTCTGCGAACGCAGGCGGCTCACAGAACTACAATTCTGCGTTGTTTACGCAAATGCAGATGCCGAAAAATAGTAGTGCCGTTGCCAATGGCACATCGGGTACACCTGCTGTTAACGGAAGTTCTAATATACACAATTTCACTGCGCCTCCTGTTCGCCCGATGCAGCGAGTCCAAAGTGGGTCTACTGTCAATGGATCATCGTCGAGCCCTCCTCGACCAGCGTCTACAGTTAATGGTATTCAACATGATCCCAGCGCTTCACCCAGTCCTCGTATGATGCATGCATTGGTCCCTGGAGAACACATTCCTGCGCGTACCTCTTCTGCGAACGGTTCGAGAACCGGCTTTCGGCCTCCCAGTAACGGAATGCAAAATGGAGCCCAGATAGTATACGGTCCAAATTCCATACAACAACAGCAAATGCTTCAGATGCACAGCCAGTCGCCTCCACAGCCGGTATACAACTCCCCTCAGGCCTACTCCCTATCCCCTTCGCCGCCCAAGATGCAGCCTGTTTCTATGCCTAATGCAGGCTCCCCATTATTGCAACAGCAACAGCAACAGGTTGTTGGTAACTCACAAGGAGTCTACTGAAATGCGATCCATTTTTATTTTCATTATTTTTCTAGTATGTACGTTTGGACTATGTAATAGTCTTTTTTGATGTATGATTCAATCGTTTTTCGCTGAGTACATATCGTTATCCCTCCTCAGTTTTATAATTATAACCTGCTTCTCATGTACTTATGCTTTATAACATGTAGTTTCATCAAGGAATACAACTCTTTAAAGGTTGGTAGATAATGTGCGCACAAATCAATCTGAGCATACATTATCATTGTTGTTGTCTAGACAAGACGGGAAACATTATCCGTATCATTATTCTATAAGCATTGTCAGTCCTGCTGTACTTAGAAGAGAGCGTGTTTAACGACGTAAAGTATTCGGACAAGACACAAATGTGACGGTGAATGAGATTTACATTGCCATCGCCACCGCAGAATAGCCCTCTTCAGACTCATCTTCATTGTCATCAAGAACGTGACCCGAATGCTCTTCTTTATCACGAACAGGTTGCGGCGGCGCGTCCAGGGTGTGCAGTAATGAGTCAATTGGAGACATTGGGGCTCTATCAATATCAACTGGGTCTACAATTTGGGGACTGGTGACTGCGCGTCTTGGTGTAAGTGGTTCAATAAACACGGGCGTAATGTCAGGAGCGATCAACGTCGAAGGTGGAATGGGGGGTGTTGGCAATGGTAAAGCTGCAGGTGGAGGTGCCGGGGTCGCAGAAGGCGATTTCGATAATGAGAATCTTCCCACTCGACTCGACATGAAACTACCAATTCCGGCTCCCCAGGAGGTCAAGCGCGCAGGAGAAGATGATCCAGACGAAGTGTCAGTGGAGGCTGATGACCTTGAAGCAATAGAATCGATGCTAGTATGTTTTAATAAGGTGGGCTGCATGAAGCTACTCGTTGAGGAAGAGGCTGAGTTTGAAAGAGAACTGTCCGGGTCGGGTTTGGTCACTAGTTCCGGTTCTTCTGAGGTTGTCATGTCACTGTGGTTCGATGGTGTAGCAGGGATAGGCGTGGTGGGAGCTGCAGTTGACGGAGTTGTGGGAGCACTACGCTGCCAACGATCTCGTACGCCCTCTACGGCCTTGAAAAAACTCAACGAGCCAGCGGTGAAAGTCCGTGTGACGGCTTCGCGGGCCGGTGCAAGTTGTTGCTCTATTTTGAGTTCTTGAATACCTTCTGACAATCGTAATCCAATGTCGGCAACAACAGAGACCTTCTCATTACAAGGGTGCCTTACTTTGCCGTTAGTTCCGGACTCACACTAGTAAAGTGACCTGCACATACCGAGGCTCTACGATGTCAAATAACATGGGATCAGTTGTACGTTCCCAGACCTCATATGCATTTGTGTTTTTGAATTCAGACATCCAAAGGTGATTAAAATCTTCTGTAGAGGTTGGTTCTATGCGAGCTATGAGTGAGTTATAGGGTTTGAGCATACGATATACAACGAACCCGTAATCAAAACGCCTTCTCCTTTAATTAGAAAGTCGCGATATCGAACGGACGCCAAAGCAGCAGAGATATATTCGTCAAACTTGACTCTCAAGTAATCATCACTTCCTTTGAATCTGGGAGCAAGAGGTAAGATGATCCTGAAGTAAGGTGTAACCATAAGCTTTGACATACACCATGCCCTGTAGACGGGGTTGATTTTCTTCAAACCAGGTCTCGTTGACGTCCTTAACGATATCGTCCATCCATTTGCGGTCCGCTGCAGTCAAACCTGCAGATCGCTCGAGGTTCTGGTCTCGAAATTCAAACGCGCCAGTCTCGATCTATATCGCATTGTTGGAAAAATATGTTGCGGGCATAAATGGGCAGACCCACATTAACAAGTAGATCAATCTCCTTCTGGTGTGTTACTATTGAGTTTGTGCTTCCACACAACCAACTCTTTGTCTCCTTCAACATATCCAGTTGCTGCAGCGGAAGGTAAGGTTGAAAGAAAGCATCTCTGCCAAATATATCGAGAGGAAGTCCAGTGTACGTCATGAGACTCTTGCGGTCAGAGGTACGCAGAGATGTAGGGCGCACGAGAGTAGGTGCTCGGGAAGCAAGAGGCGGAGAACCACAATCGTCAAGTGTCTGCAACAGACCGGGAAGCAGAGAAATAAGTGAATATTGATAAGTGCATAAGCGTTCAACAGGGTGTCCGTAGAACATGATCTGGTGATAAGTTTAGCATGCTGCAAAAGACTAAACCTCATATTTACCCGTTTCTGGAGAATGAGGGCCTTGACAAGGATCAGAGTGCGCTGACGGAAGGTGTGTACCAGTTCTCGTCTGTAATGCCTCATCAAGAGCAGTCCGGTCGGTCCAAGGTGAAAGGACGTACAGACTAGTTCCCATATATAATCCACTCTCAGTCATTTGCGTTCGGAGTGAGAGCTCCAATCCAGACTCGAAATCATCAAGTATTTGTACTTCAGAGAAGTCTCTATCAAAATTGTTGATGATGACAGCAAAGCGACAAATCCAAGAAGGTATACCTCTGCTGAAATAGAGCAGTCGTGACCACGCCTAGTTTATCCTTGATCGGACCAAATACTGGCTTTGAGGCTAGTACAACAACAGCCTTTTGGACGGTTGAACGTGTTACATCTGGCGTCTTGACTAACAACGCTGAAGCAGCGATCTGTTGGTTACATCTATGTAATTAATTGAGATGAAAAGAATGATTTCAACGAGAGGTTGAGCTCACGATATGCCGAATACAGTGGTGGGATTCGGCCCTGAGGGAACAATATGGAAGTATGAGTAGTCTTCAGCACTCTAGCGTACATGACATCAACACGGCATTGAAAGACGTATAGAGGGTGACTAACGAGATGTGCACCGTCTGGCAAAGCGAGAAACGGTACCATCTTGACAATTTCCTCGTTCTCGAAAATTTCACCTTTTGACCATTCAATTCTTGGACCAACCTGGAATGTTCAAGGTAAAACAGATGGTAAGGCAAGGAAATGATGTGGTCAATGCGCACCAAGTGATTGAAATCCACCAATGCTATTCCCAAAACGAGTTTTCCAGGAGGAGGTTGGAGCAAAATTGACTCTGGTCTCGCTTTCTTTGAAGACCCTGAAGCGAAGGATTCGGCAATGGACTCTACGTCGCTGTGTCGTCGCGGGGGATATGTCGGCGGAGAGAGCATTGGACTAGGTGCTTTGGGTTCATCGAGGATAGAGCCAGAGGCACTGGTATTTGGAGATTCATGCTGGACCATGTCGTGAGATGCATAGCTCATGTCATCGGCGTCAGAACTGAAGTCAGTGTCGAGCGTGTAGGGCCTGGACTCTCGCTTTGACAAGGTATCCGAGCTCAAAGGATCATCGACATCATGAAACTTGTATCGCGAAGTATTCGAGGATTCATAAGACTCGCTTTGGCGAAGTTGAGGATGGTCGACTTGAACCGAATTTCGAGCAGAAACTGCTGGCGACGAAAGAGAAATTGATCTTTGAGAGGCAGTATCGCCATCATCAGAGTCGGCTGTGAGCTTTTGCTCTTGTAAGCTGGGAGAGTGAGAGGCGAGGTCGTCAAGAGAAGTCATGAAGAATGGAGGAATATAAGAAGGGTATTAGCTGCGGGCGTCATTGCGCGCGCTTATTTGATTTACTGTACAGTGGCTTCGATTTCGCTTTTTGATTCACTACCACGATCGCCCCTCTTCACAAATGGCCCAGAGACAACCATTCTATTCTCCCACTCGGCCACCGACTCTCGCTATGACAGAACTTGTAAAAATGACTCTTGATCACCATCACGCTGCCGACCTTATTTCGAAGTGGCTCGAGCACCGAAACGACACTTATACTGATTGGTTTTTCTCGCGTCGAGACCAGAAACACGACCGTAACCAAAGGCAAATGCTACTTTGGAACAAAGGAGATTTTCTTCTCGAGAATATTTTCTGTAGAACGGTTGATACGGGAAGACTGATTCCTCTTCGGACATGGACAACACACGTTTACTGTCATCGTTCAATATATGATAGGAAGCGTCCAATGATGCCAGTTGTATTCACTATGGTGAGACCTGTTCTCCATTTTGTAATCTCCAAAATAATCTAAATGTACAGTTCAGCTCCCAGAACTGATGTTATTACGCGCAATGCATGATCGAGGATGCGAAGAAATCTTCATAATTGTCACCGATCTACAACGGCAAGAAATGGATGAAGTAACCGAGTACTTCAAGCTAGTCTGTAGACATGCTTTTGGACAATGCAAACCTAGTATGGAGAGGCGCATTCAACTCGAACGTATGTTCTCAATTATTTATCTACTTCAAACGCCTTCACGTTATTTTTTAGATATGCGAATCACCCACGCACTACACCGTCATCGTCGTACTCCTTGCTTCCCTCAAATAGACCTCACCCTTCGTGCAATCCTGTATGAGAAGAGACCGCGTTTTGTGGTTCTTTTCTCTCCTCAACCAACTTCCTACTCGCAAATCCTCTTCACACACCACACCTATGTCCCAGACGAGGAAGTTTTCTTTGATTACCCCACTGGCTGTCCCAATCCCTGTTGTACGGACAACTGCGAGATGCTTCGGTTTCCGCGGAGAGGCTTGGAGACCGCTAACGTATTGGAAATCAAAAGAGGGGGGAAATTTGGTAAAAGGGTCAAGCAGAAGACGATGTGCAACTGGATAGAATGTGATGTTTGTTTCAGTGAGGAGCCTTCGTCGAAGAGGTCGAGCGGAAGTAGTGAGGGAACTGAAAGCTCGGAAAACGGATTGGATCCACCCGGGCAGCGTGTCGTTCCTGGTCAGCTGTGCAGTCAATGCCGACTTGTCAGATATTGCTCATTAGATCACCAGAGGAGGGATTGGCCTGAGCATAAGAAAGTTTGTGCTAGGATGCAGTGGGACTGAAGTTCGACAAAAATCTATGCGTGTCCTGGACTCATTTGGACGGTTTTTGACGGTCTCTGAAGGCGATTTTTTCATTGCACATAGTTTGTTCATTATCTCTTTTCATTCTTCAATATTTGTTGTATGTACTACCATTTTCCGTCGCAATGAACTGACGACCTAGCGACTAAAAACATGAGACGGATTTGATCAGTCCATATGCTCAAATTTCTTGGCTATCGGCCTTCCAATCTCTCAACCAATGTTGGACAAAAGCTACCATCTCCTCGTGTATCTTGCGTATTTCGGGAGGCTCGTCGTCTGGATTTTGAAGCCCATACTCGTCGTAATGGTGGACGCCATCTTCAATTTATGGCATACGTATGTATCAGTCTTTTGAGCATGAAAAGAGAATTGGACACCTACTGGGTATGATCTTGAAGGGTCTCAACATCGTATCCTCCCGGTCATTCGCATAGTCACTATGAGGCGTGTCGGGACGCCAAGGATCGACTAAAAAAGAAATCTCAGAGCGCTGGCATAATGGAGATCATCAAGACCGGCCTTCTCCATCGATTATAGCAAGGCGGTCCATCGCGATATCAAAGTCTCCAAGCTCATTCACCACAGTTACATTGGGTAAAGGAGGGACCGTGAAGTGTTCTCCTGGATCATACGCTTGACGACAGATCTTGGACTCGTATTCGAGGTCAATACGTTTTGAGATGATTCGAGGTACTGTGGGATCCGGAGGCGCTGTCTAATGAGGAAAGAGTGAAACCTAAATCACCGAAAAAGAATGCAACATACTGTAAAATACCCCCATTCTGTGCACACCTGGAATAACCATAGTCGCCAAATCTCACTGAGGGAGGTATCCTGATAATGTGTATCATCAAAGGTTCCAAAACACTGGAAGGCACGGGTGTCGTGGTTCAGAATTTTACGGCAATTGGAGGAGATATCACATCACCTCTTCATGAGAAAACCCCTCTGGACATCTAGATACGACATGCTGATAATTATGGAATATATGAAGCAGTCAGCCGTTGGTCAGCGTTGAAATGGGAAAATATAGCTGTCACTTTTTTGATCCAGGCCCCATAGTTGACTATGGCGATATCCACTTTGAGTCCTCCTGGGAATGATACCATCCTGTCGGGATGCCCATATTCCAGTCGCGTCACATCAGGTTTTTTGTGACCCAGAGGTTGGTTCAGTGCGACGCAAAATTCATCGAAGGTGGTGCTCCCTACTTTGGGGTCCCAAACCTTTGCTTGCCATGATCCAAGAGGGCTCTTAGTATGAATCAGCCCTTAGTGAGTATACCACTTCCTGTTATCCCCTGCATACCTCAATTAAAGAGACAAAGTCGACATCATGTTTCAATCCATGGACACCGAACAATGCTTTGAGCGGAGCAGACAGGACACGGTGGTCCAGGATGGTGTCGATAGTTTCGATAGCTTTTTGCAAGTGCAGTGAACAGGTAGGATCAGCATAGCGGCGAATTATATCCATGTATTCCCAGTTGATGATTGCAGCGTGGGTGACAGCTGAGGCACCTTGAGTATAATTACACGCATGTGTGGAGTCAAGTACTCACCACTAGAAGCGATCGCGCCGTACACGAGGTCCGGATAAAGAACACGCATATGAGCAGCGCGCGCACCTGCGTAGGAGCCCTATGATTGGATGAGCTGTTGCTAAAGCCACACGGAGCGGATGATCAACATACGCCATAATATATCCAGGGCGTTCCCGGGGCTGTAAGGTTCTCGTCGATACCAGAAAATTGTACGTTGGCCATGAAGTTTGCACTGTCAGCTGCAGACTGTGCATTATTCAAGAATCTACCAATTCGGGATGTAGAGAGTATTTCTGAGCGCTTGACCGATGGCTTACCTCAACGAGTCGGTGGTAAGGTTTTTGGTAGCGATAGATTCACCTTGAGTTCGACATGAGCGGCAGACGAGATACAGGCAGGTATATAAGCGCACCATAGTACCTGTGTTCCAGCACGACACCCAATCCTCCTGTCGCCCGAGCAAGTATATCTACGATACCAGTATCCAAAAAGGGTATTCTGTCCTAAAACCAAGTCAGCGGAAGCTAAGCAAAATACTTCCGCAAAGCCTTGCCTCCCCGCTTGTTTCCCCACCGTCAAGCAGAAAAACGACACTAGACCCAGGTTGATAATGTCTCTTGTTTACCCAGTAACGTTGCATAAATGTATCATTGGTGCTGCTTCCAAAATGGTCCAAGGGTTGTTCAAACCATTGAGCAGTGAATTCCGGTTTGTTATTGGGTTCGTGAGGTAGCTGTAGGGGTGCCTCAGAAGAATCTTGCAAAATTAAGCCATTAACTGGAAGCTGTTGTGAGTCGTGCAATTGGTCCAATTTCCAGAAGTTGACTCCTTGAGGACCAAGTCTCAACAAATCAGGGTTCGCAGCGTGAGCCGTCAGGCAACCCAAAGTAGCGAGAACAACTACTCTGAGAATCATGTTAGCGAGTACTGCAACTCCTGACCCCGAGAGCAATGAAAGTTATGGTTTAGCACAAGGCCTACGTTAACTAAGCGCCCAAATGAAGACGGCTTTGCTAATTAGGCAATCCAACAGTGTTGTATCTAATCCGAATCGATCTCCCGCCTTAAACCACAACTCTTTTATTCATTCAAGCAAATCCTAGATGATAAAAACGTTGTTGAGGTCGTGATATACACACCAATGACTGTCATTGAAGTGAGATTCTGAACGATCTTGCACCGTCGAAAGAACAACAGTCCAAGGGAGGGCTGATAAGCTCTAATAGAGTGACCTGGGGCGGAATGTAATGTGTCCGTACACCGTGCAATCATATATGCAAATATCAGAAACTCATTCCTTCCAACTCCGAATCTGGGCCGCGTTCAAGATTCCAGACAGATTTTTTAGGTTTCGAAATTGCTGCATCATCAAGCTCATCTTCTAGAGTTTGCTCTTTATGTTGGGCATCGCCGGAAGCGCGCAAACTGGGCCTGACACCGAGTGACGAGCACAGTGCCTTGTATCTCGAACGAATTTGCCTAAAAAGCTTCGGGATATCGAGATCAGACGAGGCATGGGAAGACGAAGGGTTGACGCGAGGGAATTGGGATATCAGCGCTAGGAGATGCTTGATATGGTGGAGAGCTCGACTAACGACACCTGAATGTATGATTGAGCAGAAGAGCCTGAAGGACTCACTCGTCTTCCTTGCCTTGGCTAGCATATACCGCCTGCCACATTAGGGCAAACCCTTCATAATAACCGAGCTCTTCCCACATTTCGAAGCCCTTCTCGCGGCCAAGGGCCCGTCCTTCGATGAGCCCGTGAATTCGACCATGCGTAAAACCATCGCTGTAGCCTGCATCGTAAAAACTGAGTCCATCTGAGACCAAGCAGGCATATGAATTGTAAGAACACGGACGATTGCTCCAAATTGACGAGAGATTCGAGATCAAAGTCTTCAAACATTGTGTATGCAAATAAGGCGGCATGCGGCAAGGGCCGAACCTTTGATTACTAGCTTTTACTAGTAGTAATGCTACAGACAAAACAGAGAGTGACCAACACACTCTTCGAGATAACATGAGCTGAAACCCGCTGCAAATACACTCTAAATTGCGTACTTCGTCGGGCGGCCTAGCAACACTCCTTCAAACCTCCACCTTATACGGTGGACCGGCTGTAAACTGTGTCATGTCGACCTCCATTGCACCAAAACGCTCAGCCTCCCCTTTAGAAGATGATCGCCCCACTAAGGCTGCTCGACCGCCATGGCAGGAACTTCCAAACACGGGAAAAGCAGACAGGCAGCTTACCGACTCCGAGTATCAGAATTTGAAGTCGTCGCTAGACACTGAACGTTATAACGTTTTCATTTTCGAGGCTGCTCATATTTGCATGGCGAACGGATCCACAGGCAAATCAGTAGTCGTTTCTCAAATAGTATCCGCTATGGGAAAGTGGCTTTCGTTATTGGACACTAAGGCGGCCAACTATGAAAGAACCGTCGTATATCTGCAACAGTGGACTTCTAAACCACGCAATACCCAGGAGAATTACTTTATAGAGAAGGGGAAGACGAGGGGGAAGGGGAAGGGTGAACAGAAGAAGAATGGAAGTAAAGCGACGGAGCGGACGATGATACGTAACCGCCGAGAGTACATCAGTCTGGCGGAGGTCAGGGCAGGAGACTCCCCCATCCGACGTAGTTCTCGATCAGCCCATCAGGAACACCCCCGCTACTGCATTTTTGTTTATGGATTATCTGTCTACAGAAATGTAGATGTTGATAAGTACAGGTCATTACTGCAGGTCACTGATTTCTTTGCTGACCATCCACGCGAACAAACAATGAAGGAGGTGTATGCCATGAAACCGTTCTGGACTGCCGGGTCCAGTTTCGGCTTTGTCGATATGAATGAGAGCTTTCTAACTACCGGTATTGATGATGAACACAGAGTTGACGGGGTTCATGCTCAGACGGATACATCTGATGATGAAATGGACGAAGATGAAATGGACGAGGATGAAGCAGGCGAAGATGAAACGGGGGAGGATGGATGGGACAAAGATTAAACGAAGTAGGGGAATAGCAGATATTTCTTGCATCGTGGCCATGTATAAATAAGACTAAAGTACGGTTTCGTGTATGTTTCAATGGGACTCTGTTCCCAAATGTACTTATATATGTAGCAGCATAGGTGTAAGTACTACACATACCTGGAATACGAAGGTCAATGCTGAAGCCTTCGATCCCAGGAGAGTAAACTAGGATATTTCTTTAATGGAACGAAGAATATCTTATTAACATTATGAATCGTTTACACTACATAGATAGTCCGTCTGATCAACATCGACGATATATGCCCTTCCTCATTTCCTCTTCTCTGTGTTATGCTAAATCAGTATCAAGAACACGCAGACACAGAATTTCCTTACCTGTATTCGAACATGAGCTGTACCCCGACGAACAAGCAAAACACGACTCCAATTAGGAACTGAACTCCGGCAAAGGTACCTACTAATTCATTAAGGAAGAACCGGAGGCCATCGACGCCAATGACGAATCCCACGAGATTGGCCGTTATCATAAGCAGGATGTTGACAACACCGCCTAATGCGCAAACGTGTCGATACCATGAGGTAGAAGAATACTGGAAACAGAGTAAGATTCATGAGATATAGACAGGGGGATGATTAAAGGTATATCCTTACTCGCGAAGCAGGAAGGAAATACCGAGCAAGCATTTCTGGAAGAATGAACAAGCTCACGAGCCAGCCCCACGCAAGGAGTTTGAAAGTGAGGTCATGCCACAATGCAACGAACGTGAATACAAGGACGCTATTCACAAATACATTCTTCATTCCGCCCAGGGGAATGTAAATGTAGCTAATTCCCCAAATCAACATTCTTCTTTTTAAATAAGCTCTGAGAAAAAACTCAACTTACCGGATGATCCATAGGTTATAGCTGCGGTGCCAACTCCTCCAGAAACCAAACGTCGAATAGTTATTTGCCATACACCTGACCATGTTTTCAGGCGGATCAATACCGTCTACCAAAGCCCATAATCGGAAAAAGCGCCAAGGAAGTAGGAGCTAGGTAAGTCGTGAGCTGAATCCCGGCTCGAAAATGTCCTCGAAACTGGGCCTTACCTTGAGCCACACTATTATGAGATTCCAAAACCCTAACATGCCAATTTGTGCGGGAGAGTCGCTTGCCCACGCTCTGGTATCTTTGATTGCGACTACGTACATGAAGTGGAGGACGGCTTCCATTGTCAAGAGGCAACCAATGAATCGGATAAGGTATCCTAGAACAGAAGATCTTGTGATAGTTAGCGGCCGACGAAACTGCAGGATCCAGTTTATTAGCCTCTTTTTCAATGAAACTAGTGAGATCAAGTGACCTGCCACAGAAAATCATTGAACGTCATGATTGGGCCGGCGATGTACAGGGGAGAGTAAAGGGCATATGAGAAATAATTCGCATAAGAATACATCTCGTGAGGATGACTTGTTATTTGACGTTGTCGCTCGTCTAACGAGATACCTGTCTATCTTGTGCCTGGATGAGAATTGTGGTGGAAGGAAGGGTATTGTATTGAGATGTACCGACCTCAACAGAATTTGGTTTTCTGCAAGCCCAATAGTAGTCCATGCTAAATGATACCAAGCGAAGCATTGTGATGTTGAAGTTGATGTGCCATCTGGGGTAGAAACCTTCATATTTCTCTTCATCCTACAAACATCATAAGATTTAACGCAGAACCGAGTCTTAGAAGGACGAACAAGTGCGTACCAAAAATTCTAATGATGGAGTGATTGCACCAAAGCGATACCCATTATAACGATCATTCATGAATAGGATTCCAATGTTGAATGCCCAAGTAAGTACGGGCCCTAACTTGGAGGATTTGCACGCCTTTGCAATTATGAAGTTGATTGTTATGACGACAATTAGTTTCAGGATGCTGGAGCCGTGCAACGCGACTAGGAAAATGAGGGACAAAGCAGCATTCAAAGGGATGAGATGGAGATTGTCCCCGGGTACTTTTGACATGAGATAGAGCTTGTTCCAGGAATATTTCAAGAGTAAAAATAAGAAGGCGACACCAGTGAGAATGGGTATGTTATTTCTAAAAGATCGATATTGACTGTCGCTGTTATCCTAGAAGTTGTCAGGTTCATTGCGGAAGCGTACCGATTGAAATGCTCACCAGGTTCCGACCAAATAACCAGCCTTGCCATAACTTATACTGATACTGTGGATAATTGGGATGGGAAGCTAGGAGCGGGCAAACAAGAGCAGGGATCTCAGTACAATGCAACTTTGAAGAAGCCAAATAGCACATACGATCGCTCAGAGTTATAGGTATCCATATCATGAACGGTAGAGCCAAGCATAATATCACGTAGTAGAATTTGAATTCCACTGTTCCCCATCTGCTAGGTTTCCGGTTGCTCTCGCTAGGAATAGAGGTGCTCCTTGACGATGAAGGTATCTTCACGGTAAGGTCGGTGATGCTCATACTTGTACTTTGTCGATCAGCGAAGGAGAAAGGAGGATGAGGATGATGTGCCTGTGCAGTGGGCGACGTGATGGGGAGAGGTATTTCTTCGCTCATATGAGCTAAGGAACCTCTTGGACGCAAAATCTAGCGAGCTCTGCGCGCAACAGTCGAAGTTGGATATAAAGATGTTGTAGAACTTGGAACGATGACACTTGTAAGTCTTTGAAATTTCACTGCGGCGCTTGAATTTTGACAACAATCGTTTGTTAGTCATCGTTTTCTGTACCTCCTTCCTCTTTCTCCCGCGTCAAATAATCTCCAAGGTTTCGCTTCAGCTGGTTCTAGGGCCCTCCAGATTGCATGAGTTACAAGACTTCCCGCTTTTGCTCCATTACAATATCCAACAATATCCTTCCCAAATGCAAAAATTAGGCGCTTCCCCTATTCATGCCGATATCCTCCTTTGCATTCTGTGCGCGCTTCCAACGTTTGAGGCATTGTTCGCCACCGTCAGGGCCTCAAAAGCTTTTCACGCTACTTACGTTCAACACGGGAAGCGAGTTCTTAACTCCGTTGCCTTCAACTATGTGGGCCCCGCGCTTCCTTTAGCTTTGCAGGTCGCCCGCTACGATTCGCATCTTTCACCTGAGGGATTCAATACAGGACTGTCGGATAATGACCACAACACAGGCCTTCAGGTAGAAATCAAGGACGTTTATCCCTTGGTAAACAATGAAAAAGTCGTCGCAGAGTGGGAGAATTTATTTAGTTTTCGGTACGTCTTCAACAATGCTTGTCCATGTTCATTCTGACGGGGGGTGCAGAAAGAAAGACATGCGTCATGAAACCAGTCAACTTACAAGCTTGGAATCTTGGCAATTCCGAAAGGCAATGCATCGTCTGATGTTGTATACACGTCTCTTCCCAACTGACGAGTATGCCTATTGCATCACGAGCAATAGTGACTGTGTTGATCTCACCACCAAATTAGAAAAAGAACTCCTCACACGACAGGAGTTTCTGTCGGACTGTTTCACCAACGAACTTGATCAACTACGCGAAGTGGCAACTTTTGCGCTGGAAATCATAAGATGGGTTGATAATGTCGATAGTTCTGACATGATAGGTGCATCTCACGTCTGGAGCATGGTGTATTCATCTCACTCAACTCCATACAGCATCCAACAGAGATTTTACTGACATCGCCCTTTCTGTTGGACCTGCCGTAATCCTCGAATGTTACAAAACCCTCGGATTCGAACCCTTGACTGAAACGATCAACAAACTGTGTACCGATACAACGCCCGATTATTTTGAAGATAAAAGTTCACGACCTCTACTCGCTGGGTATCTCTTCAAATCCGTCTCAGCTGTTCTCGAAAATCGCGATGCAAATGACCACCGATACGTATCCCTCAAAATTATTGATATTGATACATTAAGAGAAGAATCTTGTATGATTTTCCTTAACTAAATCACCCGTATACTGAAAGTCGTGTTAAGGTTCGCAGTGTGGTGCTGAATCCTACATCGGGGGACTCTGGGGCAAAACTAGTAGGCATAAGAAATATCATAGTGAAGAGGGGCCGCTCTGACGGTCTATGTAGCTTGGGACTATCTCAGCTTATCCTCCCAGACCCTTGGTACCTATCTCTTTCCCTCCCTGTCTATGTTCATGAAGGGCGAGCTTCATCGCAATCCTGTCGAAATCAAGCACGTCGAGGCACTGCTCGTCAAAACTCCGTTTAAAGAGATTTATGAAGATATCTACAGCAAGAATCTCAAACTACCCGCGTGGCACGACAGAAACGACGATTATTGGATATGCCAGGCATGCCTAACACAATTTGTAAAGGACCACCTTCACTTATGGGTCATTATGAAGCGGAAAGAAGGTACGTCCGCATTGCCAATCGTTTTCGATATCTAAGTTGCTGATTTGAATTTCGTTTTATTTCCAGCAAAGGAACGAATAGCGAATGATTGTTGGTAAGCCTGTAATATGTGCTTAAATTGCACCTGGAGTCCTCAGACCGTTGTCGCAGGTATGGATATAACTGTCGAACCCAAGTCCACAAATCAAATCACGCGCAACAGCTCAATGTGAGTTACACTGGCCCTTTGAACCTATTTTTCAACTGATTGACATGTAAAATAGCATCTGTGCGAGCCGACGCGATGATCATGAATTCCTCACTTGGCTTTCCACAATCGTATGAACTAGTATCTATCACACCTATGTATCGCACCTTGTATATGCATGTTGGGCCAATGCAAACATCGCTCATTTAAATATAAGTTATCTAAATCTGAGGTATACGCTGGGTATACGTTCAAATCTAGGGACCTCCGACTAATTATCGCATCTCTTGGCAAAAGCCTCTGGAACTATATATCAACGTCATCACCTTTCTACAGCTGTTACTGTCGTTTCTCAGCCAATTATTATGTCAAGAACGAGGCCTCATGCACCTGTACATCCTCTTGCTGGATTGAGACCGAGATCACTACGGTCTGGTCCACTGACGAGCTCAACATTTTTCGATTATGGCTTTCATTATTCCACGTATGGAATTCAAACCCATGAAATATTCAACGTTTAAACATAATCTCAAGGAAATTGCGGGCCCATTCATCTTGTATCAATGCCTTAGCGTTATCCTCAAATGGAGGACGATTTTTGGCTAGTGGTGGGGACGGTGCGCTATATCTCGATGGTTGATATTTTTCCTGTATTCACGAAGGATACCATTTCAATCAGATCTGGACGTGCATCTTTGGGACTTTCATCAAGAAGATATCAACAAACCCTGTCATACGCTCGTTGGTCCTCGAGTGAGTACTTTATGACTTGCTACAGCTGAGATCGAGCCGCAGTCCATGATTCCTCGGCTTCATTCACCCAAGATTCAATGTTAGAATAATATCTTTTGCCTGGAATTCTCTCGCTCGAACCAATTTCTCTTCGCGTGCGTCCACCATTTTGGAATAGATCCACTGTCCCTCTGACGAACTGATTAATCTGCAGTGGAGGAACTGACACAATCGTACACCAATACGACGTTTCGCGATTGGAGACTGGCCCGCTTTCCAAACTACCAATGAATATGGTCCGAGAGCATGTAGGAGTTGCTGCTTTACGGAATTGAAGATGGTCTGAAGCTGCTAGTGTTTCGCAGGATACCATACGCGATGTAACGTGTAGCCCTTTTCGTGATGAGGTCTTCTTGAGCGGGAGGTGGGTAGTGTTCCTCTGATACAACACCTACAATCCAGTAGTTTGTCACTCATCAGAAATTGCTCGCAGTGAAGATGGACGAATAATACAACACGACGCGCGTCTCAGCTTCTCGCCCAACATACGAATTGCCGATATCATTCAGCTTACTGCTGAGGTTACATCCGTCCAATTCCATCCAACGGTGGAAAATCTGTTTATTACGAGCGACTCTAATAGCAATGTCTGCCTTCGTGACACCCGGATGGCGTTTGGTCCCCGAAAAAGTAGGAGCAACGAAGGTATAGTCAGGACCTTTCATACGACCATAGCAAGACGAAATATCGGGACCATGAGTAGACCCGAGCCCAGTAGCGTTGCGTTTGATCGAGAGGGTTCGCTTACTTAAATTTCTACACTTGCAAACATTGGCTGATTCAAAGATGTTCTCGTAGGCAAAAAGCTAGCTATAACATCACTAGTTGGTCCATTTCCTTTCACACCGGAAGCCCGTTCAATAAACATGATGTCTCGGGCATAGCACTATTACCCTACAATTTACAGCTTGTCTGATACATATCCTATAGCTATATGTACTGGAAATTCGGTCGCAAGATCGCCTAGTCAACGGACGTACTCTAATTCGTGTACGATGAAGGTGGCGTGAATACATGCCATTCTTGTGGCCTATATACCTAACTAGTAACAGCACGGTTGTTTTGGAGGACCTGGCCCGATGATCTCCGACGACGACTACTATCTTGGAGGATCTGACGACTTTTGTGGCTATTTGGTAAGATCATTGAACCATGATGCACTACGCTGACACCTCTGGCTCAGTGGAAAATCCCCCCAGTAGAGCAATTGATGGCGCAGAGGGAGGAAATACCAGCGCACGAATGGCGGTTGGATGGAAGTAATATAGTGGGTGAGCTTGCATATACCGATAAACTCTCTGTTGATGAGGACACACCTGATCGTTTTGTCGTAGGATTCACAGAGAATGCCGACTCCTCGAAATTCATCCCAACAGAATTACCCACACCGTCCGCTGTCCTAAAAGGTACCCTTGACTTTCTAATAGTAGCATAATCTAACGTTGCGTATTCGTTTTTTGACAGGTCACAATTCCATCGTAAACACTGGCCTCATCCATCCACAATTTCCACTCATTCTTACCGCGGGCATCGAGAGTACAATAACTTTGCACAGCCCATTCCCTTCTTGCCCGTTCTCTCGGCGATTGTCTCTCACCCCTCAGGAAGTTCGCCAGTTACCCAGTAGTACGACCCCTGAAGAAGCTCGAGTAATTGACTCCCTGTTGTTGGGAGTGGAACCAGCGTTTGGAGAAAGTGCTGATGAAGCGGAAATGGACACGATACGATTATTTGACAGGTATGTTCCAGGAAATGTAATTATGTGTGGCTTGGTGATTTGTTGTCCTGCAGAATACTTCGAATGGAGGGTGGGGCTGATCCTTTTGAAGTTCTTCCTTGGGTTCAAACATCTGAAGATGTGGATGACTCCAGCTCTGACGCTAGTATGGTCTAATACAATGAATTTATGTATATTAGCAGTAGCAATATTCTGGAGATATGTATGTAAAATAGGCAACAGTCGTATGCTAGATCCACTCTATATGAAATTAGAATCAGGAAAAAAACAAAAATCTCAATACCAAATACTTCTGGTGCGGTGAGCGGGCAAAATGTGGGCAGTTTTGATCCCCTCAATTTTGTCGTCTCCCCTCTCTAACTTTTTGGCCAGATCCCATAGGAAAAAATCGATCAAAACACTGCTGACTTCGTTAGGGATGCTGTTGCTCTGATTTGGAGCCTCCGCGATGAGAGCCAAAATCGCGTCCTTTAATCTTTCGACGGCGACTATACTTCCCGCACGCAGACTGGTCTCCTCTTTCGATCCAGGTGCTATGTCAATCCCTTCCCCAAGTTTGCGAACGAGGGAAGCTGGGTATACAAGGATTCTGAGATGGTGCAAGATTTGAGGGACCCTATAATCAGCGAACATTGTCAAGTCTTGGATTACAGGTCCACGGATACCGGGAAATAACGGGTGTGTATTAGTGACCGTTGGGTCAGGATAGAATGCAGCCCAAGTCTCAGCGACTAGAATTTGGGCCCGTTTCCAAAAGCAAACTAATTTGAGTCGTTGAGCAGAGAGATGGTTTCAATGCGGGAACGAGTACCTCTTTTGCCGTTATAGAAAACTTCATCTCTGAACGAAGGAAAGGTATCAGTGACCATTTTCACCAGGTCAAGTGCTGTTCCCTGGCCATCATGTCGGCGTTGAAACTCCTCAAGAAACCCTTGGTATGATCCTCCGAAGCTCTATGCATATGAAAATTGAATGAGCACTGATTTTAAAAAGAGGTGGTATAAAGAGGGAGAGACTTACAGTACATAAAATAAATCCAACCTCTCGCATGACAGAAATTCGTTCTTGAAGAAGGGGAACAGTTTCGCTGCATTGACTTGCAGGCCGAAATACAGATTCGATGAGTGAATCTGGACAGAGAACTTTTGAGGAGTAGAAATATGGATCGCTGATTGGAATGTTGTCATCGTGTAAAGCTAAGAACGATATTGGATTGGTCAATGATTCCTCAAAGGTTGCAATAGTAAAATGTTTACCTCTGTTCAACGCTGCTACAAGACTCCAGTACCCTGTCCACAATCTGCGACTGTCTCCTAAGTCGTCCCACCCAGATTTCCATTCAACACCATATCGATCGGGGTGACCTTCTCGCGATGACCAAAAGCTGAAATTTAGTGAAGAAATCAAGAAGATCCAATCGAGGACTTTCTTATTGGAAGGCTCTGAAGCAACGTAGGGCTCGACTGGAATTAAGTGCAGAGGGTGTGTACGCCACGTCCTAGGGGTATATGACTCGACTTTGATTTTGTGGTATATCTTAGCCCAAATTGGCGATTCAGACGAGATGAATGCGCGAAGGTGGGAAACAACATACGTGACGAGCAGCAACGGATATGCCTTCATCGTTCACTTGAACGATATTTGTTTGCTAAGAGAAGCTAATTTAAAAGGAGTACTGGTCAAGAAGGTTGAGGCTAACCTTATAAGCAAATTCAGCGCTGTCAATGACCGGGTTTAGACCGCTGTCCTCGTCAGACCAAGTGAGAACCTTTTCGTCTAGTGGCGTGTTACTATCATTTTGTGTCTCCGAAAGCATGATGCACTGATTAGCATCTAATGTAGAGATAGATTTTTTTTTTGAAGTCTCGGCGCTTACACGTTCCGCAATTGTTTGGACGAAGGCAGTGCAAGCGCCTAACGAAGGTAACGCGAACTAACTTCGGTCATTACTCGGTCAACAGGGTTTGCTTTAGACTTCCTTGCTTTGATGCGAACGATCTCCTGCGGTGACTGGCGGACCGATGCGAGAACGGCCTACACCTCTGCTCACATTCTCTGAACCACCTGCTCGACCTATCACTCGAGAATTCACCCCTACCTACGACGATGATAAACCACTAAGACGTTGGTATCACAATGTTCCTCTTTATGGTGCGTAAAGTTCTAGTTGCCTTTGCATCCTCAAAACTTAGCTCTCTCAGGTGTCATCGCTCTTCTTGTGTCCCCGCATCCCTCCCTTTTATTTGTTCTCATTCAGCATTACCTCGTCGTTCTTAAAACGCCTCTCAAATTCACTGTTCATCTCCTCGTAATTTATACCCTTACATTCATGATGTTCTCATCCCTCATCGTCCTTGTCGCACGCGATCCTGGGCCAGTCACTTTCGAAGAACCGCAAAGTGATGGCAATGCGGAAGAAGTGGGTCTCACAGAAGCTTTAATGTCTCCAGACTTTCTTGCGCCTGGAAGGTTTTGTCGTATTTGTTGGGTACGGTTTCTATTCACACCCTCACGTTCCGATGTTCTCATCCCTCTTCACTGTACTAGACTTCAAAACCTGACAGGACCCACCATTGTTCTTTCTGTGGACGATGTGTTCTGAAGATGGGTAAGGAGTTGCGCTTGAAAAAATTACCTTTTGTACTCAAGTAAACTCCTAGATCACCACTGCCCATGGCTCGGGAATCGGTGCATCGGTCATCGCACCTATCCAGCCTTTTTGCATTTCCTGCTGTGCATCACTTTGCTTGCTATGTACGTAGCAGTTCTATGCGGACATGCCCTCTATTATGCATTCAACAACCCTTACACTGTTGTAAGCCCAAAAGACTTTTCGCACCACTCAATCTACTTACGTTGTTCTTTCATTTCCTCAAGGATGAATTTTCACCCGTTCATGAGATCGGCTTGGTCTTCGCTGGAGTGACTTTCACCCTAGTTATTGGCTCGTTCTTCGTCTATCACCTCTATCTGGTCTCAACAAATCAAACAACGTTAGAACATATCACACCTTTCCTTCTTTTGCGTTACCTACCCGCATTACCACACATGGAGTCCAGTCATGCACTATCCGATCCTCCACTCGAGCACGAACTGTCTTATAGACAAAGGAGGTTGATTAAAGAAGCTCATGGTTATGTACGAGTATATGATATTGGCTTTCGAAGGAATTGGATACAAGTAGTGGGATGGAAGGGACCTTACGGCTTGATGACGCGGTTGCTTTGTGGAGGTGGCAGGTACGTTCGTGGATACTATCCTCGTGCTCAGGCGTCGATGCTAAAGTAACGCATTCCACAGCATGGGAGATGGGAAATCCTTTCCTCGTGCAACAAATGTTGAAGAACGTTTAGCAATTCTGGCCCAAAAATTGGTGCAAGACAAGTGATTAATTCACTTCTTCTAATAGGTTCACGATATACCTGGATTGTAATACTTATTTATATTGGACGATTCTTCGCGCAGAAACCTCTTGTGCATCACTGTTTATATGTTCGGATATACTGTATCCACTCTTCTTTGTATCCTTGGAAGACCGTGAATAGCGGGTACCAACGTGTCTTACCTCTACCTTAGGCTTACAAATGGATCTGACCTTTGGAAGAATAAGTGACAAAGCACTCACTTTGCTTTTGGTCTGGACTCTGCAGGACGCGGGGTTGCACGGCTTCTCGCATCATCTGAGGATGTCTCTGCGGGAAGGCTAGGCGGAACTTGGACGAGGTGAATTACAAATATCAGCCGGGAAGAGATATTCTGGAAAATCACCAGTTCGCAGTAGATGCAGACTGTAGTACCATTTGGTAGCGTTTTCTGACCCCAGAAAGAACCTCGCAACCCCTTTTATCAGAAGATACGTCATTTACAAGCGTTGTACCAGAGCAGATCCGGAGGCAGATCAGGTATATAAGGCTGTAAGCATCCCGATATTTCCTCAACTCGGAGCTTCAGTTTAAACTCATTTACAATGCCAGCCGAAATCGTCGATGTGCAAACTTCTGAAAATCTCAGAGCCATTCAGCTACAGATTCTGGATGGTTTGCAACGCCCTGCAGGGCAGAAGAATCTGCCTACAATGTTGCTCTATGATGAGCGCGGTCTGAGGTTATACGACGATATTACCACCATGGCTCCGGAATATTACTTGTTTGGAGCTGAAGAGGACATTTTGAAGAAGCATGCTACGGACATTGTGATGGCCATGCATAATACCACAGGTTGTATTCCAGGAGAAACCGTGATTGAGCTAGGCGCTGGGTAGGTGTAACTTTCATCATATTACCACCATCACAAATGACACTCACTCATAATCCAGGTCGTTGCGCAAGACCTCACACATCTTACGCAGTCTTTCTCACATCGTCGACAGCCCCAGTCGTGTTCCTCCAATAACTTACTATGCGCTCGACCTTGAAAAGCGTGAACTGGAGCGCACTTTGAATGCAATTGCTATTTCGGATATCGGATCGGATCTCAAAGGAAAGGTTGAAACCAAGGGGATGTGGGGAACTTACGATGATGGTTTAAAATACCTGAAATCTACCGGTCTGTATGCTCCAACTGCGATTGACAGGCCATCAAGATTGGAGGCATCTATGAGGTTTGACGCTAGAGACTTGTCTCCCTCTTCGACTACGTCGGGTTCCGATTCTTCTGGCGCTCATGTGTTCGATGTATCTCCTCCGTCGACTCCTGAAGAGGTTCAGGCTCCCCTCCATATCATGTTCCTTGGCTCATCTCTCGGCAACTTTAACCGGAAAGACGGAGCAGCCTTCCTGCATTCACTTCCTCTGCGTCCTGGATCTGGAGATACGTTATTGTTAGGATTAGATCATGCCAACGAGAAGGATTTGATCGAAGAAGCGTACAATGATCCTCGCAATCACACGAAAAAATTTATTATGAATGGATTGAGAGGTGCTGGCCGAGCATTAGGAAATGAAACCTTGTTCCTTGAAGACAAATGGGATTACGTTAACGTGTGTTTTCTGGTTATCAAGTTTTGACTTTTAAACTAATTCTAGGATAGAGATACGATGACATTGAACGTTGGTCACGCAATTTTGTTCATGCATTGCATTGTGCTGACTTGATCTGTTTTACTCAGGCCGCCATGAAGCTTTCTACAAGTCCAAGATATCTCAAGTGTTGCGTATCCCAGACGGTGACATATCAGTGGAATTCCAGGAGAACGAGCTTGTCAAAGTAGAGGAATCATGGAAGGTATACCTGGAAATCAGTAATTTTTCGAACAACAGTTTTGCTGACGCTTTACTCCATTCAGTTTTCAGAGACCGATGCTTATACTCTTTTCTCTGAGAGTAATTTGCGACCAATTGAAAGGTGGATCGATAGCACCTCTCGATACTCACTATGGTTGCTGGAGCGTCCCGCCTTCATTTTCCCTTTGCTCAAATCTCCCAATGCATGCAATTCATCTAGCGAACTGGTTCCCAAGAAAACCTATTCTTCTTCCCCCTTTGGTGTACCTTCTCCTCAAGAATGGGTGAACCTCTGGGCCGCTTGGGATATGATCACACTACGGATGATTCCGCCTTCAATGCTTTTCCAAAAGCCAATCGATTTGCGTCATATCTGCTTGTTTTATCTCGGTCATATCCCGACTTTTCTGGATATCCATTTGTCGAGGCTTTTGAGCGAGCCCCACACGGACCCTGTAGGATTCAAGGTTGGTCCTCTAACCCAATTTCATCGCAAACTTATTTCAACTATTTGTGTTTGCGTACACAGGACATTTTTGAAGTATGTACTCGACCTCAACCTCGAATTATTTCATTAACACGTCAATAGCGAGGAATTGACCCAAACGTCGATGATCCTTCTCAATGCCATGTGCGTGTCAAAGCTGTCTTTCATTCTTATCCATTGAATGCCTCCCCAGCCTCATTCGGAAGTCCCCCAGAACGACAAAGATTGGCCGAGCCTAAATTCCATTTCACAATTCCGCTCTCGCGTCCGAAACCGTCTTTTAAAACTCTACAATGACTTCGACAACGGAAATCTCACACTTACAAGGAAAATGGGAAGAGTTTTGTTTATGACCTTTGAACACGAGGCTCTTCATGCAGAAACCCTCTTATACATGCTCCTGCAGCGCGCTGGCTCCGGGACTATTCCACCTCATGGTTTTGCTATTCCAGAGTGGAACTCTCTGGCATCCAGTTGGAAAAGTATTCCTCCATTGGTCGAGGATACTGTCACATTAGGCCCGGCTGTAGTGGAGCTGGGACATGATGATGCTGAAGGAGAAGATGAGCTCAAGGATTATAAATTCAATGTCGAAGATCGCGAATTTGGCTGGGATAATGAGCATCCAAAGCGGCACATTGACGTTCAAGAATTTCGTATCAGTTGGAGGCCTATCACCAACGGTCAATACTACGATACCTTCAAAAAGAACAAGGACAAGTTTCACGTTCCTGCAAGCTGGGTCGAAGAAGACGGTGAAATTAGGGTAAAGTTTCTTCACTCTCTTGTACAGAATCGCGCTGAAATGATACTCTAAGGTCCGCACTTTGTATGGTCCTGTACCCCTGAGTGTCGCAGAGGACTGGCCTATTTTCGCCTCGTATGATGATCTATCTACTTATGCCACGGTCAAGGGCGGACGTCTTCCCACCGAACCCGAATTGCGGCTTTTCTATGATAAATTCCAGTGTGGCTTCGAAGGGGGAGCTAATTTAGGTTTTCGGAACTGGCATCCCGTTCCGTACGTTGCTCTCATGATGGAACTCAGTATAGACTAATATTGTTTTGCCTAGAGCCACCACTGGTGGCAAACAAAATGGCGGTAAAGGCCATAACGGTGGCGTCTGGGAATGGACGTCAACCGAGTTTGACAAATACGATGGTTTCACACCATCGAAATTATACCCTGGGTGAGCGTTTAGTATCTGTGCTACTAACGGGAAGATGTTTATCCTGTTCAATAGCTATTCGATGGACTTTTTCGATGGCGCTCATCAAGTAGTGGTGCGTTTGTCCGATACATCTTGAAAGTCATACTCAAAATTTTGCTGACAGATTGGAGGCTCTTATGCCACTATCCCTCGCATCGCTGAAAGAAGGTCGTTACGAAACTGGTATCAGCGTAATTATCCGTTTGCCTGGGTTGGGGCTCGGGTCGTATATGATGCTTGACTCCGCTGTTTTGAGACTATGATTCTCGCCATGTAAATGTACATCACTTCGAAAATACAGTACGGTGTATTGAACCTTCAAAATAAGAATAGCTTTGGCTTCTCTTTCGGTTAATGATATTTCTTTGTTCCGGACCTGAGAGACTTTCCGAGTCTCATGGTCAGTACACATGTAGTACTAGTAGCACACATGGATTGTACTTGTGCTTTGCCGCATCTTCGCCTTCCCTACTTAGTTCTTCCATGTCCACTGCAAGCTTACCTTCGTATTATCTTGCTCCGAATCTTTCACACACTCCTGCATACACAGAGGAACCACAAGAACATGAGCAACGTATAGCCCTCTCTGACCGCCTCCGTTCTAGAAATTCTGGAACATTTGTGAAGCAATCTCGAAACGGAGAGGCAAGGTTAACCTTGAACGCTCAAAATGGGCCAATCCCTACGTATGGTTCAGGAGGAATAATCGATGGTACGATTGACATTGCGAAAACTGAGAATATAACGAGCATAGATATCAAGGTGTGTAAACGACTCTGTGGTCCAACAAGTCTTTTTGACTTTAGTGCTGTACAAGGTGGAGGGCCATCTGCAAGTTAAAGAAATAGCAGAAGGGGGAACCATTGACAGAAAAGTAGATCTTGCAAGTTCGGTGCTTTGGTCAAAGGAAGAAATTGCTCCTTGTCCAAGCTCTTGTGATTTTCAACTACCCTTGCCGCATACTTTTGAGATAGAGGGTCAACACTATGTAGATGATAACTTGAAGTTCGCTTCTACTGAAGCCGACCTGATTTAGTAATTCAAACAGAATCTCCCCCCGACGTACAATGTCAAACTATCCGGCCTTCCTGGATTCGTTGCTTTCATAGAGGTAAGTAAATGCAGTTTGGTTTCCTCTCATTTTCTCAAAAGATGGTCACTTAGTATTCGATACACGCGGTTATCCGTAGGTCGACCGTAGCCACCGCTCTCGCTCCTCGGATGAAAGCAAGCTTTCTTGGTATCAACGTTGGAAACACGTATGTTGATTCCCCGGGCCTAGTAAGGTTAACGAAATATCTTATCGTCAGCTATTCCAGCGTACTGTCAACGCCTTTCATATACTATCCTCGAACACGTCCGATGGTCCCCCTGCCTGCCCCCATCAGGCTGACACAGAATCGTTTTACTGGAACGCCAGACTGGCAACTCTATGAATCCGTGATGGCTTCTCGACGCTCCTCCTTGCAAGATATCAGCACACGACTATACATACCCGCTTCCCGCATCTTTTGTGCTTCGCAAAACATACCGTTCCATGTCACATTTGAGTCATCCGCCCTGTCGTTAGCAACTTTCTTACCATTCGGACCTTCGGGTAATCCCTCCACGAAGAAACCCACGCGCTTGCAAATTATGCGGAAAGTGACTGTCGACGTGAGGTCGGTGAAAATCCACCTCCTGCCCCAGAGTTTTTGATTGACTTCAAGTATTCTTTGATTAGGCACCAATTGATGCTTGGGACTAGCAAAACTGACATGTGGCGGGTGGACTGTTTGGGAGAAGCCACATTCAAACATGCGGTATTGGAACAAAAAATCCAATGGTTATTACAGCTGATTTTGTATAGGGCGATGGTCCTACATGGGTCTCTTTCTCCGGAGATATTTCCATCGATCCTCCGGTGAAGGTTATGGGGTTTAAAGTTGGTGGAATAGCGGTCAAGGTATGAGTTTTCCTTTTGTTCAACCACCTAGGATCTGGCGTAGGTTGAGGCCAGTAACATTAGGATTTCATGTTATTTTCCATGACGCCTCCAGAAGCACAGCAAGCCCCATTCAGTGAGTTAAGGCAGGTCATTCCAATCCAATTGACGACAGATGTATGGTCTTCGAATGGTAATAGTTTTGGAACGGATCTGCCATCTGAGTCTGTGCTTTCCTTGCGGTCTTCATAGATCAAAATGCGGAAAAACCGTGATTCAATAGAACTTACATACCTTGTAGCATATGGTCCAGCAATCTGTAATGTTAGGCCCGATGTCAGGTTCGGGATTTATTATATAGCTATTAGCTGGTCAAGTTGCTTGAGCCTGTGCTTATTTTATTGCTTTTTATTGAGAGCAGCATCCCCGCATCCTTTGCGAGCCTCCGAAAAGCCTCCCTCCGAGGAACATAGTCAGACTGAGCCAGATTCCAAATCCACGAAGAAAAAATTAAATGAATCTGCTCACTGGATTTCTGTGTTCAACAAATTGAGCAGAACCTAGCAGAACCCAGCCGCTAACAGGTGTTGCGAATGAGCGCTTATGGAGGCGCTTACAGTTCGTTCGGTAGCGCCCGAGTTTTTTTTCGATGACTTTTGGTTTCCTTCAAATTTTGTTCCACTTCTCTTGCTTTTCGTCAGTTTTCCAGAAGTCAAGTAATTGAGCGAGGCAGTAGATCTGGACCCCCCAAATCCTCCAATCCAACACAATTGCGTGTATGCCAGAGCTGTGAACGATGTCCGTTGCAGTTAAAAAGTCACCTCTTTTCAATGACCGCAAGTCATTCAAGCGACCTAGACCATCGTGGGCACACAATGCTGAAGACGAACGAAAGCGTAAAACTCCTGTGAAGGCGAATGGATCATCGCCAAACAATTACCACCAGAATTCTTCCGATACACCGAAATCAATGAAAACACGGAAGCCATTGCCCAAGAAGCAAAATAATGCTCTTTCCCTGGGTTCCTCACCTTCCATTGTCTCTTTGAAGCAGATAGCACTTCAGGAGCAGCGCTCCAAACTTCCCATCGCAAAAGGTACGAGAATTTACGATGTTTTTGGCTATGTCAAGTTTCTCATCCTGAGATAGGCAAGGACGCATTGATACGGGAATTCCAGGAGCACGACGTAACTGTATTACTAGGAGAGACTGGATCGGGAAAGACTACACGTACGTTATATACACACTAGGATACTCCTACGTAGCTGATTTTGTTTCCTTCTAGAGATACCGCAATATTTATTGGAGTCCGGAATTGCACGAGGTGGGATGATTGCAGTGACCCAGCCTCGGAAGGTCGCAGCAACCTCTCTTGCTATTCGTGTAGCAGCTGAACAAAATGTCACCCTTGGAACATCCGTCGGATATTCTGTCCGTTTCGATGAACGCTTCAGCCCAGAGACTAGAATTAAATACATGACCGACGGTATGATTGTACGAGAGCTCATGTCCGACCCATTATTGAGCAAGTACAGTGTTGTTATCGTGGACGAGGCACACGAACGATCATTGCGAACCGATCTCTTGATTGCCAACCTCAAAACTATTCAACGACAACGTAATGGTTTTCGGGATGTCAAAGGGAAAGGAAAGGATAAAGCGGACGCGCCTAATCCTTTGAAAATCATCATCATGAGTGCGACACTGGATGCTGAAAAATTTGGCCAGTTTTTTTCTGGGTATGTCACCGTCGACACTCCACTTGGATACATACTCATATCGAATGTTAGAGCAAAAATCCTCTATGTTCAAGGTCGTCAGCACCCGGTCAAAATCTATCACTCATCGCAGGGGCAAATAGACTACGTGGATGCCGCAATGCGTACGTTTTACCAAATACATACCGACTATCCACCGGGAGACGTCTTGATATTCTTGCCTGGTATGTCTCCGAATTTAATTTCCAGACGTTATCGCAAACCTTGCACCAGGTCAAGAGGATATTGAAAGCTTGGAGAGGACCATTGAGATGTACGCTAAACAACTGCCGCAGGATAGCCTGTCGGTATGTTCAATCCTCAGTCGATATTTTTCCAAGTTCAACTGTAATCACTATTTAGGTATTGATATGCCCCATGTACGCTGCTCAAGCCGCTGGACAAAACTCGAAGGTGTTTCTTCCTGCACCTCCTAAAACCCGAAAATGTATATTGGCTACCAACATTGCGGAGACTTCTATCACTATACCCGGGGTGAAGTATGTTATTGACACAGGGAAGTGTAAGGAGAAACGGTATCTCGCTAGAAATACTGGTGGCGGTGATTGTTGAATACATCGTTTAAATCCACAAGACTTACCTGCCGTTTTTCCAGGGCTTGATACCCTATTGACCAGAGACATCACACAGTCATCAGCAATGCAGCGGGCTGGTCGTGCTGGTCGTGAGGTAAGTCATACTTGACGACGATGCTACCTGAACATCAACTAATCGATACATCAGGGATCGGGACATTGTTTCCGACTGTATACGGCAGATGCATTCAAGGCAATGCCGCTATCCGCAGAGCCAGAAATTATGCGATGTAGCCTTTCTTCTAGTCTCCTTCAGCTCAAGTGCATAGGCCAGGACCTCGAAAAACTTGAATTGATGGATCAGCCAGCCGAAGAATCAAGTACGTCCTTATATTACACTTGTCAAAATATCTTGCGACCAACTATTTGGGAACAGTGAAATCTTCACTTATCGTACTATTTCTACTGGGTGCTCTCAACCGCGAGAAGGAAATTACCGCTGTGGGGCGACAAATGGCCTCATTTCCTTTAGAACCCGTCTACGGTCGAGCCATCATTGCATCCAAGGATTACGACTGTACGCACGAAGTGTTGGACATTGTGTCGGTCCTGTCCGCCTCTTCCAAGCTCTTCGTTGAAAGCTTTGAACAACGTGACGCAGTATCAGAAGCTCGCAAGAAGTTTCGACACGTTTGTGGCGATCATCTGACAATCCTCAACGTTGTGAAAGCATACCAAGAGATTGCCCAGTCGGAGGGCAAGGGCGATCGGAAAGAGTGGTGTCGGCGTCACTTCTTGAATGAACGCGCGCTGCTTGAGGCGAGTGACATTCGGGACCAGCTTCGACAAACATGTCAAAGACTTGGTATCGATCATAGCGTTTCTTGTGGTGATAAAGAAGATCCAATAATATTTAGCCTTGGTCATGGATTAGCTATGAACATTGCTCTTCTACAACCAGACGGAACGTACAAACAGACCATAGGACAATCGGTATGTTTTAGCTTTCACAGTCAAGCGTTTTCTTGTTTATTTCTTTTGTGTTGCAGATTGTCAAGATTCACCCTAGCTCCGCGCTTTGCGACAAGAAGACACCAGCTATTATTTACGATGAGTTGGTGAGATAATTTGATGTGCTTCATTTGTCACCGGTTTGGCTCATTGTAAAATCGTAGGTATACACAAATCAAATCTATGCTCGCGGTGTATCCAGAATACCCAAATCTTTCATCATAACTTTGGGAGCGCTCAAACAGCAGAGCTAATGTGTGCCTGTAGTCACCTATCAATGCCTTGTACGAGTCATGGGACGAGATGATTTTTCATCGAGCGTCGCTATACTCTACTGTAGAAGTTGTGAAGTACTCTTCCGGTGCATTTGTCTACGCGCAAAGTGAAAGCCTCCAAATACAATTACTCTCGGTACAAACAACACAATAATATACAGCGGCGGAAGTTTTTATGAATTTACAAGGTATGATTGGGACCATTCAAAACGCCCTCTAGTTGGTTTCGGCGTTGGTGTTCGCGGTGTTGGCGATTCCAACTCGCTGGTTAGTAACGTCGTAGACCGAGTAGAAACGTTGAAGCCAGGTAAACCCGTCTGAAGGGTGACTATGTCAACTAGGTTAAGCCCAAGAAACGAACGGTACGTACTGATGAAGTCCAATCCAATCCCCGAGATTTGGCCCATGCTAGCAAAAACAGTATAATTCGAATCAGCATCCCCGCCGAGCGCATTGTTCAAGGACCTCGGCCAGATTTGGGCGTTCGGGGTCAATTCAAAAGTGGTCTGCAAATTGAACACTCTATAAGCGTGATTTCAAGAAAAGTATGTTTACTGACATCTCCAATTTTGTAGTTAAGGCTTTGCAGGTTCTTCAACTGCTGGTTAGTCAATTTGAGGAGCCCGGTCGTCTGGTCCATCGTTGCGCCCGTAGCCTCCTGATAGGCCTGGAAAGCATCATCCGAAATCATGATCAAGGTGGTACCTGAAGTTCACACAGAACATCATACACAATGCTGCATTGAACTTAGAAAGTAAGCTCACCGGTATCTGTAAGATAAGGTCCAATGTTAACTGACTAGGTATGTAAGAAAGATGCTAATTGAACACTCACCAACGATTCCAGCGGTTTGCTTCAAGATCATCTTCTCGGAAGAACCATATGTGATTTCCTGATCAATCCCTGAAGGAAATAATTAGGTCTTCCAGAGATTGAGGAATATTCTGACGGTACGACGGACCCCAGTATTTTGAGGCAGGGGAGGTAGATGTGATAGGCACATAGGTCACGTCGCCAGTAATCCTAGATTTGCACAGCTAAATGTAAATAATGAAATTTTTGAGGAGGTGTTGCTTACTTGCTCTGGTCCACCTCGCCAAACATAAGCTCTCCGTTGGCCATGGTACCGTTGCTCTGAGTTGGGTTGTAAGAAATGCCAATGCATTCGGTCTTGATCAGTCCTTGGTCATGCAAATTGTCGGTGACAGTGGCTGACGGTATTGTCAGAATCAGTAATCTTCTTGAGGAAGCAGCAATTCTTACGAATTGAACTCATTCCCTCGACAGTACCTAGAAGTACTTCCTAAGAAGCGCATCATTATAATAGAGAGGAGTTCTTACTTGAGGTAAGATCGACAGGACCAATTCCTATGCAGTGGACGTGCATAAGGTCATGAACACGCGCGATACTATGGACGATTACCTAGAATTCCATCCATTCCCCCGCCAAAGCCTTGTGCTCGACTGGCGACAGCGAAAGACTGCTTGTCGAGTTTCAGAGTCGAGTCCTTTCCACCGAGAATGATCGTTCCGGTATCTGAAAACGAGGACGCTGTTGATGACGCAAAAAGAGATAGTAGGAAATGCATACATTCGGTCCCAGTGAAGGAGCCTGATCCATAGCTTACGTTCTGAAGTCGTTGATGTCAGTGTAACGAATCAGCCAGGAGAGGGCAAGGTAAAACATACAACAGACTTCCGAGTGCTATGACAGGTCAATGAAGTAAACAAAAGCGCATATGTCCACATCGACGGCCACGCACCTCTCGCAAGAAGAATCAGGTTCGAACTTCTTGTTTGCGCCGCACCAAGTGTTCGAGCTCCCTATGTATGACTCGAATCAAGAGGACTGATAAAATTCAAACATAGAACTCACCAGTATCGATGAGCAAGCTGTATTCTGAGCCGCCGATGATGCAAGGCATCATGTACGTGACAGCTATTGAGACACAGAAGCGGTCAGAGAGTGCAACAACAAGCGCATATACTCGAGGAACTCACTGGCGTCGTCGACTGTGATAGCTTTCCCACTAGCGGGAGCGGGTGTAGAGCCTGAGCCATCCTCGTGGTGACGATGATTGTCCTTGTTTCGTGCTTCATGGATGGCGCGAGGACCATGAGCAATGGTATCCGGAGAGAGATGCTTGCGAGCGCGTCGAAGATCTTTTTCGACGAGGTTTCTGAGATTGTCGACGTCAGCGGCGAGCTGAGGAGCAATCGGAATCGAGTTGACGACAACACGGGACATTCTATATGTATACTACGGGATGGAGGTAGAAGGAAGGAAAGAATCCTGAAGAGAGAGTCTAGCTACTCGTCCTCTTATGCTCTTAGAAGTGAGTGTGTGAAAGAAGCATCGGAGGTCTGTCATAAGCGAAAAGAAGGTCGCAATGTTTCAGATCGTCTCTGCCAGACGCGTCCCATCTTGCGACGCGTCGAGACATGTGACATTCGAATAGAAATTAAGCGCCATAACTAAGCGCTTGTTGCTTCCATGAGTTGTTCGGTTATTCCGTGCTTTGATCATGCAGTATGGTGAAGCAGTTCATATTACATTGTGGTACCATTTATTACATAGCTTACATACACATAGTCCAGCAAACATAAAGTCCTGCGAAGTCCATTTGCACTCGCTCACTGTCAACTGAGTCAGGCTCTTCACAACAGGCTCTTCTTCGTCGTCAATAGTCAGTTGGTCTCAGCATCGGTGTTGGGGGTCGTTGCGATTCCCACTCTGTTGTTAGTTGTATCGAACACAGAATAGTATCTTTGAAGCCAACCAAATCCATCTTTCAAGAAATCTAGTCAGTACCTACAGCTGAGAGACAAGGCAGTTTTCACATACTGATGAAGTCGAGGCCACTACCCGAGTCGTTGCCAAGATCGGACACAATGAGATAAATAGAATCATCATCGCCTCCAAGTACGCTGTTCATCGACCTTGGCCTGATCTGCTGTGAGAACATGTCACCATCAAAGCTCAATTGTAACTTACCAGATTTGTGCATTCGCAGTGAACTCGAAGGAAGTCTATACGAATCGTTAGAATGAAAAGGGCAGCGTGAATGGAAATGATAAACTAACATCTCCGATCTGGAAGAACAGGCTCTGGAGGTTGGAAAACTCGGAAGAGCTGAGCTTTAAAAGACCCGTGTTTTGGTCAAGGGTTGCCTTCGTCGCCTTCTGATACGCCTGGAAGGCATCAGTAGCAATCAGGAGTAGTGTAGTGCCGGTATCCACGATTCCAGCGGTCGAGTCGAGGATAGTGGTTCCAGATGAACCGTAAGTAATTGTTTGGTCAATACCCCAATAATTACTGGCAGGAGACGTCGACGTGATATCGACATAAGTAACATCACTAGTGGTCCTGGTGGAGAATTATATATCAGCTCCCCGTGCTTACAAGGAAGCCAATGATCAGTGAGTACGTACTTGGACTGATCCACCCCGCCGAAAGTCAACTCTCCATTAGCGATATTCTCGCCAGTGGTTGGGTTGTACGAGATTCCTGCATCACGGGGGTTATCATAACGTTTTGTTGACCAGATAAATTAACATACCAATACTCTCGGTGGAAATTGTGCCATTGTTTGCCAAATTATCGGTCACGGTGGGGACTTCGCTGGTTCCCGAAACAGTACCTAAGTGAACCTCGGTCAGAAAAGGGATAGTATATAAGTTTCCGTCAAACCTTGAGTCAAATCCACTGGTCCGATTCCTATTCACCAGTTAGCTACTATATAATAATCAATATCCAGTACTGCAGCCTACCTAGAATGCCGTCTGTATCGCTGAATCCTTGGGCTGTCGAAGCGACACCAAACGATTGATTAGGGATGGAAAGTCCAGAGCTGCCCCCGAGCACAACAGGGCCCGTGTACTCTGTCCCGCTGAAGGAACCGGAGCCATAGGACACATTGACTGACTCGCGGGTTGATTCAACACTTGAGTTAGGTTTGAACTTGGTGTTTGCACCACACCAAGTGTTCGAACTTCCGGTGTCAATCAATAAGCTGAAGTCCTGCCCACCAATGGTGACATCCATCAGATAGGTCACCGCAGAATCCGTTACGTCGATGGAGTCCGAATTACTGCTACCACTTGGAGTAGTAGTTGCTCCAGATCCACCGGTCGCATGGTGATGATGACCATGGCGCCTCTTGCGAGCTTCAACGAATGGGTTGGGACCATGAGGGTGCAAACCAGCCATGAACTTCTGCGCCCGAGAACGATCATGTTCAACAATGTGTCTGAAGTGCGAGACAGGCTTGGTCCTGCCCAATGCACTGGTAAAAGGAAGACTCTTCACAACGACATGATGGTGAGACATCTTGCGTGAGTTGAATAGTCTGAAAGGAGGACAAAAAGCCGTTATGAAAATCAGGAGTTGGAAAAGGTAGCGAGAAAGGTAGGAATGGAGAACAGAAACAGCGCTCATGAGACGTTTTTATACCATTTTGTGAGTTCTACATCATACCACCTGAAAGACGTTGTAAGATCACAAAGATAGCGGTATGGGAAAAATGCACCATATGCTTCGTATACCGTCGTCAGTCGTCCTGAAGCAGTGTCTAAATCTCAATTCACTTCAATACTTCATATTAGGATCACCGCAGCTCGGTTTATCATGGTGTTCCTTCGAAGAAGCAGTGATCCATATACGGATACGTGCCCAAAGTTCCTGGTCTTCCACACTCAGCGAGTCAAGGAAAATAGTTACATACGAGATAAGGAAACTGACCAGATGCGTCATCCTTAGTTCTTCCCATCTCATGGAGGATCGGTATCGGGGTTTATTTTGAGCTCGTTCTTCCATTCCAGTTGATCATGCATGACATACCTGTACAGAAGCTGTACGCATTACTAGAAAAAGATAAACATGAGATTGAACCAAGGCCGACTCTTAGGACCCCGGTACGCGCCGGTACGTCGTCTTGATGTACTTGTCCCGTTTGTCAATAGCAAGGAGTTAATCTTCATTCCGCCGTTGAATACATGCCCTATCCGCAAATACGTTGAAATACGGTCCCGCACACATTTTCCCAGTTCTCGGACAAAAAAAGGATATGATTTTTTTGCAGCATTTTGAGCTGAAAGCAATTTCGTTCAGATCATTGGAGCCTGGAGATAACCGTCTGAGAAAATGTGGAGGGCAGCGTCATTTGGAGTGAATTTGGGAAACCTTGAGAACTTCTAAATGAAGGAGTATACAATATATATCATGGGTCGCGACGGTACAGTGATACAGTATTTTCTGCAAAGCAACGAGCGGAAATCCTATATGAGATGAGCGAGAGATGACGTTCTTCTAGTGGCGTATACATGTGCGACGCACCGATAAAGAGACGTACAACGACAGTTGGATTTATGATTGATCGTACCGCTCCGATAGCTGGACTCCAGGAAAAAAAAACATTCCGAGCAAGGATACATTCTCAACGTCATGACCTATGTAAGGAGGTTGAAATACATCAACTATCCCAGGTCGTCTTCTAGACCTTGATCAGAAAAATAATCAGGGAGCTGGTCCTCGACTTTTTTAATACACTCGGTCAAGCTCCTTCTCGCAGCCAACTTGCAGTCATGCGCCATATACGTCGGACCCGACCTGTCGTATTCTTTCTGGACCTGCCTCAGCCGCCCAATAACATCCGCCAGTCCCAAAGACATCACCGCTTCGCCCTTTGTCTTGTCTTTCCAGAATTCCACCCAGGCTTGCGTACACCCAGGCTGGTGCCAAGTAGCACTACACGACGGAGCATGGGTGAACGTTGGAGGAGTCGAACGAAATCGTTCCCAAGTTCGTGTAAGATACCAATATCCGGAAAGTAAGCGGACTTGTTGCGCAGGTGTTATCTGTAATGGCACGTCGACCCCATCTTTTTTTTTCAGATCGTTATTAGATTAGGTTTTCGGAAATTGAGCGCGGGTGGGATCTTTAAAAATGCTTACTCTCTTCGGTTCCCCGTTGTCTCCCCAGGCTGGTGAATGATCCTTTCTGCATAACCTCCAGGTACGCAGCACCCCTCAAAGATCGGAGATTCAAATCATCCGCCAAAGCCATAGAAAGATAGGCGTAATGTAAAGACCTGCTCATAAGTTGCCTGAGGAGTGCAATCATAGAATTCAGCAGACGTTCGTGATTACAGAGTTGGGCAAGTTGAATGAGTCGTGTGAGCTGCTCCGTATTCTCTATCAGCGCGAGGTGAGTTTGGGTGGGGCTTGTATTTAGAGTTTCGTTCCCAGAGAAGAATGACGACGAGGATGAATGGTGAGGAGAGGGTCTTCGGTTCACATGCTCCTGCACAGCGTCCAGGGCCCATGTTTCTAGAGACTTGAACGAGTACTTGTTGGATATACGAGCAATATCGATGAGCTGTGTCAAATCTGCACTCGATGAGTTCACCACTTGTAATTCAGGCGGCCTGATGAAATCATCAGCTGATAATTTTACCGGCAGTACAACCAGACATACAAAGCATACAACGCCCATACTGTATGTAAGTTAAACTTCAGCAAGGACTCAAAAAATCCTAGACGAAGACCCTCACTCACAAAAGTGACGAAATTCAGAAGATTTGTCTCCTCGAAGGATTATGGGATTGTCATCAGACAGACCTTCAACATTGTGCGACCCTTGCGGAAGCGTGAACAGAGTACTGAAAGAAGAGTTGTCTCGAGACAAAAGACTACGATGCACCTGGGCCATCTTTAAGCTATGGTCCCAAGAATAAATAGTTCACCGACATTGAATAGTGTGTCTTCAACCAGCAAAATACAACTTCCATCCTCAAAGTAATACGAGATATCCCTCTGAGCCCTAGCCTGTCCTCTAAGATCGATAGTCGAAGGTCCAGGTATATTTGTCTCGTCCATGGACATTGCGGTCGAACAGGCTGAAGATAAGGGAACGGAGACTAGATCCCCTTGCACCTCGTCGCTATCAGATCGCTTTCGTTTGCGGATAAGGCTGGTTGCATCCAAAGGAGCGAGAAGAGAGTACAAAGTCGACGAGGAAGGAAAACTAGAATCTACAATGCGTTTATGGTCGTCAGCCATAACATGCCATGAACAGCAAATCACCGACTCTGAAAGAGGAGGTCCTTGTCGGGTTCAAATGGGCCTTTTTTGTGAGATCATTTTGCATTAATTCAGTTTCGTTCCGAGTCCTCCGTAAAACATCTGTCAGCAAGTTCATGTGATGTGCCGAATTTCGGATCACAGTTACGATGTAGTTGAAAGATTCGTTTAGACGTACGTAAGCTGTTTTCTTTTCTCGTTTCAACTTCCATCTCGCTCTGAGTTCGCACTATGGATATAATGGATGATGAATTGCCGGACGACAGGATAAGCGAAATGTGTAGGTTGGGTTGTACAGTTGAAGCCACAGCCATCACTCAATTGTTTTCATTTTTTGCATTGGGTGCAGTTCGTAGTGCGGATGCGGACATCATCGTTCGTTCTTTCGACAATGTAATATTTCAAATGCATGAATGCAATTTGCAAAGCGTCGCAGATAGGTTTCTGCAAGATGACGAAACTAGCGACGACTGGTTGTTGTCTTTACCCGAGTCGGGCGCTGTTCTTGAAGTTTTATTTCGATTTGTATATCCTCGTCCTCTGCCGGATCTCGAGAAGTTGGAGTTCGAAGACTTGTTATTGGTAGCCGAGGCAGCAGAAAAATATCGTTTTTTTAGCGCAAAATATGCTTGTCAACTTGCGTTGAGGTACGTAATTAGCTTTCAGAATGTCATTCTATCCATGGCTCTGAAACTCGTGTTACAGGAAGTATTGTAGTTCGCATACGATGCAGATTTTGCGGTTTGCTTGCGAACATCACGTTTATTCGTTGATCACCCATTTGCCTCAATCGTTCTTGATTGATACACCGTTGATGGAGGTCTCGGAAATTTTACCTTCCTATGTTCATCAGTTTTGGGTAAGAGTTGCGATATTCTTCCATCGCAAGTATAATTGACGTTGATGATTATGTAGGGGGGTTATCGTGAACATTGGCTGGAATTGCTTCATGGTGTAATGTCGAGGTCAATACCGTCGCAGATATTTGAACATGACACATCTTGTGAAGGTGTTAATGTTCCGTCGTCGAAAATCGTTCTACAAATTGTGCGGGACGTCGATAGGCCTAGTTCTCTGTTATCTCCTCGACTTGATGAGATATTTGAGAAGAGGTTCATGAACGCATGTGGGTGTTGTCGTCGTTTCCTTTTCGAATGGAAGAATGTGATTAAGACAGAAGTCGCCGGAATGCCTCCTTTCGTTATCCCGGAATAGGGAAGACATTGACTAGTTCGAAGCACAGGCATGTTGTTTTAGCATGGTATAGTACAGGTCGGTATGAACGAAAATTGTTTGTATATATTGCTGTCGTTGTGTTGGTTGTATCAAGAAGTTCTGTGTTTACAGTGGTTTCAGAAAATAATCACAATTAGAAAAATTTTTTTGAACATAGTTCGCTGCATTTTTAGTTCCCAATTTCGTTGCAAACAATTATGCAATGAACACAGAGATCGTAAAAAGTTGCGGTATATTCTAGAATTACACTGTTACAGGTAGCTAGGCATTACATGAGTGGTACTTTGTGGGCAAGTGCAAGAAAGAGAACGAAAAAGTCGAGTGATAAATAGTGCTAGACTGTATGGGTGACGAATAGCAGTATTCTCAACGGCGGTGTATCCATCGTAGCAGGAAAAGTAGGTACTTCATCAGCGTACAAAGACTCTGTTTTGGCTTCGTCATTGTTAATTACCGACAGGCGATGTGCGGTATATGGTTCGACTGTGTGGTTGGGCGATGGACGTGGTGACTGATGTGGATCGTGAGGCGGAAGACGTGTCTGCGAACTGGTTGCGGATGGTTAGCGAGGCTGTCGTGGATGGAGCAGGGGATTTAGCTCCAATTGTGCTTGCCTCTCGATGTAATGTTTCTGTTTCTGTATGCTTAGTAGGAGGAGTGAACGGAATGGACTTGAGAGGATCGGAGCGTTCGATACCACAAATCTTGGTGGAGGATTGGGTTAAAGCTTTTTGCTTTCTGTGCACGACGAGCACGAGGTTTCAGTAATGCAGTTACGTTAGTGATGTTGCTTCGTGCAAGGGATGTGATTTCGTCTGCAACTTCGGGAGCAACATGAGCATTATCAAGATAAGAAGGAATTTCAGGTTATTGGAGGAATTTCGGTGTCGTTCTTCCAAGCTTTATGTATCCGAGTTGAAGCGGAAGTCTGTGAATATGCGGCCACGGAGTTTTCAGAAGCTGCATCGTCGATCGATACTGCTGAGGCAGGGTTGTTGCTATTATGTTCCACTGCAGGGAATGCTGTGGGTGCTATCGAGGGTACTTTTGCTATATACCGTATAGCGGGAGGGGCAATAGAAAGAGGTGAAATGTTCAATGGTGGAAGCGATGGTCGAGGAGGAGATAGAGATATAGGGATCTCATGCATCACGGATGAGGAGGAAGGCGGAGGTTCGAGCATGTCGATTACGGTGTAGTTCGACGAAGTTTCAGGGTGTATAGGCCGGGCTGGGATAGATACAGTCTCCACATATGGATGGCTCAGATCCGCTCCTCTACCGTCTTTGCGAGACCGTGTTCCATTGTTCTTGCTACTTTTTCGACTCTTGTTTTGTTGAGAAAGAAAATAGTGCAACCCCGCAACAATCAGAGCGACGAGAATCTTTGCAATGAGTCCTCTGAATATGTCTTCAGTTGTAATATCAGGAATATTGTTGTTGGTACTAGTCGCGCTGAGGCATTCGAGCTAGATGAGGATGTGGTAGTCGGTGACATGGTCGTAACAAGAAATTAAAATGGGGGTTCATCGCTTACGAAGGAAATGATGGATTGTGTAGCTGCTCGCACGTCAAGTACAGCCTGAGGTTTAGGCCGAAACACTTTGTTTTTATCTCCACGTACGTCGAGTGTTTCCGAACCACTTCCTCGAGGATTTTTGCTCGGCACATACTTGGGGAAGTTGTAACTGAATTGAAAAGGTGAAGTATTCAACATTCAATTCCTGTATTCTGTTGTGTCACTGTGGCATAAGAGCTTTTACCTTTTACTTATTTGAGAAAAGAGTATATTGTCAGAAGGTGGGCGGCATTTCGTTTTTGGTGTTGGAGGTTGATGTGTGTGTCTTTGTTCGGTCTGCTACCGATGAGCACCTAAGGTGTTTTTGAAACAGTTGTTTTTCTTTTCCGGGTGCGTCCAATTTCATTGCACGAAGAAAGAACTTCTAAGAACTTGGATGATGTATGGGCGATGTTGGATGAATGGAATGACGAGAGGCCGTTCAATTACGCTGAAGCGCTCGATGCTGATTAGCGCTAGGGTATAAGCGCCATCAATGACGTTTCCTGCATTGCGCATCTTCTTCATGTTAAAAAGCGTCCCAAAATGCAATGCTGCGTCTTCAAATTGGCTTGCTTTGTAGAAGGTCTGTCTTTTCGATGTAAATATATAGGTATCGACTGCGAAATGGTTGGTGTTGGGATTGACGGATCGGAATCTTCATTGCCCTGAGTTATGTTGGTGAATTATTATGGTGTGGTACAGATGGATGAGTTTGTGCGACAGAGAGAGCGGGTGGTGGATTATTGGAGGTGTGATTCGATTAAGGACACGGTAATAGGAGAAGAGCTTGGTTGACATGGAAGCGAACGGATTCATAATCACGAAGTCAATAGATGGCAGTAGTTCTTGCAACTGAGTTTATATTGAGAAGAACGATGATGCGTTGTCACCAATCTTGCGTATATCCAGGATGAGATCGACGGCATTTGGTAGGTTGCCTTTGGAGGTTCGTAGGTGGCCTTTGGAGGTTCTCTCAGAAGTTGGCGCAATACGCATTATCTGAACAAATGCACTAAGTAATCGGAGTGAAATAAAGAAGGAACACCCCTGCGTGCAACTGTTTCGGCAGCGACAATGATCAGGGTTTGGCACACGTGAGACGCAAAGCGATCTTTGACTATGGAAGCCGTGGTTTTGGAGGAAGTGAAGCTTCAAGGAAGGTACGTGTCGCTTCATGAGATGGTTTTCCCAAGCTGATTGATTCAGATGTACAGATCTATGGTCGTACGATCGTTCTGTGTGAGTAGTCTGTAAAAATGTGAGTCAATACCGGGCGAACGAATTATATCTTAGGTTGTGTGTATAACAGCTGTTCGCACATGTGGTAACTGGATTTGTGCCCTCTGATAGCTGTCATGGTTTTTCATAGATATACACACGTAGTATAGGTGGATGACATGAAGAAGTTCATAGTTGATAAAAATTGACAAAGCTTGTTCAGATTTGGGATGAAGTGCATAGTCGATTCTATGGAATATGTTGTATGTTTGCAACTTCAATTCTATACAATATCACATTTGGGAGTGAATATGGTCATCATAATATGTATCTCATGAACCAAAACTAAAAGTCAAACTTCAGTTTCCTTCCATTGTTCGCCCATGCGAACCCACATCTTTTCTTGAAATTGTACTCCTACTAAAGATGAACATATATCATGTAACGGATTGAAAGCTTCGGAAGGCTGTAAATCAGTCCCGTTGATACGTGGGACGATGATGTATTCGATCATATGAAGTCGATGTATACTTTGTCGGAAAGCCTTTACGACGCTGATCTGTAGAGAATTTTAGTACTTTATATTGATTGTAGAAGATACATACAGCTCCTTCAACTGGAACATGTGCCGAATCAAATAAAAACTCTTTTATGTTTGGGCATTGCTTGAAAATAATATCCAATGCAGATGCTTCATTATCACCGTCATCTTCTAAACAAATCCCCATTATAGCGACACGTGTGGCATTAGGGAGAGACGGTAAATGTAGAAGCAATTCGGCTGCAGTTATATGTCTTTCTGTGAATGCGGCAGTCTTTAATCCACGATGCTCTGGTGCAGAACGGAAAAAATGAGCAGGGCCGATGTATGATTCCAAATAATCGGGTAAGGCTTGCTTTCCAAGAGGGAATGCTTCCGTCTCGCAAATAGGCCAACCCCCACTGAGTGTCAAACGTTTTAATCCGCGTAGTGTTCCTACAAAGTTGAAGAATGTTTGTTGCTGCTGCAGTCGTTGCAGACGATTTCTTGACCATGCATAATTTGCGGACATCACCGTCAAATCATACAAGGTTGTTGATAGGAGTTGTGCGTCATCCATAGACAACACCGCAGCTAATCGTTGATGCCAATTAAGAAACAACACTTTCAACGTAGGACAACTTTGTAGAAATATGAACTCGTCTTGTTCCTTGTCCCAAGAGATGTTTTTCAGTTGTAGATGGATAATGGTGAGTTTGACGTTATTGAAAGAAACTGGTCCGTCAAATGTACAGCTATCTAATGAGAGGGTTTCCAATGAGGGAAAAGAGGGAAATATGATAGGAAATGTGCGAGGGAGATGCAATGAAACAAATTTTAGGTCAGTGAGACTGGAAAAGCATGTGAGTATTGGAATGAAGTTCTTCCATTTCCCCAGAAGCGTCAAACGTTCTAAAACATTTTCGAATCTGGTTGAGTTGTGTTGATTTACGCCGACGGTTAAAGTTTTAGCATAAGGGAAAACAGAGGTAGGTCTGTTCAACCATGCAGTTCCGCAACGAAGGAGAATTGATGGTGTGTTGCACATGATGTCGCGGTACAGAAGAGGATATATGATATCCGATAGAAAATGGCATGTCGAAGCCAGAGAGCATAAACTTCCTTCCGTTAATGATCCAATTATGCACCATAATTCGACAGGCAGCATCAATATCGGTGAATAGTCCCGACCGGGTTGTCGACCTTCGTTGAATGAGAGAGAAAAATCTGTATCCGTCATGGCTGTACTTTCGATCGTCGTTTCTTTGGAGCGTTCTTGTAGTAACAGTTGGGTGATATTTATGAAAATAAGCTCTAATTCATTATTTAGATAGAGTTATTGGTTGTATCTACAGATTCTTGTTTTGGACACGTATATACTTTATACATTTGGATTGATTATATGTAACAATGGAATGTTGCTTATGGATTACATATGTATATAACTGTACATTGTTACATTGCAACTTTTTTTGAACAATGATGAATTACTGTTTTGAGTTACAGTGTCAACAGATTCTGGAATGAATTTTATGGATATAAGGAGTCTATATGTTTCGGACATGACTTACAATTTGCTGGTTTTCCGATATAACAGATGTTCCACACAAACACAAAAACTCACGTCGATCCAGAGGTTAGATTTGTTCTTATTGAGTAATTTATGGTTTTTAATAGGACTGTGAATAAAGGCTACATCGTTTGTCAATCTGACAAGAGCTGATTTCTCGACAAAGACCAGTACCAAAACAGCAGCGGCAGACTTTGAACACAATGCGGGAAATTCAGATGAATACAAATCGACCATTGTTTTCCAAAAAGACCGCTCTGCATTTTCTTGTCTCTTTCTTCCTGATGGAGAGAGATTTGAAGGAAGAGTTGATATGAATGAATGTAAGGAAATAAATTCGTTCCAAGTGTTGTTCTGTATGAAGTTTGATATAATAGGTGATGAGCCAATTTTGTCAACTTCCACTGGTCGATTCGTATTGTTTCCTATTGAATACAATGAGGTATGAGTAATATTTGTTTACTTACACATTAGCTGACACGGTGTACAGATTTGGTCAATGTACAAAAAAGCTCAATCGTCATTCTGGACATCGGAAGAGATTGATCTTTCGAATGACATCAACGACTGGAATAACAAACTCAACGCTAATGAGAAATTCTTCGTTTCTCGCGTCCTGGCGTTCTTTGCTGCGTCGGATGGTATTGTAAACGAGAATCTGATTCGTCATTTTTCCAACGAAATACAGGTGCCGGAGGCGCGGTGTTTCTATGGTTTCCAGATTATGATGGAGAATATTCATTCTGAAACCTACTCTTTGCTTATTCAAACGTATATTCGAAATGCACCAGAGCGTTCGATGTTATTCAACTCTATTGAAACTATTCCGTGCATCAATAGAAAAGCAAAATGGGCGCTTCAGTGGATTCAAGATAATAAATTCACTTTTGCAGAGCGTTTGGTAGCATTTGCAGCGATCGAAGGCATTTTTTTCTCTGCGTCGTTTGCCTGCATATTTTGGATGAAGAAACGAGGATTGATGCCGGGTTTGACATTTTCAAATGAACTCATTAGCCGCGATGAAGGAATGCATACCGAATTTGCCTGTCTTATTCTGAGTCTTCTCCAGCGTCGTCCTCATGTTCGGGTAATCACGAGCATTGTCATGGAAGCTGTTGACATCGAACAACAGTTTGTGAAAGGTAAGTTTTCATAGTGAGTCTTAACTTATTCGATCGGATTAACGTACATTTCACAGAAGCTATTCCCATCAGGTTAATTGGGATGAATTCTAATTTGATGTGCAATTACGTCGAATTCGTTGCCGATCAATTGCTGGCGATGCTAGGGTGTGGAAAAATCTACAATACTGGAAATCCTTTCGATTTCATGGATATGATATCTGTGGATGGTAAAACCAATTTTTTTGAAAGACGGGTGTCGGAATACCAAAAGGCTAGAGTTTTCAATGATACAGAATCAATCAAGCACGAATTCAAGTCATTGTGAGTCAAGTTACACCTATGTCATTGAATTAACTGAAGCAGATTTAGTTCATTGTCAGAGGAGTTTTAATTTGAGTAACATTACTTCAACTGTGGTAAATTTGAAACAGATCCATGTAAAATCAGTAGAATTCTTAACCAGTCTATTCATGCCAGATTGGTTTTTTTAGGATGTTAGTACATATGTTATGTAGGAAAATATTGAGATTTCATGTTAGGAATATCTTGCTTGTTGTTATAAACCGGATCTGCAACTGAGGACCCAGCAACTAAACAGAGCACAGGCAAACTGGTCTGAGATAATGATAAAGATATATTTACAGTTTCTACTATGTCAAATGTTGTTGAAGCTATGGAAGTACAATTGAGTAAAGTGCTTTGTGCATAGGTGATGGACAACTGTTCAAGTTCTGATTTGTTGTTGTGGATAACTCCCTGTGGTCGCCCTATCTTGAGGCTATTCCATTAGTCGAGTTGAGTTTGTGTCATGGCTTTAATTTTGTGGCTCTTTACCATCTCCTTGTGACCTGTTTGTGATGCCTTGATCATAATCAGACCAGCCGTAATACCAGGCTCATGACTGTAGATCATACAAGTCCTGATCCTTTTGCTTCGGAACTGTTTCTGTACCCCCCCAAGGAGGTGCATGTTTTCATGGAACGGTCACCCCACTATCACAATCTCCACAACTCAGTGGAACTTCCCTCAACACATCAGATAATCCCAGCAACACTCCCTTGTTTGACAGTCATGCAAATTTAGATTACAGCAGTTTTGACAGTCAAGGCTCCTAATGTTTTCTTGTTCACTTTCTGTACCTATATAAGTACCTTCATAGCATAAAGATCTATCGCTTGGTATATTTTGAACATACACCCTTTTGCATATGTCCAGTTGCTATCCCCTTGTACCTGGTAACCATACAGATTTCTCTTTACTCTCTGTTTCCTTATCTCAGTTTTTGTGCTCTTGTTTCTCGTCTCTACAATCTTCTATACAATCCAATAAACACTTTTACTCTATGTCTAGGCAAACCAAGTGGGTTTTGAAGCACCCTCAACCAATACTAAAGTTTTTTAATGTGTATCGTTTTGGTGAGTCAACCTCCTCTGAACCTCCTTGAGCTCCAAAAGTGCTCCACGAGCTCTGGTACCTTGACCTAGGTAATGTTGAATCTATCCCTTACAGCTTCTTTGTTGATACCTCCACCACTTGAGGATGTCAGCCGCTATGCTCATCTTGGCGGGACCTCCTTCCCGGGCTTATACTCTATTGTGAGCTCTCACATTTGAAACCCACATCAATTATGATCTACAATGATTCTACGTTGATGTTCCTAGCTATTGCAATCCATACTATGCAATACTCTTACGTCTACCAGTTCTAGTTACCTCCACCTTTCCCGTTAATATCCTAGGGACCTCCCTGGACCTTCTAGGATCCCCTTCAAGGGTTATATCTCACAACTTGAACTTTTTCCAGGTTATTCCTGTCCTTGGTTGCGGTTTTTGTAGCTCCCTTCAAGCTTCAGCTTCCTTTTAGCATGTTACAACATAAACTTCTAATACCAAACCCACCATTAAGATCATTTCTGTCCATTACCAATTGGACAGCGATTTTGGTCCTTAATCTCCCTCAATCACATCACCCAGCTCCCAGTTACAGCAGGTCCAGAGAAGTACAATGCTATCTTAGTAGTAGTCTGCTGTCTCACCAAACAGGCGATATGTGTTTCTTGTCGCATAATGGATAATGCAGAGGATTTTGTCGATCTATTCATAATACACATTTTCCCAGAGCATGTATGCCCTCCGATATCACTTCCAACCGGGTCTCCTTATTTGTGTCTGAATTCCGGAGGGAGTTTTGTAGGGTGGTAGCAATCAAGTCCCACCTGTCCACAGCATATCACCCCCAAACCAATGGACAAACTGTCATGCCCTATCCCATGTTCTCCCTGACTCCTAGCTCCCCAAGTGCGCCCGTAACACCTCTCACTAGCTCCTCTGTCTATTAGCTTCCCGTAGCATCATTTTTATAACCCTTCCCGTTATCCAAATCCCTTGAAGGCTTTCCTGACACCCATATGGAACCTTGCTATCACCAACTCCATTAAGTATTAATCTCGATTTCTGCCTCATGTTCCCTTGTTCACTTCCTGTACCTATTTAAGTAGTAAGCCCCAGCTTGATATATTTTGAAAACACACCCTTTTGTATAGGTCCAGTCCTTGTCCCTTTGTACCTGCTAACTATACGGATTTTTCTTATTCTCTGTTTCCTTATCTCTGTCTCTCTACTACTATCTTGTCTCTACATTCATCTAAACAATCCAATACATGCTTTTACCCCATATCTAAGCAATCCAAGTAAGTCTTTGACCTCGCTCAGCTCCAGCTTGCTTCTAGCACTCTACAACATAAATCTCTTATACCAAAACCTACCTTAAATGGGTACTTGAAGCAACCAATGTAATACACAATATGCGAGTTCACTGCTATCAAGTTTATTTAATAGCAAGGGGTAGCATTGTCAAAGGTTTTGCAAAGATTTCAGCGTTAGGAAAAGCTTCGATCAATCAATTTGATTTGTTGTAAGGATTTGGTATATTCCTTTGAGTAACGTAGATTCAGCACAATTTGTGCTTTGATTGTATTGATGTGGGTATATCAAGATTTGGGGGTTTGAATGAAAGTAAATTAAAACCGAAACACACAGATCCCTACAGAGGGCTAGAACTATGTGCTGGCACAACCACACAGTGTGATTTGCCCTTAAGACCAACAACTGATTCTAAATTTGAAGAATACCCAACAACTGGATATACTTCTCGCAGTCACAAGGAGCAGAATACGACATTTCTATACTTACAAGTGCCAGGCCCGAATGGCTGCTAGTGAAGAGGTTTCAGTCTGGCAGGAATGTGTCTTTCCTTTTTATGGATTAGCACTGCAACGTCGTCCCAAAATCACTTGTATTCCAGATACATTGGATCACTATTTATACATATAGGATATAGAGTCACACAGTATAATTAATTTGATAAAATAGACCTTCGGAACCGCAAGGAAACTTCTGCAATTAGTCAGATATTATTTAATTTGAATCTAGACGTTCTTATTTGGTCCATAATGGTTCCAAGATTCTAGTATACCTCCAAACAAAGCTGGGTACTTCAGTACTCGTTTAATTTAATTGTTTTGGAGAATGACTCGAATGGTGTTCAGCTGTCGTTGCTGTTCAACAGTTAGTTTGATCATTTGTCACCTTGTCCGGAGGCAAATCAGCTTTCCTCAATTCTAATTCTATTAATCTGATTTCTCTGGATTAAACTAACTGTTTCTCTCTTTGAATAGACACTGATTGTGACTATATTCTATCAAGGGAGTTATGCATAGTATTCATTTAACTGTATTTTTCAATATTTCCTATGTCAGGACTCTTTGACATTCATTTGATATGTCTTTGGAGTCTTGCAGTATTTGGATCGTTGTTCTACTCATTTTCGTCAACCATGCAACCTGATTGGTCTATTACACTAAATCACAGGCTTTTAGATTAATGCATGATCTTGTTCTAGAAGGAGTATTCAACAATTCCTGAGTTCTAGAAAGTCATTGTGAGTCAATTCTTGGTTCACGGTTTTTTGAGTAAGCTCTTCCAAACTCCTGTTAGTGTAAGGTCCAATAAGAATACCCTTGGTACATCATACGTGAATGGTCATCCTTTGGATATAGTCCGAGTCTGGTATAATCCTGCTTGACAAACAGGTAGACTGCTATCCAAACATAGTATCGGGAATGGGTAAACTAACCAACTTGTGGTAGTATGGGTATATGGTCCCTTCAACTTATTAGATTGATTTAGTATTGACTTTGACTGTCAATCTGAGTCTCAATTACAGTTCTCTTGATATGAATCTATGTGTGAAAATGTCACAATTCACATCATAGACATCTAGCCAAAATTTAGGTGTCTCATCGGAGATGACGTTGCAGCTGGAAGATTTTATTAGGATCCAGGAGTGTGTCCCGGAGGATGTAGCCTTGGTGTTACGTGAGGTCCTAGAGGCAATGCGGATCGAAATATTGGGAAACAGCATTGAATTCTCAGAGTTATGGGTACTGTTTCTATCAGTGGGAACTCAGCTAGAGATATATCTCTCTGGGAAAGCTGAACAGTGACTGATGATCCCGACAAACAGGTCAGACTTCCTGTGGTTGGACCTGGAGCGGATGTTAGAATTGTTAGAAGCAGAGGTCCATTACAGACAATCATTCCAAAACTTGAGGGGAATACTTCTCCTCCTCCCTAATGCTCACCAAAGAGAGAACAAGTTCTACGGCGAAGTGGGGTACGTGTATTGTACTGAGCATCTAACTACAGATTGTCATAAAGTACACAGCCCCTATCATTTTCCTTTTCTCACCGTCTCGATATCTTTACTTGTACGATACATCACCCCATCACTGTCAACTCCCATCAATTACTGATTCACCTGATCCACCATCTCTTTCTATTGGCTTCCACCACCTTCGTTGCCCCTGAACTGTATAGGATTACATCGTTGTTTTTTTGCAGACCAGATTATGTATATATAGCTAACCCTCCACATCTTGGTCCCTTATCTTGAACTCTCTGTCATTATCTGGGACCAGTTTGCCTCCGCTCTGCTTAGTCGCTCTGCCTCGGTGATCTGCTTCGTCGCTCCACCTCACCGCCTTGCTTAGTCACACCGCTTTCCTGCTCTGCTAGTCACTCCGCTTTCCTGCTTCGCTAGTCACTCCGCTTTCCTGCTTCACTAGTCACTCCGCTTTCCTGCTTCGCTAGTCACTCCGCTTTCCTGCTCCGCTAGTGACTCCGCTTTCCTGCCTGCTCCTCTAGTCACTCTGCTTTCCTGCCTGCTCCGCTTTCCTGCTCCGTTAGTCACTCCGCTAGTCACTCCGCTTTCCTCCTCCGTTACTCACTCCGCCTCTGCCGCTTCGTGACATTAGGTCAAGATCCATTACAGCACTGACAGTCTACTGATAAGGTTGTCTTTGCAGAACCTGCATACATCACATCTTCTACACCCATAGATCTTTTTGATCATACTGCTACAACCGATTTCTCTGTTCTCCAACACGCACTTGACTCCAGAGATCAGCATCACATCCACCATGGTGGTGATAGCTGGTACGACTGTGACTCTCAGCCTTGCCCCCACGCGCTGTCCAATTCAGTCCAGAACCCAATTACCATAGAAGATACCACATTTTTACCAATTCGCCATTCCTGATCGCCTACTCCTACTATTTCGACTCCTGCCGAGCTTGCCCCATCTACCTCCGCTGAGGATCTCTTGACTCAGCTCATCAGATAAGTAGCTAACCTTGCTACAGCGATGGAGGAATTCTCATCCTCCAAGTCAAGCACGAACAAACCTGAAGTTTTCAAGGGTAAAGACGGTTCTGAAGCGTGTTGCTTCATGGCTCAGTTTCAAAGTTGGGCATCGGAACAACCTGATCTCACCAAAAGCCAAGTGAAACTTATCAAGTCCACCCTGGGCTTCTTCACAGAAAGCACCAGAGATTGGGCAACTCCCAATCTGCTACACTTCAGTGCAGAAAACCCCCCTTTCGGAGGAAATTGGGATACGTTCCTGAAGGAATTTGGCCCCGGCGACGAGGAGCGAACTAAAGGACATCTGAGTCCTGAGGTAGAGTAGAACGTACTTTAAGGCGTTGAGCCTGAAGACTTAGAGAAGAGTTAAGTTGGAAGGGAGATCTAAGTTGATAATTAAACTGAGGAACTACAGTAGTGTACAGGCAGTATTTATATCTACAGAACGGAGCATCGGTGCGGAGCGCCAGACTAACTACTAGGAGCTATACATGTAGTACCTGCAGGGTAAAGTAAAAGACAATAAGGAGGGACTAGAACAAAAGGGTATGTGTAGTGAGAAAGAACAATAAGGAGAGATTACAATAAAGGTGGATTATGTCGAATACCGGGCGGCGGAATGGAGGCCCAAGGGCTGGACTTGACACAAATCTAGAATGAAAAGTAAGAATCTCGCTGATATGCTTCCTAATGCAATTCCATCAACACCAATAGGCGATCCCACCAGCTACACAATGCTGTTCCCGATGTCAAAGCAGCTGCTAAAGACCGCCATCGAAAATCACAGGAAAAATACCGCATCAAAAATCATGAAAAGTTGGCTTTCAAAGAGCAAGAACGCCGGGAGGTTCAACGTGCTTGGCGTGTACTCAATTCAGAATTTAATACCAAAGGAGCTTCTGGTGTAATTGAGGAGGAATGAGGATAGTTCATGTCCTTTGGTGACTACTGCATCGTAATTATAGTAGAGGACTACTTACTGTAATGTCAATGGTATCAATGGAAAGATTTTGCTTAACAGAATATCACAGAGTAAATGACATGTTATTCAACAAAAAAATTCGAGATTAAGCAATATATAGGACCATGGACAACAAAAAAGTTCGAGTAAAAAATCATGGTTCCGCAATGAAGTCTACGACCTTCCCCATATCATCAACAAACTCATTGTCATCTTCCAAAGGTCCCTCATCCTCCAAATTATGATCTTCAAACTGCGGTTGTTAATCATCAGGTGTTGAATGTGGAATGTTGGATCTACTGGCATTGTGATCAAGCGATGTAGGTGGGGAGGTATTGGGTTCATGCATCTCAGATGCCGATGGGTTGTGCGGATATGTGGCGTGGACAGTGTTGATGCTCTCATCATAATATGGAGTCCATGTGAGACCTGGAAGGTTGTAGGTTGCATTGATGCGAGAAATTAGTAATTTATTGACCTCCCGACGGTGGGTCACATATTCGAGCACCGGTCCTAACATCAGCAACCCCCTGAGATGTTCCAAAGTACTGGCAAAAAGTTTCTCTTTATTAACAATCTGGGTGTGAAGGCGCCGGAGCTCAATGTTAATGCGGTGGATCTCCTCCCGGACCCTACTCACCTTATGAACACGGTTCATAAGTTCATGGTACAAGGAAAATGTTGTGCCGCATGTCTCGTAAGATGTCAAACTGATCAATGAAAGAAAAGTGGGTAAGTTTTGTCCAATCGAATGTGTCACAAGGGGGATTTAGCATCAACACATGCTTATTGTATTTGTTGACAGTGTTTCGAGTAGCTTTCGCTCGACGTTGAAGTGCTTGAGCAATATCAGTTCTCATTTCGTAGCCTAACATGATGGCAAGATAGATCAGAATCCAATATAGAGATTGGCAAATAAAAACTCACCTGTTCCCAACATGTTAAGATTGTGCATCTCAAACAGCTGTTTCATAACAAGAAGATGCAGGTTCTCCAGAGCTTGGAGGTATTTGCATTCAGTCATACTTGAGGGCCACCTTGTACTCAGAGTCCAGAGGGGTCCATTGCCGCTGTACATCCATCTGACTCTCCATCTGGAGGATCTCCCACAAGACATTGTCTCGCTTCTCTCCAAGAAAGCGACAACGAGTTTTGGATAGCCCCGAGGAGTATGAGGAATGGGGTGGTAGCTGCTCAAAATCTTCGGGCTCTTGAATGCGGAATGTTGTATAAGATCATTCCAAGGCTGCTCTAAAGAAAGACCCGTAAGCAAAAGATTTAGATACATGATGATGACTGACTCAATATCTCGCAGTTGTTGTAGCAGTTCAACATACGCAACATCATTGACCTCCTGCGCACGTTCTTTTCCCAGCTCCTTGAAATGTCTAGCTTGGTTCACCCACGTTGCCTCCAAATCAGATTCCGTCAGGTTGAATTGTTCAAGGTCATGCGCCAGTTCCGCAGCCTCAGTTTCAAGGATGTGGAGCACTTGGATGTAGTTGTTGGAAAGCATGGTCCCAAGATTCACATATTTATCAGAATCCTATTGCCGAAAGAAAAGGTCAATGAAGACTTTGTGGTGGTAGCGGCTCATATATCGCGTGACTGCAGCCAGTTGATTTGACTGTGAAAAGATTCGTTTGAGAGTTTCGAGATCTTCAAGACCCATCGCCTTGATGTGTGTTGGGTGAAAAGATTGTTCGAGGGAGCTCGGGAACTCACTCGGATTGCTTAGACGTGAAGTAAAAGCGTGTATTGGATCGTATAGACGATCACAGAGACGATAGATAAGAATTGAGAGAAACAGAGGCAGAGAAATAGAGAGTAAAGAGAATTCCGTATAGGTAGCAGGTACAAAGGGACAGGGACTGGACCTATGTAAAGGGTGTGTGTTCAAAATATACCAAGCTAGGGACGTTTATGTTACAGAGGATACTTATATAGGTGGGCTGAATAGTAACGGGACATTGTAGTAAACGAGCATCTAATGGGGTTGGCGTGAAGTGCGGAACCCATGAGGCTAAATTGATAGGGGATTGTCTGGCGGCGTACGCGAGTCGCGGAGCTGTCGCTTCAGATGGAGGTTAGGTTAGCTAGGGTTCCGTGGTTCATGGAGGTTTATGGGAGGTTATTTGGGAGGTGTAAGGGAGCTGATACACTGTTCTGGGATGTCTAGGAGGGTAACAAGGGGAGCTTTCGGGACAGGGCATGACATTACCCCCCCCCCCCTTTTACTCCTCCGAGCCTCCGAGGAGGTTTCACTTCGAAATATCACGTGGCTTCCACGTGATCGAAAATTTTTCGTTTATAAGTTTGTTTTCCCTCCCCGTCTGCTTTCTTTATCTTCCTGTCTATCATCACCCGAGTAAAACTTGACTGCCATGTCTGCGCCTCACGCTTCTACTTCTGCCGCGGTCTCCGATGTTCTTGGCATACCTCCCTCCTCTCCAACTTGACGCAACTCTGATGTGGAGGAACCCTCCCTTGGCCAGCTATCTCTGTTCAAGTCCGTCTTTGGTGTGGGGGTCTCACTTGCACGCTACATCGTCGACGATCCGTTGTGGTCTACCTTGGCTGCTGCGGGTCTGCCATGTCCCACTTGCGTTCGAGGTAAAAAGGAAGGCAGTTGCTCACTTGTTCCTCATCTTGCTCGGTGTAGCAACTGCGATGATAAAAAGCCGTGTGTCCTTGGACGATTAGCGCGCTTTCGATATTTTTCCCGTAAGTGCTCTCGCGACTTGGCTTTCGCTCGTCGTTTTCTGGAGGTCCACGGAGACCCGGGTCAGCGCACCCGCTACTCCCTCCCAACTGAGCAGTGGCGGGTCCTTTACGATCGCGTTGAACAGAGCACTAATTCGACCAGTGCACTTCTTGAATTGAATCCCTTGGATGATCAGGATCAGCGTGAGCTTGATCGTCAGGAGTTTCGGGAGTTTCGTCAGCGCCAACTGTTGGTTCCTGGACCATTGACGTCGGTTCCTCGTACCTCCCCGTTAGCTGATGGTTCCTCTCTCCTGCCTCATGCTCCAGTTACGAAAAAGCGCAAACGATCTATCAAGGTGGATCCTGGTTCTACCCCCAAGCGTCGACGTCCGGAACAGGCTGTGGATAGGCTGTCCCCCACCGCACCTCCGGTTCCTTGGGTCGAGGGACGTTCAGATTACCGTTGCGTGGTCCTTGTCCTCCGTCCTCCTAACGTTCCCGATTCGGAGAATCCCAATTTGCCGGGAGTACGACACCTTGTCCCTGAGGATTCCCATCGGTCGGCTGTACCCCAATCTCGATCTCAGGGTTCCACCGAGATCCCTCATCGCATTCCGTAGGCTGGTTCGTTTGAGCAATTCGTGCCTCCAAGTGAGGTGGAGGATTTTTCCAGGAGCAGAATAAAAACCCCTCCTGTTCAGCAGGTCAGTTTACCTTTCCTCCCTTTTTTTCTTCTGATTGAACCTTATGCCTCTCCAGCGTTCCTGGGAGCCTTTGCGCCCCTATCCTCATTCCCAAGCTTCTTCCGCTCTAAGGGTGGAGAATGATCGTTTGAAGACGGAGGTAGAGGAGCTCCGAGTGCTCCTTACACAGTCCCAGGGTCAGGTTTCGACCTTGACCGTCCTCCTCCGCAACACCTCTTCGTCGTTGGATCTTCGGAGCCAGGAGCTTGAATGTAGTCGTCGGTCATTGGAGGAGGTGGCGGCAGACCGTGCTGAGTACCGACGAGTTCTGTCTCAATTTCAAGCTCTCGAAGCAGAATTGTCTGAGCCCTCTTCTGAGGTATGTTTCGTTCTCGTTTGTTTCCTTTTCACTGATCTGATTCGTCTTCCCTGTTCAGGACCTTTTAACTCGTTTTTGTATTGCTTATGCTGGGTCGGATGCCTACAGGGAGGTGGCGAAGCGTCAAAAGGAGGAACTCGGGGAGCTCCGCAAGCAAGTCGATGATGCCAGCAATCGTTCCTTCAATGCTTACTCAGATCTTGACGCTGCTAATGCTCGTGCACTGTGTCAACGAGATCGTCTGGAGGAGTTAGAGGAGTTGGTTTGCCAGTATCGGAATAGGGCTCATGTTGCAGAGGGTTTGATTAGACAGTACCCCGAAGATGAGGGTCTGTACGAGGTTGAATTGCCCTCCCTCTCGGAGTTGCAATGGAAGCTTGATGCCTCGGAGGCGTTAGTTCGTCGGTTGGCCACTTTCGCCCACCGACTCTACCGATCTGATCCTGCCAACCTGCTCCATTACTATAACCGGTACGTAGGGGGTCTCCTGGAGGCCATCACCCTCCTCCTGTAGCGCGGTCTTCATCACAGTCCCGACCGTCTTGCCTCCGTTATCAACTTCGTTTTGGATTACTTGTCCCAGGCTCGCTTCACCCATGGCGAATTACATCTTCGGTCGACAAGCAGTCTTCTGTATTACTATTCCAACGCGGCGGACCGGGTTGGAGGTTTATACCAGGAGATGTTGACTCATTTGCGTTTCCCTTCTCACGACGCCTTTGTTACTGCCGCGCAACACGCCGGATATGTAGATGCTCGTCCTGGTTCCTTGGAACCTCCCCTTCATAGGAGATTCTTCTCCTTTGACCATCCCATCCCGATTTTGCCTTCCCCTACCTCTGATCACCTCCCCGCCGTCCCTGCTATGGATTTCATTATGGTCTTCTGGGAGCGTCTCATCGCCAATTATATTCGCAATATGATTGACACCTCAGGTCCCCAGTACTCGTTTCCTTCTCTGACGGAACTTCCTGACGTTGGGAGCGGTCCTTCCCTTTCGACAGATTCGGTTTTAGCAGGAGGAAACAACGAGAGTGTTCCCAAGGGAATTGTGGAGGGGGAAGGGGGAGTGGGCACTGCTGTTTGTCGGAACACCACCACACCCGTGGAGGAGGGTAGCAGGGATCGTCCTGAGGGAGGTTCAGGGGCTCCCCTTTTCCTCCCTGATTCTCGTTCTCCTTCATCCCCCATTCCCCTTCCCTCCGTCCCTGTCGTTCCCAACGTTATCGACCTCATGATGATGGATGATGATGGCGAGGATCTTTATGAGACCCATGAGGAATTTGAAGCTAGGGTGCAGGGTGATGTGTCGGTTAAAAGCGAGAGGTCTAGTCCCGTATTGTAGTCTGCTGTGCGATTTTATTAATTTTTTGCTGTTGTTTTTTTTTGTATGTTTTGCTTAGCGTCGCGTAGTCCATTTCTTGAATATAGACTGATAGGCGTTCGATGTGGTTTGTGGGTAGCACGCTGAGTGAGTGAATGAAGATAATATGAAAATGAAGTTTGGAAAAGAAAATGAGGAAATCATAATTTGTTCGTCGTGTTGTGTTGTCCGTTATTCGTTAGTTCGTGCTCCTCCGTCTCTCTCCCTCCTCCTCTCTGCTCTCGCTTCCTGTGCCCCCTGGTGATCCCGTTCCTTCCCCTCTGTCATCCTTTGCTTGCTTCTCCAGTAATTCCCATTGGTCCCTCCTTAGTTTCCGCTTTCGGTTGTGTGTGCCGTGCCACTGTTTTACAAGTTCCAGTGAGCCTGCCATTCCTCTCCATCCCACCCACGAGTTGAAGTCATCATCGTAACCCTCCCATTTAACCAGGTATTCCACCTCCTCCGACTTCCCTTTAACGGGTCTGGAATCTAGGATGCTCTCCACGAAGTGTTCCAATTCCCCTTTTACGAAGATTGGAGGGGGTGGGGAGTTCTGTCGTTTGAATTTGTCGTGGAAGTGGGGCTTCAGTCTATCCACGTGGAACACGTTGTGGATCTTGTGGAGGTCTCCCGGGAGGTCGAACCGGTAGGCATGACTCCCTATTTGCGAGAGTATCGAGTACAGTCTCGTCCATTTGTGATCCATTTTTTTCATGGGTCACCTAGTTTTGACAT